TCCTTGAATTGATCCGCAGCCAGGTCGACCAGGAGTTTACACCTAATTTTAACAATTAGTCATATAATTCCAGAGAAATAATTATTCTCTAGCATACGGCCCAATGCATCCATCGTCTTTTCGTACCAGAGGTCCCCCGAGATATCAAAAACCTGAACTTATGTACTTCGAGTCATGCTAAAGTTAGATTCCACAATGGAAATAATTGTAACAAAAGACAAATCATTTGGAAAAAGATGATGACTTTACAGTTCTTGAGAACAATTTTTGACACTTCATTTTAGTCTAAAGTTATTCCACAAAATTGTTACATGCACACACATGGATGCCAAGCGAAAGGAGCGATTTTGAGTCTACATCATTTTCCTCAACAGTTTACAACAATGGAAAAGAAGCTAAAAAGTAGTGTTTGATATAATATACATATGCTGCAGTACCTTCAAAAGTAACGAGAGCATCTTTCTTCATTTTTTGCCCAGGATATATTGCATAGCGTGCCGTCCATCTCATCCTTTGTTGGGTGGATGATATTACGACATCATTATATGCGAGTAATGCGAGGACGACGAGGAGTGACTAACCAGTAAGTGACTGAATGTCGACCGACGATGCGATGTTTCGATGAACCAAGTGGGTTCAAGGTAGATTATAATAATAGGCTTGCTTGGGCTGGACTAAACGTCGGGCTTGGTATCCATGTATATGAGAAGACAAAGTGAGGAGTTGCTTTTGGTAAAGGTGAGCGAGCGAGTGAGTTCCTTTCTTTCTTATAAGGGAATTATTTCTGGATAATGCAGCATGTAGCGAACGAACGTAGCCCAGGATTCCAGCACCAATCCGAAATTTCACCTCCAACAGCAAGATGATGAGAAAAACACACTTGTACAAGTCGTATATACATATTTTCCAGTCTTTCATCTATGAAACATGGACAGGACATCACACGCAGAAGAAATGAAATTCGTTCTTTCACGCTTTGTAGCAAAGAGGACGACCAAGAGGCAAATGCAGAGGATAAATGTATGTACATATGCCTACAGTAAATAGTAACTACCTATAACGCGACGCAGCTTAATAGACCGGCATCGCACAGAGTGAAGTAACCGTGGTTTGAATTCTTTTCTTATGTTCAGTTTGGATAGAGTTCGATGCTTCTTCAAGGTGTTCCATTCCTTCATGAGACATGAACTGGCATCGAGCCCTTGAACTCCCGACACACCAAACGAAGCAAATCATCTCATCTTTTCAACCGCAGGTTAAATGCATCCAGAATATACCCATAGTCTACAATAAGCTAGTTTAAACCTTTGTGTAATCAAATCAGGAGAGAATCAAAATCGTGAATATCTCGGAGCGATTTTATGCCTCAGCTCCCAAAATCTGACAAGTTATGCATATTCCGTTCATGTGTACGACTTCACAATTTTAGTTGAATAAACATCTCCTAACATGAACATCGTCGTCAACAAATACCTCAGAATGCTTTGGTTTTAGGTATATAAGCTTTGTACAAAACTAAGGTTATGTACAAAACATGACATCAGTATGCATACATAATAACATAAGAAGTATAAATGTACAAATATCTAGTTTTAATAACTATTAGTTAGTGCAAGTGGTAGCTTAATGCATTTTGCGTCAAATTGTGATGGGATGGTTAGATTGTGTCGTTGGATAAGCCATAACTGCCGGGAGGTACGTACTTTAATAACGCTCCTATATTGATAGGAGTCTCGTACACCGACCTTACTCATATGCAAATAATATCAGCTATAATGCATATTACATCGTGAAAAGAGAAGAGATAAATTCGAGCCCAGAACAAGAAATTTCCACATCAAACTTTTTATAGCCAATACGACATCTTCCATAATATGGATTATGGATACATGAATTCCAAGATCGTATCCCTCTCAGCAGTCTACCCAAACAATCAGATATATGTCTAGACTTGATGTAGGTAGGCAAAGGAGACCATTTGTTTTATTTGAAATATGGACCACACCACAATCACATTTGATGAATCCGTACATTGTATTAAGTCCATCTAAACTGTCGAAAACGTTGGCGCAAATTCCTGTACCATTCATGATAGTGATCATCATCTAATGTGCTTACTTGCCTAACTATATAATTGGAGGTTACGTGGTTAAAATAAGTTCTCCAAGTAATTAAAAATTATTATTCTAACCTATCTGCGCTGACCTATACTTTGGATAGCCCCTCTGATGCCATAAGAGACGATAAAATTCCCCGACCGTACGAAATGTATCGATTTGAAAACCACTACTCAAAAGGATACTCTAAAGTGTGGTGAAATAATACGACATCCGTCCATCCACAACGACGTGTGTCCATACATGTGTATTTTGCATATTATTTGTAAATATATACCGTGTCTAACCGAAACAGTGACTGACCACCATCAGCAAGCAAGATAATTAGTTCGTATAAGCGAATGGCAATCTTCAAAATTATTTCCTGTACAGGAATCGAATGGTGTTGGAGTCAGTTTATGAAACGAAAGCAGAGTACATACGTAATATGTCTACATGTGAACAGAACAAACAGCCACCAATTTATGTGTACGAGTCATACGCCTTGCAATAAAAAGCAGTTAACACAGCTCAGTGGGAGTGAATAGTTTAAAACGTAGTATTGAATTGAATTGGACACGAACTATATTAATGCTTATGCTACGATGAACCATGCTCATCCGTACCATGAACCATATTATTAATACCATCCAGACTGCCAAAGGACGAGCATAGCAGCTGCACATGCAGCAAAATGACAAAAAACATGAAGGAAGGAAGATCATGGAACATGCAGCAGTCGAACCAATGAAACAGATGGCTATTCCGTGGATACGCCATTCTCGAATCCCCAAATGAGAGCAGAGATCATATCGTAGTAGATGACAATTTTCAATTCTTGCAGAAATACACATGATAATTTTGATTTGGTCAGCATATTAATAACGAGACATGAGATTTATGGGGGATGACGATCTACATATGCACAATAGTACAGCGTATATGCATAATATGTACATGCATAGCTCTGGAGAGAAGTGAAAGTCTTCTTCAATCCACCCACAAAAGACAGATATTAATTTACCGATTGAACAAATACATAAACTTTCCTGTATGTATGCACTACTAACTAACCAATCAACAAAGTTTTCAACTATTCAAGTAGTGCCCTCATGTTTGTTCCTACGATTTAATCCTGAACCTGGTCGGTCTTTGTAAGCTAGAGCAATTTCTAGGATTGCTGGCTGGCTGGTACTCCGACTTTACAATAGTTCAGAGTTGAAATCTCCTTCCCCTTCGCATGCGTCTTTTACCACTTTCTTTCACTTGCGATGGAGGACTTTATATAAGAAGATTAGAATTGCTGCTCTTCTAACAAGTCAAACCCGAACAGTAGACGAGTTTAATTTAAATCTCAAGGGTGTTATATATAGAAGACTAGCATCACCTATACACAAACCCTGTGTTGTGATGTGAAGGAAAGACCGGAGGTAAGAAGACGAACGTCTTTTGCCAAGGAAGAAAGAAAGGTGAAGGAACGAAGAAAGGACAGACAGACCGACTCACTTCATTCCTCACAAAATTCTGTAATGCTGATATGCTCCAATTTAGTATTCATGAAAGTTGAACGGCGAAACTCACTCACTAGGACTAATTCAACACCACTGTGTGCATCGATCCATCCCTGCCACTACTGCATACTGGAATCTTAATCTAACCAGGAGCAACTCAGTGCCAGTAGTGATGTGATGAGAAAAGAAAAAGTAGTTTGACAAAGGAAAAGTTCTTCGTGTGCAATTGATGGTTCGCAGAAACGTCTTGAAATCATGAAAACGGAGAAAAGCGGAAGTTATCTGATCAACCATACCAGCAACCAGTAAACAAGAACAAGTTAAAAAAAGCTGCACAAGCAAGGTGGATATTAGATTTTGCACAGCTCTTTTTATGACTAATCAAACTATTAAAGTCATCCAGCCGTCTTGGGAGTACCTACAAGCTCAAGGACATTTAGGATCGTCAGTCGTCGTCAAGCTAAACCGTTGACCTACGTATGCATCCTTTGTATAAGATGATGCTATTAGCGGGGCTACTTCTACTAAATGTCCAACATTGAAATTGTCCTTTATCCTTCACTGCCAACACACATCCTACGTCCTACAACATTGAATAATATATGTCTGCTATGCCACGCCACTTAAATTGAACCGAGAGAGTGAGCTAAAGACGGGCGGAAGTTGCATAAACTCGTGTGTGCCGGTTGCTGGAGGGTATATGTTGTCCGTGTAGGATGGCTAAATACATATTACTTACAAAAACCCATCCACATGCACTATGGCATACACAGTTTAGATATTTAGACCAAGTGAGACTCGGAGTTTAACCAAGAATGGACGAAAAAACGAATATTATTCAACTCCCCTTTTCCTTCTTCACTGCTGCTGTGACCTTTCTAAAGCAATCCAGCTAACCAACCCTCCTCACATTTCGTGTCTATGTGTGTGCGGTTGCTAAATCCAACAACGAAACGAAGGGACAAAAAATCGTCTGGAGACCAGTTTTCGAAGAATATCTTTACACCTATGTGCATACCTTGCACCCTCTTTTGCTATTATTTTGTCCGAGTTCCAATATCGTTCAATGCAAATCTGTACCTTTACCTTACTTAGCCCCTTAGGAGGAGAACACACGACCCTTTCAATGCTAGATTTTTAAGCCCTTCGGATATGTTGTAGTAATAGATTAGGGTAGAATTAAAAAAATATACATTTCGAAAATTTCCTGACCAAGGGTATACCTTGAAAAAAATTCAAAATTTCAAAAAAGTTGAGTTTGATTGAGGTTGGTGCAAGTTGTTCGTTCTCTTGCTTTATATATGCATGTACATGCACATATGTACCTTATGAACATCCTATCTCAAACCAACGTGGGAAAAATATTCATGCCAGATAAAGGAATGAGTCTTACCTTGTCGGCCAACGATCTCAGCCACATGTTCCGAACTCCTGTAAGCAGAAACATAATTGTACGGTAATGTTAATACTCGAATCGGACAAACGATTAAGGATTGCGGTAAAACGGTATGGGACTTACGGGACAGGAACACACTCAGTCATGTTTTGACTCTTCTTGGGGAGCATATCCCCCCCACACCCATTCGCCATGGAGTATATGTCATCCGAATTTGAATTCTGGAGTTGATTGTGATGCATATTATGATGCTGTTGTTGTTGGTGGTGATGTTGCTGTTGTTGATGATGATGCATCAAACTATGCACATTGTGACCCGCATTGTGATCGTTTCCCATGGACGCAGCCAGTTGATGGAGCGAACTCAGAGATCCTCCTTCAGAGAGTCCGAGCATGGAGAGCTCAAGGGCCAGCTGCAGCTCAATGTATGAATCTTGTGGGTCAACACGTCTTTTACAAGCTGACGCGAGAAGTGCCCTCTGATCCTCATCGATGAGTGACCCACCCCCCATTCCTGAAGAGCAGCTCGTATTGGCAGATGAGGGGGTATGATACTGCAACCCTCCGTGGTCCATATCCCCAAAAGAGACTGGCTGGGGGATATATTTGCTTGCGTGCTGGGGGAGAGAGAGTAGTTGGAAGTAGTTGATTGAAAAGAAGTGATGCAGGAGCGAGACACTAAGCGAGAGACACGTCCGACCAAATCTAGCACTCGAGTGAGACTGGATCATTTCCTCGCTGAACTCTGCTCAACTCCACAAAAACCACCACCACCGTCGTCTGGATAGCCTTGTTCTCTCCCCATTGTGATCAAGACCAGCCTGCATACGAACGAGATACAAATCACATAACATTTTATTTTAATTTGTGCAAAATTATTAGCATGACTTTACTTTTGAGAAAGACCAATGCACTCTTTTGCCTACAAGTGGTGGCTTATGTCAGATAATGGAGCAAGCTAAACTGAAGGAAAAATTTTAATGCGTGCATTTGTCCGACCAAAGCATACAATGCATGTATTAGCATGTTACAGAAATATATAATTCCCCAGTTCATATGCATAATACGCTGAACTGAAATGAACCACCACTGAATACGGAGTAAGTTGTGACCAATAAGGTTGGATGAGTTATGTAATTATCAAGTATTGATTGATTTTGGCGACCACGCTGCTTTTCGATAATATGTAGTCACGAATCTACGTGCTTTCTCCTCGTCTCTATGACTTTCTCTCTTCTTCCGTAAGACCAATACCACTTTAAAGTTTCGTCCATCTCCCTACCAACTTTTCCTCATCATTACTATTTGCCCGATTTGATACTATCTCTGACCAGTAAGTAATCTAATGTTGCATTCTATTTACCACAGTACTGCTAAATATATATAGCAAATGCTCATTATGACTTATGTAAGGTTTTCATCACATTATGTCATCTTCGCAGTTTGCACAAGACAGGGAATGTCGTACCAGTGGTAAGTAAATGACCCCGGGTTTCACTGGGTTTTTTAATGCGATTTGTCAATCCAGCATTTTCTTTATAATGCATGCGGACGTATCATAAGGGCATCAGATATAGTACATCATTTCTTCGGGCACCAGGCAAGCAAATATTACAAGGACTTAAAACATTACAGATTATTATTCGACACTTTCCAAACAGAAATGTCTTATCCACTAATCCACCAAGACCACTTTCCCATCCGGTTATTAGATATTCGATGAATTTCTTTTTATTTAATGGGAGAAAAAAGGTGAAGTACGGATCGGCCATCGGGAATGGAGGGCATAAACCCATTGAGCACAGCTTTGAGGCATTATTTCTCGGCTACGTGAGTGGGTTGATGATTTGGTTTTGAAAATCGGGAGTTTTTGGACTCAGCAGAAAAGACGAAGTTTAACCTGGTTCCCTGGTTGGTGGTATTCTTTTCTTGGTCTCCTCCTCAGCAGCAGCGTTCATCTGATGGTGATGATGTGGGGCCAGGAAGCCAGAGTCTCCTTGAAATCTCCCGTAACGTAAAATACTGCCCGAGTTCAGCATCTATCCGATACCCGGGTGATTGCCCTTTCGGATTCGGGTGGTCTGGTAGAAATAAGCGAGTGCAGGCTGTGGTGGTATTACTTCATATACACACAAACACACATGTACATATATCATCCAAGTCTGGTCGCGGCACTTGCTCGAAAGTATAGTTACTCTCCTAAACAATGTCGTAGTTGGGTATTTAAAGGAGGTCATTCCCGTTGTGACGATGATGATGATGTCCCGTCTTTCACCGTCATTTAAGTTTCCTTGATACATTTAACACTCCATATCACAGTCTAGTCTAGTTACAGTTGGGACACAAAAATTTGTTCTGGCAGTGTTAAGGTGAAACCTACCACCTAAAATCATGTCAACTTGTAAAACGTGTCCCAGTTCTTACACAGACTGTGTTTTGGAACCCTAAAACCCATAAAACGTCGTGTTCTCATATTATATCCGTATTATTCCGTATTAAGGCATATTCTTAAGTAGGAAAGTTTTATAATGGATAATCCTTGCCTATGAATTAAACTTCATTACATACTGCAGTATGGCACTATAAGTACGTATGTATTTCGGTCGAATTACGGGTGATCGTATTCATTAAATAGTTTGGATGGATCGGCCGGACTCTACTTTTTTAAGCTGAGTTTTTAGCTTCCAACTGGATCAATACCACATGAATATCTGTGATGATATTAAATTCTAAATTGGAAACCTCTAAATTGGTCTTTTTATCTGTCATTGCCCTGTCTCTGCTCCTTCCTACGTTTCCCCCATCAACGTGGACTACAAATTGCCACATTTTTAAACCTACAGGAGAGGAGCTAATTTACAACTTGTAAATATTCAAATGATAAGAATCAGCATGGACTTCATAATGATGGACCCAACGTGCATATGTGCATATGTACTAACCTCAACCTAAACCTAGAAGTCTTGTTTTAAACTTACTTTATAAAAAAAACAAAAAATAAATCTAAAATAAAAAAAGGTTGACTGATAACGAATAGCATTTTACATATCCCCAAAATAAGATTAGAAGAAAAGGTCATGCCTAATTCTATTTATTCATAACAATGCAATAAAAAGGTTTGACAATTTGGTCCGCAATTTCCATTCCTGTATACGTATTCCTCCATTGGGTAAAAAAATCATTTTGCGTTTATTGACTTTGCATATGTTTTCTACATTTGTGTGCAAATTGAGATGGAATTTATGAAAAAGTCACAAAATATTGAACTCTGCAACAATGTCAATACTTCGACCAGCAAGTCTCGATAATATGAACGATAAGGGAACACGACTGCGGCGGACGTAATTTTTCCAGTGACCGATAAGAACTCGAAAATTAGTCAATAACCCGCTTTATCAAGAATAATGCATATCAGCAGACATCGACCTTGTTTAATAGCTCTCCTCTCTCTCTCCACACAAGATGAATAATAAAATGCACACGCATATATATCCACGTATCATAGTCAAACAGTGCTTACAAAAATATCTGTTGGGTTGCTACATTTGACCTGTATCAAAAGCTTTTGTGAAAAATGCATTACCATCATGAAGACATAATTACTGAATTGTGAAAAGCTTGGATGCTGCAAAGTTTTAAAAATAATCCTCCCATAGACCTTACAATAGTTTAACTAATAATGTGAGAATATTCCCCTTTAACCAGGATGAAAAAAACCATGTTGTGAGACACTATTGAGACGAGGTGTTTTATAAATATTTGCACTACGTCCACTCACCGCCATCTGCAGTCAATCAGTTAACCAAACCTTTTCCGCCAAATTTTGGAGAAAGTTAGAATCGCAATTTTTCTCATGTTTACATTCGACTCACTCGATTTTCGCAATAAACAAGTTTACTAACACAACATGCATTACTCAGCATTCGTTTACTATAAACTAGCCAACACTATTTATTTCCTGATCGCTCAAAACATGGAATAGAAACAAGCAAAAATAGTATTTAACCAATTTGGTCGTCTCACAGTAATTTTTCTGGTCAACTTTATCACACGTGTAAATGACTTGTCTGTGTGATTGGATTGGTGCACGCAGCTGATTGTGCATGACGTCATATTTAACTGTTGAGAATTAGTCATCGTCATCTGTTTGTTTCTCTTACTCTTCATTGTTTGTCCGTGTTTTTCAGTTATAATACAAGTTTTACTTTGTGATCATATAAAGTTTACTAATTAATGGACATATTTCATACTATCATAATTCAAGTTATCAAGTTTGGTATTGACGTGTAATATTTATAACATAATTTTTATTAATTGGTGGACTTTGAGTAACCGATCATGGCGGTAGGGAAGTGTGGAATCATGACCACCAATTACATTCGAATGTAATTCCGAAGTAAATTCCATCCACCACCCAACAAAAACTCAATTTATGCAATTGATTCGAGTTGAGAGAGGACTGATTTAACTTGTCAAGTGTAAGTAGCTTGCTTTCTTATTTTTATTGTAGTTTTACATATAGTCAATTAAAATATTTTAAAGTGGTTGACTGCCCATGCAGAAAATCTCAATATATGTATAGAGTAAAGAAAGTGTACACTTTACAGAATTATAAAGTACATAATCCGAAAGCTTTCAAATAATTAACTTGATTAATGATTATGAAATAGAGTACGTACAAGCTCCGTTTGTCTCAGTTTCTGCAGATTGACTCGTCGGACGGGTACAAATAGTCAATAGTACAATTAATTGGGTGTATACTATACCCTGTATAGTATTGGTGTCTCTGTGGCTCAATTGAGTTTTGTTTTGCTTAGTCAATCTGCAGAAACTGAGACAAACGGAGCTTGTACGGATTCTAAATGTAATTATTTTTTTGCAGTATCTAGTTGTCCCCCGAGGATTCCTCATTCATCAGAAAATCAAACCACAACGAAGGGAAGATGGACCAGTCCACTCATTCTCATACAGACGACTTCGAAACAACAACGGAGGTATTGCTTTAATACTGGCCACTATGATACAATTGCATAATAGTTTACCTTAATTGTTCTAACAACTTCTTGTCCAGTTGAAATTTGAACAAGGAGGAGTTTCGCAAAAGTTTGCAGTTAATGGAAAGCGAAGAAATCAGTCACACCTTGTTCCAGGGAAGCTTTATATCACAGAAAACGTAAGAAATTAGGAATCAAACACTATTGTAAATTATCTCAAAAGTTAAAAATGCAAGTTATGCTTATTATGCATGTAGCGTTTTGGAGAATATCTGGAATGGAAACCTGTAGAAAATCCTTCGCCACGATCACGATCTACTAGTCCATATGTACCAAATATTCCAGAATTACATGGCTCAAATCCCGCTGCTGGAATTGGATTTCGAAAAGACAATGGTACGTCACATTTAAGTAATATTTCAATTAATTTTTAACCCATGTTTATAATCGTCCTAAGGTCAATTCTTAATGTATCACTCGATTGTTTGCTATTATCTGTCCAATTTTAGACGAAACCGTAGAATTCATTCCTGACCCACGAATGGCGGAATATCGTCGGTATGTTATAACCTTCTTTATCAAATGCTAAAAAAACACCCCTTACGAATGTTGTCTTGTTCGATTCCCAAACAGGCCAATTAAGATAGAATTGTCAGAACTCAGGTCATACATGATGGTGGGGAAGCATGAACTAATCTTTATCCATTCGGATGGAACGACCCTAAATCCGTTTGTCTTTGAAAGAAGCCCACCAGAAAATTTTATTTCAGCTTTGGAACGCTGTATCGGAATAACAAAGTTTGTGTTTCTTCTAGTTGTCCCAATTTTCTTGCGATATTAATCAATGATGATTATTGTTTTCCCATCCCTGTAATAGGTCCAAGCACACAAAGAACTTGTTCATGTTCGGTTCGAAAAAGAATTCCGGGGCACTTAACGACAACTCTGACATTAAAAGTGTTGTGGCAGAATTATTTCCAGATCAAGTAAATCAGTTTAATAACATATGGGGATTTGTAAAAGAATTCAGGAACGATCCTTATGCTGGTGCCTGCACGGTTGCTGCAAAAATTGGACATTTAGCAAGTATGCAAGCATGTTGAAAAATCAATATATGTTTGCTAATTTACTGTTTAATTACTACTCTTCTCAGCGAATGGAGAACTTCCCGGTGGGCACATTTTTAATGTTCCACGGCCATTTGAAGATTCCAAAGAGTCGAGTCCAAGTCGCAATAATGGAGAGTCTCACAATCAAAGTTTTCATTCAGATGGCATGGATGCTGATTACACGACCAATGAAGAGGGTTATGAGGTCATATTTAAACCTGAAAGACCCAATTTCGAGTTGCCACCAAGGCCCGAGACATTCAGAGGACAACCTCTTAGTCAAGGTAAGAAAATGAAAGGGGCAGAGACATTATGGTATCTTAAAGTAATCACCTAAGAAAAACAATTTAATTCATTTAATCATACTTCAACATCTCATTAGCAAAGACCAGCAGAACAACAATTCAACTTAAACTCATATAAAAATTGTCATTTAGCATAAACAGCACTACTAGTCGGACGACATGGGTCCTAGGTACACATCAACTAAAAACTTTTTAATCAAAATTCCATGAACAATTCTCCAGGACTTTTTATCTATAAAACTTGCATTAATCTTTAATTGATTCAAAGATCTTCTAATTGATACAAAGAGGGTGAGACTGGGCAGAAAAATCGTCCGGATTTATACAATTTTTTAGTTTTAGAAGAGATGCTATTAGGGCAGAAAGGTGGAGGTGACATTCCCACTTGTACCTCTTCAAGTACAAGTCCGACTGGGACAATCTTGGGTTCAGGGTGGGTGGAGGGCTTGTTGTTTATGTAGGCGAGGACAGGGTCTGCGTTAGACTCCTTTTTATGCACGCTACTATTACGTGCTTGTCCAGCATAAATAATATAGGGATTTGAGGCAAAGTATAATGCAGCGACCTTTCCTTTTCTCTCCTGTCTTCCTCTCTTCAAAAATGCCCCAAGACTTTCACCCTTCTCTGCATGTAGGAGGAATGGAATGTCCGCACCCTCCTCCAAGTTAATTGCTGTTGCTGCTGCTAATGATAGCTTGTCATGAATCTTCAATTCCAAACCATACAGATCCATTTCCTCCAACAATTCCTTATAAGCACCATTTGGAAGGTTAATATGTACATTCAGGGAGATTACTTTGATTGTAGTATCGGGCCATAAGAGTAGTTTAAGGAGTGTCACAGTCTAAAAGTGGTTGGACAATTCATTGTAAGAGTGAGAGTTACATACATATTTCGCAGCATTATTAGTACCTGTCGTGCTGAATAAACTTTCAGGAGTTTATCTTCGTCATCAAAGTATAGGCGACGCTCCACAAGTTCAACTGCTTGTGCGGGTGGTTTTTTAGCAGCCTCACGTTCTTTGGAGTATAATTTAAAAGCCATAGTTGGCTTGTTTATATGCTGAAGCATGATGGCCCGTGTTGCGTTATGAGATTTTCCCTCATCATCCCCATAAATATATTTGAAAGAGGCAATGACATGCAGAACGACGTCGTTTTTCTTATTGGTCCCATCTGTAAACTGAGCCAATACAAAACCAATTTGTTCTCCTTTGTGCAGGTGACATTTTGGGATCGGTTCCACAGTAGTTGACCTTGTTCTCACACAATCTGGAAACATGTCATGCGTGGAATCAGAGCATACTACATAATTCATCATATCTACAGAAAATTACTTACTAGAAATCCCGGAACAAATATAGTTCCATTTCGTATTTGGCGCTACGAGAACGAATAACCCGTATGCCCGGTTAATATTTGGTGGTGAGAACGCAACCCTCGACTTTGTCCCCGGAACCTCCAATCCTTCTTTCCCCGCTTGCCTAATTTTAGTTTCTGCAATTAATCTCTCTGCAGCAGTAAGAGGGGGATATTTTCCCGTAATTATTGGAGGAGTAAGAGGGGTGAGATCAGAAGTAGTCGATTGTTGTGATCCCATTTCCTGATCCTCATTGACCTCTCGAGCCAACTCGCAGAAAAACTCTCGTAGTTTATTATCCCCTTCATCTAAAAACAAGAACAAAACATGTCATAAATAGTACATTCCATAATAATATGAAATTAAAAATAATTTTGCCTGCCTTCAGACTTATCAGACATCTTCTTATTCGTATTCAGGACTTTGGTTATTGGCCACCAAACAATGCCACCTTTGTCCTCTCGCAGATCAATTTTTCTATTTGCATAACCTCGTTCGGGGGGACTGGTGGGCGGATCTCTCATGTATCTCGTTCTCCCCTCCACCATTCGCCACTCATTTTTCGAAACCAGTTCGTCCTCATCATCATCCGAGTCCAATGTAAGAAACCTGTTGGAATCATGCATAAAAAAAGTCATCTCATATCTAAACATGATTTTCATTAATTTGAAAAATACCTGATACTTGGCAATTCTTCCTCCTCTGCGTCATCGTCGTCTCCCTTCTTCTTCTTGGACGTTTCAGCTTTGCTGCTGGTGGGAGTGGCTGCTTTCCGTTTGGAAGACGATGATGACGGTGCTGGTTTTTGAGTATTTGGAAAAGAGGGAGAGTTAACAAAAGCGTCATCGTCATCGTCGGAATAATCACCCATGATTTACCTACACATCAATTAAATTTATACGATTAAAGTAAAGACCTACGAACGAAAAATATCTCAATGAAGTAATAATAAAACTTATAATTTATGACATGGTAAGTACTTACGTTTAATTAAGGATTTAGTGGCTGAAATTGTTGGAGAAAAATGTTTAAACAATGGTGATTGACTGACTCAACAAGAAAGATTTCCCGCTATTGCAATTTGGAAGGGACAAAAAAATATCACATTGATGAATATAACTTTTATCATTTTTTTAGTTCAAGCAAAGTGTACATAAAATTTCTTTCTTTCTCTTTATCCTTAGAACAGTGGTTGAACTATTTGGACAATGACGGAAGGATTTTAAATTTTGAAGAAATTAAAAGAATTATTTTTCAAGGGGTATGTTTCAATTTACTTGCATACACAAAACTAAGTGAAAAGTGTGGATTATTACTAATAAAAAATAACCCCCAATCTTAATTTGTTATTCAACAGGGTGTCGAGGCATCAATACGGCCGCACGTTTGGCCTTTGCTCCTTGGAGTTTATGACAATAATAGTACTTACGAAGAGCGGCGACATAATTTTATTGAAAAAACATGCTCTTATAATAGGATGAAACATCAATGGTAAGGTTAAGTTCTAATCTTAGTACAGCTTTTTAACCTGGGTTAGGGCTTATGTAAGCGTCATGAATGTCTGACTGGTCAGAATGATATATCTATTTTCAAACTTATACACTTACATATTCAAACGAAACTGTGTGTTTGATTGTTTGTTATTGACTTGAATTTTAGGGCAACAATTACTGAGGACCAAGAAGAAAGGTTTCATGCCTTCAGAGATTTCAAATCATTGATAGGTGACTTAAATTTATAAGCATTTTTACTTATATGTTTTCAGTGATTTTAGTATTTGCATAATGCTGACATTGCTTTATTTTTTTATATTCTTGCAGAGAAAGATGTCTCTCGCACTGACAGGACATTAGATTTTTTTAAAGGAGATAATAGCAAAGGAACTGACACATTACGGAATATTTTAATGACTTATATGATGTATCACTTTAACCTCGGTTACGTACAGGGCATGAGCGATATTCTTGCCCCAATACTAATGGAAATTCAAGATGAAATTATGACTTTTTGGTTATTTGCAAAGTTCATGGACAGAATTGTAAGATAAAAACCAAGGAATTTTACTAGAACTCACTATATTCATTGTAATTAGGCGTAAATAATAATTATTTGAATTTGACAGCACCCAAATTTTGAGCTCAGCCAGGAGTCGATGCAAAAACAACTTAAGGATAGTTATATGCTGCTGCAAATTGTGGTAAGGAAGTAGCGTGGATAAATGTTAGGATTCTGTTTTATTGTCTTAAAATGGGATTTGTTAACAGGACCCACGCCTTGGAGCATATTTGGACGCCTGTAAGTTATAAGCTTAAACGCCTAGAGATTTTCTTTAAATTTACCAATTTCTATTATTTTATCCCCAGGTGATGCATCTAACATGTATTTTGGCTTTCGGTGGTTGTTGATTTGGTTTAAGGTACGAATATAATATGATTTTGATGATAAGTATCCTTGCGTAACTATTTTATATCTTAAATTAGTATTAGTAAATCCTGGTTCGGGAATCTAGAGTGACAATTGCTTACATTATTTTACTGTCATTACAGAGGGAGTTCACATATTCTGACGTATTGATCTTATGGGAATCTTTGTGGACTGGTCTGCCTGGGGTAAATTATCCCCTCTTTGTTGGTAAAATACATTGGAAAAATTTTAAGACTGAATACTATGAGACTTATATTTCATATCTATTATTTGTTAATTACCCCCTATTTGGTTAATTATGCTAGGTCTTTCGATTTTGATTCAAAATCGATCAACCGTGATGGAGAATAAATTTGGCCTTAGCGAAATCTTGCGGGTAAGAAATCTAATATTTTAAATAAACTACAAGTGAAACATTATTATTATTGTTCAGCACGTGAACGACTTGTCGATGAGGATCGATTTGGAAAAAACATTGGCCCTTGCAGAAGCATTATACCGTCAGGTTATGGCTGTCGAGGCAAAACTACCAAATGCAATTAGAACAATTATTGGATTACCGGAGATCGAAGAACCAGCTCTCGACAATTTAGAAGTTGTTCAAGGACCTTCTGCATCGCCTCGGCAGAGAAAATCGACTTCACCTTCTCCTTGTCCTGAACCAGGAGGCAGCAATTTATCAGTCCCGAATGAAAACTCCAACCTTTCTACCAGCCCTGATGTGGAAGCTTTAGAAAATCAATATGAGCTTGGCGTTACTCAGTTCATGTAATTAGTTATACTTTACAAATATATGTAATTTTAGTTTTTTCTTCTTTTCGACTACTTTTCAAGGCTGAAAATTTGTGTGATATTTTCTCTAAACTGAAAGTACCTTTTTCGCATATATTACATGATGACAAGCAAAAGATATTTCCAAAAAATAAAGTCAGTTATTTTGTCAAAGTCCAGGCTTAATGTAGTAATATGTTTAATGCAAAATTGTAATCGTATTTTACATTGAGAAACCGTAAGAATATTAATCATGTGTACTTTGCGCATTCTCATGTCCTTATACTTACATATGTATCTATAGCTGATAGGGTTTAAAATGTTCTTTTTATGTACTGTCATTTGTGTAGCTTTATTGCTGTATGTATTTAGTACGCAAAACCACAATACATCACAATATACTATGAAAAACCTGCTGCAAATAATCTTTTTTATCGAACTCATTGAGTTTTAAGAAATATGGCATTCTGAATTGTCATCATTTACTGAAAAGTGAAATGTGTACGTGTACAAGTTTGTAGAATGTATTTCAAAAGCAAGGGTTTGTTTATGTAGGATGACAGAAGCTATGCTGAACCTATAACTTATGCAACACTACTTTTAGGATTTGGTTCACCGGATGAAAACGCTGTTATAGCGTTATTATGTATGTATCTATTTGGTTCATTTGAGCCAAACACCATCACAAATTGAAGTAGGTTAGTCCAAAAAGTATTGATTTTCCCCTGATCGTTAAACTACCCTATCTTGCCATGCACATATTGTGTCTTCCTTAATACGTTCCATGCTCTAAACAGTAATAATGACAAATCCGATAACTCCCAAAACCGAGTTTGTGAAAGCAGCCAATTGTAAATAAAAAAAGAAGTGTATCATTGTTTTCACGTTTCTAGGTCTCCCCTTCTTTCTCTCCTCTCCTTACCACCAGCACACCTTATTTCTGTATTATTTAAGACATAATACCCTCGTGTTATGTACACACGTCTCTATTAGTTTGTCAGTGTGCAATATTTTCTTTAGAGCCAACATTGTGTCATTATAGCTCCCCGTTGTGTATCCTAGTTTTTTCATTACGTCGTCAATAATTTCTTGAATTTCCAAAGTGAAATTTTGCGCACCTTAGTCAAGGATTTTAAATTTCGTTATGTAAAGACGCCTATGTGTATCCAGTTGCTGCGAATTTTGACTGCATGTGTCGCATAGGTGTCACAATCACAATTCATTACTGCTTTCCTACTCCTTTCCAACAACAACGGTACTGAAGACCTTGCGTAATCAACCATAAGGAGGTAAGACTCACTTCATATCATACAACGCGTGTCGAAATGGGGGGAATAATGGATGGAAGCTAATCCAAATCACATTATTTGTTTAGAAGCATTTCTTTGAATAATTAATTCAAGTCTGCTATGAATATTTGATTATGGGATTTGGATAGTCGTGTCCGGCTAGAAACAAAAATTATCATGGATATCTCTTGCTTTTTACTCCATGTATTGGATTTGGTCCCATCCTCGATCCATATTATTTATATTTATTACTGGGGTCGGCCCTTTCGGCAGGTAGGCCGAGGTGCAACCTATTTAGACAGCGAACGAGTAAGTAATAAGGTGCTCATCCTTGTTGCTTGATGACTTTTACTTTAATGCTTTCCTATTGTGCATTGCAAACAATAGGTACGTATTTACGTACGAATATACATGTATGTATGTCTCGTGGCTGTGTAGTTGATGGCAAATATTATTCGATCGAGGATGGTTGGTAAATAATTTCACGTTGGGGGTACGTGGTCGTGGTGTGTGATTGGATATTACGAATAGATGAGTGTGACTTTCACCTTTGCTCCGCTTTAATTGTTCTTTCCAACCAGAAATAATACAGTGAAGAAGCCCCGGTAGGTACATACTTATGTATGCAATCAAGTCAAATGCGTCACTGCATGACTGCCTTTAAGAGTGGGCAATTTAATACGGCAATTTCGCAAAATATGGCATTTATAGTGATTTACTGATACCAGTAAAATAATGAGAGGTTGTTAATTGTGTTTTGAGCAAGAGGTTTGCGTTAATTTCACTTGATCTTAATATTTTATGGCATATATGGATGAATCCAGAGAAGTATTGAACCTTTGTCGTTGTTTTTGTTTCATACCTTCAAAATTTCTACATGGCATTGATGATTGCGAAAACAAGAACCCTTGACTGCTATATACATAATACGTATATATACATATATATTATACATACATACGACGTCCAAGCTCATGAATTATTTCGTCAAGATTTGTAATTAAAATGATAAATAATGACCGTGGGTGCTATTGCTGAGCTACATTAATTTAGCAGAATTTGCATTTGGCAAATATTTCTTGAGGTTTTGATGACTGGGTAAAGAAAAGTTACACAAGTTTTGTCATATTTATTGACGATTTTGAAATACCAAATATTAGTTGTATTTCAAAGACCCAAGGCTGTTTTACGAAATACCAAAACTTCAACAACAAATAGAAGAAAACAAATTATTAGTTTAAAGTTTGTGTGGCATTTATTTTCTCTATTTTCTAAACTTTACCAATTGAAAGTTTTAATGATGGTTGACAAGCTTCCGGCCTAACATGTCAATTATATTCTTCGTAGTTCGACATCATGGAGCGTTTAATATATGATAAACAATGGCATGCAACTTATTATTAAATAAATACAAGAAATGTAAAAAGACCAGGAATTACAACAAATTATTCTTGAGAATAATGATGGTTATGTTATGCATTTTAGCCCGAGGCAGGGCTTATGAAACCATCATGTCCGTCTTTCGGTCTCGCGAATGGTGCATGAATGGTGCACATGCAGTATGGGGTGAAGAGTTAGGTTCGAAGATGAGCAAAATCGGTCAAGTGGCTGACCTGGGGGGGGGTCATAAAATAAAATTTGGGTGGGGTTGTGGATGCAGAATATTCAGACAATGATCATAGAATGCTGATATTCGAGGTGTTGGTAATAGTTGTGTGCTAAAAAGACAATGTCATAAGGACCAAATTATTATTTAGAAGGACCCACAGTAGAGTAACCCCACTGATTTTCTAAAATGGTCGTAGAAGACCAAGTAAGTATACTCCAAATCTGTGTAGAAGACTGAAATTCGGTTATTATCAAGATAATGGAACATCAGACTAAAGAATATAAAGTCAAATTTACTTATGGACATTTTTATGAGAGGAATACAACGGGGTGACCCATACTGGTTTTTAAACTGGTCGAACAAGCTGCAATTTTTCTTGTTGGATTATGGGAACATTTTTGACGCTTACAAATAGTAGACAAATAGTTGATACTAGTATTTGGGCCACCTGACAAAAACTTAGAAGCGGACTCTGACCTTGACTCGGGCTAGATCAACACTGGACTCTAGGTTTTATTTAAGTTCACCGTTTATAGACTGAAAGCGTTCATTTTATTGAAAATATGGCCACGATGGCGTTTACAAATATTGATTAATGTACATGCTTAATTACAGTTCATGCTATGAGCTGTAACAGAAAATGGGTAGCTATAAATGGTTAGCTATAGCTTTTCTAGGTCTCAAATTCAATCTACGTATTTATGTATGTATACATAGTACGCTTTGGATTTCCTTTTACCACAGACTTCAACATTTGTCAATTGTTTCTTATGAGCGTGATGATATGAAATGCATAATATGTATGAAGGCAATTGAAGGCATATACATACAACTCGAATTCGTCCCACATCCCCCTTAAATAATTCGCTTTTATTTGACTTTACTTAAATCCATCGAATTAGTTAGATTTCGTCCATATATGCATATCCGTATGTATGCATACATATTATGGATGTATGACTTTTGGAGCAATCATTAATAAGGTTAAACGAAAACCTATCAGTACAGCTTTGCTTAGCCCGAACCAGGAATGATTAGTAAACCCATGTTTGTCAGTAGTTTTCTATGAAATTATGTGCTACTATTTTGCACTAATTCTTCCATCAATCCTTCGTATTACTAGGCTCCAAATTCTAAAAATATTTACTATCCCTTCCTTTGACTACTTCCTAGTGGAGGTCGTCTCTATAGCCCCCAGATTAATTTTTGTTCATATTTAACTTCATGTTATTTCGTGAAAAAGCAGTATGGATCTCTGGTCCAAATTTCAGCTTTCTATGTTAATTTCTGAAAATCGGTGGGGGTCACCTCATAGGGTCCCTCTAGATGAAAATTTTACCAATCTCACTTCATATTTTTCCATTAGGAGCCATTAGCAGCCTCTATACCAAATTTCAGCTCGATTGGATGATTTTGAAAATCGGTGTGGGTCACCCCCTCGGGTACCTCCGGTTGACAAATTTTCCAATTTCACTTCATATTCTTTCATTAGGGGCCATTAGCAACCTTTATACCAAATTTGAGCTTTCCATGACGATTTTGAAATTTTGGTGCATAATACCCCACCCACTCCGATGACCCCCACCGGTCAACCACTGGACCAGTGTCACCCATCTTCGAACTCGTTTCCTAACTTTGTCAAATATGCATATGGTAAAAATTTCAAGTCAATCGGTCAACTCGTTCGAGAGTTATCGAAAGACAGACGGACATGACAATTACATAAGCCCTGGTTCGGGCTAAAAAGGGAAATATAGAGTTAGTAATATGAATTTGACAGTTGTTTGGCTTGACAATTAAAGGTTCCAATACTATAGCTTCTGTAGAAATATGCATAATCATTTTATACTTTTGTGGCCTCCAGTGGAATAGAAAATTACAACATTACCAAATTAGATACACTTCGATCCAATAATAATTACCAAGCTCATGCATACTTCATGCCTCCTCCAACTAAATACAGCAAATAATGTATATTCGAAACTTAATACAACGTGAAGCCCCAATGACAAAATAAGTAATTCCACTTGAATCACTTTGCTAATTACTAAAACGGTACAAAGGGTTAAAATTGGAATAAAAATCACATTATTTCACATCCTCTTTGATGTAATTATGTACAAAGTTTCGTAGATTAGCTGATATCTGTTGCACTGCTCTGTGCTGGTGAAAGTTTGGCATGGGTTAAGAATTATTTTGTGAGTTTAAGAATGCAGAAATAGAATGGGCTTTGCATTAACTTTCATATTCTGACAACGGTCAATACATTATCTTGTTTCGATTCCCTCTTGGCAAAATTATAGCCAGCTATTAAATACCGTCATGTCGATAGGTTGCCGTTGGTTAGATTCAGCATTTGAGCTACAGGAGGCTCGACTAAATGGGAGAGAGAAGACGTAACCAACGCATATATCAAGGGAAAGTAAGGCAGCCAGTCACGTAATATGAGAACAAATGGTTAATTTTCAAAACCTAAGCTCAATTCGATTCCCCTGATTGTGGAATTGTTCCGTCGTCGTCGTCGGTCGGGTTATTAGTGTCTGTCCACCAGCCATTATAGATGGTCCTTCCTTGTTAGCGGTGACTGGCATTGTTACATATTTTCCCTTGCTCCGCTTTCACTATGGAAGTCACAGTGTTAGCCTGGGGACCGACCCATTCAAACATACATATTAGTTCGGTATTAAAGCGGTAGTGAACTTCATCAGGCAATTGTACGAAAGGCTAAATCTCAAACCGATCGTGACTCTGGAGCTCAGTTATTTATTGTTTAAATTATTGTTCCATTTCGATAATCACGTTACTATAATATTTCAAGAAGGCCAGCTCGTAGAAAGAGGTGTCCATAATTCGTGCATTACTGGTTGGTAGCATTTTCCATAAGAATCCTGCGAGGTGAAGAATCTACGCACTTTCACTCACAAATTCTCATCTCGCCTCGCTCTGAAATGTGAGAGGGCATCTGTGCATACTGTCTTCATATGAAACAGGATCACTCGATCTGATTTGAACTCATCATGTGCTAGCATCACATTGAACATAGGAAAAATGTAAATAAACAACTAGCCTCAAAAACAGCATCAGAATAAATAATACGCTCTACGTACATACTTACGTGAGTTTCTGGACAAGTTAACTACGCCATTTAACACATTTGGGTTTGGTAGGTCTGTGACTTGCTTTGCTTAGCAGTTAAAAATTAACTGGTCGAGGATACGATCTTGTGATTAGTTTATAGCGAAATGTTTAACTTGTAAAAACATTTACTTCATGACTAGTTTGTTCTCTGAGTAATGGGACGATATGCCCGTCTAATTCATAGACCTAGCCTTAGCAGCCTCACTAGTCGAGGGGACACTTTGCGCAACACTATCCTTAGTTCTTTTAACTTGGCCCAGCACTTTAACAACTTTCGAAGAAAGCGGAATTTTGAAAAGTTTTTGGATAAGCAGCTGTACCAGGTAGAAGTTGGTTTAGAATTTAGTGTAGAGGTTGACGAGGAGGACGACGGGCGTGAAGTTTTGGTGGTCCAAGGCGAAGGTGCAGAGGGGGGTGTTGTTGAGGGTTGGAATACTAATTGGAGGACTCTCGCCATGGCAGGTTTCGAAGGCGAAATGGGCGTCTGGGATCTCTCGAATGCAAAACTGCTGCAGACGTTGTCACTCAGCCACGGAGATGTCAACAGCGTCGCTTTTGGGAGGAACTTCATCCTGGCCACAGGATCTGGGTAAGAAGAAGACAAAAATTAATGAGCATGGCATATTCACTTTTTTTTGATCGATGTGTAACTGTGAGGTGTATGATGGAATTAATAAACTCGCACATTTTCAGGGACAAGCGAGTAGAAATCTGTAAATGGAAAAAGGGAGAAGGTTTCGCAAGGGTGGAATTTTCGCCGTTAAAGGAACATAAATACACGGTACTTCAGGATTACAAAAATATATTTAATATATAAATATATATGTGACCGGTTATATAACTTATATATGTATTTATTCCCCAAAAATGTTTATTTAATACGCACAAATGTATTTAGACCATTAGCATCTAATTGTATTTCACATGTCTAAAGAGCGTAAAAAATTCCGGCATTCGGCCACCATGTTTTCTCTACATTTCATGCTATTTTTTTCTTGTCGTTAGAATTTACAACATTTTTGGAAAATTTCAAGATATTGTGAAATGTAAACGTTCATAGTAAATTACTAAATTAATTACTGCTAACTTAATTAACGATTATCTGGTCATTAAGAATATTATGAAGCAGCCTGCTAACCATGTTATCATCATCTTTATTATGTTCATGTGTCTAGGTATCCTGTGTCGACTTTTCACCATATGGGACCATTTTGGCGACGGCGTCAGTAGACGGGACAACAATTTTATGGGACGCAACGGTGCGTGAACTTTTATACATGCTACTTTTTGTTTTGTTAATTTAATTATGTCTGTTATGCCAGTGCGTGTTTTAGCGCAATAATCGTTATTTTCATGCCAGTTATTATTACATATGTAATATATCCTTGTTTTTCAGAACGGAGATAAATTGACTAGTTTCATCCAACCAGGGAACAGCGCTGTGAGAGTATGCCAGTTTTCACCTCGATCAACTTTACTCCTAACTGCAGGGGATTGTGGTTCTGTACATATCTGGGACATTTCCACAAGGACATTGAAACGGTATGCCAAGAGTTTTGTTTAAATAAAAACAACGTTGCGCTTCTAAATTAGCCATGAATAACTTTTGTTTAAGAACCCTGCAAGCACATGAAGAATCAGTTTATGCCGGAAGCTGGACGGCAGATGACAGTTACGCAGTAAGCGGATGTAGTGCTGGCTTACTTCATTTATGGGACTGCGGAGACTCTGACGCCAATAAACCATTGACAACTGTGGAAAACGCTCATGACCTAGGAGTCACAAGCATATGTTTCGCACCAGCGCTTATTACTGGTACGTAGCCATCTAGTATTATTTTTTCCGCTACAAGTGACTTTCTCATTGTACATTCCAGTACATATTTCGACGGAGCGAGTAGTTGAAGAAGGCAGTTTTAAATTAAAGTTTGAAAGTATTGATCGTATCGGTTTGGTTGAGCTGTGGTGCACGGCGTAGAAATGAAATTGGAGAATGAAATATGGGAACTAAGCTACATATTGTGGCTCTTACTTATTCATGATGCATTGATTTTCATTTCTCATAGCATAAGTCCAAGATATTTATGAATAAATTATTTATTTATTAGTAAGAATCATTTTCTTGACTCTCCAAGGAATAAATACGCAAAGTAATAAGACGCACACTGGTTATAATTTATGCTGTCTCTAAAGCGTCCGTTATGTACTTACTTGAGCTAATTTTGATCAATTTTTCGTCTCGTTGCTTTTGATTTGTTTCAAACCAAATAATTAAATATCACTTGTATGTTTAATGACTTTCAGCGGAGGGTGGTATCGGGAAACTTTGTTTGATGGTCACGGGGGGACATGACCATTGTGTAAAACTGTGGAACGTCACCCTGGGGGGTTTAAAGTCAAGCATTCGTCCACTTCGTGTCCTCCAAGGGCATTCAGAATCTGTTATGTGTGTCCGGGTTAGCTCCGTAGGTGGATTGATTGCTAGCACCTCGGGAGATAAAACTGTCCGATTGTGGGAGGTTTGTTCTCATTACTATTCCTGCACCTTTGACATCAAACCGGATATTTAAATTGTTTTTTCAACGTTTCAGCTCAGTGGAAAATGTATCAAAGTCCTCGAAGGACACAATCGATTTGTCACTTCATGTGGATTTTCTGCAGATGGAAAGCTCTTAACGTCAGGTTAGACAAGTTGAAATATGTACCGGCAGAAGTATTCCTTCACCACCAATAGTGGTGGTGAAGGAATGGGAAAAAGAACAACTAACATGTATAATATGTATATGCGTAATTCAGGATCGAACGATAAGCAAGTAATAATTTGGGATTTGGCTGGAACCATCAACACGGATGAAGAGCTTCAGTCTTCTCTGGGAGTAGAATTCAGCCTTTCAAGTGGGGAAATGTGGCCTCAATATGAAAAGCTGTGTCGATCAAGGATGTTGCAGGAAGAAAATGGCGTTGTGCTCAAAGCATCGTACGAAGTACACAAAGTAGATTTTAACTCATGTGTGTTTGTCGGAACAACTTTGGTCGTAGCTGGGGCCAGGTGCGATGATTATTTTTGAAATCAAATTCTTATTATGCTAATTAATGCTACTTAATGCGACTGCCTATGACTGCTATATTTCTATAATGCGTATTTCTGGGGTATGCAATTAGTTAAATAATTTAGTAAAAAAAACTAACATGCATTTATAAACTAGCTTTATGACTTTAACGTTCGTGCAGTAAGTATGTTCAGTCAGCCCTTGAATATTTAAATGATGGAAAACAGCTTCCGATCCAAGCTTGGTTCTTGAAAACGTCGTCTTATAGATAATGTCAACTAATAGATCTGTAATACTATTTGCTATTCTGCATTGGGTGCATGTTGCTTGAACTCGGTATTCTTGTTTGTCTTGATTCTTTCGATGGAACAGCAGTTCAAAGTGTGTGTTTGCCTGGAACCTTGACACCGGCGTGGAAATCGACATTGCTCAAATATGCTCCCATAAATATGCAGTCAATAGTGTTGCATATTCACCATCAGCAAATCTTATTGCCTCAGCAAGCACGGATGGAACAATTAACCTGTTTAATACTGAAGTGAGTTTTTGGTTTAAAAGTAAAAAAAAAGCAACTACACAATTTTAAACACTCGTATTTATGTAAAAGGCAAGAATTTTTGTAATTTAACAATTTGGTTGTTGGTTTTATTCTTTGCAGAAAAAAGCTGGTGGGATTTATCATCCAAGCGGTGGTGCTTTGCGCGTATGCAAATTTTCTTTCGATGGATCTTTGCTGGTGGCAGCTGGTGATGATGGGAAGGCGTCATTGTGGAGGATGAAAGACGTATCATTGATAAAGTATTTACCTAATTACTAATTTATGCGGGTTTGTTTCAACGACACGCGATAATTGACATGTTTCTTTTAAGGCAATTGGCAGATATTGATGCAATAAATGGAGCTGCTTTCTCACCGGATGGTCAATTCCTTGTGACCTGTTGTGCAAATTCCAGTGGTACTAATTTATGGCAGTACATAAATTACCTAACGCAAAATTCTGGATTTTTAAGCCCTTTATTCCCCTTTAACATGCGTAACAATATTAACACGATATCCTTTGAAGGAACATACATCCCTTCCCTCGTCTTGCGTTACGTAATTTATAAGTGGTCTCTTGTGTAAAGGTTTTGTAATAGTGATATAGGGTTTAAAAATTGTAGCAATTGAGGTTTTCAATTAAAATGAAGACATTTTACAATACACAGCATTGTTCTTACAGGTTACATCAAACTGTGGGATTGCACGGATGATTCTACAAACCCAATAATTAGTCAAGAAGGCCATGAGCTTGGCGTAACCTCTTGTGAATTTTCGCCTGTAGGCCTGGATGGAACCCATGGACAGCATAGATTTCTGTTGGCCACTGGAGGAAACGATTCCTTAATTAAGATTTGGTACGTGGATGTCAGGCCAAATAAGTGGGCTGCGTTTACATTATGTCACACCCTGACGGATCATGGAACTGCAAGCGTTATGTGGTAATTATACGTAGAACGATTCTTTTTTATATTATAATTAAATATTAAAAAGTTGTACTCTGAATTGTAGTGTTGCTTTTGCACCGTCTGGCAAACTACTTGCTAGTGCCGCTGGTGACAAGACCGTCCGATTGTGGGATGTGGTAAGTATATATAATTTGATAATTTGATTTTAATCACTCGTTGTAACATTATATTTGTGTATGTGTATACCATGTAGATATCTGGTGCCTGCCTTCACGTGGTAGAAGGTTAGGTTTATTTTAACCAATCTTTCTTTTGTTTTTTTTTTTCATAATATTACAAATTGTAAATTTTATTAAATTACAGGACATGATCGTTACGTCACATCTTGTGCATTTGCTATTGGCAGCTCTATGTTGGCAACATGTAAGTTTGCGTATACATACATATTCCAAATACTTTAAATATTTATTTGTTTTAAATGTATTTTTAAGGTTCAAGCGATCACACTGTAAAAGTATGGCAGCTACAAGGTTCTCTCGCCTATGAAACTGTCAGTGTGGAACACATGGCTATAGAAAATCTAATTTCCAAATGGAGTTGTGATGAAGTTGTTAACTGGCTTGCTGAAATTGGACTGGGTGACCTTGGGCATATTTTCGAGTCTAATGAAATCAGCGGAGAAAAATTAGCAACGATAACGGACAAGATACTATTAACTGATCTTTCCATCGGTAACGAGAAATAGCGTGACGATTTTGATGATGATTATCTCTATTGACAGTTTGGTAATTGACGAATTACGATTATTGCAGATGATGAAAGCCTGCGAAAGAAAATTATGACAGAAATCAAGTGGCTAAAGTCATTGGGCATTAGTTCATCAAAAACAAGACTGTCCAAATCAATGACAATAGCTGCACCTGTTGAATTTTTCTGTCCAATCACTCACGATATAATGATCGAGCCCGTAACAACCTGTGGTAAGTTTTATTTATGAATGCCTCCTGAAAAATTTTCGGTCCGGCGTCCACCGAAAATTTTAACCTCCAAGCGCGTCCAATCGAAGTCGAGACATTTAGTGGACGACGAGGAAGCTATAATCGTACCACTCTTATAGTTTTTATTTTCTTGTCCATAGACTCTCATACATATGAGAGACAAGCTATCACCGAATGGTTTCTGACTGGAAAGACGACCAGTCCCCTTACCAATATCGAGTTGCACATCATGACGCTCACACCAAACTTTGAATTACAAAATCGAATATCGGAATTTCTATCTCAACGTCTGAATGCTGAATAGTCTTTCATTCAAGTTGACACCACTCAACCCAACTTAACGGAGAATGAACGCAAAAAAATCTTATACACATGTGCTGTGTGTAGGAAAACCGACGTTGTTTTTGAATTGTATTTGACATGAAATGATTCAACAACAAACGTGAAAGCAATATATATAATCATTATATATCCATATTTTAACAATTTATGTGCACATTGCTAAATACACTAAATGTGTGTGTAATGTGGATGGAGTTAATGTATTTAAAAATTGTCAATATATTCCACCCATTTCAGCCACTAAATGCCTATCACAGAGAATCACAAAGACAGAAACAAATGTTGGTAGTCTACATAGAAGACAGTTTTGCACAGGCCAAAAAAACTATTATCGTAAGAGGTATTATCTGTGATGTAATTTTTTGAAATATATTTATAGACATTCATACGACCTTAAATCAGAACCAAAAAAATCAGTTGCACAAATTCCTAGGCTATACAAACATTGTGTAGTACCAATTCTCTCATATCATGTAAACTATAAAGGCAACCAGAATAAGTAAAATATTTATAGGGTGTTGTAGAGAGCTGATGTACAAATAAATATGTCAAGAAACTTGCTTTCTCTAAAATCATATTGTATTCAAAATAATAATGAACTTTCCAGTATTGCAACACAATTTATTGTTGATTATAAATTTACACTGTTCGCAATAAACTCGCATTGCAATAAAAAATGTCTTTAGCCTGCTGATGTTTTTCGTAATTATTCATATAACATACACAATTCAAGAATGAATAGTTAAACATTGACTAGAGAGAGGGTAGCAACATTTATATTTAACAAATGAGGTACTAATATGCAGATTATCATCTCTTTCCTGACCGATCCACGTTCTTTACTGCGTCATCATTGCCACGACTATTGGGCGTACTCATACCATCGTCTTCTCCAGGAATTGGAGCAATACTTTTTTTCAACTCGTACAACTGGTAAATCTGCTGACCTTCGAAATCATCCAGCTTCTCTTCAGGAAGGGGTCGCCCAATGTGACCTGATGCGGACCTGGGACCTTTGAGCCCAAGCTGTTTTGCCAGAGTCGCAGCATACTCCTAGAAATTTTCAACCATATTATATTCCAACACATATTTTGTCTAATTTTACGATTTTTTTGTAAATTTTGATAATATTTGTTGGGCTGATATTACCGACCACTCGACCATGAAGGGGGCTACGAATTCCTTCCCAATGGTCCTGTGTCGACGAAACTCGTCCTTGACATACTGGTCTCCCAACTCTCTCATTCCGTCCGGAAGGCCTGAGATAATTATTATCAAATATCATTATTAAAATACAGAAACTAGCTTCATGGAGTAGGTAGATCCTTGATTGTTTGACCGTAAAATCTAATCACTGCCATTTATTCTTACCTCGATGGAGGCGAAGGATGGTTTTGTACAACTTTCGGACATTGGCACGATGCATCAGGAACTCAATTGTCTGAAGTCACGGAGAATGTTTCAGAAATTTCACAATGTAATGTATTAGTTTACCACTTTATAGCACATAATTTCTACAGCAAGGCATGGTACTCTTTCTGGGGGGTAGTATGGACCTGAAATTTTACTTTATTTGCTATTCAACATTGTCTCAATCTTGAAATGTCTCATCATCACAACTTTTCTTTTCAGAGTGAAAGAACGTGATAAAATAATTTCACTTTGGCACAACCGAAGACTGGGGGAAACTTGCATTGATATCATGTTACATGATTCATGTAACATATATAATTTTTGCGTCCGCATAGTTGTTTTAACTATTACAATAAAATGTAGACTACTACTATAATCTCTATTAAATTGTCAGCTTTCTAGCAGCAGTCTCAATTTTATCCACTTTCATCATTGGCAATGATTCATTGCACTCGTTTCGGATCAGTCAGTCGCATTGTACATCGATTGCATGCATGTTTTGAAGAATTTTACGAGTTTCGTGAAACACCATAAGGAACTTGAGTAAAGTTTGAATTGAAGATATTTTCTTGCATAAAGCTATTCAATTTTACATGGTTTAACCGAAGAAAATGCATATTAGTAACTTATGGACGTAATATTATGTGCAAGCTATGTACATATTTGTATGCGTACTACACATTGTGTACATATGCCACTTTCACAGGAAGTCATCTTTCGGCTCAGCTGCACTCACTCACTCACAACGAATAATAAACCAAAAAATAACCACAGGACCAGGGTATATTAACAAAGCAACATATCTCATCGTGTGTAAAATAACAACCAGTTTCGCAGAGTTTGGTGAATTATGGAGACATCATCAGTGCCTATTTTTCTGTGATTTGAAGCATTGCTGTTATCATGAGTCTTGCTGATATTTTCGCCTCCAAGGATTTTGATCCGGAAAAGTGTAAGTTCTGGCCGTTTATTCGTCTCAACTCAACACACTGAACTTTTGTAATTATCTGTAATGTGGGCGTAATTTACACCGAGTAAATAGTATAGCATTTATCTTACTGGTTTAATGGATTTTTAATTGTAGATGTTAGTGAAATCGGATCAAAATGTGTGGGTGGGACAGAGCTGGCGGCTCAAAAGGCCAAACTTCAAAACTTATCGGATGAAACCCATGTCGTTCTGAAAAAGAACGTGTTTCAGCATTATGGGCAGTTTATCGACACGGCGAAGGATATTTCATGTACGGTAACTCATCATTTTGCAAATTCGCAATTGCAATACTTCGTAATCGTTGAGTGTCTGACTATGTTCTTTTTATCACATTTCTAGATTTGGCTGGCGAAATGTGTCAGATTTCTCAAATGTTGCGAGATCAAAAAAACCTTATCCAGAGCCTTGTAGACTTTTCTGTGCTGGGTAAAAAACCTTCGACGATGGTGGAAACTCCTACCGATGTAGAATCGAAGCCAATTCACCACTTAAAAGGCTCTGATGAGGCGAAAAAGAAATTGTTAACAGTACTGGAAAAAGTTGAAGGAGCAGCTGTAATATTTTTTTTTAATTTTTGCTGTAGAGTAATGTATTTAATACCGGAATGAATCAAAAAGTTAATTTACTCATTGGTGAATTGTTCATATGTATGATGCAGGAAATTGTGGAGAATGAACAAAGGAATTTGATATTCGAAGGGGATTTGCTCGAAATTAATCCAGATAATTACTCTGCGGTTCAGAGGAAGAGAGGATATCTATTCAATGATGGAGTTATGCTGGCATCTTGGGTTACCAATAGGTAAAAGATACATTTAGCATTATTGATATTATATAGCTTATAATTCATTTCTGAAGGAGATGAAATAATATTATAGTTTTTGCACATTCTCATATTCTGCTGGTTACAGGAGAGGACCTCAAAGGTACAAATTTGAAGCATTTTATGAACTAGCAGCTATTGGACTGGTGGTAAATATTCGAGATCCAGAATGTCCAAAATGTACTTTCAAGCTCTTGATATTTCCAAATGTACACCTCCTTCAATGTCCAAGTCAGCCGGACAAGGTATCAGCATAATAAAGGCGTGGGCACATAACAAATCATGTATTAATAGTTATGAAAATTTAATGTCTCGTTCTATGTACAGGATTCCTGGGTGAACGAAATAGAGAGCCAACAAAAAATTATGCGAAATCCAGCAAAAATCGGAAAAAGTCCCATAAGTGAATATGCTCCGACAGGATTTCCGGAAACAGAAACAACAGACAGAGCCAAAAGTCCTGAAGATTCGTTGGTAATCTCATTGCAACCACCACTCCCTGATTGGATATTAGATTTGAATGATGATTTGGATGTATGGATCGCACAAAGAAACTTTCTAGAAGCAGTAAATCATTATGAAAGTTTTCAAGAATTCTTGGAAGAACAACCATTATCTAGTAACCTAAAAGATGTCAAGTATGAATTCAAATTAACAAATCTGTATAAAAATAATATTGAAATAATATGAAAGCAAAAGCAAAACATAATGTTCGTAACCAATAATTTACGAATTTCAGGTCAAAGGTGGATGCTCGAATAAAGTCACTTATAGAAATTCTTGTTAGTGATCTTCAAGTAATGACGCCTGAAAAAATTTTGCAAGGAGGTCCTCGTTCAATTCGGAAATCTGTGGATTTATTAGTTAGACTGGGTCGGGAAAGTCAAGCGACTCGATTATTTCTACAACATAGATCAGCATACATTAAGCAACGGTATATAAGAAAATTAATCTGAATTAATGTATATTTCAAGTTTTGTTTGCAATAACTGTGACGCATAATTTATGTAGACTGAAACGGCTCAAAACCGAAGGGCGAAGTCAACTGTACTTGGACAATATGGTGGTGATATTCTTCTCCAACATTATTGACACAATGAAAGAGTACACGAAATCGTTTTCTACTAAGACTAGCTCAGTATCAGGTAGGAAGCCCAACGTTATAAAACTAAAATAATGGCAATTGATGTGCTTATTTAATAATAATTGATTTATTGCATCATAGCCAACAGCCTTTGCACATCATGAATGGTTACATATTGAATATTGATGTGCTTATTTATTTATGCTACACTCATCTACAGGACTTGTTGTTTGGATTAATTCCGAAGTTGGAACGTTCCTAAATACATTCTGTAGACAATTATTTGGTACTCAAGCTCATTTATCGGCTGTATCAAATTCCGTCGCTAAATTACGAGGTGAAAGCAAGCAGGTTGGTTTAAACAAATTGATAACCCTAAAGCAATTTTGAGCATTTATAAATATTCAATTATTTTTCCAACTATTTCTGTAGTTATCCGACATGGGAATGGATATAATCGCTACTGTAGATTCGTTACTATTGCCCCACGTTGAAAGGACTATAGTTGACGCTAAAGATAAACTTATTGAGGCAGTTAGACATAGATATCGATCACAAGATGAAATTGGGGTGATTATGAAGTTTCCGGATAAGGGATCGCTGAATAAGACCATCGTAGAAATGGGAGAGTTGGGAGTAATTGGGTTGAAGGATTACATTTTTGGTAAGCTAATCTCTTCATTCCGTTTTAACTCATATTCGAACAAAGTTGTAGCAATTTTAAATGACGTTAATTTGAATCTACAGCTGAAACCTCTCTTCGAATTGGAACAAATACCATTTCCTTTGCAAAGTCATGGCTTCATTTTTGTCAAGATGTTATGCAGCTTGTGGCACCTGACTGGCAAACCTTGATAGAAACTGCTATGTGTGAAGTAATTCTTGCCGAACTAAGGCATTTGGACAAAGCCCGCAAGAAAATAAATAGCAGCAAAACCTTAGAGTTGATTGATAACGATCTTAATTTTATGCTGGGGAATGTTTGCCGTGCTGCTAGTCATACTTACAAAAGACAGATGGGTGAAGAATTGGGGGAACTGGTGGCGATTGTGGAGGAATATACTGGAGAGCCCCCACCCTCAGTTGAGGAGTCATCAACTCCTTCAAAGAAGGCACCCGTACCTAAACCGAGGACACAAATCCCAACACCGACAAAATCCAAAAGGTACACGACAACTGCGGAGTTTGTATAAACGTATATTATTTTCGTAAGGAATATAACAAATCAAAATTATCCTTGTACATTCACTAAGTATTTTAAATATATATTTGTTTTCAATTAAATTGCATGTTGATATATGTATGACATAATTTTATATAATAAATCGTAATAAATTTCATGTAGGAATAGTACACATACATTCGTTTATGTATAAACTTATTTACCATGTAAGTCATAATTTATTAATTTTTCAATCGGTAAAGACTTTGTCGAGTGTTATGATTTTAGAATAGGGCAATTTATTTATTTCCGAATTTTGAGTTACAAAACAACAAAGTAATTGTATAAGCAGTCAGTTCAAGTGATATTTTTCCACATTCCTTGTTGGCCTTATTCATTTCATTCAATGCAGATCTGAAAGAGGTGAAAACGAACGATAATAAAACTTATTAAATAATTTTTGATTAATAATTAAATCTAAAAGTTTAATATATGGGCCTTCGATACTCATATTGCATCCAACCTATTGCGCACACATACGTATCTTTGGAGGTTTAACACACTTACATCGAGAAATACGTCATGCACTGTAATATAAATTTAAAACATTATTTGATGCATGTCATGAAATTTCATCAACGAACTTACCACAATTTCCGACATGGAGGAATGACATCTACAAAATTGCATTATCAAGTTCAACGGGGGATTTTGGATATGTAAATTAATTTGTTAACAACTTACACATCCTGGATCATCCTTAACTTTGACATCTTGCCCATGTTCTTTGATACACTTATCGATCCCTTCAATGAGTGGTTTCCTAACTTTGCTTGGCATGGTCATCTCAATGTACTTGAATGCCTTCTCGTGATTTATTTTACCTTCAGGAGTCAACTAAGATAATTAGAGGAGGAAACGGATTTGATTAACTTATTGAAGTCGTTTTATCACTCTAGTTCAAAATTAGTGCAACTTTTACCATTCCTTTCTTATCCAAAATACATACACCAAAGCAGGATAGCTTATCTGCTGGAATTTTCCAGACCGTCTTGATTTTGGCTTCGTTTAAACACTCTGTGATTTGAGTCTTTTGCTGGTCTGTTAAGGTCACTTCTTCGCCTGCGCATTTTGTCTCCTCCTGACCCCACGACACCTTGCAAAGAACATCACACACAAATATTGCTATCCTTGATTATCTATTATTTACAAACTTTTTCTCGTATTTGATAGCTTACCGAGATCAGTGATGCTGCAAAAATTGCTATGCTAATTGTCTTCATTTTGGTAGACTATTGGCTGTATTTGATGCAGGTTTCAAGTCTATGTTATCAGAGGACGCATCAACTCCGGAATACAGCTGAAGCAAAGGTTGTTTAGGATTTATATAAAACCTTTGGAAATAGAAAGGTCATCTGTTCTTGCATGACTATATAATTATATGCAACTCGTCGTCATAAAATTATGGCGAGCGCGTAGTGGACATGAAAATCCCCAAAAAATTATATCTTAGGAAATTGACTGACCAAATTAATAGAAACCTCTCCACCCAGTTCCGGTGTGTCATGCAATAATTGTGCTTTATCTACATAAATTCATCATGAGAGATGATGCATGTATGCAATGTCTACGGATTGAGGCGATCTTTATCCTTTACCTGCTTTCCATCGAAAATAAGTACAATAATTCATAATATTAGTGACATCCGTTATTTCTATATTTTTAAATGTCTCTATAATCATTTATTTCAAGCGTGGATGCTTTTACAGTATCACTTTAAATATTGATGCTTAAGTAATTCAATAATTACATAATACTTATTTCTGTCGTGATTGTCACATTGAAAAAGCGTTCTTTAAAGCATAGTAAATAATACATACATAATATTATATATATCTCGTCTCTAGACTGTGTAATATGCACGTATGTAATTGTGTCATTGACTCGAGGTGGTCATCTGCCCAGTTAGCAAATCAATTTTGCATTACAAGTAAAATATTCCTTTAGTTGCACTTGCAGTCGAAGGGTTGGGCGTCGGAGCATTCCATGAATATCACCACATTTTTTGTGGCCTGACAAAGTCGCCAGCCTGAACAGGCGACGGAGCAGCTCAGGGCGTTGTAAAATGCCAGTCCAGGATTATATGTGGGAGGAGGTTGGCATTTTGCTTGAGGAATACACACGATGACAATCATGATTGCCATAATTGTTCCAATGATTTTTAGGCAGCCCATTTTTCAATTGTTCGAGTATTTGAGGGTGTAGACACAGTTAGTAGAAAACGACTGAAAAAATTAAGCTAAATAATTTCCAGTTTATAATAAAAAATATTTAAAAAATTAAATTACCGTTATTTATAGTGTCAAATAGTGTCAATACTTTTGATAAATATTATACTCATTGATGACTTAATAATAATTTTTATTGTGGACTGCTTTTGTCGTTTGTTGTTCTCTGTCCTTGGTCTGTCAGAAGAATTAAATGTCTAAAATTTACGTTAGTTAATTTAAAGGCACAAAAATAAAAATGTTTTATTCATTTATTATAAAAATTGGTTTGGTTAATAAAGGGGACGCACATGTTGCACCTGTGTAGCGTGGCGTGGCAATAAACTTGTATTAAAAATATTAATATTTAATATCTGATACATTAGCATATAATATTATTAATAGCTCAAAGCATTGATATGCAAATCATTCGTGGACGAAAAAAACCAATACCATTTTTAAATTGATGCATTTAAATTTAAAAATGCCAAAAATATTCCATATCGTAATAAAATTATATTTATATTCTGAATACTCGTTGTGACACTTGTTTTCGTCGACCGCAATTGAATGATGGAATGATGAACGAATTGATCTTGTTGAAATAGTTAAATGACAATGACCACAGACATCTACATATCCACGAGCACCTGAGTTCTGAAAAAATGCATATCATAGGTGTTGGTAATTTTCAACTTATTTGGAATACGGGTTGACTTTGTGGTATTCCTTTATTTATATTACGTCAGACTACTCAAAATACTTGCATACATCCGGCTAGATCGGCGGAAATTGATTTTAAAAAATTTATGATTTCATCGGATATTCAGAGATACGGCATCTAAATATTTTATAAAACAATACATATGAGTACGCATTGCTTTAATTTTCGTGGTTAAAATTAATTCCAGGAATAAGATTATAATCTATTTACCCTCGTTATGAACACTCACGAAGTATAAACTAACAATAAGTATGCTTTAAATCGTGTTTTTTTACATTATACATAAATAAGTAGAATATGAGTATTGTTTTTGGTCCGAGGATCATTATTAAGTATACAATAAGGCTCCGTAAAACGTAACTCCGTGTTACAACAATACTTTATTATACACCAGTTTTCATGTTGTACAAGAAATCGCATTGTTTCAAAATAAAACCTATGGACATGAGTGTTAGTTCAGATTAACATGGACCGTACAACAATTAAAAGATTACAAATTAAGAACGAATGTAATCTTGATCCTTTTACCAGCTCAAACCTCCTCCTTCCAAGTTTCGGCTAGTTCTAACTCTACTTTTATGTTTTTTATTGACACAATACATTTAAATACTTCAATTTTGTTTTCAAAAACTCGAAAGTTTTGATATTTATCGTATTATAAATTACGTATTTTGGCCAGAGTGGCATATTTTCATGCGAGCCTTTGTACAACAGTAACAAATACATAAAGCAAAATGAAAATTGACTAGTAAGGTTTAAGCAGATATTTCAAATTTCAACAATTTCAACATTCTAAGTACGTAAACAATATAACAATCTCTACGTAAAATCTCATTCCGACACATTAAATATAAATATGTATGGTTTATACTAAATTACTTGAATTATTTTAGTTTGTAAAAATCTCAAATGAAAACAGGAGCTATTTAAATGTTGTTTAGAGAATCAGCAGAACCTCGATAACCTTCATTATCACTGCCAATCTCCCCATTTATGTCCGGCGTCCCTCCAACTTTGTAATTATTGTGGCCATAACCGTTGCCAGATTGACTATTACCCTCATGTCTGTCATTATTACCATAATTGGCAATTTCCTCTCCAGCATCCTTATTGCTATTGTTGATGATATTGTTACTGTTGAGATTGTTTGCTCCTGTTGAAGTTTTAGAATTTCTCTTGTTGAGCTCTGTTTCCGTTGAATCTGGATAATAAACTAAATGATTCTTCCCATTCTCGACGCCTCGAATGAGCCCCGATGAGTTCCCTTCGACCTCTGTTAACTCATCGTCAGCAGTGGAAGGTCTGCATTTGGCACAACATGCGAGCTTTGAAAAGAGGTCGTCGTACGGTTTCAGACTTCTGAGAGGAAGTGGGAGCCATTTCCAATCCCGAAGAACAGGGGGTAAAATTTGTGGGCACTTCTTTTGTAGCACTTTCATGACTCCGATGATTGCGAGCATGACGCCTATGACTGAGACTAGAATTATGACATAGATCGGACCGGCGAATGACAGTCCTATGAATATTGCAGGAACTATAGCGAACATCGACACCATGTAGAAAATTGCAAACCATCGATACTCGGCAGTACAGTTCCCTAAGAATTTTGCCATTTGGATGGGAAATCGAAAGTACGGGATGGGGTAAAATAAAATTATTCCAGTTACATTAAAAAGTAAATGGCAAAGTGCGATCTAAAAAAGAAAACAATACTTCAAAGTCTTTGTCAGGTATAATTATCTATGTAATGCTTGAAAATGCTGTATTCAGCTCACCTGCATGGAGGGAGCAAAAGATTTCGGCTCCACGGCGAAAGAGGCCAATACGGCTAAAACATACGGCATGAGTTGTAGCAATAGAGTTAAAACAAGGTATTTAGTAAAATATATTTAAGAGTGTTAAATACCGGTCGTAGTAGTCCCCACATTCGCCCCAAGCGTCAAGGGGTAGACCCGTTTCAAACTTATTACTCCCAACCCGACCTGTGTAAATGAAAATGATTACATAAATATGCATATCCTAAATCAGCTATACTTAATGTTGATATAGCCAGTAAAATAAATCCAGGCTTACGAGGGGGGTTAAAGCTGACGTAAACACCGAGCTTGATTGAACCAAAAATGTCATTACTGCCCCCAGAAATATGGCAATATAACCTTGAAAATGAAAAAATAAATACGCTTACTATGCTCTATGTACCAGTATATAAGATAAATATAGATTTAAGACATATTCACATACCAGTAATCCAAGGCACATAAGGAATGTTTGCGTTAAGTATCTTCTTAATTACAACAGACACATGACCTGTTATTGATGAGCAATGAATTTTCAAGGTTAGTTTTCATAGACAAATTTTAGGGCATCGTAAAAATTAATCAAACACCTCGTAATACTGAGCTGAGAACTTTAACAATGAGGATAAGACAGGTGCAGAGCACGATTAGGGAGCCAACAAGGACAATCACTCCAACAATTGCATCGCTCATGCTTGTACCCGCAAATATAAATTCATTTGAACCTGAAAAATATTTCAAATCAAATCGTTAAGCTGATAATTAATATTTTAGGTATTTTATACCATTAATTAATTATCAAGTATTAATTACATGGACGATCTGTGGAATGAACGGACAGGTCTCTACTGGATGACACGAGTTTGCCCTGAGCATCGAATATTCGCTCGGACACATCAAATGTCGCCGTCGTCGTAGAACATTTTTGTTTGATCAGGGAGTCATTGATTCTATCCGTGCAGTTGGGATTCGACCAACAGTCCAGAACTGATTCGTCGAGTTGCACAATCAAGTTTACAAAGGGTTCAGTGAGGGCGGAAAGGAGTTTTACCTCTCCCATGGCCTCAGGGTCGGGTACCAATCCGTCTACAATAGCTTTTGATACACGATACAAGTACCCTAGAAATTATAGCATTAGACATATCTATGTACATATTTTCATATGATTATATTATTAATATAGAGATGAAATGCAGAGTTACGTACCAGTTAAGACTTCGACAATCAACAGAACTATCACCGTTATCCAATTGAACTATACAAAATCATATAAAATTACAACGACAAAGTAGCTAAACACAACAAGAGATGGAAATAATAAAGCTAGTCCGCTGGGCAAGTGTTTAAATTTCAGTTTTAATTTACTATGTCAAGAATTGTAGCTCCAGCGAAAGCTCTTCGAAACTGTTCCTTGTCACCAGCTTGCATAAATGATACGATTGTGTTCGTAATGCTAGTCCCAATATTACTGCCCATAATTAAAGGAATGGCCAACTTTACATCCATAACTGTAAATAACATCCAATGAAATATTTATCAACATTAGAAAATATCTTCTTATGCAATGCGGCATGTATATCTGTATTGTTTAGCAAATTTCTATTACATCCAGCAGCAACCATTCCAACAATGATGGATGTAGATGTCGACGAGGATTGGACCAAGACAGTTGTCAAAATCCCTATCATCACTCCTACGACGGGATTTTGAAGGATTTCACTTTGCTGGAAAATTTCCCCGGCTGTCCTGCCCCCCACCAGTCGAAAACCTTTGGAGAGGAGGTCCAAGGAGCAGACAAAAAAATAAAGGAGGGTGATTAGAGCCACCGACCTCCCCACGGCCGACCCCACTCGGAATGCCTTTTCCTTTCGCGAGAGGTCTGCCCACGGAGTGCTGGGTTCCTCTTCGAGGTCAATGTCATCAAAAGGATCCGCAGAGGCCATTGGCTCAATCTGACCTTTTTGAGCGACGACGCCCAGATCCTCAGGATTAATCATTATGTGCTTCTCGTTATCCATCGTGGTTGGATAAATGCTGTCTCTTCTACGAGCTCGGACCTGTTTAAATCTTGAGATTTCTTCTTCTGTTGGCTCTGGAGAATCGTCAGAAAGTTCCTGCACAAAGTTTAATTTAATTTAAATATAATGTGTTTCAGACTAAAACACGTTGCCTAAAAAATAATGGCGAACATTACCAATAACCCTGCAAGCAACAAAGAACACAATCAAAAGAGGTACGCACTCATGAGATTGACTGCATTGAAACTTGTTGGGCATAGCACTTTTAAACGATTGCATACAACATGTGACGGCACTATTGCCGATAATGTTCAGGTTGAAATCGATAAGAAACTATGTACCATAAATCAATGCCGAAAGTGTTCAATTATAAAATTCACGATAAAGAACAGCAAAGTCAAGCGGAAATCATGCAAAAAAGCCGATTAATTAAAGCAGATTTTTGCGACAAAAGATATATTCCTGATTTTCAGTAAGAGCAACATGATTAATTTCCGTTTAATCCGTCTAAAAACCATTTAATTATGGATGACTAAGCACCTTGTTAGCGTTTTAAATGACTCTTAAAGCAGCTTAACATGATATTTCATTGATCATTACAAGTGCCGCACTACATATCAGGTAAGTAGGTATGTATGTATGAATGTACCTAAATACGTACATACATATGTATATACGAGTACGTGCATAAATGCATTTTACATCACAACCACCATTCGTACGCACTAAATGATACCATGAATGAAAATGAAGATGTAATAATTCTCTTACACACAATTTCTCTCTCCTGGGATAATGGTCGTCAGTGTATATAATTTAAGTTTCACACGATTTTTATGGAATGAGGATATTTTTGAAGGTCATTTGTCCATTCCATAACGAGTAGTTATATATAGAACTATTTCTTTAATGTATGCACAGGTACATAGGTATGACAAAGCAGAAATATATCAATTTATGTAAATCTTTGCAAAAAGAATAAGCTACACATGTAGTAGGATGACACGCTCAAAATGTTATTGTTTCCAACTTTTAGTGATCGAACGAAATGGTCACTTTGTTACAATCCAATATGTTACCCAGAGCAAGACTACAATTCTTTGTAAGAAATGTGTGCTTTTTATACTTTTTATGTGCCATAAACTGGTTAACGTGAAAAATTAAAATTAAAGAAACAGCCCATTAATGAGAAAACACGTTTCATAATTGTCAAGTTAGATGTGATAGGCGATAATATTTACTTTGAGTCAGTTATTTGTCTGTTGCAGATTTTTTATTAACAAGAAGAAGAACAAAACAAGATAAAATCCTGCCATTAAAATGCATGTCAGTGGCTGAAATGTTGGCAATAATAGAAACAAGACTTGTTATTGAGAATCACTGCAGAAATGGATTTCGGGGTAGTTGAAACTGTACACGTTACATTAGACTTTAGTTAAAAATCATATTGACCACAAATAAAAGGTTCAATTAAACGATATGCAAACTAGACATATAAATAAGCATATGAGAATCAGTCCCCAACAAACTTATACAGATAAGCACTTATCAATACAATTGAAATCGCGTCAACTTACGTCGTCTTCGTATCCTTCATTGACACTTGGAATATGAAACACAGGTTCTGAGAAGCTGAATCGTACTCTTTTCTGTCCAGGTTCCAGTATGTATCCCTCTGCGTTGGGATTGTGCCAATCTTCTGGATCATCTTCATTGTTCCCCATTTGGTACATATAATGGTTACGCGAGCGTTCGTCAGTTCAAACTCAATTTTGAGTGATAAGAAAACCACGCCGGGAGTTGATAACCTCAAAAGTCGTCTCGCATAATACGCATAGGGATTTAACGTGTGTGTAGTCCTCACAATGCTATATAAATCCACATATAATAGACATATTTTTGTTAAACATCCGGAGATTTTGACACAAATTGAGTTATCAGTTGGTGATAAGTCGACACAAACATCACGTCACCGTTGCGATTGCAAATCTTTATGGAGGATGATCTAGTGGGAGCACACGAGTCACTTGTTGAAACGTGACTCTTCTCGTGACTCAATCAAAAACAGTACCGGGCGTCGATTAATAACTCGGAGACAAACCGTTTTTGATCAGACTTGGCTGATTTCACTAACATAAATTGTAGCAAATAATTACGGTTATCTGAAACTTTCCTGCCACTCCTCCGACTGATGTGATAATCAAAATGACTACACTTATTGAAACCAGATCACTCCACATCCAGTCTCACAAACATAACTCAACATACATATATACATACTTGTGAAATGTTTATTGCTAGATTATTCTAACATTTAGCACTTTTTTATACATGTGATTGTATTGCAATTTATCCTGACCTCCGTCGTCTCAAATATAACTCTTCCAGGCATCATTTATAACACCGTAGTTGGCGTGAATAGTTTGCATATCATTAAAAGAGTGCCAGTAATTCACACAAGAAAGAAAGACAGAAATTAACACTTGGTCTCTATTTTATATTATTGTATCACAAGATGATTGTATAAAGTCCTGGACAGTAGCACCTCTTCATAGTCGTGCAACTAAATATGATCGATTCTCTGGTAGTTAATGTCTGCCCTAGCTCGCATCACATCATGGGTAACGTCACAAATTTTTAATTTTATGTCTACAAATGTATATTTTTAGCACTAGTTTTTCGAGTCGAGTTTTAGCCATGTGTGTGCATGTGTAAAGTCTTCCAGCACAACCTCATATACATTCAATGCAGATTCTGTTAGACAATTATTATCACTTCCAAATTCCTGGACAATGAAGTATGCTAGTATCTCCAAATAATCTTGAATCTCAAAATACTCTGCTATGATTCTGGATGGGTTAAGAAATTTTATTTTGGCATTTGAAATAATCCCATCTTTATGGTCTTGCCTAATTTGTTAAGAAAATGAGTGTTGCTAAAAATACAATCTGCAATAAAAGATTATATTTTTGCATAGGAGGATGAGAAAATTTTTCTGATACTTATCTTCTAATCCATTATAGAATCAGAACAATAATAAGTTGAAAACTAAGCAAACGGTGTCTTCATCTAACTTAAGACAAACTGACGAAGGTTGCTTGCAGTTAAATAGTTCTCAACTATGGTTGAGCAAGTTGAAACACGAGATTGTAGATATTTTGTATTTCGTAATAACGTTCTAAGCTAAACTCAGAAGCAGGCATAACTAAAATCGCAATTGTCTCGCAACAACTTTGCTCATTAGGACGATCCGCAAGCCAATCACTTGGCACTTAACATTTCACTCTCAACAAAATTCCAATACAGATCATTAACTTTTAAGATGGTAAACATTACCCGTGGATTTATCCTTATTTTTTTATAACTTAATCTACATATGCACTGTTTGTGTATAATTTTGTAGAATAAATATGAGTTATTACTGAGCAAAATCAATTATCGAGCGGCTCTATTTCCTCGTAAGTTGAGGTGTGAAGTACTGGATACAACGTATTATACATATCTACAGCACCACAAGAAGATGAACCTACACACACAAAAACTGACAACCTGTCCATGAATATATTTGGTTCATTTACTACGATTTTGGTATAAAATTAACAAAGTTCAACTTTTTGTAATCGCCCTTTGTTGCACTTTCATTTCCACACAGATCTATCTACGTCGGTACCACATACGGCTTATTTGTCATGCACATTACAAAATGTGCGGTTACAAAATGTGAAGCCAACTGCAACTGTTGTAAGTTTTCCAGACGAATAGAAACACTAATAACTCATTTATGTCCCAGAACTACATGCTCACATACTGAAGAGCGAAGGTTAATTAATGGAATAAATAAAATTCGGAATGAAATTATATATTTATTACTTGAGAAATGTGTGTATATAACAGTTTATTTCATGTTCATTGCCATTTAGACATGCTCCAAGATGGATTTATTCTAGTGAACTAAGGACTCATTATTATATTGGTCTTAAGGATGGTTAGATTTTTTATGGCTTTGCTTAAAACGCGTAGCATGAGGAGTGCGCGTCAGCATGTTGGAGTAAAAACTAATGACAGAAGTCATAACGCTAGTCAATTCACGTAATAATGAAGCTCACACGTACCACTCTTCTTTTGTGAGTTAGTCATTTCACAAAATTGATTGTGTAAAATTAATTGGCTGCACCAGTATCAGAACGCACAATATCTGTATTTGCAATTCTGAAACATTCATGAGAAATGTTAATTAAATATTTGGAGTCCTCAATGACATCATAACAGCGTGGAAAATATTCCCGTGATTTGGACGAATTCACAAAATGAGCGTCAAAAAATGAAATATTTAGTTACTAAACACGCATTTTTTAGAAGAAAGATGTATTGAGAATTTTATGATGCATGCGTATTGTTTATTAATCAATCATATTACCTTGAAGTCCATTACATGCGTTAGTATATTAAATTGTGAATCAGTCTGAGTTTTTAGGCTAACCATTCTGCACAAATTAGACGATCGTTGTACATAAGAACCATAAATCGGTCTGTGATGCATTTTTTATTGTCACAAGAAAGATCTGACAACACACATTGTATGTTCGTAGTCCTAAATGTATCTAAGGATTATAATGCAATAAGATTTTAATCACAACAGAATTATTCTCACTCACCTGCAATCATTAGTGCATCGAATGCATTAAGTAATTATTCATTTTCCAAGCATATCGTACATTTACAAATATAAAATGCTTTAGAATAATCATATAATACCCTCGTCTCGACAATGTAATATTATATATTACCAATAGTAAATAGAAAGCAAGACGAGGAAGCCCGATTTAACTTGTTTTATGCCACAGGGAGTTCACAACGCCAAATCCACATATACGTAATATATACGCATATATGTACCTATATTAATATTTGGAAATACTAAGTCCATTACATAATATTTTAGTGGAATGATTATATTACCAATTCTACTTCTGCTGTTAAAATTATTAAGCTATTTTATGAAACACCTTATATTGATTTAATGATTTATCAATCATATAATACTGGATGAAATTAACAAAACTATTGCATGATATAGATAAGCAATAATATATTTGAAAAAAATCCTACCGTTCAAAATTATTATCATTAAATATGAACGCCATGAATATCCGGGATTTTATTCAGTAAACAGTTTTCTTCAAATCCAATAGCTAAAAATACTTTATTATATGTAAATCTCGTCACGCAAATCAGTGCATTCCATGTGTCTAAAATTCTCATTAAAAAGTTTGAAAGTTAATAAAGCTAATAATGTACGAGGATATGTTTGCCAACGAACAAACGATTTCAAGAGTAATAGCATAAACATGGGATTAATTAGCTAGCAGTATTGATATTTTATCGAAAGATTTAAAAAATAAATTTTAAATGCTACATATTTATTTTGGATTACATTAATTGAATTTTGAATGTACACTAAAATATGAACAACAAATTGTGGGGTTGAAGCTGAACTTCTTTTCACTTAAATGGGGTCGTCACGTCTTAGAGCACAGTAGCGATTGCAAAACAATTTCTTGTCCCTCCTGAAAAACAGGCTATGACCGACCAGACTTTTGTGGCAAGTTCCACAGTGGAGGCAGTTGTCGTTGGAATGCCAAAAATAGTGTCCGCTCTGAATATAAGCCTCGCGTGGAAGTATTTTTTCTTTGCAAGTCTCACAAATCTAAAACCAAAAGATTTTAATAAGTGATTAAATCAATGCAGATATCAATCATGCGTTGTGTGTGCATTATACTCATATTTACATATCTGTACTGCTTTCAAAACGGTATAAACTAACCTTTACAAACCCTTTATCATAGCATTTGAAGCAGAACACGTTACCGTGAACGCCGACGTACTTTGTGTCCACCAAAGGGACACGACACGATTTACACACAAAATGGTCCTTATGCCAAAAATATCCTGCTGCAGAAGTATAGCTGAGGTCGAAAATGTACTCTCCGCAGGCGTGACACTTTGGCACATGAGCCACTAGGACGTAATGTTGGTAGCAATAAGGTTCGCCTTCAAAAAAGAGATGATCCATTTCTCCAAGTTGGACTTGACACTCGTGACACACAAAACAACCCCAACGATGCCAAACATTTAGGTTCTCATGTCCATTATTGATTTGGAAAATCGCTTCTCCAGGTTTAACTAATTTTCTGCATTTATGACAAACCTCATAGCTCCGAGTTTTCAAAATTTCTAAAGATTTATGGAGTGATTCTTCTTTCCCGTCGCTCACTTTACTGCTACCTGGGATGGCAGAAGTGGCAGTGTAATACGTGCTTTCTTCTGACAGGTTTCTCAAAATGTTCTCAATATTTTTAGTATTATTGTTGACATTACTCGTCGTGTTAAGTTCAGATTTAGATTTGAAAACTTGGTCCGACTTGGTTTCAACGTCATGTTGCAACACTGTGTCGTTGAAATCTTGATTAAGGGACTCAAGAATAATGTGATCATTGTCGTTGATCGTGGCACGTCGAGGAAACCGTCCATCAATTTCCAATGCAATTGAACTTTTATCATCGTCGTCGCCTTCATTATCAACAGAGCTATGACGTCGAGCGTTTAAACTTAATTTACGCTTGTTCATGAAAAGATGCTCGTCGCTGTTGTTGAATAATTGTTTTTCGCTGGACACTACAGAATACGTATCTCCAAGTTCACTCTTCTTAATCTCATGATATTGTTCTTGAATTATTTGAGAATTATTGTGATTTTCTGAAGATTCCTGTGCTTTGCTTGTTTCCGAATTTATCCTTGTTACATACGACCCCGTTTCAAAATCATGCTCACTCATTGCCTGGTCCATATTTCTCCTCTCGAGCATTTCACTTTTCTCATATTCGCTACCATCCACATAACTCTCAAAAGGTAATGGAGGTTGTGGTAGAACTTGTGGATTGTGCTGCACAACTGGTAAAAGCCCTTCAATGGATTTCTCAAGTGGTACGAGACTTTTTCTATCTTTCTTTTGATATGGACCATGCTGCGTATTGGAATTAATATGAGGATGATCAGTGGAACTATCATCCAGTAACTCAAAATTGGTTATGACATGCAGCGCACATTTTTTGGCAGCTTCGTTGATTTCTGTGCAATTCTTGACATTTTCAGAGTAAGGTATTTCATGAGCTAAGATTTGGGATGTCTGAGTTTCAATTGACTTAAAATGTGAATGTGACTTTAAGTTTTCTTCCTCTGTTTCCTGACGTTGTGAAAACAAATTAGACCTTTTCTCATCCTGGGTGGGACTGGTTTGATGATGAAAAAAGCGTGGTACGCATTTGTGAAGGGGGGGAAGTGGTGGATTTAACGATCGCATTTTCTCTTCCCATTTAGACTTCATGCATTGGACAAATTTTGTTTGAAGTAAGTAGTCTCTGGATCCCATAGGCTGAATAAATGGAACTGAACCGACGTCATTATTCGCTGAGGAGCAATTTCCTGGCATTTTTGGAAATAGATTTCTCGTGAAAGGAGGGTTTAGTTTCCCTGCATCAATCTCAGCAGTAGTATTTGGGTGTACTACTTGAGGTGTCAATGGTGTCTTTGTAAAATAGTCCTATGAAAAATAAAGCAATACCCCAGATTTTGAACCACAATAAATTACATTGTGCAGTATCAATAACAATAACTTTGTGTAATTCCAACCTTGGCTTCTTTACGTCGTTTATCTTCTTCAATCCTTTGTTTGGCAAAATGATCAAACATGTCAATACGTTCCTCTTCCTCAACTTGCCTTTTAGAATTTGTGGACTCGTAATTTTTTGCTATAATTTTCATTTAAATAAAGGGCTCACAATAAATTCACACAGTTCAACGTCACTACAGCCAAAGAAAATTAAAAATAATTTGTAGGGAGAATAAGAGAACTGATTAAATATTGGTCTCATCTTAATGTACATACAATTCATTTATTTCCCCTGAAATAATTGTTAGCCGTCCAAAATATGATCACTCTTAATTTTACGCGTTTTAGTAATTTTGTTTTTTCAAAAAAGTGGAAAAGGATAGAATATGGTACATGTATCTGATGAAAAATTGGAATATTGGAATAAATACCATCTTTAGTTTCGAGCTCTAGAAGTGTTGGTGTCGTCGTCGTCATCTTCGGATGAGCCTGATTCAGATTCTGTACTCCCAGAAGTGGAATCATCGGAGCTGCTACTGCTACTACTGATTTCTTCCCCAATTTCCAATTCTTGGTTCAATACTTGTTCTTCCGGTTCTTCAGCGGTTGCAGTCGTCGGTTCACCAGCTCCAACAATTGTGGGGTCAGTAATTTGAATAATTCTCTCGTTTAGACCAACAGATTGCGGTACTGCTGAAAATTGAGTTGGCTCCTGTGCAATTATTACAACTTCCTCGGGAGAGTCAGTAGGAATAGACGCTATTAGGGTTTGTTCGTCCTGATTTTCTGGGTCCTCTTCCCCACCAATAAGCTCAATCCCACTCTCGTCAATCACAATTTCGTTGGTTCTCTTGATGCTCTCTTCAATTTGTTTCTTTGCATTTTTCCAATTTCTAAGTTCGTCCGCTCTTCGTGACTCTTCCTCTGCAAGTCTTCTCTCTGCGTCCAACTTGTCCCGAGCAACTTCAGCAATTCGGTCAAAAACTTCCGGAGATGTTTCCACTGTTTCTCGAAAATTTGCCTTGGAAAGCTTGTAAATCTCGCATGGGACCTTGGCAACTACACTTTGCCTTGTTCTTTCATTCGTGATCAAGGACATTTCTCCGAAAAACTCCCCGTCCCTCAAAGAGGTTATTTTAGTGCCGAAAATATCCAGGACATGAACTTCACCATTTTGAATGAAAAACATGGCATCCCCTTGAGTTTCAGCTGTTACCAGAACATCTCCAGGAACGTACACGTCGTATTCCAGTTTCTGTGCCAAGTTTACGACTATCCCAGCCGGAATTTTTTGAAATATCGGCACCTTCTCAATCAGAGTTCTGCAGTTGTGACATGCGAGTTCAGTTCTCAGGGAGGGAGACAAGGTTGACATTATTGCAGCTGCAAATAAATAAATAAGTACTAAATTCTGATTCACGGTTATTACATTGACATTTTCTAATGCTTGGTAGCTGCATAAATCTGATAATAAGATATTTAAACTAATAGTACCGTCGGAAAACATGTGACCGCGGTGTTTTCTTTCAAAGTAGGTTACAACCTTTTCTTGAAGCACCATGGGTATCTTTTTGAAGGTCAGATAATCATGAATCATTTCGAACGTGTGCTCAAATTTTTCTGTCGACGCATTCAGTTGACCCATTATTGTAGTGAAGCTTGAGATGAAATAGCCGAAAAGTGATAAGTTTAAGAATATTCCAATTATGGTGCACATAATTTCTTCAACTTCTCGTGGAATAAAGTTGCCCCCATCCAACGTAAGCAGATTTGAGAGTGATCGCAAGTAGGCGTTGATATATTTTTGAAAGTTTGATTTGTGCCACAAATTGTAAGCGGTTACCCAGCTCTTCGGTTTGGGCGTGGGGTAGCGAGCGTTGACAATGTCTGGAAGGAGCCAGTGGAAACAAGCCATCCAGTGAATGCAGTACAAAACCAGAATCACCAGCTTCAACAGCCAAGGATAGACTATGCTTCTGAATGCGAGAATCTCTGAAATTCTGGACAGGATCTCGTACACTTTTCTGTATCTAAAAGTCCTTGTTATCAGAGCCACAATTCGAATCACTTCCAGATTGGTTTTGACGTTCTTCTGATCTTCGGTCAACCGCAGAGTTAGAATTGCATCAATCGGAACTCGTGAGACGAGATCAAACAGAAACCATCCTTTCAAATATCGCCATACGATAATTCGAGGGTCGAAAACAATTTTTCCAGAGTACTGGTCGCGAACTCCAGTAACAAAGTTGAGTAGCACATCAAACAATAGGAATGTTGTAATGGCCAAGTTTATTGAAAGGATTGGTTGTCGGACAAACATGTTGACATTGAAAGCAATCAAGTAGGGGCTGTAGATGATGTTAGCTGCCAGTATGAAACCAAGGAAAAAGTTCCAATAGGTAATAAAGTCACTGTATGGGTGAATCATGTATGGGAAGGAGGTGAAATGCCGCATTCGCTCATGGAAGAGTCCTAAAAACCCTTGAATTGTTCCACACTGGAAAGGTTGGTATTCTGAAGCCAAGAATCTACACCGTATTCTCACGTACCAGGGAGCCTGAAACCACATTTCTTTTATGTGGTGCTTCGGAATTTTGGTTGGTGGTTCAGACGAGGAGATCAAAGGAAATTGAAGATTTCGAGTGGGATCATCCGACTCAGGAAGTACTTCAAACGACTTGCCTAAAAGTTGAATGTTTAAGAACCACTTCTTTAGATTAGTGACGATTATTAGAATGAGTTGGATTTACTTTTTTCGGTCACTGAAAGGTCTATTTGGGCATCAGCATCTGTCAGTCTCTGGTTATTCATGTCCTCAAAATCAATGATGCCCGTCCCTTCGTCCGCTTCCCCCAAACCCGTATACATACTGCTCCTGTCCATGGTCTTGACTGAGTAAAAAGACTATGTGCAAATAATTTCCTCCTGTTTAATTCCGAGCTGAACTTGGTAGTATGATTTTTAATCATGATTTTTCATAAAAGTTCAGCATAAATATTTCAGAAATTTGTTGCCCTGGGTTTTCATGCAAAAGATTTGAAATGTAAAAGCAGTGAGTGAACAATGACTGTATCCATTACCAGAGGTAACATGTACATATATAGTATGTTAGCAAGCAATATTATTTGACACTTTATCATTCTATACATGTTGCGACAAATGAATTGTTTCCAACACAAATTTTCATTTTTGAAGAAATTAAATTTTAATTATTATGTACTGACAAAATGGTGTGAGTGGACCGTTGCTAAGTTGGAGGATTAAGATGACCCCCTAGGTCAAATCCGGACCAAGTGATCTCACACCCTCCAGTGGGGTGTCAATCGATCGGTCTAGATAATACGATCAGTTTGGTATATTCTAAAATTTTGTGAGATAAGAATTGGCTTCGAAATTCCTGAAAAACTTATATTTTGGAGATATTCTTCAAAATAAACATTTTAATTTTCGAAATAGTACACTCGAGATTTTTAGCTTAAAAAATCAAGCTAAAAATTAGGATGATTTCATCCTCAGGAATTAAGTCTCTTTGTCTGCCTATTCAAAAGTTATTCAAGGTTAAAGTCGTTGGGGCAAACCAAAGGACTTTTGCCCCAACGATTTAAAAAATGAAAATTTTCTAAAAAATAATCCATTTGTCGCAACCGTATGGGGCACCACCCCATAGAAACGATGTCAGTTAATCGTCTATATAGACACGTAACTAAGTAAAATTCAGGACCTTAGTATGTTAGTATGTATAATGTATGTGACGTGGCAAAATTCCATCTTTCTTTAAACCACGTTTGTTACGCCTTACACACATGCATATTATGCTTATATTTAATATCGAAGAAATTGCCTTCCCCCTTCACATAAGTTATGGATGACCCTTACTCCATTCATTTACATTTCCCGAGTTTATTCAAAATTTATGAATCACAATATTTTTTTGTATTAATTATCATTATAGTAGTATTATGCTAGTAGTACCAGTTGGTTTGCAATCCAAGGGGTTTAGAAGTCGTTAGCTTAACTATTACAAAGATATAATTATTGGTCAATAAATTGTAGTCGACAAATCTATCCAACAATGAGCTTAAAGATGATGACCAAAATGTTCAGGAATATAAGTGGAACTAGAAAATCATTAAGTAGTATTATAAAGAGCCTGGTAAGTACTTAGTGTGTAGTCTTAAAAAAATCACTTACATTTCATGACGGTCCGTATGGATCTAATTAAATGAAGAATTTGTTGCTTAGTCGGCGACACGTATGGATTTTCTCCAAATCCTTCCATCGTGCCTGTGTTTTTAAGTCCCCACCCAACTGTAAATCAATGATCAATTAATATTGGTGAAAAGATTTATACTTTTATCGTAGATTATACAACAAATACGCAAAAAAATAAGAAAACAATCAAAGTACATTTCACCAGGAATCTCTCTTCATTTAAAACACAGACGGCATTGAGACAGAGTAAAGTGGCTTCGAACAGGTTCCAGAGTGTGATAGCCATATCTCAAGTTATCCACCCCCGATTTTATAACAACTGACTCAAACCTTCTCTCATCGATTATTATATGACACACTATTCAGTTTTATGAAGTGCAAGATATAAACCAATGTAATTACTTTATTTTGCAAAAAAATCGGAACACAACAATACTTCAAGTAAAAATAAGTCGGGATAAGTCAAATGCATCTCGCGCTGAAAAGTTTTCTATGCTCTCTCATGACCGTGACAGTAGACGAACAGATCAAGTGATCAGAACAAAATGAGAATCTCACATTTGTAAACTGTGTGCTATTATAATCACGATTTGGTACTAGAATCAGAATATATTCAATTTTAAATTAATGAGTAGAAGGATAAAAAGAAGAACGCATAAGCATGGTTAGAAAGTGAAATGTGAAATGGTATAAATATAAAATATATGATTCATCCAAGAACAACAAGTGGCGGAGATGCATCCGTATTATACAAATAATCTACTTTTCCTTCCCAACTTATGCGTACTCTTTGTTCAAGAAGGGTCCTCAGCCTCTAGAATGGTTTAGATTTCGACCGTGGGGGTACTTTCTTTCAGAATTATGCCAGCATTTTTCATCCCCAAAATTTTCAGTTGTGCAAACTAACTAAGTCATTGCATAGATCATATATATTTGAACATATTTACATATACTTATATATCATCATTACTTTAATAATTGCAATGGCTTGGCTATTTAATAAATCATTTCTGTCGCAATTTGGCTGAACTAGAAAGGAATGAAAAATGTGAATGATTCGCAGAAATGGATGTAGCCAGCAGGTACTCGTATGTATACATTAAATAAGCGAGGAGGAGGAGGAGTATGTAGATAAGCCTGTGGTCCCGAGAGTCCCCCCACGCTTGAAACTAAATTCGATCCATGGTCATACGCTCTTCACAACTTGACGAAATTTTACACGGAAATTCTTTTTCTTTGTTGAAAAAATTGTGCATTGTGCATTTTGGTATAGGGGTCGACCTTTACTCGTTTTATACTTTGACGTTTTACACCTATACGTTGACTTGGTATGTTCCCTTGTTAGTTGAGACAGCCATACCTCCATGCATTTGGATGAACCAGACTTATTATCGTACTGGCGAGACATGCATTATGTATGAGATAACCATCTTTCAGTGTTGAGGTCCAAAAGCGTGTCCCGGAATGCCCCCACCTTTTGGAGAAAGTCTCAATCATCTTACAATGAAACAAGCTTTAATTGAATCATGTCTACAGAACCGTAAAGGCAAACCAGGTCAAACTGATGAGTGTTTTAGACGAGTGAAAAAAATACGTGGAGAATTGTGGCCGAGGTGGTGCTGGTCCTTGAGTGCATAAAACGAGGGGATCGGACAAAAATCTGGCCAGTCTGAAAGAGGAGAGTGAGTAGAGGAGCACCGTTTTATCTCATTTTTTTCTGCAGCCCAAGTGCAGAAAATTTCTCCGTACATCTTTTTCAACTCTGTTTCTCGCTTTCACCCACGCACCACAACCAATTTTCTCTGTTCCAGCCACCTCAATTTACGAAGGGAGACACAAATAAGGAAATAAGGTAGTTTCTAATCCATTAGTCGATAATATATTATAAAAAATTTCAGCTTTTCAGGGGTTACTTAGAGTATATGAACTAAGTACATGATAACGACCGATTTGACCCATCTTAGAATCTGATTCTTACTTTGACCTATTCTGCATTTGTCAAAATTTCAACTCGATCGGCTAATTTAACAAGAGTTATCAAGATGACTGACAGACACAGACACGATGGTTCTATAAGCACTGGTTCAAGCTAATAAGACAAAGCTATACTTCGGTAGCTACATAAAATACAATAGAAAATGGGCAATTAATATTTTACAATTTCATAGAATGCAATGGTTTGCACGATTAAAATAAAACAAGAAACTCTTATTGCGACTTGTTATATATTTTACAGCCAAAAATGTTCCAAACTGGCAGGCATACATACATAGATTTATGAGATTTTTTTATATGTATGTATGTGCATGCATTATAATTGTCACAATTTTAGAATTCATAGCTTATGGCTGTAATGCCACTTGTAAAAATACACGAATCACGATCTAGTGAGTTCATGCAATTTCTTCATTTTCGGGACAAACATCAGGAAATGTGATGTCTCCATTATTTCTAACAACTGCATAGGAAAACATCACTTCCTATTCCCCTTCAAACAATCAAGTGTTTAATACATGCACTCAACTCTCAGATAAAAGAGCACCAGGAACATTACATTATGTGTGTATCTAATCGATTCTTTGATACAAGTATGCTTAAATATTGTATATGCATGATGTGCATTTGTGAGCCATGTATTGGGAATCTATAGCTGTCTCTAGATCACACGATACCATGTTGACTGGACAGTTATTTTTTTGTGACATTCGGGTTGATGGAAAAATGACGTTTAACATTTTGGAGAAAATAGTTTCCGTATGAATCACCAGATAAATACAAATGAATTTGTGCGTTTTACTAAAGCTTATTTAATTGAAGCTGAAGTTGTTCTTATTGAGTTCATAGTTTTTCAAAAATACGTAATCACGCTAGACTAGCATTGGAAATCCATATAGCTTCTGCATCAATGGAGGACAAAAAGAGGATACAATGGTAAGTCATTGACTGAACTTGAACGCATATGTACATATTATGTATGCATATTGGCACATATTGCATCCAAATATAGATGACAGTGTATTATCGTAGCGTTTCAAAATTTTTCTCCTTTGAATCCTATATACAATATGACGGTTAAAATTATTAAGAGCTCTGTCTGCAGGACTCAAAGTTGAAAGTATGATGTTTTTGTCAGAGAAGCATAATCATATGTAAAACTTTGTGATGATGTTGATTTTTTTAGTTTGGAAGGGGAAGATTGTTATTATTAATAACTTATCATAATGTACCTAATAATTATATTTATATATAAAGGATCAGCGATTATATATATTGCTCATATGTATATATTTAATATAGAATAACTTATTATGTAAGATTTGCATATGTAAGTTGCAATTTACTTACTGCACATATGTATGAGTATGCATTAGTGTTATATAATTGTCCAAGATTATTGAAGATTTTAGATAAAAGTTATGGAAGACATTGCATTATATTTCAACATGACAGTTGTTGCTCATAATAATATAATTTGATATCTTATAGTAGCATATTTTGTCACGGTTGTCAGGATCAGACAATATGAATTAGACTATTAACTTACAAAGTGCTGGAAATATATGTGCATCATACGTACTTATATCGGTATAATGTAAATTTCAATGAAAATCTTCAGAAAATTATTTGATTAAATATATTTCATACTCTGAAGTCATGAATGGGTGCAATTTAGAACCACGTCCGTTCGCTTGGTTTGTCTGCCTTATGGACGATAACTGGAACTTATCCGGTCGATTTGAAATTTTTGTGGTATATGCATATATGTAGATGGGCGAAATCAATATAAATAGTTGATTATGAATCACGGCTTAAATCAATTTTGACTCGTGCTCTATGCACGTAAGAGTACTGCACACTGTATGTTTTTAACACTGCAATTGTTTAACTTAATAACAAATTACAACTCAATGCATCCATCTATTGTTCTTCATTGTTCTCATTGCGCTAACTAAAAGTCAAAGTTTTTTACTAAGCTGATTCAAGCAGTCGACATAATATTTTTCTCCTGCGAGGAAGTCTCGGGCTATTAAATTAAGTTAAATGTTTTCTTATTTCAATTAGATTGCAACGAATTGAAATTGAACCCATTAACGCAACGATGGATATCGACTTGCGTGATAAGAGGAATCGTTTTCAAGTGAATCGAGTCGACTCTACGGTCAACTCCAATGGTCACTCGCCTGTGCCAAGTCGTGTGGGTGGTGCTGCTGGAGAGGCGACTTTAGTTGGCTACACTCCTGCTGTTGATGGTACTTACATACAAGTTCTTTTTAAAACTTGTGATACTAATGACACTTTTCTCTTGCACATGTACATATACAGATATGCATTTATATATGTATATACGTAAATGTCAACCCAATTTCACTTTACTGCATACATTGACAAAGTAGTGATTTTTTAAATTTTTGATACAGCAGATGGAAATGGAAGATTGTCCCCATCGGATGGAAGTTGTGCTTCCCCAGCGATGCTCATTTCCCCGACGCATCATCGCCACTCTGTCGCTGACCAGGCCCACTTCACACTCAGTGGCAACTATGACACGAAATATGCTAAAAGTTTTCGTCACTTTACGAGAGAAGCCCTCCCATCACTTGTGTGTGCTCTTATTATTTAGATAAAAGTTATGATTTTATTTGACCAAAATTTAATTACTAATGTTTATTTATGTACGTTTTGAAGGACAACTATCGAAACATGATGTCCATTCAGGCTGCTTACCGTCCTACGTTGGATGAGCTACATGATTTGACTTTGCATGGAAAGGTATATATAAGATTATACTTAAAGATCATTTTTGGTTATTTCAAAACTTTCCTTCCCCATCCATTTCCACAATTTTCTTCATTTTTTTGGTTCACATTTTGGAATCATAAGTGTTAGAAATATTACTGTCGATGAACAGCAGGAAGAAATCTACAACACACATATACATCTTTATGTTCCAGAATATCCTTTTTAATTCACTGCTAGAATTAACGAATCGTATAATTAATGCTTGTTTAGCTAGCCTTTCTTTGTCTGAATGAAAGCTGATTACATACTTGCTGGTATAACTTCTAGTGCTACACGGACATACATACGTATGTGCGGTAATGTTGTGCAACCCTATAATGATGCACTACATGAACAGACAAAGAGATGGGAAAATAAGTACATATTTAGCGATCCCTTTGCCCTTATACATTTATTTCTCACAATGTTTGAGTATATTATTACAATCTCAACTTTTTAGGATCAACCCCAAGAAGGAGCCACGAAGGGGGATGCTCCTGAATCCGCCGTAAAATTCGGTTGGGTGAAAGGTTCGATTTGTTATGTTTGTTATGCCAAACTGTATAACATACTATGTTAGATTTTTCTAATTTATATAATGTTAGGTGTGTTTGTACGGTGTTTGCTAAATATCTGGGGAGTCATGCTTTTTCTTCGGCTGTCTTGGGTATGTTATACCTTTAGGTTTCCAACTCTTGTGCGTTTTAAATGCTAAGGAGTACTTATGCCATAGGTGACGGGCCAAGCTGGAATCGGTATGAATGGATTTTTGTTATTTCAAAGATAAAAGAGTAGCATGAGCTCCTCTTCAGTCAATCCTTATTACTAAAGTATACATCATACATACCGATCTATTGTGGAGAAAATATAGGGGGGTCGTCTGAGGAATTGTGTTTGAGAATTGAATCTTTAGGAATTCACCATAAAGTATTAGTAGAAATACATATGTACATAGATAAGTAGTTGTACATATATAGTTTATAATTACAGAAAGTGTGAAAAATGTTTACACTTGCCGTAAAAATTTGTTCCAGTTTTCTGAGCTGGGTTGGTAAAACTGAGACATCATAATTGAAGCTAAATCAGAATATACATACGTTGTCAATCTTTCTGATAATGTATACAAGGAATGTTGAACTTGCAAGTATGAAATTTAATTCGGCAGGCCCCTTCTCAATATTTCATTGAATATTTATTTATGCAGTTATCCTGGAATTATATAATCAGGGTTAATATTTGATCGCCATTTACCTCAAAGTTTCTCACCTCTTACGCATATCTAAATTTTAGTGTAACCTAATGTTAATATTATTTTTTGATCTAGAAAGAAAGGTCTCTCTCAATACCTCATATTTTTGCACTGCATTACATTACAAATTAATGAAGGGTAATAAAGCAGTACACATGATGAGCTACTTTGATTGACATCTGAAGCGTAATCAAGTGTAATCAAGTGTAAATTAGTAGATAATTTCAATTAGGTGGAATATATGTACTTAAAATATGCGAGACCATGGCACACGTCTTGCTCATGTTTGCCAATAAATAAGATACAATTTCAACGTTGGATGGATATGCGTAAAAAATGTTTATAATTAATGTCTATTCATTAATTAATTTTGCAAATCAGTTCAAGCCTGGGTCATTATTGGACTAGCTTGTGCGGTCACAGGGGTGGGTACCTTTTTCACCTATCAAAAATTTGTCAATCCAACTGTTATCTTCATGCCCATATGTGTTGTCACAGGTCACTGGTCTTTCTATGTCGGCCATCAGGTTGTCAATTAAATATTAAATATTCGCCTCTTTGAACTTGCAAGTCTTTTTCCAGCAAATCTCGTACTGTATTATGTACTTTAAGTATATCTACAGAGTAATACTGTAGATGTTATTGGTGAAGATTTGCGCGGAGGATTGACTTGCTTGTGAAATTTTTGCGAGAATTATTGATGCCTGATAACAGTTTCTCAATCTTCCTGTCTTTCTGTCTTCCTTTAGCACAAATGGGCAAATTAAGGGAGGTATGGACAAAAGTCGAATTGGTGCAATTTCTTCATTGCCATAGCTTGCTATACAATCCTTCCTGTTTAGATATCTAGTGTCGAAGTTAGCATGTCAAATTTGTTTTTGTGATATTGACGACAGCATCATGATGCTTGTTATTTTGCATATGTGTACAATGTCGAATTTTGTCCGCGTCTTTACGTTCTCGCTACTTACTTATTTAGGAAGCATCATCCCTTCAGAGCTTTCCAAAATCCAGGCCATTCATGTCCCACCTTTCCTCCCTTTGGTACTGTCCAGTTCTACATAGTTCACATTAATATAGAAATAAAGTGTAAGATTTGCTTGTTGTACATATAGATGTGTATGCCTTGTGCCACGGGTACTTGGGGTTCGATTACACAATTGGGCTCTAGAGGCTTCGGTAGCTAAATAGTGATTCACAATATTTCTTGTACTATAGTCAGCATTATGGCGTAGTTCTCTCTCAATGTCGCACAAAAGAATAAATTAGAATGTAGACTGAATGGGTCTTAGATTTTGGTCCCAATGCATTTCTTACATTTCCGGTGAACTGGAGGATGAACTCGTATACTTGTCTAAGAAATCTAGACCCATATTTATATGTATTTATTTGTGTATTCTGTCTCATCTTGTGCTCATGAACAAATTGTGGAATCCTCCCATCTCGGTAGCTTATTTTTTTCACAGAATGGCCCACTCGAGTTTGAATTGTACGATTTATATATCGATAATGAGGATGACAGTAAATGGTTGACAGCTAAGTATTTACATACATGACCTTTAATTTGGTATCAAGATTGTGACTTTCTCGCTTTGATGGCTACATTACTAGATTACGTTAGTTTACCAATAATTTCTTTATGATCGAGGCATTATAATTAAGCACATTTCTGCATAAGTAAAGCATTGAAAAATGTGCATAATTTTAATTCCTAAATGCGAATAACCTATGACTATGGCCGTAGTATGCATTTTAACAAATAATAAGTATTAATTTAACTGAAATGTATAACTAACTTTTACAGCAGTAGTTGTGACGTTTAAATGTTTTGTGTTTACAATCAGGTCAAACATTTCTGATCATCACATCTACATCATTAATCACGTTCATCACAGGTAGAAGTCATATCTTATCTTTATAATCCTCTAATCTCTAATCCTTATCCTGGGATAGCCGGAACAGGTAAAAAATGACGAAACTTCGCGAGGTCACCGCACGTCATTTCTTACCTGTTCCGGCTCTCTCGTCATCCAAGGATAAGGATTTAGTGAAGTAAAACAGCCTGATTCACAGCGTTATCACTGTCGTCAATATCGACCAACGGTGAAGTTAAAGCTGGTTAGTTTTTTTTTGTTTCTTGTGCCTCCTCGTCTATTGTTGCTTTTTCTTTTATTTTAATCACTCCCACGCCACACAATAATTCCATGCTAAAATGCTTCCTTGAGCCAAAATTATGCATAGACAATTTACTTACAATCGTTTATTTTGAACCAGGTGGCACATACTACATGTAATGGTTATGAAATATATTATCATACATTTATAATAATATGAAATAATATATTCATAATAATATGATATGTAAGGATTTCGCGATCATTGGGGCCCGAGTTTGTAAGTTTGTACCTTTTGCTACAAATTATCAGAACTACATTTCTCGGATACCGTAACTTGTTTTAAATAAATTTTGTAGGGAGCTAGCATCGGATTTATCTTTGCGGTTTGTTTGCGTTTTTATACTCAACTATTTTATTTCTTAACTTATCATCAATACTATGTAACAATAATCTTTGATTATCTCAATACCGAATCCAATAGGTGGCAAATGCGGTCGCGGCTGCCATGTACGTATTAAATTTTTAGTCGTTTTGTCTAAAATCTTTAATTGGATTTTGATAATCCAATTAAAGATCATAATCAATCATGATATGGCGCAGGTACGTTGTTGGTTTCGCCGAGTCGATGGTCGATCTTCTTAAGAGCTTGGGAACATACGTAGTCCTGGATGACACAAACAGTGTGCGAATCATCGGAAGCGTGGCAATCGTGGTGTTAACTTGTGTGGTGGTTGTTGGAATGGAGTGGGAGGCTACAGCACAAGTTGGGTTGCTAATCATTCTGTTAGCAGCGATGGTAGACTTTGTGATAGGAAGGTGTGGTTTCTAACATTGTTTATATTTTACATGGTTGTCTTAATTGTACAGTTGATGTATTTTCTGGGCAGCTTCATTGGACCAATATCTGGTAGACCAGGACTTTTTATTAATAGGAGTCTTATTTTAATTTTTCCTAGTTTATTCTTTATTAATATTTTTCCTTTGTGCGGCCAGACGAAGAATTCAGCAAGGGGTTCGTTGGATATAATGGTAAGTTGATTTTTTTGTAAATGTGGTTTGCGTCCATCTTCGTTTTGCTACGACAATTTTTGGTTGTGAATTTATCAATTATTTTCAGGTTCACTATTCTTGGAGAACTTGGCCCCTGATTACAGACTCACCAAGGAAGGCCAGCAAACCTTTTTTTCTGTATTTTCGATATTTTTTCCTGCGGCTACTGGGATCTTAGGTTTAACAGAATTTAGTCAATAAAATTTAATTTAACAATATTATCCTATAATTTGTTGGATTTTAGCTGGAGCAAATATCTCGGGAGATTTGGCAGATCCACAATACAGTATACCTCTTGGAACGCTCTTGGCTATTCTTGTGACCACGATATCATACCTTGCCTTTGCCTTGATATCCGGGGCATGTGTTTTGCGTGAAGCGACAGGCAACTTTACAGTTCCTGAGTACCTTGTTAATGGGTCAAGAGAAGATCGTTGGTCTTACATTTCCTCGGGATTTAACCTGTGCCAGACAAATAAATTTAATGGTACTATTTATGTGGGTAACGCCACGGACGCAGAATGTCAATGGGGTTTGTTGAATAGCTTTCAGGTGAATATATTTTCTTAGATTACTACATATTATTATGTATATTATTATGGCATATCGCTGGCCTAAAATCAGACAGCGACATGTATTATAGCGGCTCTTGCACTGATAGATGCATACATACATATGTACAATACCATTGTTCCATCTTTAGGTCATGGAGTTGGTCAGTATATCGGGAGGATTAATCTATGCAGGCAAGAAATATTTACCACTACATGATTTACCCCATGATCAATTACATATATATTCTTCTTGGGAAAGTCAATATCCCTGAAATTCAATTCGTACTCCTCAATAAAAGTAATACTAACGATGTTTAAAGGTTGCTTTGCTGCTACCCTCAGTTCTGCCTTGGCAAGCTTGGTTTCTGCTCCGAAGGTCTTTCAGGTGCAGGATACATACATGTTTTTTGAAATTATTACATAGTATAACATAATATAACATATATTTGTAATTTCCAGGCATTATGCAACGATAAGTAAGTGGTTCAAGAAAATTATTCATTATTCATAATTCATTATTCAAGGAAATTCTAGGCTTTATCCGTACCTTGAATTTTTTGGGAAAGGACAGGGAAAATCGAATGAGCCAATAAGAGGTCATAAAATACCATGTACATATCTATATAACCATAAGTATATTAAAATATATGTAAATATAATTGCCAATGCAGGATACGTTCTTACATTTGTCGTTGCCCTCGCATTTATCTTGATCGCTCAGCTGAATGTTATAGGTCAGTTTGTCAATTCGTGTGCATGAACTTTTAATCAACATATTTTAAAGTGGGATAATAAGTACTTGTTATTTTGTAATTTGAAATAGCACCGTTGATCTCAAACTTCTTCCTTGCTGGTTCGTTTGTCCTAACTTCTGCTATATAACTATATCGTTCATTACGCAGCTATTAAATGATCTATTAAATTTTGATGAGGGGATTTTAGCCTACGCATTAGTCAATTTTTCGACTTTCCACGGTGTGTAAGGCACAACTTATCAGTACTAATCATATCAATAATTTTTACTTATCTCAACACCGTATCCCGTAGCCTCCTTAATCAAGCCCGTAGGGTGGAGACCTACTTTTAAGTATTACAACTTGTGGCTAAGTTTAGTCGGAGGATTATTGTGCGTTGCAGTGATGTTTTTAATTTCGTGGCAGGTAAAAATATAACCAAAGTTTTATTTATTGGATGTTTCTAAATATCTTCATTATTACATTTTAAAAAAACAGACCGCAATATTGACTATTGGAGCTGTGGCGTTCCTTTATTTGATCGTCGTTTACCGTAAACCAGGTACGAATAAATGACAACGCTACAAAATTTCACCCTCAACCACCTAAAATATATGTACATACATACATCTACATGTGACATGTGTATGTACATATTAATCGCTAAGACTGTTGTGATAAATAACATAAGTATTTAATTGTTCTAGAGGTCAACTGGGGTTCTTCCACACAAGCACAAACATATAAGACGGCGTTATCTTCAGTTCACCAATTGAACAATGTCCAAGAACATGTGAAAAATTACAGACCACAAATTCTTGTTCTCTCTGGGCATCCAAGTTTCAGACCAAGTCTGGTGGACTTTGGTTACTTGATTACAAAGCAAATTTCATTGCTAGTGTGTGGTCAAATAGTGAAGGTATCTATCGTACTGGTAATTATTTTCACATAATGCCACATTCATTACTGAGTTTACACGATGTTGCAGAGGCCGTTAAATAATCGACAAAGAAAAGCCCTAATCGACAAGGCGCAAGATTGGTTTACCTCGAATAAATTGAAAGGGTTCTTCAACTTGGTGGATGACATGAGCTTTCAAGAAGGTTCAAAAGCATTGCTTCAAGCGTCAGGCGTCGGTAAATTGCGCCCAAACGTGTTATTAATGGGCTTCAAAAATAATTGGAATACTTGCAACTTTGAGGAATTGAATGAATATTTCGGAACTATTCAGTATGACAACACTTGACATTAAAATAACATTTTATCTCTCATCCTTTACCGTAATAGATGGTTTTAATTTACAGCAAGGCGATGGACATGCACTTGGCTGTGACCATTCTACGAGTCGGTAATGGGATGGACTTTAGCAAGAGCGTCATTTTCGGCGAAGACATTCCAGCTTCAACCTTACAACCGGACAATAAAAGCGAATCCTTGGATGAGTGTCTGCCTCGCAACCAGTCATTGTCCCAAATGTCACATGGTATGAACACATTTCTCTACTATTTTGGCTAATTATTACTTCAGCATTATAATAAATTACAACTCCGGCATCAAATTATATGCAAGCTTGCAATTTCTTTTTTACGCTGCCTATTTTCTCGATCCAAAACCCTAAGAAGAGTTAGGAAGATATCTAACTATTGGGGTTTGGAATTTAATGCGGGGTGAGTGAGTTGACTTTGTTTCAATTCGTTAACTGGTTCTGCAAAATTTATCTAAACGTTTGGTTGGCTAATACTTATAATTTATATTTATTCATATTATTAAATACTTTTATGTAATTAGAATAATTGATTATAAAACAAACATGTGACATTGTCTAACCATATAACGAATATTACAGCAAGCAGTGGCGAGCTTGGAAGTTGTGAAGCCACACGTACCCTAGCAAAAACAGAAAATAAGGACGCAAAACTTTCTCCGAAAAATGTCTACCGGTAAGTAGGTCAAGTGCTGCAGGTCATTCTTTATGTTTCGGATTACTCTTTATTTCTAGGAGTGTACATGGGGGTGAAATTCCTCGAGACATCATGGAAAGTATAACCAGGTTTCAGAAAAAACGGAAAGACGGTGTCATTGATGTTTGGTGGTTATACGATGACGGTGGTCTTACTCTCCTTCTTCCATACATAATCAACACAAGACCAAATTTTGCATCATGCAAACTTCGAGTGTTTGCACTTGCGAATAAAAAAGACGAGTTTGATGCGGAACAAAGAAGGTAATATTTTTTTTATCTACTCAGCCTATTATATATACGGATTTAGATTTTATTTAAACACATTCATATTCAATAAGGTAATGCATTTATTCTTGCATCGTATTAAATTATTAAACGCATATGAACGCGAGCACATTCATAATATATAAAACACGCTTAAAGGTAGTGTTGTAATAACCTCGACATCTAACAAGTTCTCATTTATCTTTAAAATTGCACAGCATGGCAGGATTACTCGCGAAATTCCGCATAGACTATTCTGATCTGAAAATTGTGACCGACTATGCAAAGAAACCTCACGATACCACTCGAGCGTTATTTGAGAGTATTATTGCCCCATATCGAAGAAAAGAAAAACTACCTGGTGAAGATGATGGTCAGTGCAAAGCTATTTAATAAATTCATCAAATACTTGTTCGTAAGAATAAACTAATCTCACAAAGTTTGATCGGTCTTACAGGTTGTATCATAACTGACACTGATTTAATCACGTCAAAAGATAAATGCAACAGGTACATTCGATTTGCTGATGTTTAGAATTATTTATTTATTTTAATATATATTTATTTAATTATTTATTGATTTAATTTGGACGAATATGTTTATTACACAGATACATGCGATTACGTGATTTGTTGCAAGAAACGTCTCGGTGTTCCGATTTGGTTGTAATGTAAGGCATATATTTCTATATTACACTACATTTACATGTATCTCAACAAATTATGTGTCATTATTTCTCAGGACGCTACCGATGCCAAGAAAAGGAGTAATTCCAGCCCCACTTTTTATGTCGTGGATTGACATATTGACCCGTGATATGCCTCCATTTCTTTTAGTTAGAGGAAATCAGACATCGGTCCTCACCTTCTACTCTTAAATGTTCTTTTTACCCCATTTTAGATTTTAGTGGAATGTATTATATAATTACTGTTGTGAGAAAATGCTTAATGTTTTACCTATATATGCATCTTTAGCTTACAAATTGCATCCTTGTTACTCTCCAAATGTATAAGCAAGACCTAAGATCAATTATTATTGTCAATTTGTGCTTGTATTTTCTTTGTGATCTTTCTACATATTCCCGGTGATGAATTATATATGTAACTTTTTATTTGTTGATTCTTAGTGGAACTATTTACAAATTAAATTGTAAGCATTGCCGTATGGCCGTAGTGTATTATGAAACTGACCATACAACCGTACGACTTTGAGTAACTGTGTGAGGTCTACATATTTTAGAGACTGAAACCGTACCTTACTTATTTAGAAGCATGTACTGACAGTACAGAGTTGTATATTAACTGAAAGGGAGTCTGTTCTACTAGTTCTGAATAATGAACACGGATACTGGAATTTTTCTGAATCTCAAAATATTGTTTTTTAACAAAAAAGTTTACGTACTAATAAAATATTAACACAGATACATTCATACTCCTCAAAATTTTTACCATGTAAATAAACGTAGTGGATTTGTGGTCAGTCATCTTGATCGTATCTGAAATCTGTTCCACCCAACTCGAATGGAAGCTGAGATTTGTCTATGTAACTCAACAAAATTGGCTGCCACCTATTTTTATTCGTTCCATAGACCTCCAACGAGTCTCTTGTCTGCTGACTAAAGAATGGGCGCACGGCTGAGAGGATGATTTCGAATGCTGCAGGAGCTGTAACAACATAATGCATGAATAAATATAATCAATACAGTGTATGTAAAATGAAATTACTGTTCAAAAGAAGGATCTTGTCAGCACAATTAGGATGATAATTTTCATAGTTTGCAACAAATCCTATATAGAATGGGACACCTAGAACCATAGACACAAAAATCCGTACTCATGTTTTACCATTACAAAATTGTATCATTATATACAAGGAAGGCAGCCCTGCTGGGTCAAACTGAATCCAGAGAGGTCAACTATGAAGTCCACCTGCGTAACGGTTGAGGTCGAGTTCTGGTTCCGGAGGTGTCTCGGTTTGTTGCAAACGCTGTCAGTGGCAAAATCGAGGTAACGACTCAGCTTCTCACTCTCGCCCGTGATCGCTGCCCGTCTAACGTCCCAGCTCCCAAGCCCCAAAACAGCCACTACAAATAATCCAAAAATTCTTCACTTTTTGTAATTGAACTGTTCATTTGGTGAGAATGCATACCAGGTCGACCGTGCTTGTCAAATCCGTGATCGTGATATCTGTACCTCTGATTAAATTCGGACCAGTCCTCCTCCGATATTTTGTCCATTCGCTGAGTTTGTCGCCATTTCAAATTCTAGTGCAATACAAGGCTAGCATTCATCATTTTTAACAACCAGTTTTTATTTAATTTATCTGTAATTAAAATTTTACTGTATTCAACATTTGCACAGCTGCATCGACATTGAAATTCCTAGCTGCGGTTATCAAAATAACTTATCATTCTTCGGGTAATTAATACTTTTTGAACAATAATAAATACCCCGGAGCCATCGGATGAGATAAATTTCCTGCTTCATGTAAGCGTGGGGGAGATTAGCTTCGACCCTCTCTCGGAACTGGAAAAAAAATGCTTGCTGGTCATTTGATGCAAGGTTTTGTAGATTTTTTTAAAGAGTAATGCGACTAGAGAAAGGTACATCAAAAACTTGGACGCACTTGATCTAATTTCAATTTCTCTGACAAAGTTAGGGTCAAGTCCTCCTTACATTGTGCAGGCGTTACTTTATACATTAATACTGTTAATGCAAACCCTGCAAGAAATATTTTACACAATGCAACTCTTCGCATTTTTTATTGTTATCTTTCTTGGCTAAATAATTTTTATATTCACGAAATATAAATAATATTATCTACTGATTTAACTACAGGTAAATATGAGCAATGTATGTAGTGAGCAATTAGTAATAATACTTTAAAGAAGCAACACAATTGCAGTCCTGCAAAATTTGTCCTGTATTGGAACAAATGAACTTCTATATCTTACTATAGTATGTCTAGTTGAAGACCATTGCATGGACTAATTGACCCTCAAATCATAAAAATTGGCATGGCGTACGTAATAGTTTAATTGGCGACGACGACTTACATACAATGACTCGTCTGCATTGCTCCATAATAAGCATCCGTGTGTAATTACTAAGAAGGAGTTTACTGTTTTTTTTCTTCTTCAAGTGCGTGTAATACGAATGAAAGTCGTCGAATTAGGAAAATATATCCAGCATATTTTTTAATTTTGTTTTATTATTACAGCCAAACTGCTAGCCTATTTAAGTGGTATCACATTTTAATTATAAGAGCTGAATATCCATTCTCAACAATAGCAAGGCAATAATTTTCCCAGTATATGCACCTACTTTTAACAATTAACCAAGCGTACAGTAGGGTCAGCTTAAATGGACATACATCTTGAAACATTTCATTTAGTTTTCTCATGGCTAGAAATGCATTGACAATAAGTAGACACACGTCATTTCTTGGAGCTGGAAACTTGTTTCTTTGATTTAGGTGATAACGACTAGCACGACTAGCCGATAATAGTAGTAATGACTAACCTGTAAGAAGAAAAAAAAATTTTAATACTTCCAAGTACTTATTACAAAAGTCAAACAAGCTCTCAATATACGTTTAAAACCAAGACATCGATGCTGTGGATCTGGAAGGTGTTTAATGATGTAGACAGTATTAAAATCAGTGAATATAAAAATTTTGAGCACGCTGTATCTTTTCACATTAGAATTTATGAACTTACGTGTATTGGAAGTATATTTGCTTCAAAGATTTGGTGGATTATTTTGATAAGATAATCTCTGGCACCACGTATATTGTCGAATGTATATCACATACATATTTGTCAATTAATTTTTTATGGTTGTACATGTTTTGCAATAATAAGTATTAAAATAACAACTATGTAGCATAAAAAATACAGAAATACATACATGCATTTGTAAGTTAATGAATATTATTTAATTGTAAAGCTTTATTCAATTAAAAACTAAAATCATTAGTATTTTTTGACTGATTGTTATACATGCATGGTAAATTTATTCAACAAAACAACATATGAACAAATAAACGACACTTTATTCTTGGTTATATTTTATTTGTTGCACTTGATATACATGTGGGCAATGCCCACTGGGCATATCACAGAGTTTGTATGAATATACAGCACGGTCTGCATGACCATAAATAAAGATGCCGGAAAAGCTTACTACAAAAGAGTCGAAAATTAAAAACATTAAAAACTTTTAGAAATTAAAAAACCTACAGTGCAGACTCCATATAGCCCGAGTCAGGGACATAGTCCCTGACTCAATAAGTCAGAGCCCGCTTCTAAATTCTTTTCCGAACTGACCGACATAAGATCACCAACTTCCGTGTTGTGGATGGTTAAAAGTTTGTTAGATAGTTTCTATTATTTGGTACCAAATTTTTGAATTAGTTACAAATCATGTGCCTTGACCACCATGACCAGTGGCTTCTTTAACATCCTGAAGTTCTAAGCTGTATGTATGTGCTATTCAGCCTCCAAATCAAATTTCAGCTCGATATAACGATTTTTAAAAATCAGTATGGGTCACCCCATACTGATTGCACTCTGGTCACTTTGGTCTGGTTGCACTTTGTTCACTTTTAACTTCATATTCTTTAATTAGCAGTCATTAAGTATCATTGTGCCGGATTTCATCTTTTTAAAACAATTTCTAAAAATCGGTATGGGTCACCCCATAGGGGCGTTCCAGATAAAAATTTTACCAATATCATATCATATTCTTTTATTAAGACCCATAAGCAACCTCTCCACCAAATTTCAGTTCGATATGATGGTTTTGAAAAATCGGTATGGGTCACCCCATAGGGTCACTCATGATGAAAATTTTTCCAACCTGAAGTTATTTTTTTCTATTAGGAGCCATTAGCAACCTCTGTACCAAATTTCAGCTCTCTACAACAATTTTGAAATTTTGGTGCATAAGACCCCACCACTCCGATGACCCCCACCGGTCAACCACTGGACCGATTTCGCCCATCTTCGAACTCGTTTCCTAACTTTGTCCAATATGCATATGGTAAAAATTTCAAGTCAATCGGTTCAGCCGTTTTGGCTCTATCGTGCCGGACAGACAGACAGACAGACAGACGGACGGACATGACGGTTCCATAAGCCCTGACTCGGGCTAAAAATTCATGAAAAAGTCAAAATATGGTTGGTCTTGTTGTGTTGCATAAATATTTCTGTACTTCCATGGGAAACTTTATCTATACATTCAGAGTTGGAAATCACCGGAGCCTCATCGATTTAACAAAATACACCCCAATAAATTCGGATTCATCATTTGTATCTCATTCGGAACTTTCATACAATTCTAAATTATCACGTATTCCAACCCGAAGAATATCATTAAAATTTTATGTGTAATAAAAAATCATAATCTCACTGAAATCTACCATGCGAATTCCTCACACCATTCCCAAAGTAGTTCTAAGGAAAGCTATATTGCATATACACATTTTTACAAATGGTTAAAAAATGTCCTTATCGGATTATATTACTGAATACCTACAGAGCCTACAGTCGTAAATTGAATGACGAAGAACTCCAAAAGTCGTATGAAGGTCGTCTTCTCCGATCCGAGGATTCGACATGGGACACCAACCGCCCACCTTCCCTGCGAGACGCTTGTCTGGACCGTGTCATCGAAGAGTACGTATTTTATGTCAAGCTAGTGGAAGAGTTAAACAAACAAAAGCTCGAGGACCATGAGCGTCGGAAGGAGAAGTGGCAGAAGGATTTGGCAAATTATTTGGAAAGGAAAGCCAGTTTCGAGAAGAAGAAGCTTGAGCAAGAGGAATCTATTGCACGCAGGCTGCTAATAGGAGACGATCCTAATGATGCAGATGATGATGATTTGGACGAAGAAGACAAACCAACCGGAAAAAAGGCTTTCCGGGAGCCTGTGGAAGTCCCGGATTTCTTTCCTGATTTTGTTAAAAATAGCGACGTTCTCGACCAAATGTGGGATGAGGATAGAATTCAAACTGTTGAAGAATTGGACTTGGATTACGTTCCTTTCGATATAGCCGTACAAACTATTCCTGATGACTACTATTGGGAACGGGCTAGCAATGAAAAATGGGATGTCAGTTGGCAATTTTCAATAAAACCTTACTCATCAACTATGTTACATGCACATATATATGCAATTAATACAATATGACGGGTTTTGTTTAAAATTAGTACATCTTTGATGCGGATGACCACGATAAGAAATGGAGACGCTTATATTTGGAGAGGTCAATATGGGAAGCGATTGAAAGCTTCCATCCGGTTGAGTCAGACTTAGAGGAACTGCAGAAATTAGTCGACATTGTCGCAACTGAGATCACTCAAATTAAGCTCAACAACTTGATTCCAAACTGTTTTGGTACTCCGAGGAAGCCAATTGAGGACAAAATTCCCGACGCGTAGGATTCGTTACAAAAATTAATATTTAATATCTATATATCAGGATGTGGTACATATTTATTTGAGCATTTAAGCTAATTTGTGATTCTAATTCAAGGGACTTTACACCCGCTGGCGTGGAAGAAGATCAGGGGTAGGTGATTGTTGATTTATGCTTATCAAATATTGTTTAGGCCTTGCATATTTAACCCATGCACTTTTAATTTATAAACGCAATTATTTATTTATAATTTTAGATATGGAGATGGAGACGAAGATGAGGAGGAAATGAAACAATTGGCAAAAGAAAAGGAACGGGAATTAAAGCAGCTTGAGAAACAAAAGCTGAAAGAGGAGCATCGAAAGGCTAAAGAGAAATTGAACCTCGAGGCTGGAATTGCTCCTGAAGAAGTGCTTCCTACGATTGAACCAGATCGCACTTCTTCAGATCATTTCGACTTTGGATTAATTTTGTCAAAATTCACAAGTCTGAAAGTCCTCAGTTTAGTTTATGAATTGCAAGAAACAGGGTTGGATTGGGAGCCGAGACTTTTCGTATTCACTGACGTCGACTGCATAAATTTAGCAAATGGTAATAAACGGGGAGAGACAGAGTCCTTAATAATACTGAAAATGAGTGTCCACAACTCTATGAGGTTAACTACAAAATTGATAACATGAGAATTTAATTTTCAGCACTAGCACAAACCCCCTCAATCGAAACATTTGAGCTCCTTCGTAGTCATTTGAATGACGAACAATGCAAAACGCTTATTCGAGAAGGCTTGATCAAAATGCCACATTTGCGGAAGATTAATTTTTCCTACAATAGAATAAGCGATGCCGGAGCAAGAGCGGTATCTCGTCTTTTGACGGACGAGACGTCGCGTGCAATCCACACCATCCACACGGTCATGCTGGCCAGGAACAAGATTCACAACAGAGGTGGAAAAGCCTTGGCCTGGGCACTCACAAAAAATCGCCACTTGACACATTTGGACCTTCGGCTTAATCGAATGGGCGATCCTGCCGGAAGAGACTTTGGGCACGCCCTTGCCAAAAACAGTAGTTTGCTGGTCCTCCTCCTCGCTGCCAACAGATTAACCGAGGACACCGCTTTTGTCATCAATAAGATGCTCTTTCACAACACCACGTTGAAAGAATTGGACCTCTCTGCGAATGACTTGGGCAAAAAGGGTAAACCGTGTCAACGTAAGTTTATAACGAGTATCATCTAATTTCCTCTTTGTTTGTGCAGGTGGTGAACATGTCGCCCTCGGAATTCGTGCAAATACGAATATCCTTCGTGTTGACGTACGATTGGCCAACATTGGTCTAGGTAAAAATTTATTAGAATCTCTTAGAAATACGAATGAAGATTAATCAAGATTTATTTCTTAGACTTTGAGTATGACGTGGGCACTCATCTCCGGAAAAATCGGAACCGAATTCTTAACCAGTACTCATTAGTAGAAAGAGATGACACTTATCCCAACGAGACAGAAAGTGGAATATTGAGGGGAAAAGACCTTTCGGAACCTGAGTGGTCGAGTGAGGAGGAAGAGGAAGATGACGAGGAGGAAGAGGAAGGCGAGGAAGAAGGCGACGACGACGAAGAAATGGAAGATGGCGAAGAGGAAGAAGAAGAAAAAATTCATGTCGTGAAAGCTCCAGGATCATTAGACATTTCTAAAACTGCTTTCACATATCTTAAAATTGCATTCCTGAACAAACAGTAAATAAAGTCAAATCACGCATTGTCAGATGAATGCTTATGAACGTATTTATTAATTCAGGTTTTAAAATCTCAAAAACTAATTTCGAAAAGGAAAAAAAAATATTTTACATGCATATTTATAATCAGTATTTATAACCATTCATAACATAAATAAGTCGGTACTTGTTATTTTGTAAATCATTGTTATATTACACAATTTGTAAAGCTGGCGTAATTCAGTTAATTATTAATTAGTCATCCACGAAATTAATTGACTTTTCTTTAATTTAAGGTTTCTTGATTTACCCATAAGGTTTGTTTGTTTCTGTAAAGTCAGTTTGTCCTGTACAATGTTGGCTAAACGCCCACTTACGTTATTTCGTGTGGTTATAGATTATTGTTGTTGGTTACAAACTATATTCAGACTAACATGGCATCAAAAATTATTTTTAAATGTTTTTAAAATCTTTCTGTAATTTTAAACGAATAATGTAACGAAATGTAATCTATTCATGCCACCTCAACCTTCAATCAACGTCATCAAGGAGCACAATAAGTAATTAATAATGTCAGGGCCACCCTTGGGTAGAGTAACTTCGGAGGAAGTAATCCTGGGCAAACGGGGATATACACTGGATAAATTGTTAGGAGAGGGTTCATATGCAAAAGTTTGTGACAGTAAAAAAATATCATTTTTTATCGCCTCTCCAGCTTTTTCTTGGCTTTGACACAGGTTTATCTGTCGGAATTCAAGGACAGCAAATCAGGAAGAACTCAAAAGCTTGCATGCAAACTTATCAATGGCGCTGCAGCTCCGAAGGACTTTCTCAAAAAGTTTTTCCCCAGAGAAGTGGAAATTATGAGTCGGGTGAACCATCCTTATCTGATCCGAGTGCACAGCATTCTCCAAAGAAAAAACAAGTACTTTCTCTTTATGCAATTCTGCGAGAATGGAGACCTGTTGGACTTTATCAGGACCAACGGCGCCATTGACGAGAAGCAAAGTCGGGTACATTGTATATTTATATGTGACGCCTTTTTCGTTGTTTATGTTTTTGAGATGCACAAACCCCTTTATTTCAATGCAAATTAAACCAATAACTTATTAAGTCCCATTTGACTCAAGTCTCACGGTGACTATATTTTCTGCTATAGCAGTGGTTCTCTCAACTCATTAGGGGGCTCAAATACCTTCACGACAGAGACATTGTTCATCGAGACCTTAAGTGCGAAAATGTGCTCCTCACCTCGTCCTACAACATTAAACTGTCTGATTTTGGATTCGCGAGGTATTACCATCAAGAGAAAGATCCAAAGTCAGAAACATTTTGCGGATCGGTCTCCTACGCGGCGCCTGAAATTATTCGAGGTGTCCCATATGACCCAAGACTTTCAGATATTTGGTCGGTAGCCGTCATTCTCTTCATCATGCTTAATAAGGGGATGCCATTTGATGATGGGAGTTTGAGAAAGCTGTACGAGAATCAAATGACAAGGTCATGGAAATTTAGAGCTAAGGTGACTTATACACATTGTGTGGTGGGAGTGAGCAGGATTATAAAATATGAATAAACCCAAATAATCCGATAGGTGAAGGACAAACTCACGCTGGAGGTCAAATCGTTCATGTACAAACTTTTAGAACCGGTTGCCGAGAAGAGGATGCCTCTAGAAAAGATGTACGAGGACGCCTGGTTTTGCATGGAGTCTGACCCAATGCCCAGCTCCAGAATTTCTCAGGTCGATGCGGCCACAACGACCGGGGCTGCGATGAGGGGAAGTGTTTTCCTGAACGCACCCGCCCACCATAATTACACGCAAGAAGAGGGGGTGACCATCATGGACGCCGACACTGAAGCAATAACTTTCTCTAGGCAAGTTTTTCCACTCCCAGGCACGTCTGCTGAGACGGAGAAGAGGCAGAGTGGTGGTGGCCCCGTTGAAAAGTCAGATAAGCCCAGTCGAAGAAGTAAACCACCAGCGGATGACGATGCGGAAATTCCTTTGACAGGAGTTTGGAGCAAAGCAGGGCGTCTAAGTCGGGACGAAGATGAGGAGAAGAGAAAAAGTAAATGAAGAAAATAAAAGTCAGGCACACACAGTAACAAAAATAGCTACCATATTTTTATTGTCCGTTAAAACAGAAAATTAAAATCATGATGACAGTAGTTGATGTCTTGCTAATAAACTTATACCAAAAATACATCCTAAATATTTACTTCATTTGCTCCCGTTGTAATTAATTGTTATTTGTTGTCACTTTGTGAATTGAATAACGCAGTTTCTGCCCGAGAAATCAAGCATTTTCGCGGACTTGCAGCGCTTATAATTCGTTAAATTTCACACTTGCGTTGATTAACATTTCAACCCATTTATAGTCTAGTAGCTAATTCAACAACTTCATTATGTATTGATGACTGCCAAGTAATTTATAATTTAATGCGACGATTAAATTCTGAGCATAATTTTCATTTTAATTTGATTATTGGCAAGTCGAAAGTAGTCAATGGGGAATTAAGATTTCGGAGTAGGGGGTCCAACATTAATTCATCGCAAGACTTTATAAAATTTTCATTCATCCAAAGCGTGATATATTTCTGGTTGTAAACGCGTAACCCAAACCCAAAAATGCGTACTTCAGAAGGCCGCTTATGATTTAGCATGTAAAAATATACAACCATCGTAAATATTTCAATTACTTTAGAATTTTGCCGGACATATCCACGAACAAAATTTATCACCAGATCTAATTGTTCGTATTACATCATGGTATCTTGTGTGTGACTACTCTATTTATCTGACTGCTGCTATTGAGCAGTAAATGAGTGGTGCATTCGCAGAGTGGAATGTGAAAAGTGGTAAAAACATTTCATTATCACTTATTTATTATGTACGTTCTGAGGGTCTTTATTAATAGAATAGAAACACCTTTGACGGTCATGCATACCGTAAAATTGTAAAATTTCTCTTATGAAATTCATTCCTCAATTCAAACCAAATACAGAACTGCATCCAAATCACAGTTGCATTATTCTCAAATACTTCTAACAATTGTAATATTGTAATATTGTAAGCCTGATAATTTATAATTGTAATCGTAATCTATATCAGGATCCAACCAAGAATTGACTAAAAATAAAAATGGAGTCACATGCTCAATATATACATGCGTTAGGTTTAGCGAATGTAAATTAGGATCCTGCATGTGTTATAATTCAGGGATAAAGTGGTTAGGACCGTGTGGTTGATCAAGATTCAATCCAGTTCTCTCTTGTTCCCATTTGCACGATCCGAACAGAATTCGAAAGTAATGCAAACAGTCCCAGTGTGTCATGGTCTCACAACCCTCAGCCTGATTCGCAAGTCAAATACATACATTATATAATTTCAGATGTGCTTCACTAATTAGCAGAGACATATAATTCATGCGTGTGCATTGATATTGAATTTGTCACAGGATCTCATTCCATATTCATGAACTCCATAAACCAAGTCACTCACCATGTCCAACGTCATCTTGACGAATTGTACCCGAGAAAAATCGGTGCATAGTACGGTCAGAGAAAACTAAGCAGAAAAAATGAATCAGAGATTATCATGAGGAGCTTGGCTCACAACCGTTAGAAATAAGTGAGCATTTTAACATATTTCGCAAATTCGATGCATGTAGGTGCATAACCCTTTTTCTGGGATGGTTGATGTCACACAGTAGTCAGTGTGACACTCGATACGGTGCAGAATTCAAATTAGTCGATAAACAGAATAATTAATTCCAGTGATGATGCAGTCGTAGACTTGCACCGCGGCATAATAGTTTCCCAATTATTTTGTCGTACTGGAGAATCTGACATTCTTTTTTTTCAATTCGGCTGAAAACTGGACCACTATTTTCTCATTGTATGATTAAGAAGTAGATACATAAATATATTATTTAATAACTTGTTTATGACGTTTCATTCAAAATAATATCACTCGAAACTTTCACCCAAAAAATTTGTATGTAGTAAAATAAAAATAACTTCTCAGTTTTTAATTTCCTTGTTATAGTCAGTTGTACAAAATGCTCTACAAATACTCTGCATGCTCATCCTAATTAGTGTCACCGTGTGAATACCAATACTCCAATTCATTCATCTCATCGTACATACATAATACGTCAAATGTACATGTCCTCCCGTTCAAACGATGGGCCGCATAACCACATAACCATCATTTTCAGCAAATGCCACACTACCTGAAATTTTGCCACCTTCTTTACTATCCCATCACGACGGTATGGGTTGACAAACCAGCAGACACCGACGGAACATGAATACATATCTAGTACCACAGACAGAGCGACCATGCAGATTCAAATGATATATGTACGTGTATTATGTGTACCTTAGTTGGTTAGACCGTGCCACTCAATAAATGGGGGGCATGACACGGACCCAATTATTATTATTATTCGTTCTTCTTTATGGACTGTTTAAATGCTCAGGTAAATTTGTCATTGCCGTTTAGTTCTAAATTAGACGTGCTTCATTTAGTCGGAACAATAGCCGAGTGCTCTTCTTCATTCTCTTAAATTCAAATCAGCAATTGAAGCACAGGTTAAAAAATTCTTTTGTTATTCAAATTACTGCAGAAGAAGACAAAGAACATGCAAAATCGGAGCTTAAAATCTTCACCCGAGTGAATCCATCCATTCAACGAGCATGACTTCAAGTGATTGATAGTGCTAATATAACTCATTCTCCATAAATTTGGTGGTAATTGACACTCAAACCTTAACACTCAATGTAATAAATGTGTTATCAGAATGCACACGAATCATTAAACCCATACTTTAGCCAACCCCTGTCTACACTGAATACCAAGAAAGTATATAGTACCTTGAGATTCCTAATGACAAATTAAGAGTGAATTTTGTAAACCTTAATGACATGCAAAACTTGTAATGCAAAAAAATACAACGAGAAGAATATCAACAATAGGAATTTTAATTTGAGTCAAATGTCTAAAACTGCACATATTCATTAACTGATGTCACCTCCAAAAGCGTGACAAGATTTTGAAACACGTGCATCTCATTTTTATTAGTACAACAAAATATTTTTCAGCAGTAACAAAACAAAAGTACTTTTTACTAATTAATGCTTCCACTTAATCCTTCCGTCACTTATTGTCACTCTCGTCGTGTCACTTGCAGAACAGTTTGGAAGTTTGTTAAGTAGGTAGTTAGTTAGTAATGACCTGCTGAAAATATGCCGAAACCATTTCCGTTGGCATAATTATTGAACAGCATCTCAAATTTCTAATGTTTCATCCTCGTTTGTCACTTTCCTCACAGCTCTATAAAGTATTTATTATTCTTTTTTTATAGGTTTTTAAAAATTTGTCAAAGGTTAGTGATATTTTATATCCATTGCTCCCCGTTGATGTGATAACAAATCATCCACAACACTATTTGGCAGCATACGCTAAGCAGACTATAAATCAGTGAGTCGGAACGGATAATAGATTTTAGCATAGTAAAAGCTCAAATAGGGGTCCAACTTTTTACCATCAATTAGCCCATTTAAGTCTCTGTATAACAATACTTATTAGTCTCTCATTTCGACAAGATTTACTTGAAGTAGTGTCAATCCGAGCTGTTCGGATTACAAATCCTTCAAAATTCCGTGGTTCAACAAGGGAAGCTTCACGTTTCCCAACACACCTCCACCTCCTCCTCCCTCCCAAACCAACGCCAGATCGTCACCCATTGTTCATGCAAATAGTGGCATAGGTCACGAAGAAAGTTCACAACATCCTCTGTCCAGGTAACCTAAACCGATTGTATCTTAATTTGCCCCTGACACTCGTGCTCACAAATATAATCATTGCCCAGGCCTATTGCGACTGCGACATCGCAAATTTCATCCTCTGTGATAACCTCTGTGGACAATCCATTGTACATCGAAAATCTAAATTCATCCCCAATATACGAGAGTAATAATAGCGACGACATGTCAGAGCCCCATGCAGGCGACGAGCCTTCGCGATTCAGAGTGAATCGAATTCAGTCTTCCCAGTTGCAAAACACCCCGTCCGTTGTGGGCACCTTTATTAGTACTTCAATTCCTGAGGACCTGCCGATAACCATAAATGTGGGTGGATCAGTTCCGATGGCGAACAACAGTGATGGGAACAACGAGGGGGGTGATGGCTATCCGAATCAGCACATGCGACCCAGAAGGTAAATAATCCTCAATGGCTTCCGTACTTCTAAAAAATTAATTCATGCTATGCAATTGCTATTAAAATCTTAGGTCGTCATTGGCTCAAGGGCTTGGAGGTGGAAGGAAAAAGAGTGTCACGCTACCAAAGGACTTTGATTACTTGGCAGAAAACGATGGAACTGTTTATGGGAAAAACTTTGCCTACTACACGAGAGAAGCCCTTCCACACTTTGTACGATTACGATATGAATATGATACCATGTTACCAATTTGTAATCATTTTGCCAAAATTCACAACTAGGAAAACTATAAAAATATCTTGGGTGGGGGGAACATGAGCAGACCCACTTTGGAGGAGCTTCGTAGTGAAGCCATGTATACAAAGGTGAAAGAAATTCCAGAAGAATATGAGCAAATAATTGAGGCTTAATAGTAATTGCATATTTCGAAAATATTAGAAAACTGAGATAATTCCTGAAGCTGTGAGCCAAAGTGTCAAATTTGGTTGGATTGAGGGAGTGCTTGTGCGTTGTTTGCTAAATATTTGGGGGGTCATGCTCTTCCTTCGACTTTCTTGGGTAGTGGCGCAAGCAGGAATAGGTGCATATAATAATTCGTGAAAAAGTATAATTAGGATTTGAAATTTTCTTGAAAATTTATCATTTTCAGGCTTGGCGATTGTAATAATATGTCTTTCTGCAACGGTAACGACGCTCACGGCACTATCCATGTCGGCCATTAGTACCAACGGACAGATCAGTGGAGGTGGTATCTATTATATGATTTCGAGATCCTTAGGTCAGTATCTGGACAAATCTTCATGAAAACATGTGAAATAAATTTTCCCTCATGGCTTTCATTTTGTTTTTATTTGATTTCTGCAGGCCCTGAATTTGGTGGTGCTGTTGGAGGTAATTTATAAATTTATGTACACGTATACCTACAAATTTACAATCGTTAATCTATGATCCATCATATTTTAATCATAATTGTTAACAATTTTTTTGCACAATAGCCATTTTCAGTTTTGCGAATGCTACTGCAGGTAATTTCTGATAAAACGTACTTATATTCATAAGAAACAGATTTAATTAAACAACATAATATGTATAATTAAAATGTAGTGGCGATGCACACCGTGGGTTTTGCGGAATCTTTGAACGACCTTTTAAAAACTCTGCAGGTTCGTACACATATAAAGTGAAGAGTTTTAGTTTCCGTTGCAAGCCGAATTGAACCAGATTTTACCAGAGTAAATGGGCTGAGTAAACCTGGAATAAAAATGACGCATGCAGAATTGCTTTGTGACGAAGGTCGCGTTTGCAAAACCAGTTACTATATTCAGAGGTGAAAAAGTGTAAAAAATAATTTTCAAGTCAAAAATCATTAGCACTTTTGTTCCTTGCATGGGTTTCTACACAACAGTCGTCGGCAGTTGCGGTTGAACGATCAGAATTGTACACATTCCACGCTTGGTTGTAAAGAGGAGACGAAATAATAGACAGCAGTTAAAATTTCGCATTTGAAGTATTTTACTGTAATGCTGCGAGAATTTTCTGGATTTAGGAATTATTTTTATTAAGTATGACTTGACGAAATATTTCGCTCTGTACGAGTTGAGTTAATTGGTTTGATTTATTATTATATTACTGAAATGAAATCCCTCTGTCATAATCCATCTCAATCAAATGGAATGAATCGACTATTAATGAATGCGTGGCTTGCGTGACCCTTCACACGATTATGAATCGTCATGAGTTTTAAGAATTGTCCAGATAAATGTGATTACTCGCAGGTGAAAATAGTGGACAACGCCCAGAATGACATTCGTATCGTTGGCACTATTGCTCTGATTGTGATGCAGTCCATTATCATAATCGGAACTGAATGGGAGTCAAAGGTACTTTGACTATTTTGATTTCCACATCTACATAATCACACTGATAGAATTATTGCTGCAATGCAAAACGTACTGTAGCCACCTGAACATATTTCTTTTTAATCATACCATACCCACTTTTTTAGGCCCAAGTCGTACTCTTAATAATCCTGCTAGTGGCCATTGCTGACTTTCTCATCGGAGCATTTATAGGTATTCCATTTATTATTTTGTCTGAAAAAGTCCATTTGTGCGTATAGACATTTGCATGTATAAATGGGTACGAATGAATTTGAAAAGGTCCGTTGGACGATGATGAGTTCACACGTGGATATGTGGGATTTAATGGTATGGTTATGAGTAAAAACACAATTATCCACCGCAAATTTCACTCATATCTCTTGTGATTTAGCTACCGTGTTTGCGACAAATTTTGTGCCGAACTACCGTGAAACTGAAGGGACCAAGCACGGGTTCTTTACTATTTTCGCTATGTATGTACATATGTAAATGCATGTATGCGTTTTATCTATTTATCCGTTTCTTCATGCATTGATTTAATGATTTCTATGTGTAGCTTCTTTCCTGCTGCCACCGGAATAACAGGTACATAAGTCTCACAAGTCATTGCAATGCATGCGAGTAATTTATACATTCAGTTGATAACTGTTTCTATTGCGTAGCTGGTGCCAATATTTCTGGAGACCTTAAGGTGAGAGATGCATTACTTTTACTCACAATCAGTTTTATATTCTGCTAGTAAACAAGATTAATAAAACTCGAATTATTTTTTTTAGAATCCTGGTCAGGCGATACCCATCGTATGAAATTTATATTCCTATTTCATTATGTTTTAAAATATTTGACAGTACGTCTAAAATATTGTTTCACTCAAAGGGAACCTTGTTGGCAATTCTAACAACGACGACGTCCTATATTGTAAGCCATTCATTAACAATGAGTAAAGCTTTTTACATTGTTATCCGCTATAAATAAAATATCAATTTAATATATGTAGGTGTTCGCACTGTTGGCTGGCGCTACCACGGTATGACACACCAATCCTAAGATTTCACACTACAATCGAAACTGACAAGGAAACTTTAAGGACAAGTACTGTCACATCTCAATTTCCTTTCGGATGGTCTTAATTGATAGATAATTTAGTGTAACCAAAACCTTGTCATAGAACATTTGGTGCAAAATCACGTTTTTCCGAAATATTTGGCAAAATCTGTACCAAAACGTGCAATTTTTCCAATGCTTTTAACATATATGATCCTTTGAAGTATGATCTCAATATATAGATCTATATATAGGACGTCCTATATATAGATCTATATACATACCATAGTGGAGGGACCCTGCGGGGTCCCTCCCGCAGATGAAATTTTTTCCAGTTTTCCAAAAAGCTTAAAACCTTGAACGAAATGTGGAAAAGTTATTTTGTTGAACATGCTAAAGCTGGCGATATAAATTTCCAAAATTTTGTGCAGCTTCCAAAAATAAATATATCCAACAATTTGGAAAAATACGTAAAATACACTAGCATTGGTCAGTATATCTTTTTTCATGAAAAATTGTGAGTTTCAATTTTAGGAAATTTTCGCCCATTTTGTTGCAATAGAGTAAAATTATTTTTTGAATTTTTTTTGCAATGCTTACATAAAAGAAGTTTAATATTTAAATTTAGGTAAAATTTCAAAAAACGACGAAATTCAAATTTAGAAAATTTTGTAGATTTTCGCAATTTGAAATAAACTGGCCAATGTTTGCATGCTTTTTTGCATATTGGTGATCAGCATGAAATTGCGGACAGATATACAATTTATAAGCTTCATTTCATTACATATTCCACAGACTATTATATATGTTAAAAGCATTGGAAAAATTGCACGTATTGCCAAATATTTCGGAAAAACGTGATTTTGCACCAAATGTTCTATGACAAGGTTTTGGTTACACTAAATTATCTATCAATTAAGACCATCCGAAAGGAAATTGAGATGTGACAGTACTTAGAGTTCCCTTGTGAGACTATGTATTGCAAAATGTGCGATATGAATCTCATTATGTTAGATCCGTGATGCAACCGGACCTGTGTTTGACGATCTAAATGCCACCTCCGTAATACGAGAAAACTGGGAATTTGCAAATAATTGCACTGGAGGTGTTACAAAATGTGTCTGGGGAAGTCACAATAGTTTTCAGGTGAAAATAATAGAGGTAGAAAAGTGAGGTATTTCTAACAAAAACTAATCTTTCGAACAGATTATGGAACTTATGAGTATTTTTGGTCCAGTCATCTATGCAGGGTGTTTTGCTGGTAGGTATTAATACATATTGTGCACCCTTTACTGCGTTGTGTTTCATAGTGGGTGGAGAACTGCAGTTTTACAAAAGTTGGGAGTGTAATGTACCAATTTTTACCCAACTTTGACGCACATTTCTGATTTGGGTCAAGTTTTTGGCCATGTGAATAAGTTTTCAAAGCTTCATCGGATCTCAGTTCTATTCCTTCCGTTCTTCCTATAAATATTCTTTCAGGACATTGTAATTATGTGTGCTTGTTTATTTACAGCAACCTTGAGTAGTGCGTTAGCCTGCTTGGTGTCAGCCCCTAAGGTATGCATTTCATATATTAGCTTGTTACAAGAATTGAAAATACTTGATCCGTGTTTAGATATTCCAAGCCTTAGCTAAAGACGAGCTCTATCCAGGAATTAAGATATTTGCAAAAGGCTTTCGTAGAAATAATGATCCATTTTTTGCATACGGAGCGGCATTCGTTATTGCTCTGGCATTCATTCTAATTGCGGAACTAAATGCCATTGCTCCTTTGATAAGCAACTTTTATGTAAGAAAATAACAATGTTCAAATATCTACGACTAAGGAGGGAGCTTCCGAGGTTGAAAATCTTAATGCCCTTTGGATATGTGGTAGTGCCCCATGAGTGTGTACTAAAACCCTGAAGTGGTTTGACTCCATGACCACATTTGCGCCCGCTACACCCACTCAAAGGTGCCCAAAATACGCTTTCACTCCAGTTTTCACTCACTCAAATCCACGTCAAAAATCCAATTTTATTCGGATTTTGAAATTTCTTTCACCATTATACTCCCAGATAGTTGCTCTCTTATATCCAACATCAAACTCAACTTTTTTGATGATTATTTCGCAGGCATAATTTGCGTTGTTGATTACTACAACAATGCTCATTCAGAATTTTTAACTTTAAAAATACCAAAAATTTCAAAAAACTTGAGTTTGATGTTGGATATAAGAAAGCAACTATCTAGGAGTATAATGGTGAAAGAAATTTCAAAATCCGAGTAAAACTGGATTTTTGGCGTGGATTTGAGTGAGTGAAAGCTGGAGTGAAAGCGTTTTTTGGGCCCTTTGAGTGGGTGTGGCGGGCGTAAATGTGGCCAAGGAGTCAAACCACTTCAGGGTTTGCATGGGGCACTGCTTCATATCCAAAGGGCATCAAGATCTGTTATTATCAACATAGAAAGCTCCCTTCCTAAATACTATAACTAATTTCATGCTCTTTTTTAAAGATGGCCGCATACGGTAAGTTTTTAATATTTGTTTAATATTCGGTAATTTTGTATTATTTTGTATTAACCAATTTTCGCATAGCTATGGTCAATTTTTGCACTTTCCACGCATCCCTCGTGAAACCACTGGGCTGGCGACCAGATTTTAAGGTAGGTCACGTTTAATACATACGCACAACAACGGTATACTTTTTTGTGCCATTTATTGTACTACGACAATGTGTTTGGTATGAATAACTGCTAAATATGTTAATATCCGTGTCAATGATATTGACGACACTACTGATCTTGCCAAACTAATTAGCTCTTGTTCAACTTGCTAACCATACATTGTGCACCAACATCTGTTGTCTCTGATCAATCGCCTCATCAATAATTAAGTATCCTTCTTTTGTTAGTATTACAGCGTTTACTCCAGTTTTGTGGGATTTGTATTATGCATCGCAATTATGTTTTTGATGTCATACGTAAGTTTATTGATAAGAATTCCATATGTGCATACAAATACGTACGACATACTCACCCAGTCACCCATAATATTATCATTACAGATCACCGCACTAGTCACTTTCGGGATATTGGTAACGATATACTCATTTATGTATTTTTGATCCCAATTCATTTAATTGGTATTTATGAAAGTATCAAGCACATAAATATTTATATATTTTTACTCACATAGGCTTGTCTCTTTTTTGGACTGGTTTACATTAAGCCAGGTAATTAGATTAATATTGATAATCTTGGTTTTATTTCTTCATATGGACAGCACGCATGGCATTTTAATCTATGTCCACATCTTGCTTATTCACTAACAACTTTTTTACTGGTCAACAACACTCTCACTCTAAAAATTTGTCTCAACGTGTAAGTACGTCACTAATCCTAAGAAAAGTCTCAAATTCCTCTCTCATACATACACATGGGGAATGGCTAACTTTCACTCCTTAATAATTATGGCTATATATGTACTATTCCATTTAATGAAATTCGTATGAACAAAAATAGATATTTATAAACAATTCACATAAAATATGGATAACTGCAGAAGGCATTCTACATCACGAATATTCGACTTTCGGTTTTCTTGATTAGGACGAAAGTCAAGTGAATCAATGAACATTAAAGACTGGGCTTTTATCTGGATTGGTTTCTTTAAATTAAATGCTTGACATGCACTTTCAGACAATGTCGAAACTTACTTTCTCCTTGATAAATGCTTAGATACGAACTCAGCCCTCACACAGGCCAACACATTTCCATTCCATTTAATTTATTAAACCACATTTAATATCGCATGTACACAGCTTTGCCAATCGTTCGTTATTGCTACATACTTAATATGTAGTTCCATTTCCATACGTTTTCATCATAATTATTGAGAGTTATGTACATATGGAGTTAAGTATGTTGAGACGGAAGGAGGGAGGAAATATCGAAATAATTAAATCAAGTTTATAATAATTTGATGAAATTGATTGATTGTCTCTTGTTCAATAATTTTATTTAGAGGTAAATTGGGGTTCCACTGCGCAAGCACAAAATTTTAAATCGGCCATAAATTCAGTTCAATCGTTGAACACAACCCTAGACCATGTGAAGGTACATGCATAATGCGTAATACGTATAAAAATACGAAGCTAAAAAACAAACAAGTCAATTTAAATTACATCCAACTTTATTTTGTGTTCATTAGAATTATCGGCCCCACATCTTGGTCTTGAGCGGTCGACCTTCCAATAGGCCGACCCTCATTGACTTCTCATACCTCATCACCAAAAACATTTCTATGCTTATTTCTGGACACATTATCCAGGTGATTTTACATTAATGTCAAATGAAGAGTAAATGAATAGTTGTAATTATCGTTACTTAATAATTGTCGACAACTTGCAATTTGTCCAATTACGTTACAATTGCACTACTAATGTAGAAATTCTAATATAAATGGATTAAAAGATTATTTTTTGGTGTTGTACAATATTTTGGAGAGAGAAGGATATATGAAATTTAGTGTAAATTATTGTATATGTTTTAGGAACGCCAACCCTACAAAGTTCGAGAATACTTGCAGGAGAAGGCACTAACCTGGCTGACGAAGCATAAAGTGAAAGCATTTTACAATTTAGTTGATGATGTGGATTTTGAAGAGGGAGGTAAGATTTACGCTACAATCGGTTAACACCGTCTTATTGCGTAATTAGCTACATTTATATTAAGGTATTCTATGTACGTATGTAAGTCCAAAGAACAAAGAAAGTGGCGATAATGAATGAGCACACTTATTAAATTTTAAGTTGCGCGCATAAAATTTGCTATGTTTCAGTTCGATTTTTATGGCTTTGATACAGTTGTACATACATCCGTTGATTTGCTAAAGTTGTCGCAGCGTGAAAGTAAATATGTAAGGAAAAATCGCAAAATTCCTCTCTCGCACAAATGGAGATGGCTAGCTTTCACTTCTTAATAATTATGGAAAGTCCATATTGTGGCACTAAGGAGGGGAGCTTCCGAGGTTGACAATAACAGATCTTGATGCCCTTTGGAAACGTGGTGGTGTCCCATGAGTGTACTAAAACCCTGAAGTGGTTTGATGCTATGGCCACATTTGCGCCCGCCACGCCCACTCACAGGTGCCCAAAATACGCTTTCACTCCAGCTTTCACTCACTCAAATCCACGCCAAAAATCCAATTTTACTCTTATTTTGAAATTTCTTTCACCATTATACCCCCAGATAGTTGCTTTCTTATATCCAACATCAAACTCAATTTTTTGAAATTCTTAGTATTTTTAAAATTTAAAATTATGAATGAGCATTGTTGTAGTAATCAACAACACAAATTATTCCTGCGAAATAATCATTAAAAAGTTAAGTTTGAAGTTGGATATAAGAAAACAACTATCTGGGAGTATAATGGTGAAAGAAATTTCGAAATAAGAGTAAAATTGGATTTTTGGCGTGGATTTGAGTGAGTGAAAGCTGGAGTGAAAGCTTTTTTTGGGTGTGGCGGGCACAAATGTGGCCATGGAGTCAAACCACTTCAGGGTTATAGTACACTCATCGGACACTACCACGTATTCAAAAGGCATTAAGATCTGTTATTATTAACATAGAAAGCTCCCCTCCTAAGAACCGAGCACACCGGGACAACAAATTAAGTTGAATTGAGCAACTATTGAATTAAATGATTCCAACAGACTTCGATATTATATTGCTACCGAAGTCCAATGTTATGTGGATACATATATTTTTCATTTTGATCAACAGCACGTTGTCTGATGCAAGCCAGTGGAGTAGGAAAGCTAAAACCGAATATGTATGCACAAATAGTACTACATATTTATGCAGTATGAATATCAATGTACGAATATACATAAGTAAATATAATGTATGTGTATAAATAGTGTTCTCATGGGCTATAAGTCAGACTGGCTTTCTTGCGATGTCGAAGACTTCAAGGCATATTTCCGAGTGATTCAGTAAGTGCCCGGATAAACCGGTGTACTATTATATTCGAATGAGCACATGCAAGTTGGGTGATTCCTAAACTTTTTAGCAAAAATCTGAGGTGAAAGTGATTTTTGTCAATTACAGCGACGCTCTGGACAACCATCTTGGGTTTATAATTGCCAGATTGCGTGAGGGGTTCGACTACTCCAACATCATCGAAGAAGACAGCGAAGAAACCGTTTTGAGTTTGACCAGAACCGATTCGCAAAGTGAGCTACCCAACTCACCAAATTATATCTGTATTAGTTGTATAATTGTGCATAACACGGAACATGATGGATTTATTGTTCCCATTTTCCTTTGCTCATCTGCTAAATAAATAAACAAACCTTGTTAAACAGGTGGAATGGACTCTGACAGCTCCAGGTCAGCCACGGGCATCCCGAAAATCACTTACACCAACGAGTCCTTCTCGGTAGAACCAGAAGTTGTGGTAGAGAGCAAGAAGAGCAAAAAGAAAATGAAGGAGATAGGAGCAGATTTAAAGTGATCAAAAAATAGATCAGATTTATTCTTAAATATTGCAAAATTTAAATTTTAAATTAAACTATGCTATTTTAGGGGAATTGGGGGTACACCATTGCCAAAAGCGGTTGTGAACAATCTCACACAGTTCCAGAGGAAACAGAGGAAAGGAACAATTGACATCTGGTGGTTGTATGACGACGGGGGGTTGACCATGTTGATCCCATACATTATCAGTACCAGAAGCATTTTCCAAGGTTGCAAGTTGCGTGTATTTACAATTGCAAACAAACAGAATGATTTGGAGGTTGAGGAGGCTGGGTAAATTTCTAATTTATTAATTTATTTTCTTTATTAAGTTTCGGATCTTTAGCTAAAATCATCGTAATACTGTTTTTAGGCTAGCAAGTTTACTAGCAAAATTTCGTATAGAGTATTCTGACCTGGTATAGTACAAGTTTTATTATGTTTATGCTTTTACAAATACACACGAGTAGTTGACGATATTTTGCTCAGGTTGTGATTACTGATGTGATGACAAAAGCTAAGGATACTACGCGAGAATTCTTCGATGGACTATTGAAGGAGTACAGAAAAAATAGCGAGGATATCATGGACGATGGTAAGAGCTTGCTTTTTTGAAAAATGGAAACCCTCCCAATGCAAGTAACTGTAAAAATTAGATGGATTTATACATATTTCCATGTAATACACCATATCATGCACTCGTCAGGGTATCACAGATTTGTATCAGTGTCATCTTGTTGCTATTTTTTCAAATGCTTTCCCAGCCCTAAAAGTTTATCCGCATAAATCTTCATACCATACCTAAACGAATAAATAAAAGAAAGCAGCCCAGAATATATATGCGTCACACAGAAAAGTGAATGTCTAATTTTTGGTGAAATTGTCATTACAGAAATGAAACTGGATAACTCTGAATTGAAGGCAATGAGAGAGAAGGTAGAATTTGGGATAATCATGTAGCTGTGTTTATGGGAAATTTCATGCATCTTTTGTATTAGACCAATCGGCACCTGAGACTAAGGGAACTTCTTCAGGATCACTCGAGACAGGCCAATTTGATCGTTATGACGTTGCCAATTCCCAGGTAAAAACAATTAAATTCATTTATTTACACTTAAATATCTCGTTGACAAAGACCTGACAAACAATTCAATTGAAACTGGTTTACAAATTGGTATTTATTATGAACATTACTACTAGACGGACGTCTTGGGTCCTAAGTACACATCAACTAAAAACTTCTTCTTCATAATTCCATGAACAATTCCCCATGACTTTTTATCTACATAACTTGAATTTATCTTCTTATTTATGCAGAGAGGGTGAGACTGGGCAGAAAAATCGTCTGGATTTATACAATTTTTTAGTTTTAGAAGAGATGCTATTAAGGCACAAATGTGGAGATGACATTCCCATTTGTATCGCTCCTCCTCACCAACAAGTCCTACTGGAACAATCTTGTAATCAGGGTGGGTGGTGGGCTTGTTAGTTTTGTAAAAAAGTATAGGGTCTGCATAAGAGTTATTCGATTTATGCACCCCACTTTTCAGTGCTTGTCCAGCATAAATGATGTATGGATCGGAAGCAAAGTATAATGCAGCGACCTTTTCTTTCTTCTCCTTTCTTCCTCTCGTCAACAATGCCCCGATACTTTCATCCTTTTCTGCATGTAGAAGAAATGGAATCCTCGCACCCTCCTCCAACTTAATTGCTGTTGCTGCTGATGGTGACAATTTATCGTGAATCTTCAACTCCAGACGGAAATGATTCATCTCCTCCACCAACTCCTTATACGCACCATTTGGAAGATTAATATCTAGGTTGAGACATATTATTTTGATTGTTGTATCCGGCCATAAAAGTAGTTGAAAGAGTGTGGTGGTCTAAAAGTGATGGGACAATTCATTATAACAGTGAGGGTTACATATTTCACAGCATTATTATTGCTTGTACCTGGCGTGCTGCGTAAACTTTCATCAGTTCGTCTTCGTCATCAAAGTATAGGCGACGATCCTCTAGCTCAACTAATTCTGCGGCTGGTTTTTTGGCTGCTTCACGCTCTTTAGAGTATGATTTCCACGGCGAATTGGATTTGCGTAGATTTTCCCCCATGATTGCCCGTGTTGCGTTTTGTGATTTTCCCTCATCATCCCCATATGTGTATGTAAAAGAGACAATGACATGGAGGATGACGTCGTTCTTCTTATTGGCCCCATCCGTAAACTGAGCCAAAACGTAACCAATTTGTTCTCCTTTATGGAGGTTACACTTTGGAGTCGGCTCCATAATGGTGGAAGCTGTTCGTACGCAATCTGCAAACATGTCATGTTTGACATTGATACATATTTCGTAATATATATATATATATATATATATAAATAACTCACTGGGGATCGCGGAACAAAGAAACCTACTCTTTGTAGTTGTAGTGATACGAACGAACAACCCATATTCCCTGTTTTGATTTGGTGGTGAAAACGCTACTCTCGTCGTTGACCCCGGAATCTCCAATCCGTTTGGCCCCGCTTGTCTTATTTTGGTCTCTGCAATCAATCTCTCTGCAGCAGTAAGAGGGGGATATTTCCCTGTAATAATTGGAGGGGTAAGAGGAGTGAGGTTGGAAGTGGTCGACTGTTGTGACCCCATTTCCTCATCCTGATCAACCTCTCTTGCCAATTTGCAGAAAAACTCTCGCATTTTATTATCTCCTTCATCTAAAAACAAGAACATACCATGTCATAAATAGTAGACTTCATAATACTATGAAATTCTAAGTAATTTTTCTTGCCTTCAGACTTATCCGACATCTTCTTATTGGTGTTCATAGCCTTACTAATTTGCCACCACACAATGTCTGTCTTATCCTCACGCAGATCAATCTTCCTATTCACATAACCTCGTTCGGGGAGACTGGTGGGTTGGCCTCTTAAATATCTCGTTGCTCCCTCCACCATTCGCCACTCATTTTTCGAAACCAGCTCTTCTTCATCGTCCTCATCATCCGAGTCCAGTTTGAGATATCTGTTGAAATTATCAAAATGAATGTTGAAATATTTAAGCATGATATTCATTAATTGAAAAATTACTTGAAAGTTGGCAATTCTTCCTCCTTTGCATCATCCTCGTCGTCGTCGTCATCAACCTTCTTCTTCTTTGGCGCTTTTGCTTTGCTACTTGTGGGAGTGGCTAATTTCCGTTTGGAGGAAGTGGATGGCGTTTCAGGAGTATTTGCTTTTGAGAAAGAGGGACGATTGACGAAATCGTCATCATCGTCGTTAGAGTGATCACTCATGGCTTACCTACATAATAATAAGATACACGATTAAATTAGAAAGTGTGTCACACACGTATTAAGAAATGTTAGTGAATTAATAATATTTGTATGATAAGTACTTACGTTAAAAAATATCTACACAAAAAACGACTAATGATCATGAAGCAGTCCGAGGTTGAATTGAACTGAGCGCTCGCTCCTGGTCTATGACTCGCTCACTCTTTTCTTTCTCTTTTTCAGAAAAAGTGGAATTTCTGCCCCATTGTACATGGCGTGGCTGGAATGCCTCACAAGAGATATGCCTCCATTCCTCCTCGTTAGAGGAAATCAGTCTTCCGTCCTCACTTACTATTCATAGAAACCATAACGAATAGAGCGAAAACCATTTATTTCATGCAATTTTCTATTCAAACCGACAGGTTTGGACCTAGAAGTTGTAAGATATGAAAAGTACGATGTTCACATGCAAACACTAATACAGTGAATGAATATGTAGTAATCGCTACAAGGTTAAGCAGTATTTGGGAAATATTTAATAATTTGAATAACAATAGAGTACAGAACTTTACGTAATTTCAGTTTCCTATTGATTATAATGCAAATACTCCATTGACTTTACAACGTCGTCTGAGGTAGTACGCTAATTATTTAAATAATTTAACAAGTTTATTGCTGTTCATTACAATGCTATTTAAATGCATCTTCTTAAATCATACTTGCTACCACATAAATAAGCATAATACTAGTTAGCATTACTCGGCACAATGTGTTGTGAAAGAAAAATATATACGAGTTAAATATTTTACTCTTATCTTAAAAATTAGAACTTTCGCGTGTCGTTTGATGAAGATCAAAAATTGAATTCAAGATGGCCAAATTTCAAATCCTAATGTTGCCAGCAGCGGGTGCGTGTTTATTAATCGTATGCAATAATTACTTTAATTTTTGGTATATAGGTAATTATAGTGCTTTCATGAAACTCCACAATTAATATATTGTGTGCATTAAATGCCTTAAATCCGTATGCATATCTTTTACCATATATTCCTGTACGTATATAGAAAAAAATAAAAATTAACGAATTGACACGTTTTAAATTGAAATTTAAAAATTTTTTGTTATGCAAATAAATTTCAGGTTGAATAAATGCTGCGATTATTTATTTCAGGGTTTTATTAATGACTTGATTTTACGCCAATTTTATAAATAACTAGTGTGCGTATATGAATATATACATATAACATATATGTGTATATGATTATCAGTACATTTATTTTCTGGTAAAACCTTCATAAAACCTTTTTCCTAATAGATCATGGAAATGTACATCTCCACATATTTTTCAATGTCGGTCACTTATGTACTTCGGCTCTTGAAATACAGAGAAATTTACTTTTATCGCAACTTGGGACCTTGCACAAATATAACGTTCATACTAATTTTAATAACATGCGCTGAAGGCTACTTTTATACAAATTACGGCTGGTCAATAAGTAGCTGGTTTGAATTTTCATCAAGATCACTCGGTCTGTAGTAACGTCAAAATACTTAATTAACGTCATTCGTAACGATTAAAAATTAAGCACGATCAAGGGTAAATGAGCATTTAAATTAAAATACAATTTTATGCTGTAAAAAAGGCTTTTGTATTTGACAAAAATGAATATTAAAAAAATAAATATTGCAAAAATATTACACCCACAGCAAAGTACGTTCCAAAATTAACACCAATTAATTAATATTTATTTGGTACTTGGAATTGACCTGGCACAGTCGTAAAATTAATACCCTGCTTAGCATTTTAAGACAATTAACTCGAATCTTCAAATGCTTGTGGCATAAAAAGTCAGGGCTTAGTTTTAATCAAGCATTCAAGTTAATGAAGGCTCCACCTCAACGAATCATTATTTATGTATTACAGTACTGTGATTTTATTTGGTGAGAAAAATTATTAAAAATGGTCCAGATTAATTTCGTCCAGTCAAATAATCTTGGTAAGTTTCCATTTGTACAATCAAATTTTATGTAAGATTAGCCTGAAAAATTTGTCAGTCGGTCGGTATTGTAAAACCGACTATTGGCGAATTTTTTAACTAATAAGCAGTGAAGCGTTTTCGCAAACTTGTGGCGCCCACAAGTCTCTGAATTGCATTGCAGGTACCGAATGTTCATGAAAACTTGGCTATCAAACTGCGTGGCTTACAAAAATATTTGTTACATGGTTTGCACTCCCATTGTTAGTAATCTAGTGAGCGACAAAAATAAATTAAACAGTTATTCTTGTGTTATTAAACAGTTTAAATAGTTACAGTATATTAAGCGTACATACTTATTCAGACTTGCAAGGAGAGTATTACAAAATGCTGCCTTTGAGTTCATTTAGTACACCGAAACAAAGAAATTTGAATAGAAAGGATAATTAGATTTAGGAAAACACAACAACTTCCCATGCAAATGTGCTGACAAAGATTAGTTCACAACGTGACCGATAACATTATCGATATTACTCACCTCATCTTCACACACACGCTAACAATGTGGCTAAATAGGTACATAATGTGTATAGTTGAGAAAAGCATAATCGAATGACTAAATGGTAATCATCGTTCCTAGAAGATTTGGGTCCAATTAGTTTGCTCAAGATTAAAATAAGCCCAAAGCACTTAATAACATTTCGAGAAACCAACGGCAGTAAACCTCACTCTAATATTTAACATTTAGCACATGATTCATCCTTTAGGTGAACCCTGCTAATTTTAACAAACTCCTTTTAAATAATATAAGTTTTTTTATAAATTAAACACGTAAAGATTTTCAAAACTAAAGTGGTTAATTCTGCAAGCTTCATCGTCATTAACGCAAAAGGTATGTTTAAAGGATTTTCGTTTTCACCAAAATCGTCCGGATACAAACTAGATAGTTGAGAGTTCCGTGCAGAGGGGATTCCTATTTACATAAATAATGCAGAATAATATTACGTAGTTGGTGACACACTCAACCTTTAGCAGTTTAAATCGGTTAAATTGATTGTTTGGCAACTGCGTTGAATGTAAGAAATGGAGTAATTCGTTTCATGGCACGCTTCATCTCGATGCTCAATATCGTAACTTTTTTACTAATCAATAATGCAAGTCTGGATATTCAATTGTAGACTAATTTTTATGTAAAAGGTTGTTGTTGGACGCATTGACAATGAATTATTGATGATTCAAAATCTGGCAAATTTTTTTGAATAGTTTTATTGGCATTGAAAATATTATCAAGGTATTGTTGTGACCATCTTTTGTAGACGGCGTAATATGTACATAACTGGATAATCGTATGCATGTTTCTATCCAAAGAAGTTGTATCTCAATGTATTTCATATTTTCTGTGGGCTCACGTGTAATGTTCTGGATTTGATTGCAATTAGTAATAGTCTGCTAATTAATTTGTCAATAATTTTTTTTGCTTGAATGCAGACAAATCATAAGTCTATGGAGCACTAAATATCAACCTGTGTAATATCTGTATAACAATGGATCAGAATGTTTGCCCATTTCATTAAGAATTTCCATAAATTTTAATCACAATTACGCCGATCTCTTTTGAAAGTCTGAAAGAAAACAAGAAGCCGTCATTGTAATTTAGATTTGATTCATACACAAAATTGCTCGAATCTGCTTTCCAATACATTACCACGATACAATTATTCCATGCGGCTGGAAAAGTTTTTGAGGTTGGGGATGACGTGAGTGATTCTTCTTGCGAAGAATGAGGACTTACCTCACATTACGATAAACCAAATATTACCGGTGTCGTGTCAATTATCTTTGAGCTTCAGCCTAAAGTGTATGTAGCATGAATAAATATTAATTAAGCTAATTCTACCAATTTGAACAGGGGATACATATACCTACACATGTATGCGTTCGATTGTGTCATGATTTGTATTATGCCAACGTTGCAGCTACCACTTCCTACATATTTATACGAGAGCGTCCTTACCCGAGATATTCCGTGAAATATTTAATATATAACTTACCCCGGATAAATTAGTTTTTGCCACTATGGTACAAGACACAGAGTCAGCAAGCGTAAAAATTAACAGCTATTGCTCTACAAGAATTAGTGAAAGGATTGTTCATTCATTACCAAGTCGGACAATTGTCCAAAAAATATACAAAAATGGAAGCTATACTAATTTTAGATGGCCAGTGGTTCTGCTGCCGGAGGATCAACAAGACACAAGAGTGAAAATCCAGCCATCAGTCCTGAAATCATCCGATTTCGTGTTGATCGTGTCAATTCCAGAGACGTCGGATGTCACCGTGCGACAGTTCGTGAATCTAAAACTAGCACTACGAGTGGGAGCAACCCAACAAGTGATAATCGTGATAATTTGCCGTACATTACTTCGTACCCGTTACACAAATACGAGCCACCTTCCCCATCTTCTTCTGGAGATACGGTCGATCTCATATCTAGTCCCACCGGAAGTGGGTTTTTCAGTAATCCAATCAACTTTGCTGTGAGGAGATTTTCCAACAAACAAAATTTGTCAGAGGTTAGATTCACCACTTTGTTGATCTAAATTTACAACCATCTGTCTATATGATTTGAATTATGAAAACCATCTGATTGTTTTAGGTTGGAATCCCAATCTCAGCTACCATGGATCAGAACCATCCTCCTCCTCAAAGGAAGTTTTCCTTGGCCGGAATTCTTGGCCGAAAAAAGAGCTCAAACCTGCCAGAGCTGGATGATTTTCACACGACTAATAATACTACAGCGTTGTACGGAAAAAGTCTGAATAAATACACTCATGATGCTCTCCCCAAAATGGAAAACTATCGTGACATCTTGGACTTTAATGCGGCTCAACGACCAACGATCGACGAGTTGCATGAAGAATACTTTCGAAGAAAAGTGAGACGCCTAAATACATGCATAATTGTACAAATGTGTTAAAAATTTCAATGGTATGACATCAATTATTATTTCTAGTCCATGGCCCATCCTGAAGATGCTCCAGCAACCAACGTAGTAAAATTCGGTTGGATAGAAGGGTGCTTGGTCAGGTGTTTGCTAAATATTTGGGGGGTCATGCTTTTCCTCCGACTTTCTTGGATGACGGCTCATGCTGGAATCGCTCATTCGATGATCATCATTGTGATTTCCACCGTAGTCACCACTATCACGACCTTGTCCATGTCGGCAGTTTCGACTAATGGCGAAATCAAAGGAGGGGGAATATATTTCATGTAATGTTACATTAACATCTAAACAACATAACATCAACACAATAAATTATAATTATAAATTATAATAAATATTTACATACTAAATTTTTTAATCTAGGATAGCGCGAACCATAGGCCCGGAATGGGGAGGAGCAGTGGGGATTATATTTTCTTTTAGTAATTTTGGAATGGCGGCCTTGAATACCGTCGGTTTTTCCGAGTCCTTCATCTCCTTACTGCAAACTCACGGAGTCAAAATTGTGGACGGAGCGCAGAACGACAACCGAATCATTAGCTGTTTGACCATTATTATTCTTCAATCCATCATCGTGATCGGGTATGGAATAAAAAACTTGTGTCCGCTGAAGAGTACAAATGTCTTGGTGTAATGAATCTGATGGAGTTTATTTAATATTTCAGGATGGAGTGGGAAGCTAAAGTGAGAATTTATTCCAAACTCAACGGTTGCTAATTGAATTTGTTTAACGATTCATTTCACTTTTAAAACCAGGCTAAACTGATTTAATAATAATTATTATCTTTACAACTCATTATTCAATATTCAATAGTTTATGAGACTCGAACTCGAATAATTTAGTGGTTATAAGAAGCCGGTTTTATCGTCATATCGTTTGTTCAGCGTTTTTAGCTAAACTTGAACTTGTTAAGAAATTATTAAAATGTAAATTGCAATCGGAAATCCTAAATCTACAAAATTCAAGGATGATTTTATGAATTTTAATACGAAGTACTAAATAAATGCACATTTTTAACGTAGGCGCAAATGGGATTACTTGTTATTCTCCTCGTAGCGATGATTGACTTTGTGGTGGGTGCGTTCATGGGGCCTAAAGGAACTGAAGAGGTTGCAAAAGGATGGGTTGGACTCAGTGGTTAGACGGACCTCCTAATTTTTGCGGTATTATTTCCAACTGTAGTTCACATTAATTGACATTGTGAATCTCGTTCCTTAGGTCCCTTGTTTTTAGAAAATTTCGGTCCGGGGTATAAATTGAGTGATGGAATTCAGCAAGACTTTTTCTCCATATTTAGGTGCGGTAATACTTCATTTTATCTCACTCTCTTTGCCTTTTATGACTTTCGAATTTTTCATGCAGTATATTTTTCCCTGCTGTTGCTGGTATTCAAGCAGGTAAAAAATACAATTACATATTTACGTGTGTACATTGTACATATCTTGTGCTGGACAATATGACTCATATTCTGTAAAATTTTAGGAGCTAGTATTTCCGGGGATTTAAAGGTATGCACATACATACATAATTCTTTGTTCAAATCGGTAATTTTATTTTCGACTAACGAACTCCTTTGAATTTTTTTAGAATCCAGGTGAGGCAATCAGTTACAAAAATAAATCCTGGATTGGCGACATTGCCATATCCTTACCCTCTCTACTATAAAATATTTAAACATTTAATGAGAATATAATAATGATAAATATTGAAGATTTTTAACAGAATTTAATTTTTTATACGATTTCTGGGATGTTTCAGCTGAGGCAATTCCCAAAGGAACGCTCCTCGCAATCTTTATCACATCCGGTTCTTATGCTGCGTTTTCTCTTCTCGCTGGAACTGGCGTTCTTCGGGAAGCTTCAGGAATCGTAGACGAAGTTGGCAATGGAACTTTCACGAACTGCACCGGACGACAATGTCAATGGGGATTGTATAATGATTACCAGGTTAATAATTCAATTAAGATAAGACAGATTCATTGAAAAGTTTCCCAGTGTAAAAATTGGGTCCTGCTTGATTCATAGGTAATGCAGCTTGTTTCTGCATTTGGCCCAGTAATATACGCAGGTAGGGTAGACAATTTTTGCCAATTTTACCCATATTTTTTTGCTGTTATGATCAACTACCTCATTATGTATTTATTATGCAGGATGTTTTGCTGCTACACTCTCCTCTGCCCTTTCCTGCATGGTTTCCGGAGCTAAAACCATGCAAGCCTTATGTAAGGATAAGGTGTAAGGGAATAGTAATTCTAACTATATGAATCTAATACCTTGAAATTCTAGGTAAGGACAAGGTGTATCCTTACTTGACCAAATTTGGAATTGGCTACGGAAAAACGGACGATCCATACTGGTCGTACGCAGTGGGATTCCTCATTGCCGTTATCTTTATTCTTATCGGTGAGCTTTATTTTATTACTTTACCCAACTTCCTCCTCTAACAAACGTGCAATTTAAATATCGTCAAACTAAATTGCCAAAGTTTTGAGGATAAATAATAGGATTTGAAGAAATAGAGTAATTTTCCGCCACCATGATAAAAATTTGGTAATAAATGTGGCTTTAGCACAATCATTGCGATTGGATAATGTCTCAATTTAGAAGATGTGATTTGGTTAGATTTGCATTTTAGGGAAAAGTTTGGCTCATAAAATTGAGTATTGGAAAAGGCTTGTCTAAAGTGTCATTGAATTCGGATCAAGATAGATTTTATGTTGATGAGGTATGGAGAGAGACAGAGATACCTAGGTGAACTACAATCAAATTGATACTGCACTGTGATATCGTACCTAAAATTGTTAGTAGAAATGAGGACAGACGACAGAAAAATGGACAAGTTTCCTCTGGCTGAACGTACGTACGTAAGAATATAGATATGTAAGAAGAAATGCACGCTTTACTGCTATCCAGATATTCATTTCATGTGCATGACACGTTCTTTCCCTATAATTTTCCTATAGAAAAGCTCCTTTGCCTTTCATCGCACAGAGTCTAGAATTGATGAACGATTTTCGGATGTGCAAAAATTTGAAAGTGATATGCCGTAAACAATATGTGACATTATCCGAGATGGGGACTGAAAATTAATTTCCCAAGGTGTGCATATACTAGAGCAAAACCGACGCCTACATATGTGCACTTATGTATAAGCGTATGCGTGATACCACCACTGAATCTGATCGACTGCTGCATCGTAGATAGTCGTCTCCTTTTGCAAAGTGGATATCATTACACTAAATGACCTCGCAGATGAAGAGAAAGGGTTCAGTTCCCAAGGTTTGATTAGGATAAATGTATTTTATGCGAGAAAGAAGGAGCGATGAGTACTAAATGTCAAGAAGAAAAATGTATGGGTTTCGAAAAGCTAGCATTTCATTTATCAAATAGAGAGATTGGTATTACAATCAGTAGGTAAATAAGTATGAAAATGTCTTACTGTAGGTTGCATTTCGTAATATATACAAAAATTGACGTCTTATCAAAAGTTGATGGTGGACATATTTATGAACATGATTATGTAGTATTAATTACATATTCTGTGCTTAATTTTTCATGCCTTTGATGCCTTTGACTTTTCCGAAAAATAGCCGACCTTAATGCACTCGCCGCTCTAATATCCAACATGTTCATGACCGTGTATGCCCTACTTAATTTTTCGGCGTTCCACGCGTCCCTCGTTCGTCCCCCAAGCTGGAGACCAACTTTCAGAGTGAGTTACCAATTACTTCAACTTAACACAGTTATCAGTACAAAAGTTTATATCGATTTCAGTACTACAACACGTGGATATGTTTGATTGGAGCCATTCTTTGCGTCGTGGTTATGGTACTTATCCAATTATACAATAATTATCCACAATATGGACATTGGTACGTTGGTACATGAATAATATTTAATATTCTCCAAAGTTTATGATGTCATGGGCATACGCTTTACTCTCATTGGGCTGTGCGATAGCTCTCTACTGTGGAGTCATATATAGGAAACCAGGTACATGCGTATGTAAGAGGCAGTGCCCAATAGTGCTGTATTTCTGATTTTTAATTATCGATTTTTCATATCGATGTACATATTTTCGTTTTATTACTTCCGTGAGCAGAACTTAATTGGGGCACATCGACCCAAGCCCAGACTTATTCTGATGCCCTGAGTGCTTTGCAAACGCTTACCGACCAGCAAGACCACGTTAAGAATTATCGTCCACAGATTCTTTGCTTGTCTGGTACGTGACATAGATCTTATCGACGCCAGCACCATCATTACTTTTACTCTGTACAAAACTACTTCCCTGAATTCATGCTCCAAGGAATGCACACATATTTGTGTTCAAATACAAATGCTCGTGCCGCCCGGAAATATTCTTGTTGTCAAGTTTGGAAACTTGAATAATATTTATGTTTGTTTCTCCCCCTGTCTTGTAGGCTTTCCTTCCTCCAGACCTGCTCTGGTGGACTTTGCCAACCTCATAACGAAGAAGCAGTCGTTGCTAATCTGCGGTCACATCGTCAAAGAGAGGCAGTCTACAAGGGTGCGAAAGGCCATGATCAAAAGAGGTTATGACTGGCTGCACGAGCGACGTATCAAAGCATTCTACGTGCTGGTTGATAACGTGACCTTTGACGAGGGTACTCAAGCCCTACTACAGGCCACAGGGATTGGCAAGCTTGCTCCAAATATTGTCCTCCTCGGATATAAGAGTAATTGGCAGACTTGTCCCAAAGATGAGCTCAGAGACTTCTTCACAACCATTCACGAGTGTTTCGACAACCACATGTCGATGGCGATCTTGCGAGTGAAGGAAGGCTTGGATTGTTCTCACTTGGTGGGCTCATTATCCCCGGACGGGATGATAAAGAACGATTCCCAGGGGAGCCTGGGTGGCTACGTGAACAACGGGATGGAGCTGGATGCAACAGATCCCAACGAATCCGGATCACCTCAAAATCATAAGGAAGAAGAAATTCAGCACGAGAATATGTTTGGGAAAAAAGGAAACAAGTCTGCAGATGGTGTTCTTGGAGTATATCGGTTAGTACTAAATACAATGCCGTTAGCACTCATTTTCTAAGCCCTTGCCATGCCCTTGTAACATTCTACTAATGAAATACGATTTAAAACCTACTTTAAGCAACTTTGCGGGGCCTTTTAAGATGGCATTAACACCATCTTGGTAGTTAATGGCAACACATTTGGGTGAAAAGACCCCCACTGGCCAACTACTTGGCCGATCATGCCCATCTCCGAACTCATCCTTACTTTTGACCCGAAGATGAAATGTGCAAAATTTCAAGTCGATAGCTTGTGTTTAACCTTTAGGATCCCATTTCAAAATTGTTGTCACGAAAAATCGTATCACTAAGTCCCTAATTAATCTTCAATTAAATGCCCTTTAAGGCCCAAATAATTGTCAGCTATCTGTCCTCACGCACCCAAGCTGCTGAATCTTTTTCGACCACACTGACCCGAATTTTATTTTCAAGAAAAAACCAACGGAATATATTTGTATTATCACATGCAATGATAATCCACAAAAACTACTTCCCATATACATATACTATTACCGTGGTGAAAAACCTATTAGTACAGCTTCGCATAGCCCGAACCAGAAATTTTTATCCCAGTGAGGCCTTATGTATTTGCCATGTCTGTCTTTCGGTCCACCGATACCATACACCCAAAACGGTTTGCCTTCAAATTTTGCAGGTGCCAAAAATAATCGAGTTCGCAAGTGAGCCAAATCTGTCGAGTGAGGTCATATAGATAGGTGGGTGGAATCGACACCAAACTTGAAAATATCGCTAGAAAGCTGAAATTCAGCACATTGAGTGCTAATGGCGTGTAATGAAAGACTCGGAGGGGAAATTTAAAAATATTTAACCAGAGGGACAATATGGGGTGGAGGAGGGAGATGACCCATACCGATTTTCAAAAATAGCCACAAACCTACATTGTCTGCAATTATACAATGTCCTTAGTCAAGGACGGACCGCTCCTAAATTTTTGTCCGAATTGACCGGACTGCGATTACCACACCCCGTGTTGGGAATGGTCGAATGTGTGCAGAATATTTGTTATTTTGTGGAGTATTTACAAATCCTTCCTTGACTACCAGGACCACTGTGACTTGCTTCTTTCAAATCTTCCAAAGTTTTATTTGCTATTCGGAAGTCATTATCCTAAATTCCACCTGAAAATAGCAACTTTTAAAAACCAGTATGGGTCACCCTCTAGGGTCACTAAGGTTACACATTGACCACTTTGAACTTCATATACTTTCAAAACCGGTATGGGTCCCCCATAGGGTCCCCTCAGTTGTAAGATTTTGCAATTTTACTTCATATTCTTTCAATAGAAGCCATTAGCAAGCTCTATACCAAATTTCAGCTTTTTATGACAATTTTGAAATTTTAGTGTATAGTACCCCATCACTCAGACGACCCCCACCGGTCAACCACTTGACCAATTTCGCCCATCTGCGAACTCGTTCTCTAACTTTGTCAAATTTGCATACACTAAAAATTTCATGTGAATCGGGTAAGTCGTTTTGGCTCTATCCTGTTCACGGACAGACAGACAGACGGACAACCATCACGATTCCATAAGCCCTAACTCGGGCAAAAAATCGAGCACCATATCAAAACCCTTCAATTTCATGCAATGTTTCCACGGTCGCCAAATTTGTAATTTTTTGGAAATACACGTATTTGTGTATACGGGATTCAACGGATTTTGTCGTGTATCCATGATATTCATGTATCTGGGACACACGGTCAAATTTCAAAATTCCATGACACTCGTGTACATGGGATTTAAGTGGAAATTTAATAAATTCCATGACATTCGTGGACTGGGATCCTAAAGGTTAAAGAGAGTTATCGTGCGCACAGACGGACGCACAGACGGACGGACAGACAGACATCTTGGTAAATCTATAAGGCCATCTTAAAAGGCCTAAAAATGTAGTTAGCAAATGCATTTGTATATACAAATTAGTAAGAGACCTGCCAGAATATTCTTTAATTTATAGTCTTTAATTTATAGTCTCCAAACCGCACACAGATATCATGCAAATAATCTCTAACGTAGTTTTCCACATTTTAAAAAATAAAATTGCTTTTTAATTCCATTACAAAAAAATATGTCACACAGCGGACCAGATGGCACCGAAGTTCCAAAGGACATTGTGGAAAATTTGTCCTTGTTCCTGACAAAACAGAGCAAAGGCACCATTGATGTCTGGTGGTTGTATGATGATGGAGGCAAGTGAACTTTTTAATGCCATTTTTAATGCCAAAGTCGATTCTGATAACCATGATAAAAAAATGACGAAATGCTAGAAAACCAATATTTTTAGAACCTAACCCACATGCATAATACGAAGTTGGTCTGTACGCCTTCGTACGGTACTATTTAACTACTTCTGGCGAATTTCTTGTGTAGGACTAAAACTATTTAACACCGACCACCAATTTCTGGATAAAAGTAAAGCCATTAAGCTGTGTACATGAAGCAAAAACCTGCAAATTGGTGCGAGATTAACCTCCAGCAAAAGTTTAATTGAACTCTGACAGAGTTGAATTAGTTATTTGAGATTTTCTCACTTTCACTTTGACTCGGAGCTAAAACTTTCTCCAGAAAAACTTGGACAAATCCACTTGAGACCAATTTATCCATCCTCTGGAAAGGTTTGGTTTAATGTTGGGCAAAGAGTTAATGAAAATCGGAAACTTTCAAGATTTCTCAACTTAATTTAATGTCGTTTTAAACTTTCTTGGATTTAAAGTTCATTACGTGAGTAATAGACTTACACACACCGAAAGAGTGAGCTCCAAGTTCTTCCAATTTCATAATCCCTTAAGGGTTTTCGGTTACTTGTATTACTTATCTTGTAGTTTTTTAAATTGGTGTAAATCTGACAAAGAAGAATCAAGGGGGCTATGTAATATTTTCCGGTTTTTGTCACTTTCTCTGATGGAGTGGTCGTGTCACGTTTACTGTGGCCACTTCCAAATACCTCCTTCTCTGTACACATGTATGTATTCGTCCCTACGTGCTTTGAATAGATAGGTCTCGAACCAACCAATGCACAACGTGGCCTAGCTTGCGACCAAACCTGAGGCGCATTCATAAATCATTGTCTGTCCCCCTCGTCGTCGCCGTCTCCAATTTATGCTGAGGACGTTCCTTAATTTTTTAATTTGCATTGCAATGAAGACATTATTGCCTGGCCGTTTTTTCTTCTTAGCGTTTAATGGCTTCTTTAATTTTTGTTGAGAGACACACTTATTTATGGTCATAATTTAATCTTTTACTCCGTTCAAGCTGAAATAAACCAAATGAATGTAATATATCATTTTCACAAATTATGTAGGTCTCACTCTCCTTCTCCCGTACATCGTAAATCAGAGGAAGAACTGGCAGCAGTGCAAACTTCGCGTGTTTGCCTTGGCAAATAAAAAGGAGCAAATGGAACAAGAAATGAAATCGTAAGTGAAATTAGTATATTAATTTAATACATGTAACTTAAATCATGCAATGTGTGTAGTGCTTCCTTTCGCATTGTTAGTATCTTAATTGTTGCTTTGAATGAAATGGGACTACAGTACAAGACTCTTGAAAATCGTTGTCAATTAGTGTAGAGTGTGAAATGGCATGGCACTCTAAAGTTCTGGAATAACACTGCTCAAACTTTAAAACGAGTCTGCTGGACGTCTGATCTCGTCTGGCAACTTGACACGAACAACTAAAAGGAACAAAAGTAAAACAAAAGTAAAAGTCGCTTTAGAGAGCCAAAGTTTTCCAGTCTCTTTACGTGATTATAAACAGTTCCGTTTTGTGAGTCCCTTCCATTTTGTGTTGGAACAACAAACAAGAATTCCGCTTTGATGACACATGGAGGAGGATTCTTATTTTTAAATTAATTAAGTTAATGCTTGGATGGGTCTTCCCATAACTTTCCCTCAATTTGAAAATGAAGTTGCCCATTGACGTGTTAGCTTAACGAAATTAAAGTGATGGTGGTGTGAGGGAGACGAAGAAATTAGCTCAGGAGGATGATCGACGTTTAATTAAAACTATTTTGATTTTTAGCATGGCCATTTTACTGGCAAAGTTCCGTATTGACTATTCGGATCTGACAGGTAAGAACTGACAATTTATGGTCTATGAATGATTATGAAACCAACAATTTACGGGTTTAAATTTCCAATTTTCTAGTAATTCCCGACATTACAAGGCGAACAGACACGAATGCACCTGGTAGAGTCCTATTTGACTCGCTGATTAAAGACTTTCGAGGAGATCCAGATGATAGTGGTGAGATTTTGACTGAATTCGCCTCTTGCTAAAATTATTTTAACGCAATGACGGCTGAATTTAGAAAGTGTGCCGTCTAGAAATACATTTTGTGAGAGTGAAAGTTTGCTATAAAACTTATTTTTCACCCCACATTGAGCATCTTTGATAGGTAAGAAGTACATATGTATGTACCATATAGTGAAAGTTGGGGAAAAAATCAGAAAGTCCGAAGTTATTGGATTCTTTGTATGCCAACTTATTGCCAACTAACTATTGGCTTCCTTTCATGTCAGTAAAAAAAAGAGAATGGGATTCGTAGAAATAGTTCTTTGATACTGTTATGGATGGCATTGGACCAATAAGTGTATACCCTCCATCGACATGTGAGATAACTCTGTGATGCGAGTGAGTAGATTGCTTGACACGATTTGAACCCTTGATTTATGACGTTCCTTTTTCAAACGCTTTTCAAACACTTTGGTCTCTCCACCAGAGTCCACCCGTGCTACGTCTGTATATGTATGACCTCGATTTTATTGACACTCCTTTATCTCCGTGTCCACGACCATAATTACTTTAGAAAAGCCGTTTTCCAACCTCTCACACTCGCTAATTTTGGTTTTCAGTTGTAAATATTCACTACTCGAGCAAAGTCATAAAAGCAGATACAAATCTTTTGCGTATCTGTAAATCATGAGATATTTCACAGACTTTGTTATTTTCCTATTGAATAGGAATCTGCATTAACGCGAAATGTAAAGTGTATTGTGGAATTGGGCTTGTCTTACATGACTACAAAAATGCAGTATAAGTTGCAATGAGTTAGCTGGCGAGAGAGCTGCTTATCTCGAGGGAGAGAGAAAGTAGTCCGAAGCAACTCTACCATGTGGATAGACCTTAATCTTAATCTGAGCAAGTTTTAAGTAACGGCATTTGATCACGTAACACGCATACATATCTCTTTCTCCACCAAGCACTTTGGGGAAAGAAGAAACTCCTCCTTTTCCATAGTTTGGTTAAAGTTTCCTTTATTTATAGCAGATAATCGGTCGGGGCAATCAACAAATTGAAAATAGATTCTCCTTTAGCATCTCTTTCTCTTGGGGTGCAGCCTTAATCATGTGTCTCTCGGTGTTTGATGGGAAAGGGTGGACCGGAGAGAAGCCTTTAGTTGGACCAGGAATCCTGTTTCACAAAGGTTTCCACTTGAATGATTTGTTGGTCGTTTATTTGTTTGCTTAGTTTGGCTTTCCCCTCTTTATACGGTTCCAGGGAAAACACCAAGAAATCTATTTGTTTCCAAACAGGGATAGCAACAAATATGCTTATGTATGTAGGTTCCCATATTATTGACTCTCTCGACCAATATACGGCGAGTGGTTGCTTTTGTTTATTTCATTATATAACCAACAAACGAAATGAAAACCGCCCACACAATACTTTTAGAATTTCTACTGTTCATATGTATACATATATAAATATGTTGTAATAATACATACATAATGTGTATGTAAGCGAACGAAAGTAGGTATATATTGGACCCAATGATCAATCTGCTAAGGTTTTGGGAATGTGAAAGCATGTCGATCAGGATTCTCAGAAATTGCAGCAAGACTGCAGAATCCCATTCCCAAGAACTTCCCACTCATCTGTTGGTTTCTATCAATTCTTGGTTGGTTTCTTGGAAACCATAAATCTATGCATAACACAAATGCTAAAGTTTTTGTAATTAAAAAGCTTCAAGTAAATACGACTACATGATCTTTAGAAAGTTGGCATACATGCAAGCCCCATTCAATTCCATTCCAAACTAACGGGCCGAAATGTGAGAATTCGCTAGCAAAGTTTTTCGAGGAGACACTTTTGAAGAAATACACCTTCATCTGATCTATGGGATAGCTATAACTTGAAGAAGAACATGGAAAAGGCAAGCTTGTGGTATTAGTTTCTTTTGGTATATGACGACATACGAGTACGTGATACATACATAACCAACCAATATCACCAAATGCTTGTTGACTTTCTTTTTGGTCTCTGGCGGAAGAGTATTTCTTTTGATGTTGGAGAACTGACATGTTTTTCTATTGCTCTTTTCAGATAATCCAGAGACAGTGATAGGAGAGTCCGAATTATTCTCCATGAAGGAAAAAACGAACCGACATCTTCGGCTGAGAGAACTTTTGTTGGAACATTCACAAAACTCCAATCTCATCGTCATGTAAGAATTTGTCATGTTTTATTTTCATTCCAATTTTCTCGAGCTTTCTCTACTGATTGTCATCTCTTCGCAACCCCACCCATAATCAACTCACACCACGCTATGGGATTTTAGACGACGACAATATGTAAATGTGTTGTAGTAACTAACTTGTTAAAATGTTAGTCTCATTTGTTGAATTGTTGCTTTCATTAGTCCTTCGTTCAATCTTACTTTTGGACGCATGATAATGATACAATAACAATGCATCAAAAAATTGAATCGAGATCACCAGTCAGCTCCAGGAAGACTAAAAAAGCTTATAAAGACTTTTATACGAGTGCATTGGACCAGACGATCTTTTGCTGCTGTATCAAGCTCCACAAACAATTTATTTTGCTCCAAATTGGGTTTTAGATATTAAAGAGCTTAGGAAACTCACGGTTTCTTGAATTGAACATGAGACCATTATTTTGTCGAAACCAATGTTGAAAGACGAAGGAGCAGCCATTAGGAAAATGAGCAGTATTTACGTTCAAAATTGTTCAGACTCCACGAAGAAGAGGCAGACGATGGCACATTCTATGTCAAATGTCAGACAAAATTGGATTTGGTTAGATATGTGTCACATTTGGCATAAATAAGCTCAATAAGTCCCAAAATACCGAGCTAAGAAATTGAATGGAAATGCGTAATCTTCTCCTCGTGTCGTCGTGTATTGTATGACGAGGTGAAAGTCTTCCTTCTCTGCTGATCAAAAACCTGTGTCTGCGATGATTCTGGAACAAATCTTCCTCAATATTTGAACCCTAAGAGGATTTCCTTCGGCAGCACGAGTAGAGTAATGGACTAATTCAAAACCTCTTCTGCTGACAAGGCATCCACAAACCTAAAAATAAACATCAACCTTGCAGTTTTCAAAACTAATTTTGTGGAATGTATTATCAAATTATTACATTCCGCAGAATTTTCCCGTGATCACTACTTTTCCACACAATTATTAAGTCTAGGATCGTGAAATAATAAGCTTTTGTCTTTATTTGACCGAATAGGACACTGCCGATACCACGCAAAGGAAACGTCTCGGCCCCATTGTACATGGCGTGGTTGGAAATGCTAACAAGGGACATGCCTCCGTTTCTCCTCGTCAGAGGAAACCAAGCTTCCGTCCTTACTTTCTATTCTTAAGAAGCACGTTTCTTCGTCTTGCTCCACCCAAAGTACTTCGTCCCCACTCATTATTCCGCTATTTTTTTGACAAGAGTGGTGAAAACTCTTGCAACATTTTTTAAATTGATATAAAAATTGTGTTGTATTGTTAAAAGGCCAGTCAAAAGTCTACTTAATCCCACACTTAATAATATCCCTGTGTTAGTACCTTAATAATTTTTATTGCTAATCATTCATGTTTGGAATTTAATATAAGATTAATTTTAAGTTTAAATTGCGTGCATCGTTTTCCTTTCTTTGTTCAATTTAGTTGATGAATGATTTAAATATATGCGTGTGGTAAATGTCAAACCTGACCATCAATATTTTAATCATAATCTCCTCTTGAGAAGTGTACCTATCCAAAGTAAATTACATGCTAAATATTAGTTCAAGGTAATTATATTAAGAAAAACTCTTACGTATAATAAAAAAATTTGCTCAGGATACAAAAAAAGTGTAAAGATCAAATTAATGTGTGCGGCTTTTAAATTGTGCATAATTTGTGGATTAGAAATTTTTTTGAGAACGCCACACATATTTCTCAAAATTGTGTCAAATATTGTGGCAGCTCTGAATATTCATTTTTGTTGCAAAATGCAACCTCACGCAAGCAGGAGCGTGTGCATGTCTGGACATATGCAATGCCACTACAAACAACGCCTATCGGAAGAACCAATGATGTGAACCAGTAGGTTATCCATGCGAAAATTGGTAATTGAGTATTACATGAATATTTGAATTTCAATTACATATGTGGATGGGTATATACTGGTAGAAACGTATTTTCATGACGTTATTAGTGAAATTGTTTTAAGCTTATGTATAAATAAATGAATCAAGGTGTGGTGATAAAACAAACGAGAGTTCAATTAAAAGACCGTAATTGAACTCATGTCGTGCTTGTGACGCCGTTATTACGAATCGGACGAGTACTTACGTATGCAGCGAGTATGATATTTGAGAAAATAATAGGTGATCATAATATAATGACATGTATGCAATTTTTTGATGCTAAATTCAAAACTGTTGCATTTGGTACATACGAGTTCCATGAATCATTTGATTATTTTGCAGATTTATTTCTTTATTGAATACGTAACATTCCTATATATATATATTTCATATATCATATACTCATATATTTCAATCATATATGGTTTCAATCATGGAATCATATATTTCACATTAGCTACATACTTATAAAATTTTCCCCATCATTCAAACCACCCGGACACATAGTATTATTTTTAATACTAATAATTTATAACGTTTGTTCATTTGCCCCTAAAACTGATCATATGTGTTTTATTACGGACACAAAACTCTCAGAGTTCACCATACAAATGTAATTGCTAATTACTATTTAATATTTAATACACGCTAATATATGTACATTTATATGAACATACAATAAAAACTCTACCACAAAGAGAACCGTCAGCCATAAAAAGTTCTTCGAAGAATACAATACTCAGGAAACTTAATCTAATTTTATGACACTTTTTAGATTTGTCTAACCTTTGTCTAAAATTCTATCCAATCAGGAAACACGTCATACTTTTTACGTTACACAGTTTTAGTTTGCATGTGTGAACGAATTCAATTGAGTTCAATACGAGCTATCGATAAATACTGGATTCGGATTGGACGGTGAATTAGCGCAAATTTTCCCAAACCTTCAAACTGTTCAATCTTAATTTATATGATTCCTTAAATTATTTTTTGTAATTTTGATTATCATATTTGTGTAACCGTGAATCAAGCTTTTGCATGTACGTATGTATGCATGTACATATTTATGTATGCATATATGGTAGATTACTTTGCTGATACACATTTGCTTTGCAGGATATTTCATTGATGTCTAGCCCTGAATAAGGTTTTTCTACTATAGTCACAAAAAACGCAAATAATTTTAATAATAATGATCAATATTTCAAATTGCAATTCCAACGAAGGAAAATAATGTACTTAAAATATTGCCAAGAGATGAGGTAAACGATACGTACATATTTATGCCAATTTAAATATTATTATTAAATTTCACACAATACGGGATACATGCTATGAAATGCTATGAAATGCTTGCTGTGTATAAAACTGGATTTGAGATTAAATTAATAAGAGAAATAAGGTAATTATGACATGGGCGACGGTTCTATTCGCTCGGCTGTGAAAGTGATAAGCCAGACCTGACAGTAAAACCTCGAAATTTGCATTCCATTCTAAATGATTTACGTGTCACTAATTCGGCCAAGTCTTGCTGCTATTAGTCTTCCAGGGAATGGATGATGAGGGGAGAAAGAATGGAAAGGGAAATCCAAAACGCGGATGAAGGATTTCAAGGAATGAGAAAATTGCACCAAACGTCGCAAATTACATTACGTTAAATTACATTGTACTACACACACTGTTCCAGAAATAAATAAGATAGCCATAAACCCAGTCTTAAAATGGAGATAAGAAATCTAGGCCTAATATACATTTATACATAAATTGCATTTCTTCCTCTCCTCATATCGTAATTACTATTCTATCTCAATCTCCCATATTTTTGTTTGTCAGGAAATTAAATTGCAATATTTTTCAAAATCTGAAATCTTGCGATGTGTCAAGAAATTGTGTCACCAACCAGAAATGACATACATATTAACGGAAATATCTCAGAATCTTGTAAAACATGCGTTGTAAGTTAAATGTGACATATGCAAAAGCAGAACAAGAACAATGCAAACAAAAATATATTACATTGAGAACCACACGTGTGATGTGTCACACAAGAAATTTGGCTGATATTACCACTACATAGCACAGATTCGTAGTGTTGAGAAATGAAAATATGGCGTGCTGTTATGCAAATTAATTGTGGTAAATCGTATTTTAGCATAAACAATCCTTTTTGCAGCCTTCCAAACGACATGGAACCAATGATCACACGACAACAGGAACCACCGACAGACTAATAAATTACAGGGTTGTGGTTTCTGGATAGCATTTCCGTACCCGTACGGGTAAAATTGGGTTCCAACTGAGCCGAAAAGAGCTAATGGAATGACCAGCAAAACTTTGGGTAGGGCTTTATGGATGTGATGGTGCCAGCGGTGTTGTCCTGCAAGGATGGACTAATCACAAGACCAGAGTATGACGCGAGGGTCGAGTCTGGGGAAAAGACAGGACGTTAGGAATTTATGGCTGTCAAGTGAAAGTCAAGGAGAAAGGAGTGTGACCCATTATAGATTTCAAGTTGTGTATAGTTTGGCATGAAGGAATCTCTATTATTATGACTGTCATACTCCACTCCCAAGACCAACTGACCACATAACCTGCCACCCCACCTTTCACCTCTGATACTCTTACTTCTCTTGTCTCTCCCACGAGCTAGAGTTGGCTGGGAGAAGAACCACGATGGCTCAACTCGATGGGAATTGGGAGCATTCAATTGGAAATGATGTGGGCACAGGTTAACCCTATTAGTGAATAGGGCTGAGCTCGAAACTAGAAGTAGGTGAATAAGTTATGACGTGGTTTCCATTTTCATCATTTTGTCACACAGGAGAAACACAAGAGTTGGATGAATCAATATTTATTTGATGTCTCCTTTTTGGTCGTCATGGCCACTTTCGTTAAGACAAGATTGACGGATGACAAAGCGGTTCCGTCCAATAATTCCGACCTCCTCCTGTTATATTCCACTCCAAAGTTCCAACTCATTTATAATGTGCAGTGCTTATTTTGGGGATGCGTCCAGATATAATCTTAATACCGCTTCCTCTAATTTAGAATAATGAGCGAGACTATACAATACAGAAGTATTTATATGCCTGTCCAACTTTGCTTGGAGATCTTCCAATCACTTCTTCCTGAAGAAATGACATTTAAAGAATTAATTTTCTTTTATATCCACATACCCCAAATTTTATATACTTGTCACTTGTATTAAAGAGGAAAACTTTTCTCGTCCTTAGCTATTTCGTTAGGAAAAGTTTACAACAACGAAGGCAAATAAATAATCCCTGACACAAACTAAAAATTGAGACTGAAACTCCCATCCTCAAAGTATATTATTTATATGACATAACCACGATATTGTTACATATTACTCGCGTTGTGTGCATTATCTGCAGCAGAAAATATACAGAGGAATAAAATACACGTTATAATGTGAAGCCCAAGAAATATTTTGTCTCATATCTCATGTAGGCGTAACCCTGGTGTAGGTTACTCCTCTCAGGACTTGACTTGTAGTAAAGTCATAAACGATTCCCCAAAATCAGGGAGAAAGTTATTTTATGTAAATATGTATGTAAATATCTCTCGACCTGTCTAAACTCAAAGCATGGGAGGGGATGGGGACATTAGGTTTGAAAATGAGAAACATTCCGAATGTGGTATTCATGCACCTCGGGATGCTGAAAAGAAAGAAAGTAATGATAATATTTACATTGTAATATTTACATTGGCTTCTTTTCCCTAACCGAGATAAACGTTGTGACTTCCTGCCTGACATTATTTTATCGAGGCACATGAGAACCTGAGCGACCTCAGGATAAAACTTACTATAATTGCACAATATTCGGTCGAGATTGGCAAACAGCAATACCATAAAGATGATTAAATACGGATGCATATCGCTGGTATCTTGTATCTCACTTTACCCATGATACATACATGTACGAAATAGTTTAACGATATAATAATTCCATGAAAGGGAAATAATAGACAGCAAACAAACACAATTGCCAATTCATCATTTCATTATTAAAACGATATTGATTGATATTTCACCCACAGACGCTTAAATAGTTCCATTTACTATTCTTTATTTGTACAAACTGAACGACGATCCATCACGAGTCTATCCTCATAATTTAGTATCCGCAGAAATGAACAGATTATTTGTCATTGGGCCTTCATCATAACTGTATTCAGTCAATTATGACGATAACACAAGTCATCAGTATTAGACAATATCGCCATTTCTTTCAACCTCGGTCGTTTTTTCCTCCTCAATTCTTATTTTTTATATGATTGATTCAGGACGGATATAAAAATTAACCATGAGTTTGTATTTACTTGATAATTTATCAATGTGCCTTTGTTGTGTCAGAAATCATCAGAGAAAGCGAATATTGTTATTTCATGCAGTATACAACGAACCATGGCTCAACATTAATCAGAATCAACGAGAAAATGGAAAATAATAACTCCGGAGCTGAACTTTATGCTTTATTACCTATCACCCTGCTCACAGTTTTGACAAGAGTGTAACAAGGAGATGAAAGAGATGACGGCTTATTACAACCGACAGCTCATCCTGAGAGAGAGAGAGCATGATAGAGAGACCATCAAATGAAATTTGAATTTGCTTGACTTTCACTCCAATTTGCCTCGTGCTGAGGTGAGGGTGGGGTTTGTGGGTGGCAGAAAGGTGAAGAGACCTCCTTGATATTGGTTTTTAGTGTGTCAACTGGGATTTTATTGCCAATCTAAATAATCGTGGCTTACACCCACTCACAAAATTTGATTATCTTTGGACAAAGAGAAGGTTGCAATATCTAGGCAGAACTGTCGTAAATAAAAACCAATTAATTTTTCGGACGGCTGTACAAATTTTGATTTTTGGGTCAATAAATTTTCATGGGTTTACGTTTCCCATGTAAAGCAATACGGTTTATAGGAAACTTGCATCTAACATGTATGAAGTAAAAGTAAAAGTTTAGAAGTATTCTAAAGTATATAGTAGTCTATTAGTGAACCTACTTGAAAAATGTGCTGTGAAACTATGGACCAGCGATACAAATCTGTATGGCTATCTATTTCATTTCCCTTGCGTAAATGACCCTTACATATGTTATCGACGTCTAGGTAATATCACGACGTATTGAAATATTAGTTTTGTGTGCATAATTTTCCACATTTTATGTTGAAACTGAAATGATCATAAACAAGATGGTACATACATACGTACATATGTGATCCTGCATAATTACATGCATAAACATTCGTTCGACCAGTGAGGTAAATCAAGTATGTACAAATGTGTTCATTATGACGTGCCATCGGTACAGTTTCGATTTATGAGTGCACAACAAATACAAGTACGAGAATTATTGTATTTTTAAAGTTGCAAATGTTGTAATTTTCAGAATCACAAGTGCAGAAATAAAGCAAGGGTTTTATGCGCATATATCTTGGCATATGTATTTGATACGATAAGAGTTATCACATAAGTTTACTTACATCTTAATTTTCTGCTATTAGCCAGTTAACCACTTCGGCGTTTTAGACTAATTACCATTATGAAGCAATTTTAGTCTTTTTACTTCTTTCTCCGTAGTCACACATCATGAATTAATAATAATGAAGGAAGGCTTTGTGGAAGTTAATAAAGATTGTATGTAACAAATCATGTTGAACTATTTAGAAACCATGGGTTGACGTCAACACATGTAATAATGAGACGTTTTTTTCACGGAATGGATTAGAATTCATGTAGAAGCACACAATAGAAATTCATTAATAAGTCTAACTTGAACTCTATAGTTAATTAATATAGTAGCATTTTGTATAGGTGGTGAAATTAGTTGCATGTATTAAGTTAAGTGGACTAAAGTGACGACTACATGACACCTTTTAGCTGTGAGGCAAAGTGTGTAACCAATTCCTGGAGTTTCCAATCCTCTCCAATGTCTCCTCCGGAAATAAAATGAGCTTCCTTCCATCGCGTGCGAGCTGAAGCATTAAGTGGATAATGCATAACGGTGGGAGCGGTTGATGTTCGAAAGTCTAGATATTCGAAAAAATCGCTAAATTATTTTCATTATTTTATACAAGTATGTACGCAATACAATTTAAGCAGGATACTTATGTAGGATCACATGTGTACATCCGATAGGTATAGACGTATTTATGCATGTAAATATTTCACTTTATTGAAACTTAATACCTTTCATCAATTAATATCACCTGTCAGCATTTCCAGAAAAAATTTGATAATGCAATCACGTGTTTAAAAGCATACTAGAAATGCTGTGCCTTTGTTACACATTAATAAGTAGAATGAAGCAAAATAAGGTTTGAAAGTGATAATAGACGTCTTCGAGACCTGGTGAAAGTCGGAAAAACCCGTAAAGAATATCGAACTGATGAAATGTTCTGAGAACATGTAATAATAATTCTAATCCTCCTTGAAAGCCTATTGCTAACAAACTTGGTGCAATACATATCTAAATACCCATTTCCTCAACAAAGCAAGGATGTTATATAGGCTTCAAAATCCATTACTCTCAAATTGTGCTCAATCCTCATGAAAATTCCCCACATTCAGTTGAGCAGGCATGCAAGTGAGTGAAGAGAAGGAAAATCTATACACACCTCCCATATATTCATCAAATGGGTGAAAGTAAGTGTAAGTAGCCTTAATTAAAACCCCGTTTTACCTTTCTTTGCACTTTGAAAGTTATTCAACGGTGAGATAAAAGAGCTAAATCAAATGACGCACAATTGCCTAATTCGATTTTCGATCAGCGCATACATCGCAGGACTAAATCCCATTTATCTGCTATAATTGACTTGTCCTTGCTGTCTCTTGCCGTTCAACAACACATTATGCATTGGACGAAGGAAGGAAGGAAAATATCATATGTACGTACGTATAGCATTTCCACTCAGGAGGGGAGCTTCCGAGGTTGATAATAACAAATCTTGATGCCCTTTGGATATGTGGTGGTGTCCCATGAGTGTACTAAAACCCTAAAGTGGGTTGACTCCATGGCCACATTTGCGCCCGCCACACCCACTCAAAGGTGTCCAAAATACGCTTTCACTCCAGCTTTCGCTCGCTAAAATCCACGCCAAAAATCCAATTTTACTCTTAGTTTGAAATTTCTTTCACCATTATATTCCCAGATAGTTGCTTTCTTATATCCAGGATCAACTTTTTGAAATTTTTAGTATTTTAAAAATTTAAAATTCTGAATGAGCATTGTTGTAGTAATCAACAACGTAAATTATGCCTGCAAAATAATCATCAAAAAATTGTTTGATATTGGATCTAACAAAACAACTATCTGGGAGTATAATAGTGAAAGAAATTTCAAAATAAGAGTAAAATTGGATTTTTGGTGTGGATTTGAGTGAGTGAAAGCTGGAGTGAAAGCGATTTTTGGGCACCTTTGAGTGGGTGTGGTAGGCGCAAATGTGGCCATGGAATCAAACCACTTCAGGGTACCCCTTTAGGTTATAGCATCGGAGAGTACCGCGTATCCAAAGGGCAAGAAGATCTGTTATTATCAACCTAGAAAGCTCCCCTCCTCAGTTTTAGTTTTTGCTAATGGAATAAATCGCCTAAATCCACCGGTGGATATCTGCCTCCACCGACTGAGTGACTCGCATATATAAACCTGTCGACGAGAGCCTTTAGTACAACTATATTTTGCTATGTGACTGACATTTTATTATAACATTGGTCGTAACTTCACGCTCCGTACTCTGCCTTGGTTGGTTTCAATCATTCGGTTTAAATTGAAATTAGCTTCATTTCGATTTTAGTCCATCCAGTCGACGTGTAATATGGAGACGTGCAATACATAGTTCGTGACAGAAGAAGCCTAGAACTTTATGCACCCTAAAAGTTCCCAAATTTTGAGAGATAGTTCCTCCAATGCAACAATAATCACTCCTCTGCTTGTTCCTGAAATAAAACCCTGCTCAAACTTAAACTTTGAAATAGAGTCAAGTTCTCCTATTAGGCAGCTCGTATATAATTATTTTGCTTGCTACTCGTTTGAGTGAAAGTAGCGATAATTAAAGCTTGCTAAAAAAGTTGACACAATGTAATTGTCTAAATGTATGAGAGACCAAAAATATGACTAGACATTCTATGTGTCACGAACACACAATTTATTCAAGAGAAAATAAAAATGTTCACTCAATTCATATTTTTTCACTTGTACTTTGCAGTACATTTTGTGGATCGAAGGTAAAGAATTTGCAATATGTATGTACACCTGAATTTTAAACCTGTCAACATTGGCGTTATTATAAATGTTGCCTTGAAAAGTATAAAATATATAACTTGGCTTTCTCCTCTTAACCTGATGACAAGCCTCTCAACTTCTTTTTCGACACTTCTTTTTCTTGCTATTTAGGATTTTCAACAACTTAAAGTTGCAATGAAAAGACTTTCCTTACTGTGAATGCAAATATATAATTCAACCATTTCTATTATAAATTTATCGAGTAGAGGCCTTCAATAATAGGCGATTTGATTGGTAGCATTTCCCTCATTGTGCCGTTGTGATAGAATTTTATTAATTCTGCTCTGATTTGATTTGCAACCCTTCTTCTCTGGTAATATATAGAAACATATAGAAACCCGATTAAAGTTGTTTGAGGCAGATTATTCAGATAAACGGAGAGAATACATGCAGAGATCAACATTAAAATTCATGCGGAACTGGTATGTCTCAAACCAGTGAATATTCATATGTTTAACAAAGTTATGTTAAAAATCGTAGCAGGTCTACCACATTCATCCAAGCGAGAGTTTATGTTGCTCCAATCAAAAGAAAAAAATTAAGAAGATTAAAACTTTTGACTGACATGAAGAAAGACCTTGGTTTTCATGTTACGTATTAATTATAATTTACTCTGAATAGTTCTCCCAAAAATTCTTATTCTAATTCGGGTCCTCTGGGAATAGTATTTTCTAATTATAAAGAGAGCGCAGTGCATAATACAGAAAGGACGAGACGTTTTTAGCTAAGGTTGCCAACTTGCCATAAATAAGCTTAACTTTGACTTTATCAAACACAATTAGTGCAATTCTAATGCAATTTCTCCAAAGAGGAAACATATAGGTTTAAACTAAACTAACTTTATTTTGAAATTCCTTTGGGAAATTAAAGGCACCTTTAAGAACGTTTTACTTTACACCCATGAGTCTTGTCTGAATGTAAAGTTATATGTAAGTATGTATGAGTAGGTAAACTAAGGATAAGTAAACACAATCGGAAGGAATTAATGAATGCATAAGTCTGTCCATGTGATGGCACTGTGAATTTGAATAATTGATGTGTATCCGTCCATAACTTGTATCTTGTTTTATTAATTAAAATTGGAATTAAATCATACTTTTATTAGTGTTTGGTGTGCTGCTGGCGTCTTCGCATCAACATTTGATGATGATGGGGTAAAGCAGGCGTGGAAGTGGAGATAGGTCAGGGGCCAAATAGGAATGAAAAGGCTTGATGGATAAGTCGAACCAAGTCTGACGTGGTGGTGGACCTCCCATTCTGGGAGTAAGCGAGGCGGGCGCATTCTCGCGTGAGTCGACAAGCACCATATGCAGCCAAAAGTTCGGGTGGAGCAGGAGCATCCCCTCTGTCGCCAAATGCAATCGCCCAATGGAATAAGACGGACAAGGCTCCAGCAAGAAGATCCCCTTGACCTCCACATCTTCTGTTAGAACCTCCACCAGCACAGCAGACTACGAGTCTGAAATCGGATTTTAAGATATATATATGTATATAATGGGAATGTGTGACGCTCTTACGAGTGAAAATTAGGAATCGATTGGCATATTGCACGCAATAAATACTTTAACAACAATACCTTCCATTTGACGCCACATCGGTTGCTCCTTTATGTAGAATTGTCACATATCCTAGCTCTTTTGCAAGTTCTTTAACTTTTTCAGCTGAAGCAGAGGGAGCTGGTTTTACCTCTTCCCCCAGGACGGCACTGATAAGGCGTGAAAACTCCATGGAATTCGGGGTCAATATAACCTTTGAATAATTTCTAATAAGTTCAACATTGCTTGTCACGAGGAAAAGTCCATCAGCATCAATGATCATGGGTTTATCCAGCTCCTTCAGCTTTTCAATTACTTGAGCTACGACATTGAGAATTTTGGGATCTCGACCCATCCCGGGACCAATTACGATGCAGTGCATTCGTGGAACCCAATTCATTATCTGCTCTACGGCGTTATCACTATCCAGAATGGGATGAACTATAAGTTCGGGACTGTATGACTTGATCACAGGTGAAGCATTTTTGACACAAACAATATGAGCTAAATCCGCTCCTACTTTTAATGCGGAAATTCCAGAGAAATAAGGGGCGCCCGTATACTCTTCATTGCCCCCAATGACCATAATTCGGCCTGCCTGGCCCTTGTGCATGGCGTTAGTTAAGGATGGAATAAATGCCCGGGCACTTGCTAAGAGGGCTTCGTCATTTCCGACAGGAGTTGATGCCATTGTTCTCGAACCACTTGGTGCGGACGTTCCACTCGAACTTGGGGCAGTGTTGCTGGCAGTAGTCGTGGTAGATTTGTTGACGTTGAGAGAAGCCAGGGTGGACAACAAAGGGAGAGGTGATGCAGTTGGTGTTGGTGTCGTAGATGAATTCCTTTGGCAGTTATTAAAAGTTATTGGTTGTTGTACAGCAAAATGTGTGTTAGATTTAGAATTTCTTCGACTACCACAGAGAGAATGGGTTGGGCTGCAGTAGAAGAAATCTGTTGATGTTGGCGATGATGCTCCTGCTTTTGTTGTATATTTTGGCTGCAGAACTTGACATTCCTGTTGAACTACCTTTGATATTTCTTTCTGTTTCTTTCGCAGACTCAGGTTTAAGCAGTTACTCAACGGATGAACGATCTTTGTTCTTATTTGGTGAGATACTTCTTGTAGTAATTTCATGCTATTTTGAAGTACTTGTCATTTCTGAAAACATATGCATAGGTTATTATAAGTCTGACTCATTCTTGTGTCTTGGTGCTTTTCTTCTACTATTGCATGCAAGAATTATATAAATCTCAAACTTCATTATATGCCTACGACATATTCCATTATCAGTTAAAATGTCATATAAATATTTCCATAAATAACTTAAAAATAACGACGACCTTCCTAAAACCAAACAGGAATATTGTCTGTGTGCACTCCTCTTTAATCTCGTCACTGTTATTATTAATATTTAATAATATTTCTGACCTCTGAAGCCACTGACCGATTGTAATATTGCAATAATTGTAATATGTAATTACTAACACTGACCTCACTCATTTATAACCTGTTTGTTCATGAGCTTGGACATCATTGGATAAATTATTTACATGATAATGAAATGACGTAGTAATAAAAATTACAGTAATAATAAGCATGTAGTATCAAGTAATAAAGGTCAAAGAGTGACAATATTATTGTAGTTGGCAATGGATGCCCAATCCAGGCAACACCGGTATAAAGTTGTTAACAAGTTAGCAACAACATTAGGTTATGATGATTCCAAAAATTTAGGCTCACCTGTTTTATAGTCTATTTTGTTATTGTTTAACACTAGATGCAGCACTGCCAGTACAAGGGACTTGATTTGAATAATGATCGTTCTTCCTTCACTTTCAGATCATTCGAAAAACAATTTACAAGTTTTATAACGCATAGAGAATAGTATTTTCACCGGTGTGCTTCTAATTTCCCTCTGGACCAAGTATGAGTTTACTCGTTGTGTCTCTCGCACTCTATGCACCACAAAGACGACTTTCTCTCCTTACTTACTTATCCACTACTTTCGTCAATTTCCTTTCTCCACATTCCTCTCCCCCGTTTCAGAAAATGTGTGATTCCTGCAGAAATTAAATTGACGCGTGAAACAAAGCAGAGTTTGGAGCTTTTGATCACCAAACAACCGTTCCAGGTCAGACTTTTCCGAAGGTTTTAGAGTAGAGAAGGATGGGCTGGATGGGGGTGGACCGCGCGTTGATGGCTAATATTGGGCTACTTGGCCTGGAAGTGAAGGGAGGACGACGGTGGTGAGAGATAAAGTTGTTGTCGAGGCTGAGGACGTTCTAGTTCTGAGGGCGAGGAGCGGATAACAGGTGAAAGTGGTGGTGGTGGATTCGGATGATGATGGGTCGGTCTCGGATTGTTGCCCGGACTCACTTTCTTCTTTCTATCTCCACCTCTCTCACTTCCCTCTACAATCTCGTCACCCAGACAAGCAGACATCACAAGAAGAAGAACCGGAACCTGTGTCCCACGTCCTCCCACCTCAAGGATTGTATCTCCCAATCTCCCCATTATCACCAGACGACGACGACGAGGGGGAGGAGAAACGACCAAATCAACACTCCGTTCCTCTCATAGCTATGCAATTTTCGCAATCCTGCATATAGTGGCAGGACCAAGTTTGATTAAAGATGATATTTTCATAGGGATTCGCATGTACATAATTACAAATATTAGAGCCTCGAAATTGAAGGGACTCCAGTAGTAGTTCCCATTTCGTTCTTCTGTGATGTGGCTGTTAAAATGTAGCAAATGGAAACAACACTTCTTCTCTTCCCTGAAAAAAGTGGAACTGAATTCGGATCCGTTCGGCTTTGTGTCTATGTATTTCTTCTCTCTCACGATATTTTGAAAACCAGTCTCCCGAAAAGGAAAGGAAGTAGAGATGGGTAGTAATTGTGTGCATGCAGAGAGTATTTTATGTTGATAACGGGAAAAAGTGCAGAAGAGGTAGTCATCCAGACACTGTATAAACATATCTTATGTGAGAGCTATATATAAAGTAAGTCGCTCCATATTCCTTACTTTCCCCGTCCTCGTGAGAAGCTATTCAATGATAAATGATAATATTTGCTCTAGTTTAGAGGTTGGTGGGCGAAAGAATGACGACGGAAGGAGTAAGACGTCGTCGTCCGTGTACATCGCTGTTTGTTTTAAGTGCACGCTCCGAAGCATGAAATTTGACATTTGCCGTCACACGCGCTTCTTGAACTCCTTCCGTTTTCAGAATCAAATGAATGAAGGAAACCAACTTGGGAACTTTGGTGTCGCAAAAGAATGTTGCGTTTATATAATTTATGGAATGACATTTAGGGTGATAAACCATACATTGAGATGACGGCTTCAGTAAATAGTGGAAATAAAATTTATCTCAATTTCCCCAACCCGTGTATTTACATATTATGTTGTATTCCTAAAGGTAAATACGGCATACCCGATAATACCCGACACAAATTATGTCGTCAAATGGTACCAAACAGACATAAATTGAAACAACATTATTAGATACACACATAGAATAGAAAGAATTAGAAGAAGCACTCTGCTCTTTGTTAAGCAAGTAAGGGGGATGACTCTCCACGTCACATACGAGAGGTCGCCAGAAGCCCTCAATGTTAAACTAAATGGCAAACTCGCAGAGTTAACTCCTACTCCATCTGTGAGTGACGTGGAACATCTCTTTCTGTATCTTTTATATCGTGGTGGTTAATTATTCGTCGCTAGAGCCCTCACTAATACTATCTTTTATGCATTTTGTATTTACCAATGCTAAGATACTACCCATCGGATACACACAACTATCCTACTACTATCATGCACTACAGTATGTATTTGAACTTCAAAAGTTTTCATGCAAAAGTGGTTTACAAATATACTCCAAATTATATAAAATTGCTACTTAAGAGTAAAAATTCAGGAAAGTTATACAACAACAAAATATAAATATTTTATAAATTAAGTGATTCAGATTGATTTGTGCAGGTACACATGTATCTGCGTATGTATAATCGACTGCGCATTGCGAATATTGCGATATGACTTAGCGAACAATCGTATACTTTGTGATGTATGAGTATCGAACAAAATCCGAAACATTTTGACATTTTCTGCTGGAATTTCCACTCAATGATATTACACACTGTCACAAACATGTACATATGTACATTTGTATTAGGAAAACAATTACATGGCTCCATATCATTGTAAAAAATAATAATGCTGGTCGCTTGAGTCATAAAGTCCATGCCATGAATGAATGTTGAATGTATAGGAATGCAATATGTCAAAGCATGGAATTAGGGTTATATCAACGACGCTCGCCAATATGGTCACGGAATTGTTGTTGTTATCAAGTGGGTTCAAAAGAGGGGAGGATTTAGGTATTGAAGTTTGATTGACAGTTTACTGGAATTTTACTACAAAAACTGATTGGCAAGATATGTGTATCGATCAATGAGACAATCGATTCAGGACATATTATAGTGTCATGCGAGAGTGGTAGAGATTTATAATGTTGACATGTGGACACTACTGGATTTACATGCTTAACAGATTAGATTATGTGAGACATCGATTATGCATGATTGGGAAAATTGGAAATTGTTTATACATTGTCGTTATCGTTAAATTACATTAAGCTGACATCAACTTTTAGGCACCACTTCTTCAAATTTTGTCCGGGTTGGCAAGAATTGTACGAATTACATACATACGTACTTCCACGTCTGACGTAAATATTAGGACTTTCTGCCCTCAACAGAATTGGAAACTCAGTATGTATTGATCGCGTTGTAGAGCGTGAGTTATTTTCATATTACGCCTTGAGGTTGCTATTTTTAAACTTTTTAATACAGCAGAATTGCAAAATTAAGGGACAGGATAAATAGCTACACATCTGCGGATGTATGTTTCAATGTTCTTAAAATAAATACATCTTTGAGCTGTATGTTTGCACTACTGAAGTACAAAAATAAATTCAATTGGGACTGCAACTTCAAATGGTTCATTTTTTGCACAATTTTGTGAGGGCAATATCCAGCATGTCCCCTTTTCAGCATGTACGATACATCATTCGGAAATGTGGAGAATAAAGAAGTAGACGTATTGATGTGTAAGAGCAGTACCACTAACCTCATGGTTGCATATATGATTCACACATGTGTAACAATGCATAGCAGTTGCGGAGGGGAAGTCTTTGTTCCATTCCACTTATGTAAGAGCGTGAGGGAGAGGTACTTCCATCCTTGAAAATTGCAAGCGAAAAACTTAGCATTTGCCAATGCTTGTACTTGAACTTGTAAATAGGGAGTAATAAAAGGTATGAAAAGATGGAGGGCTGAACCGTCAAGTAAAAAAATAAGTGTCTGTGGAAATATGTACGATTACATTTCTAATTAGTGACCCTCTCCCCTCACAAGGAATACTCGCCACCCATCGTACGACTAGTTTATCCAACTTTTCTTTCTCAAGTAAATTCATAATTACAAGTCTGTGCATATGTAGAAAGCTCAAAAGTGACTTGTATTTCTAACGTTTGATTTGTGTTAATATTGTGCATACACAAGTACGTACATGTGTACGTAGGTAGTCACTGTCTTGCTGGATTGATTTACAATAATAATGTACCATTCCATCCACCCATCAATCAGTTTCTTATCTGCATCACCAGCACCAGGGTACTGGTCGCAAGAGCAGGTTAACAATTTTGAGATGCGGCTGAAACTAATCATCATCAACTCAGTCAGCCCATCCACCAAAGTCTCAATAATCTCCCTCGTCTCATCTTCATCCTTCATTGTAATAATGAAATGAGTACAATGCGAATACCATCATCAGAAAAAGCGTATTGCTGCTTGATGCTGCTGAATTGCTTCTGCTTGTCTAACTCCCACCCCACCACCAGCATTCGTTTTATCCAACCAAAAACTTGCGTAAGTATAAAACGAGTGGCCCTTTCCGTTCAACTGGTTAGTTCATATTTACACTTTTAGCGAGCAGACGAAGAGTTTGCTTTTAGTTTGGCATTGGCGAAAGCTCTTACCCACCACGACTCCCCTCTATCCGGTTCTTCTTAATACCCGGCTTCCTCCTTCCTGCTAAAAAACTAGTAGTTGGTGTTTCTACTCGGAAACTCGGATACAGAAACCAACCAGAAATATCCTCCAATATCAACAAACCAGTCTCCAGAACTTTAGGCAACTTCGAGTTAACATCGACAGATCAAGTCTAAAAGTGTTTTTTGATTTGTCTGAATTTTTAGCAGCAAACTACTTTCAACTCAAGTATTTACTTAAGAGTTTCGTACATACATATTCTCTGTTGCCGGAGGATTGACACTCCTCAGAGTGAAATAGACTTACTCCTGTGTCACCAACATCCACGGAAACTTGTGGGCGTATAGCAGAGTGGCCGCAAGAAAAACCATACCTAAGCCTTCAACACGATTAAGGGGGCTTACACAAAGACTTAAGGTGTAGATTCGTCGATTGTTTGAGAGCCAAATGTTGAAGATGCCACACACGGGGAAGTTGAGCATCAGCAAGGCGTCTGGAGCGGAGATGAACGATGGGAACAGCCGTTTTCAGGTAAATCGGGTAGGGACGCTAGAATCGGAGGACACGCTGTCACCCCCACCGGAGGCCACGTCCCCTCACGATGGGCTGTCCCCCAACCAGTACACCTACGTCTACGACACCCGCTACCACAAGAGCTTGGGACAACTGACGCGTGAAGCCTTGCCAGCCCTTGACAATTACAGAGACCTTTTGAGCGTTCATGCCGCCCCCAGGCCCACGCTGGACGAACTCCATAATGCTACTTACACTGAGAAGGTATGCAACGTGTTTTTTGCAATTGCATTCTTGTTGGAAGGCACTTGTCTCACACTGCCTCGTTTATGTGCATTCTTACCTCATAAATATCTCAAACGATTCATGCTCATGCCAGCAGAAGACACAATCATGCTTCTGTTGCATGTTTCTCGTCATAACTTTACATACGACAAGACGAGACTCTAGGCACCCAAATCTCTTCATGGATGGTTACTGTATGTACATACATATGTGCAATTGAGATATTGCATTCAAGAATGCAGGCAGTATACACGTAATCTTTTATGCCGTACTGGCTGACCAAACCAGCCATTGACAAAAAATATAAACTGGTTAGACCTCTTAGTTTTCGGCTTGATATTAAATTGCATGCCTACTTCCTCATCCTCATCAACTCAACTGTACACATGGCATGCAAAACCAATGCAGAAAGGAAATAGGCCCATGAAAGCAGAAGATGGTAATATCTAGTAGCACACACGAGAACCTTACGACAAAACTAGTTAAACATGTACTCACAATGGAGGTCTCCCAACGTATGCTCACAGATTTGGACGAAATTAGTGTCAATCGATCACAAATATAATTAGTATGAAATTTGCAAATGGAACTATCTGCCAATGCGCAGGTTTGGCGGAGATATTTGCATAAAAAGAGGAGAAAACGCACCAAAAGGCTGGCATATTTTTCATTTTCCAAATTTCCTGCGCATTTTCTCTGCTTTGACTGCAAATATCTCCGCCAAACCTGCGCATTGGCAGATAGTTTCATTTGCAAATTTCATACTAATTATATTTGTGATCGATTGACGCTAATTTGGTCCAAATCTGTGAGCATACGTTGGGAGACCTCCATTGTCAGTTTTACGGATCGGTGTGTACCTAGGAGGTCATTCAAAAAGTATAGTAATGTCAGAACGAAATATAGAAACACAAATATTATTATTTGCCGGTAATGTGACAAGCAATTTTATTTTGGGAGCCACAAATTTAAATAAAATAAGCAGGAACTCTAGTGGGAAAACCCCAAGTAATAAAACCCATACGATCGTAAATTTTAATTTTTTAGTACATTCTAGGCACTAGTCTATAGGCCCGAAGTTTAGGTGCGGTTCACATTAATGCAATGATTACCTGTTCAAAAAGTTTGGAGGTGATATGATCTCTGTTTTAACTCTTGAAAAACTCATTGAAAGATTTACTGAATAGGAAGAAACAAGCTGAAGACCGAAGATTGAGTTAATAATAGTCGCTAGTAAAGCAACCAGGTAGAACTTCTACCGTAGAAGCATAATACGGTTTGAAAAGGTTATATTTTACACGGAACGCAATGGGAATCTCTATTTATCATATTCTTCGCGGATTCATTTACGTTTCCACGTCGAAAAGTCTTTTAGTTACACACAAAGAATCGTGGTGAAAAGCTTGCTACACCATTTCAGACCATAGAATTTCATGGTTATACTGTGTACGCAGGTACATAAATACACATGTATATTGCATATACTGCAAACAACAAACCATGTCCTCCTCCCACCTTTTGTTGACTATTGATACACCAGAATGGTTGAGAAAAAATGCAGAGATTTTTGATACATTTTTGTTTTGGGTGGTTAATTCTGCTGGAACTCATGATTCGTATTTCGTACACCAATGTTGTTATGAAAGGAAATTTATTTGATGTCCCAAAGACTTCAGTACTTGACGAGCCGGAATGATTTTATGTATGCCAATCGATTTTCGACTCCACGACAAGAGGCTTACAGTGAAAGATGACTGGTTAAAGAAAGACAGACGATTAGCATAAGTATTACCGGCCAAGAGCAACAGGTCGTTTTATATGCATGTATGTAGTTCCGTATTTTACGCCATTTATGTAAAATATTTGTGCGGATTGCAAATTGGAGTCAAAGAAATTCCCTTGGCCATAAAGTCAACGTCATAATTGGATTCCGACATTGAGCACTAGACACTGTTCTTACTGATATTGACAATATTTCATTCCCAATTAGTGTTTCAGTTCACTTTCATTGCATCGTTTTGGTGCCAACTAGTTGTTTATTTCCCAAAAATGGCACATTTGTCGACTTCGAGTTTGTGACGCACATAGATTTTTAGGAAACCAAACCAGATACAGCTCACCAGCTCGCACGATAGGCAATGAGATTTTCAGAATTTATAGTGACAAATATTGAAGATTTTATTACATTTTTATTCTGAATGGGCCATGAGGTCAGACGAACAACAAGTTAACAGAGTTCTATGACATGCTCGTTGCACACAGAGTTGGAAAACATGATTGTCGTCTTCTCACTTTTGCCTTGTTTTTATCGTCTCATTAGAATTTTATACCTCCAGTATTTTCCCATTATTACTAGAAAAATCTGGATGTTAAAGGTCGGATAAAGTCGTGATAGATTAATTGCATCTGCATCCCAACAATTTGTAAAAAATGCTGAATACGACGAGAATTTTACTGGGAATATACTTGTTTTGGTCACTGTAAAGTCCAAACTAGTTTTTACTTCTGGACTGACGTGTATTTGGGATCTTGGTTGGGCCTGCATATTTTTCTAATCCCTAAATTATTCACAAAATATTCAGAATTCAAGTTGGAAATAAATACAAAAATTTGGCTGCATAAGACTCTTAACGTATTCTTCAGAACTTTTACGTCCAGTAATGACCTCCAGGCCTTGGTTTACTGTAGGGGAAACATTTACCTTTTACAGCAAAAAATAACATAATTGGAACTATGTACTTGGAAGTATAAAAATTACGAATAACTTCAGAATTGATGATTTTAAATCATTGTAATTTTACGTAATTTTACGTAATATTATGCACATCAACCATTGTGATCTGCTCACTGTTGACATGTCCAATATTATATAAAGATTGCATAAAGACCCTTTATTCTATTTCATCCACCCAATTAGTCCGTTTGTTAATTTGATTGAGTCGGATATAGTTCGTTGTAGCGAGTGACCATTTAAATTCGTAATAAGTTGTTAATTAAACTGTAGAGTTTATGCAATGGTTGGAAGAATCACGCACTTTTATCATCCGCTTACAAATTACAAACCTTGTGTAAAGTCTTATGTAAACTTATATCAGGGTTTGTTACATATAGTCGGATTTCATACACGCTCAATTTCATTTGTAAAGAACCCAAACGATGACACTGCTCTTGTGACACTTTGTGGTTTTGTATGACTGTCCAATTCAAATGGTTTGACGGTGTTCATTTCCTCTGCACTCTTATAAATGTTCTATCTCCCCACAAACGAACATGTGTCCAGTACAGACACAAAATTAGCAGTTTAGATTCGTTGCAGTTTTAATGGATTCTCTCTTCTCTATTTTAACAAGGACTCTCGACTCGTGTACGTATTATGTGTTAGTGAATCTATGTATTTATTTGTATGAATCGTTATTGGACAATTTATCTTCATCATTAGTTAGCTATTTGTCCAGTGTTCTTACCCACAAAAGAGAGCACGACAAAGGACAATACATGGATAAAATGGGGACATATATTCTTCGGTTTCAAAAATGGTAGATATCACATATTTCCGCTATGTTAATTAGTTGCAACCTTGATTTAGATGTGTAATGTTCTAAAAGATCGTAGCATTTATTTATCAAAAAGCAAAGTAATTGTCGACGTATGAGGATGTCAATTGTCTCGACGAAATTATATAACCTTTTGTTGTTAATTACTTAATAAAAACGAACTTACATTCGGTTGTTTCATGTACATTTGCATGTAATGTACATATTTAGTTAATGTCATATTACGTAGCTTCCCATTATATGATTTGATAGAAAATTCAATGAAGGTGATCTAAATGTGCCATTGCCGATATCCTGTACATTTTGGGATTTAGGTGTGTCGCCAGGTCGTGTTATCTGATAATAATGTCAACAAATGTTGGACAAAAGAAGAATGTTGTAATAATAATGTGTAGTTGGAAGATATATATTCAGTTGATTTATGCATGCATTTGCATTGTGCGTAAGGGGAAAAATAAGTACATATGCATTTAAGTACCTATATTAATTCTGGAACGTGTAGTATTACTCGATCGAAACTGTCGAGAATAATCGTCAAATTTCTGGCGATGGAAGTGACGTTATTAAATATTCCAACAGGAAAAGCAGATTATGCAAATTATTGTTTAATATAAACAGGTTCATATTACTTTTATGAAACCACATAAATAGATGCACCCCAATTGTTTGTGATTACAAGTGTTTATAATTGTGTATGATTAGGAATTAAGTAAACGATAGGATAGTCCATGCCAGCCGGATATGTTTTCTGTGCATATTTTTCTGATATATATGCATGTACATATTTAACAATTATATTTATTTTTTGATTGATTGATTGATTGGGTTTTTAATCAATCAAAAAATAAATATAATTGTTAAATATGTACATACATTCATATCATATACATATATATTTTTCCTGTTTTCGTCACTTGGTTGAGATTAGCCAACAAGAATTCCATATTAATGACAACAAATCTCATCTCTTGAGTCATTGTTTTAAAAGGTGTGTTTGTGCCTGTCTCTGTGGGGCGTTGTTGATTAAAACAACTAAATACTTATATTGTAAAGTTGAAAGTACCCGGATTAATGACATTGATGTTTATACGACATATTTTACAGTGTGTGCTGTCGTATCTTACAAATTAATTACAATTTTTTATTACTATAACCGACTAGACGTAGCTAATTTTACCATCTCAGAAATTATTTTATCACTGTACCTAAGCAAACTTCTAACAACTATGCACTTCAGCATGAGGACGACTTTTATTTTTGTCTTACATCTTTTTAATTTATGGCAAATTGCTTGTTTAAGGATTGAAGAATGAGATGTAACCAAACCGTTACACCCATAATATATTTTAAAGCCTTTTATAGATTTTTATGATTATTAGTTAGGTATAAATTTTGAGCCCTACAAATTTTTAAATGAAAATCTGCCTTACTACTGGCATAGGAAAAGTAATAATTATTGCATTTGTATTTTGTCATGCATGACACGACTAGTTGATGCAGGCTTTCACCTCTGATATTATTTGTTTAGAGCTTGTTTCGAAATCCGAAAGACTTAAGTTTTGGTCAGCTATTGGTTGAAACAGCAAAGCTCAAATTAAATGTGTTTTTCCTAAAGAAAATTAGGATCCCTTTTTTAGTCGTGAGTTATAAATACGCAAGTGTTTAATCTACACAAGCTCGTTATGCAAACAATACGGAAGCTAATAAGTAGGAATACAAATGCAAGTGTATGTAAATGTAGGATGGAAAGACAATGCGAACACGATGCAAGTGCAAGTGTTCATTGACATTTGTTTAGGCAGAATTACTGGTCAATAGATGTTTTGTGCTGAATGTTAGGACGGGCCAGGTGATGGGACTGGCAGTAATTTAATCGAAAGTGCATTCCTCTACATACTGCATACATGAGGATTGCAATCTGTTCCAACGCATCCATATCACAGCATGGCCATGTCAATGAGGTGAAGTGGAATGCATTAATTGCAGGATTGGAAGTGCATGATACAGATAAGCTTCACCATCCTATTTCGTTATATAACTGCCAATACTAGATGAGTGGCTCCTATTCGTCTGCATGTTATTTTACACCTGTCTTGGTGTTTTATGTGTACTGAATAGCACATCAAATCAGACAACAAAAATGCTATACAAATTTATGTGGGTGCATTGGCCAGCAAGAAATATAGCCTGGATTTGCACTGAGGAATCCTGAATCAAAGCATATTAATTAGGCTGGAATTCTAGAATAATCCTAGTCGTTTAACTTCCAGCACCAGTCAAGCCATTTCCGGAGTCGTGCTTGTTTAATGATGACTCTGATGTAGGTATTTTTGTGGCAACGACTGACTCGAGAAGTGTGGACAATGTGCATCAAATTTGTACTCGTTCATGCACACACTGAATGCCTCCCTGTACTTATTTCATGGGCGATACGCGGAAAGAGCTCTCAGTCTCCTCAGACTTGTGTAATGCCATGGTACTTTTCCACCACTTGATTTAGCTTATAAAGAAGCATTTGTCATCCTGGCGAAATTCCTATCTTTTGATTCTTTTATTTGCAATACTGCTCAACATGCGGATTACACAGATACATATATTCGCACGGCAGCAGTAAACTATGAAGAAGCAGTTTTGCAGTTATGAAAGTCTGCATGCTTATTCTTCACAGGAAGAATGAATCACATTCAATTCGGAAGAAGAAGCTTGTATTCACTTGGATCTGCACTGTAGGGGATGAACGACGATAAAAAATGCCCGTTCTTGTCTGTCTGGTCTGGTGACGAGGCATATGAAGCTAGTAATATGCATGTGAACTCACTCGTCTTATGACACTTTATGATTCAATGGGATGAGTTGGACGGAAAATTTGGTGCACAAAGAAGTTTGCCCCGTGTTTAGACGATATGTATAAAAAAAGAAGCGGGTAAGGTCATGAAGCATTACACGATTTTGCATGCATCACTGCAAATGCTGCTATATTTGGTAAGGATACATGTTGTAAGTCAGCATGCAGTGGCTGTTTCATCCTCGGGACATTGTTGCCATTAAAATCTCACTGGATGGTCATTAAATTATATCGTGGTGGCAATTGATTTTATGAAACGACCACCAAAGTTTATGAGGAATCACTGTAAATCGACAACCGTTTATTAAACTAGTGTGCATCATAAATAGTTCCATTTGCAGAATCGAAGCTTTGGAATGTTTATTGCATGTTGTGATTTGAATTATGAATATTGGGAAAAGCAGTGTGATCTGGAGTAGATTTGCATTGATTGTAATAGAATTAAATGTCATCCTTAAAAAATTCACACGCAATCTAAAAAGCATTGGAAATATTTTGTTCATTTTTGCATACGTGATCCTACTTGTTTGTGGCAATATTGGCATTGACATTCCTCTTTCTAAACAATAATGATTGATCGTGTCATCTTATGTACATAGATTTGAACACCTGGTCCAGTGAACTCCAACGTTAAATTTAAAACATTACCATACTCACATAGCATGATTGATACCGCATTTAACAGGACGAACTCAAAGTCCAGTCAAGTATCGCGAACAAAAAAGATGCTATCCGGATGAAACCGAAACTAAAAAATTTAAGAACTAGACAGAGCTAGATTATCGATAGGAAAAGTACGCAACAATGGAAAGAACACACAGAGGGGGCATCAATATATTTTAATTATTAGTGCTCCTTCTTAACACGTAAAAAAGACGGCTTCAATCAACGATTTTGGTAGTGCTGACACAACATTTTTTGCTAATCGTAAGACGAGTGGATATAATACATGGAATAAAGTGGAGAATTGCTGTCAAGTGTTGCTGGACATGGTTTAAATAAGGCATGCGGATAATATACAAATGTTCATGTTCATGTAAAAAATGTGGTGACGCTGAAAGAATTTAATGTTAATGGGATCTTCAACATAACTAAAAGTCATTTGGTCCTTTCAGACAAAAGCAATGGACGAAGAAACTGGAGAAGTTTTGAAAGGCAAGGTCATCAAATTTGGCTGGTTGGAAGGCGTGCTCATGCGATGCATGCTCAACATTTGGCAAGTTAACGCTAATTTTGAAAATGAGTTATTGGCTTTTTACGTGATTAATGATTAATTTATTTTTGATTGTTGATAATTTGCAGGGGGGTTATGCTGTTCCTGCGACTGTCATGGTACATATTCCTTGAACTGAAATAAAGATTACATGCATAAATGCAACAAAGATGCTCAATACATGAAAACAATGATATGCAGCATATTTACATTTATAAAGAAAAAAAATTTATTGTTCTTTGCACTTTTTGTTTTCCTACTAATAGAGACCGATATTAAATTGCATTTCTATCCCCTCAGATTAATTAAGAGACTTGTAAATGCACATATTTGCATCCACATTATTCAGAATGATAAATGTTTGTTGCATTTGTGTTATTGAAATATATTTATATGTGATATTGCAAGTACGATGTTATTAATTAGTTGAACATTAATTACAGGTGCGTTGGGCAGGCAGGGATTTTGGAAGGATTCTTGTTAATTTCACTCGCTAATTTGGTAAATCAATATGTGATAGTTTGTATTCCAAATTTCGCATATTCATCTGTATTTCCAATAGGTCACGTTTATAACTGCATTTTCGATGTCCGCTGTTTCAACGAATGGACAAATCAAAGGAGGAGGTATGTAACAAGAAAATGGTTGTGCTTAATAATACGTGCATATGCACCCAGCTTGAAATGAATGATTTTATTGCATTAAGTATGTATGTACATTTGCATGAGATTATATTATATTACATTATGCTAATTATAGTATCCTGACAGGTATCTACTACATGATTTCGCGGAGTTTAGGGTAAGATTTACAAATATTTCTCGTAGGCTATCTCAAATTGAAATGAATTTATCAAAAAAATTAAATTATTTTTGATATGCACTTTTTTATACTTATAGTCCAGAATTCGGAGCAGGTATGTTACCCATTTATTATATAAAATTGCATGCCTAATAAATACGTATATATTTACTATACATTAAACCTCGTATGATAACCGTTGCAGCTATTGGTCTTATGTTCACCATTGCAAATTCTATTGCTGTGTCGTTGTACATTGTCGGATTCTGCGAATCACTTAACGACTTGCTGAAAGTACTTACCCGTATAGCATTTAGCGTACTTTATACGTATTTATAGCGTACTAATATTATATACAACTTATTGTAAATAATAGGCAAATAATTGGGGACAACTGATCGACGGTGGATCCAACGATATTCGGGTCATAGGCGTGGGCGTGCTCGTCGCAATCTTGGTACTGGCTTTTGTCGGAATGGACTGGGTCACCAGAGTAAGATGATAATTATTAATATGCAATAAAGGTATCATACTCTAAAAGTTTATGCATTTTTTAACAGACACAAATGTTTCTTTTGGTCGTACTGATTGCCGGTAATTAACCAACCACATTCAATTAACTTAAATTATGCAATATTATGCTTTATACTCCTTGATTTTGATATCACCTTCTGTATCTAAAAAACATAAATTTTCCGGACCGGAGAACACACCTTCGATAAACTCATTTTTAAACGGGATATAATTTCAAACAATAGATTTCGTGAAATTGATTTTAAAACAACAATTGAATTAAATAATCCGGTCGGATTGTACTCTGCTTTGCTACACGTCTCACTTGCTGGATATGCTGCAGCATTCGTTTTATGTGAAATGGCTCAAGTCTCATCTCAGCATGTCTCATATTGTAAAATTTAGGTTTTAATGGATGACAATGTGCTGTACAATATTATTAATTTTACAAAATTTTCTCACACATGAACAACAACTCGAATGGATGTCGCAGCCCAGGTTGGTACATTTAAATATTTTCTCAAAGTAAATTGAATAAAACGTTAGATTAATCCTTATTTTGTTTATATAAAGGTCAATTTTATAATTGGAAGTTTTATTGGGTAGGTATTGCATTACAAGAAGCATAATTTTCAATAAATTAAGTACATTTTTATTCCATCAATAGGCCAGTAGATGACCTAGAAAAAGCCAAAGGTTTTCCCGGATATAATGGTAAGAGCTTAGCCCAGTCTCCACAAAAATGCAGATTACGTATGTACAACTTAAATAATATAAGAGCTGCTTTCACCATGATAAATCTCACTTTCTAGCTGAGACTTTCGTCACAAACTTTTGGTCCGATTATAGAACGGCATACGGAGAGGATACCACAAAACAAGATTTTTGGTAAAATACAAAACGCATGTAAAATATAAAATAAACTGTAGCCAATTAAAAACCTATTATCAGGACGGTGTTTGGCGTCTTTTTTCCTGCTGTAACTGGCATCGTTGCTGGTACGCTAATAAATATCGTTACAAATCAAGTAAAGGTTCTCACACAATTTCGTTAAAATTAATGTCGTTATAGGTGCCAATTTATCCGGTGATCTTAAAGACCCAGCCAGCGCGATTCCCAAAGTACTGGACTTTTCTAATATTTAATACAACAATAACAGTATTTTAATAACTAACTTTGAACTTATGATGTTCAAAGGGGACGCTGCTAGCCATCACGATCACGTACCTGTCCTACATTGGATATGCCGTCATGATGGGAGGATGTGCCATGCGAGAGGCGAGTGGAAACCTGACAGAGTACAATTTGACCGTGTACAGTGAGATGACCGTGCTGCAGGACGAGACCTTCATTGCGTATGATAACTGCACGAACCGAGATTGCGAATATGGGCTTTACAACAGTGCCCAGGTGGGCTTTCTAAACTACGCACTTATCAATTTATGACTAACAAGGAGAGCACAAACCATTCAGACCTTATTATGACCCACGCAGTTTGATAGATCAATAGACACTTGGACGTAATATTAATAATATTGGTCCAAGTAGCGCACTGAGGATGAGTTAGTCTATTAAACTGTGTGGGTCGCTGGATCTGGATGGCTTGTGGTGGTCCCATTGCCACTCATAACGTAACCTCTGTATATTGCAGGTCATGGAATTGATCTCATCTTTTGGAGGACTGGTATGCACCAGAGTTACCATACATTTAGCTTTATAATAATATTGTATCCCAAGATTTATATCTTATATCAAATTCAGATCTACGCCGGTTGTTTTGCGGCAACGTTGTCCTCAGCTATTGCCAGTTTAGTGGGAGCCCCTCGGGTGTTCCAGGTTAGTCCTTAAATTGAGTTTGACAGTTTTTTTAATTGTAATTATCGGTGCATGCAACTTACTTGAATTTTACTATTCACAACAAGGCCCTGTGCAAGGATAAGCTGTATCCCGTCATTCACTTTTTTGCTAAGGGGTATGTAACTACTTTATTTTTCACATGTTAATTATTACATTATGGCAGTCTTAATTCATTACTTTGTGCTTATTGAAGATATGGAGCAAACAATGACCCGGTACGTTATCTTATTTTCTTTATTACGATAGAGTCATTTTTCGCAAATCGTGTTAAAGGATTATGTCATTATGATCTAATTATTCTTTTGTGATTAGGTCCGTGGATACTGTCTTGTGTTTGTGATTTCATTGGGATGTCTGCTTATTGGTAAGTTTATTTACGGTTAGATTTTCACAGCAAGGTTCAAACAATGAGAATTTCACTAAAAATATATTTCTATTTATTTAGCTGAACTGAATGCAATTGCGTAAGTAATCATAATTATGGACAATAGGATCTGAATGTTTATGCTATATTTTGCATTATAGCCCACTGCTCTCCAACTTTTTCCTTATGGCATATACGCTAATCAATTTCTCAGTGTTCCGTAAGTATACATGTCATTTCGTGATATTTTTTTTATAATTAAAAAATAAAAAAACCTTGTAGATGCATCAATTAGTCACAGTCCTGGGTGGAGACCAGCTTTCAAATATTATAATGCCTGGGTCAGTCTGCTCGGATGCGTTCTGTGTATTGCTGTAATGGTTAGTATACATTTTTATCTTTAATTAGCAAATGTGTTAATTTATGCTAGTATCCAATATGACAAGTCTGAATTTTCCTCTGAATTGTTCTTAATTTCATTGACTTGCTTAAACAATATTAAACACAATGATAAAATATATAATACACTTGGGATCAATAATACACCTCCCTCTGAATTACTTTTGTCATAGTTTCTTTTGAACTGGCCCACGGCTTTGGCCACAGTTGCCTGCGTATTGAGCCTTTACCTTTACGTATCGTATCGTAAACCGGGTATGGATAAATAATCAACGGTGTAAATTTGTATGCAAGTTAATAGTTCACATGATTGTTGATCATTTTAGAGGTCAACTGGGGCTCTTCCACTCAAGCACAGAGCTTTAATTCTGCCCTCAAGTCAATCCAAGATCTAAATTATGTAGAAGAACACGTCAAAAATTACAGACCACAAATTCTCGTGATGACTGGAATGCCAGGAAACCGACCCCCGCTGATTGATTTTGCTTATTTGATAGTAAAAAATTTGTCCTTAATGGTTTGTGGACACGTTGTGAAGGTAATAGGCGGAAATATCATCGTTTGACACTTTATCAATCTACAAAGGGACAAGCGTTAATTTTATTGTGCTTACCTTGGGCAGGGACACTATAGCCAAAAAGTGAAGGCAGCTTTGGCACGGCAAGCGTACAGGTAAGCTTACATAAAAATGAGAATAATCTTAACTTGATCAGTAAACATAACTACTAAACTTACAGTTGGTTGTTGAGACATAAGAAAAAGGGATTTTACACATTGGTAGAAGATGAGAGTTTCGAACATGGTGCCAAATCCATCATGCAAATCTGTGGACTTGGAAAATTACGACCCAATATGGTGAATTAACTCTGAAATATGCTTTAAAGTCTTCGGAATTTAAATACTACCGCTAATGCTAATTATCAATTGTAGGTGCTCATGGGATATAAAGCAGACTGGGTGAAAGGCAATCGCCAAGATTTGAAGGAATATTTTAACGTCATTCAGTGAGTTCAAAGATTGTTTTTGCATGCATTTTTATACACATTGAACTCATAATACATTTAAGTATGAAAATCATGAAAATCAATTATTTGTATTATAGTGAGGCATTGGACATGCACTTGGCAGTTGGTATCCTCCGAGCTCCCGAAGGTCTTGATTATTCTAATGTCATCGAAGAAGAGGGTCAACTCACACCACAACAACTGCAAGAAATAAAGAAGGAGAAGGAAATTCCTAGAAATCAATCCGAGAGCCAATTGTCACAAGGTAAATAAATCATTGTGTCATTTTTATACCAATTTACGTCCGTAGAACTCAGTTATTACAGTATTTTTACAATTCGCCAAGTGTTATAATCTCACATTCGTTATTGTTAGCCGATTCCAGAAGTTTAAGATCAGCAGTATTGCAATATATTTCGCCTTACTCTGTTCAAGTTGGTGAGTTTATCGTGTGTCTTGCGTGGCTTAGAAGCATGATAATGTAACCAAAGCGTGTGAGTTTGGTGTGGCGATTTTTTTTACTACACTTATGAATACAATACAAGAAATAAACCCACTCAATAGATTTACTTGAAAGGTTTTTGTCCATGATGGACGGTGATCCAAAAAATAGTTCAAAGTAAAGCTACAAAGTATACATTTTGCAGATGGGACAAGCAGTGAAAGCAGCAGTCCTCCCGGGTCTCCGAAAGTGGAGCGGAAAACGCTTCCAGACCAAGTCGTCAACAATCAACTTGTCGGCTTCAGTTCCAATAAAAAGTCGAGGAAGCACTCCTTGAGTGCGATGTACAAAGGGCCAGGAGGAGCCATTCTCCCACGGTAATTACTAAATAGACGACATTCATAGGTAGTTTCCTGCAGAGGCACATTTTCATACAGCAGCTTTCACTTCAGGTTTATGATAAATATTTTGAAATTGCCTGGATTATAAAAAAATAGTTAGCGTAACTTGGGGTTTATGCATAATCAAGAGACCTAAACATGAAAAATTAAAACTTCCTCACTTAATAATCGTTTTCTATCGTTATCTTTCGTAGTCATGTCCTCTCCAACATCACTCAATTTCAACGGAAGCAAAAGAAAGGGACGATTGATGTTTGGTGGTTGTATGACGACGGTGGTCTCAGTATTCTTCTCCCATACCTTCTGACGACGAGAAAGCAATATGCGGGCTGCACGTTAAGGATATTCAGTCTCACCAGCAGAAAGGACGAGTTGGGGAGAGAACAGAGGAACATGGCTGCCCTGTTGTCCAAATTTCGAATTGACTACAGTGACGTCATCGTCATTCCAGACATTACCAAAAAGGCAGAGGACAAGACCAAGAGGGAATTTGAGTCCGTCATTGCAGAATTCAAATCCGACGACAATCAAGACGGAACTTCCATTACCGAGTCGGAACTAATGAGCCACAGAGAAAAGACCAACAGACATTTGAGGCTGAGAGAGTTACTTCAATTGCACTCCAAAGATTCCACCTTTGTCGTCATGTAAGTTGAATTTTCTCGTCACGAAATGATATGGATATGAATTGAAATAATGTGTAAACCGAACAATTTTATGAATTTCTGCAGGACACTGCCCATGCCACGGAAGGGCACCGTGTCAGCCCCGTTGTACATGGCGTGGCTGGAAATGCTAACAAGGGACATGCCTCCATTCCTCCTCCTTCGTGGAAACCAAACCTCGGTCCTTACCTTCTACTCTTGAAACAGCTCCAGAGTAATTCTAGCTTACAAATCTTTGATTAGAACCATTCTTTAGTTTAATTAGTAATTAAACCAAAATATCAGTGTTTTTACTAGGACATACATATTGTTGTTGAGTGCATGAGAGTACTCTGGGCTGAGGACAAATTACTCCAACTTCTAATTTTCATTTGTTTTAGCATTTAATTTAAATAACTTTCTACATGTTGTACATACTTATTTACTTTTCATTAAAAAAACTAGATTTTTATCATGTACAAAAAATATGTATGAGGGATGGACCAGAAGGTGATAAATCAAGAACCAAACAAAAATTTCAGTATTGAAAACACAAACATATCTTTAAACGGTAACAGCAGCGTTGTGGGTTGTATGACAATATTTAATAAACAAAACTTAATTAATATAGTTGCGGTACACATTTACTACTAATAAATACTACATAATTGGGCTAAATATAGTCCTTCGCTTGATACAGCTCAATTATAGATTGTAACATCAGCAACACATAAATTCAATAATATTTTCTTTACCTTTTGAAATTATTTAGTTTGAGATTGTAAAATGAGGGATTATGGGACAAAGTAATAAATCTTGTTGAAGAATTTTACCTTTATTGATAATTTATGGAGATATACTAATTCTTAGAAAATCCCATCAACTAGTGATTACATACTAAGGTGAATCTTACATTGCGTACTACACAATGTGCAGTTGCACATCCAAAAAATAAAATTTTGGAAACGATTAATATTTTTATTTCGAAGTCATTTATTAGCTTGAGTCTACAAAAATCTTCCATGATTAATTGTGGCAGTAATTTTAGTCTGTATTCATCCCAAAGAAAATTTCGAAGAACATTTATTTCCCAATGCATATTCTGTCGATTTGGCTGAGCATGTTTTAAAGCAATAAATACGAGGTAAGCTAAATGCATATAACTGGAACCGACGTCGGAATAGTCGCTTTGATACAGGATGTGGTCTACTCATGCATAATTAATTGAAATTCTTCAATAAACATATGCTTACTTTTAGTACCAGTTACCAGCTACTGGAGATTCATACTATCCAATATGAACATATAACACGTAACATCAGTTTAACCTCGTCACATTTTGTGAGGTTATTATGCATGAATTTACTTTGCTGAAAATGTTTCATTGTTTAAATTCTAGAAATCTCTCACGTAGATTTCTTAATAGGCAGAACATGATTCATTGTCTTGGTGCCTTTGATTGTTTTTTTCTGGATGCTGGAGACACTTTTTTTTTTACATATTAATATGCTTGTAGGATAAAGTCAACTACTACAAAGTCTATGAAATACAGGAGAGTCATAAGATCAGTGCAGTCATATTTTACGATATATTTACATAAATCGTATCACAATTGCAATCTTAATCCAACTTCTTTAAGGTCAGCTAAATGAATCAAGGATTTGTTTGTCAGTACTGGCGAGCCATGTAAAAATGCAATATTTGTAACTTATTAGTCATGAAATTCTATGATTATAAGTATTTGACTGGTGAATGATTTTACGTGTTCTGAGTATTATCAAGTGACGTTATGTAATTTCTTAGAAAAATATATCGACGTAGACTTGTTTAAATCATTTAACATTAAATATTAATTTTTAACATGCGGTATTAATGATAAACAGTTAACGTAGAACATGTTAATTTAAAGTTTGTCATTCATCCATTGTGTTATTTTACTAAATTCCTATCCTATTGATTTATATGACTCCGTTAAGGAACTATTGTCGGTTGTAACTTCTTCACTTATTATTAGGATTAAGATAGCACAAAAGTTAAATAGTTGGTCAAGTCACGAGCCATGGTCGGTATTCATTTTCCTACATGCGTCAAGCTTACTTTAGCCATAAGAAACTTTAATATGGCATAATAATATGTTTATTTTTTATTAATTAGCAACTTTTCATGGTTGGCCTATGTTGGAGCTGAATGCCATTTTACTTACTTGTATACATATTCCGTCGTCGTCACAACTTGGTATTTTTATATAATCGTGTTATTCAATATATTCATACATATATGCCTCTGGTCAATGTGTGGGACATCAGTTGAATCATCGATACTTACATATATACATACATCGATTCTGAACTGTGCATGCAATTTGCTGCATTTAAACTTTAATTATTTTAAAAAGCATTAAAGTTTTACATAACATAAGTCTATTTTTTAATAATTGAAAAGAACATAGTTTTCTGGACATTTAGATTAGTACATAAAAACAGAATGTTTAAAAAATCTTTGTTATCTCTTTTAATAAGTGTTGTTATATGCATTAGTCGAGCTCAGTCTCCGATAGAACCTGAACCTACAAAAGCCTTAAAAATTATCAAGTGCTACTCATCGTCAATTGCAGAGGACATAATTTCACTTCCACAAAACTTACTGAAACAAAAAACTAGAAACTCGACTGATGAAATTATTGTTGGGTAAGGTTTATTTTCAAGCACAAACATGTGTACATATTCGCAGAACATAATAATTATAAAACATTTTTTTCAGTGTAGATATAAAATATTTCATTTTTTCAAAATCAACGTAGATTAATTACTAACAAGCTGCAGGTTCTTGAATGTCTCGAAACACTAAACCTGGAAATTATATTGGACCACCAGGAAAATACTTCCCAGTCAAAATTATTGTTCCTTTCAAATGGATACGCAATATATAACCAGACCAACTTTCTTCCTCCAGAAGATTTTTGTTTGGAAAGGTACACAAGCACTAAAATTGTGTATTTTCATAACATAGTTCTTCTCATTCACTGTGCATATTCACCAATACAGAAAATCAGCATCTACTCTGAAATTCAAAATTTGCCTTCCAAGGAAAATCTGTTCGCCTCAATCTCCTTGCATTAGGAAATGCTGCGACATGGATCAAGTACTTGACCTTTCTCAATTTGCTTCCCAGGGAAAACTCATGTGCAAAAGGATGAGTAATAACTCAACAATGTGGTCGCCTCAATTGTACAAAGATGCCTACACAAAAACTAATAGTGTCGTCAAAATGAATTTCATATCCCAAAACCCAAAGTCTTTCTGCAACGGGGATGCAACGTTACTAAGTTTGATGCCATTTGCTTCACAGGATATCTCTCCGTACGAAACATTTTTTATGTGATGCGATAAGTATGTCTTCCCATCATAGCGTGCGTTTTTTAAAGTTTTGTCTCGTGTAAATTTTAGATTTCGGATTTTGGAAGATGGTTCTGTTATAGAGAAAATGGGAAGAAACGCCTGGCTTCCAGTTCCAGGGGATGCAATGTGTGTGGATGGAGCACAAAATCTTCCATTCTCTGATGATGGTGATAAAGTTTCCACTTCCGGTCAATTTGCTGGTGATGAAAAGGCCACTGTGGTGATTGACTGCAGGTCCTTCATGTTTGAAGGGAGAAACGAACGACATGTACGAAACAATAATTTTTGCCATAACACACTGTTAAGATTACTAAGCAAATATGCAAATGTACGTTTTTGTCTGTGTTGTATATATAGGAAAAGTTCGTCGCAATTTACGTCATAGCTTTATTAATTGCTATATTTTTTCTCGTTCTAACCCTGGTGGCGCACATTGTTTTGTGGAGACGACAAACAATTCGTGGTTGGGCTTTGATGGGTTACGTTACCTTTCTTGCCCTAGAATTTGCCTTCCTGATTTTGGCAAGAGTGACCACTTCAAGTGGCGTCATATGCACAATGGCTGCGATCGGGACTCATTTTACTGCACTGGCTACATTCAGCTGGCTGACAACCATGAATTTCGAAATTTCAAAAATTTGGTGGAACTTTCGGTAGTAACTCGTGCAGGACAAATTGACGAATTTCAGTCCAAACTAATAATTGGGTTTGTGTAATTTATTTGGCAGAACAATGAATCCATGCACCACAAAAAAGGACCAGCTAAAAATGTTTATGTTATACGCAACGTTTGCCACCACTATCCCGATTTGCATTGTCACCCTAGGACTAATTTTGGAACGGATTTATGGGTAATTAATTAATAATATTTAAAATGTTATAAAAATATTTACTTTTTCGGTCCTTAATTCAACTACATCTTGTAAACGTATGATATGATATTAGGAGTGATCAATTCAGTGAAGTAATCGTCCCAGAGTATGGAAAATTGCGATGCGGCCTTGGAACATCTGCAGAGTTTCCGTATCTTTTTGGACCAATTTCATTTCTTCTGGGATCAAACCTTGTGTTTTTATTTATTACGCTCTATTACGTATTTAAACACCAAAAAGTTCTGCGATTGAATGGAATGAAGACAAAAATTTTGAGCGACAAGTAAGTTATTTTTAAGTTGTAATAGTTTAATGATACTTTAAATTAAGTCACTTGACGATAACTATCCCCTTGTACTACTTTTGCATAGACTTCGATTTTTCGGCATGTTATTCCTAGTGGCTGGAGTCACTTGGATTTTTGATGTAATTTCATGGGCCACAACACCAAGTAATTCAGCAACTCCGTGGTACTGGATGTTTTTTGACTTTGTAAATATTTTCCAAGCAATTGCAATTTTCCTCATTTTTGTGTGCAATAAAACCACGATGCATCATTTGCAAAAGGAATTTCCAATTTTATCAAGTAAGTATTTATTTACAGACTTTATTTATCCTTAGTGCAATGCAACCAATGTTTGTCCGTTTTTTTAGGGTTTAAATTGTGGTCAACGCCAGACGATGCGAAAAACGTAGTGCATGAGAGGAATATGAAAAATGGAAATGGAGTGGACAGGAAACTTAGTATTACTCAAGTTTTCAGTATAACGGAAAATTTGAAAAATAATCTCGAGCTGAAATAGAATAGCAATAACTATTCATGCAACTAATTGGAATAAATAAAAATATAAATAAAGCTCTTTGAAGTTAATTTGTATTCAATTCCTAATTAAATAATCTGGCCTGAGGAACCATGTCATACATATACAAATACATGTATTCTGCACCAATGAACTTCCATAAGAATATTAAATACCCTGCAAACCAAAACCACTATAAATCGAAGCCAATATTTAAATTAGGTTATTCTAGTTTTTTTATGAAATGACATTAAAATTTAAAGAAATCCAATTCTCTCGTTTGGCCCCAGCGCGAAGGAAGCAGAGCGGACGACCCGGTATCGCGTGTCGTGCAGTGTCGGTTGATCATCATGCCAACAACAATGTGAATTATTCCACCAAACAAGTATTCTTATTTTCTCCGATTTCCGAGTTTTTTTTACACTCCTTCGCTATCTGTGCAAATTCAAATATTACTTTCGACTGCTTCGAAATTTTAAAAAGTCTTCACAAAATCTTGCACTTTTTATATTGATTACTTCGGAGAGTAAGGAAAAACTCTTCTGCAAAGATGTGCACCCCAATTATTGGTCAATTGGTGACGGAAAATTTGGTCCAGGGTTACATTGAAAATGGACTCGGAGTGTCATTTAAAGGCCTCGGAGCCAAGTGGGACACGGAAGAAGATGGTTAGTAATACTTACTTTTTAGTACGTTTATTTCTCAGGATATATTAAACACAAAAAATGATTGTTGATTCAAAAGTTTTGAATCAAAATACAACATATTAATATAATATATATATATATTATCAGGGAATATATTTTTTAACAAAAGTATGCGTACATATTCATAAACACATTCATAAAATACACTTATCCTGAGTTAGAAAAATCCAATGTTGGTGGGTTGGGGAAACCTCTACTTGAATAGGCGTCCGAGATCATCATTCGCCCCTTACAAGATTTTTTTGTAAATAAATTGACCCATCATAAAAAATATAAAATCCTTGTTGACTGGGATTAGCCCTCATAACCGATGCGACAAACGTTGCACTTCAAGTTGATCATTTGAATGAGAAATGACGTTGACATAGGTCCAGTGACAAGTCACAAGTGGCATCCTTCTCCTCAGGGTATATAATTGCTGTAGTATAATTATTACAATTTAATTCCAGTGAAAAACGTCGTATCTAAAATCCGCAGCTGTGAGAACTTAAAGTATTTAGAACTGGAGGGGAATACTTTAGGAGTAGACGCAGCAAAAGCAATCGGGAAAGCGTTGGAGTCAAAACCAGAGTTTGAAGCAGCTTTGTGGCGTGACTTATTTACGAGTCGATTGAAAAACGAAATTCCTCAAGCGATGGTAATGAATTTTTCACTGTAATTTGTTATATGCATTTGTTAATAAGATGAGAGTTAAATACGGTGCAGTCCACTGCTTTGAAATGGAATTATTTTGATTTTTACAGAAATTCCTATTTGCTGGAGTGGATCTTGCGGGTGCACGATTACAATATTTGGATCTTAGTGACAATGCCATTGGACCGCTGGGCATGACAGGGCTTGCACCATTTTTCAAAAGCCAAAGCAGTTTCTCCTTGAAAGTCCTTATTTGCAATAATAATGGACTGGGTCCCCAGGGGGCTGAGGTAAATATTTAGTACTGTTTCTATCGGCTTGTTCACAGTTCCTAAGGATTTGTTAGTTAAATACCAAATGATTTATTTCATTTAGGAATTTTCAAAAGCACTCATAAACTGCAAACATTCTAGTTTGACTCAAGGAGGACAAATTTTCAATTTGAAAACCTTTGTTTGCGGGAGAAATCGAATGCAAAATAAGGGGGCTGTCGCGATTTCCAAGTTTATCAAGGTGCTTATAAAGTGTTTACTTTTGTCATTTAAATAGTGCAAAGAAACAATATAAATATGTACATTATCTTTTTTTGGTGGATAGGAATGTACGACACTTGAAGAAATTCATATGCCTGAAAACAGTGTGTACTGGCAAGGACAGGTTTCTTTGGCTGAAGCTTTTGCTGCTAATCCGAACCTTCGAGTTCTCAACTTGAATGACAACACAATTATTGGAAAGGGAACAAGGAAATTAGCAGAAGCTTTTCAGCAACTTGTTCATCTTGAAGATCTAAATTTGGGAGATTGTCTTTTACGAAGCAGCGGTGCTTTGTTTATTGTTAATACAATAAAAACTCATCAAAACTTGAGAAAACTAGTTTTGGATGGAAATGAGATTACCAAACCAACTGGAGTTCAAATAGCTGAAATACTTCGTACCAGTAAAAGTCTGCGACACTTGAGTCTAAATTCAAATCCTTTTGGAATTACTGGGGCTGTAGTAATTGAGGGCATGTTACGCCAACACTGTGACACTGTCGAAGTTGAGTATGTGTCAAATGAACTATTTGTTAGTAATTAATGTAAACTAATAATTTTTTATTACAATTTTGCAACTGTCTGTTTAGTGACCCAGAGGACAGTGAATATGAGGAAGAAGAAGTACATGAAGAGGAGGAAGCTGACGAGGAAGAGGATGACGATGAAGAAGGTGCAGGTGACAACGAGTCGAAAGAAGACATTGGAGAAGGCGAAGTTATTCACGGTGGTGACGATGATGAAAATTATGAAGACTACGGTGACGATGATTACGAAGAGGAAGAGGATCCCGTAATAACAAATATGAATTACAATATTTAGTTAGTGGAAACTAACTATTTTATGGGTAACAGATAAATTAATAATATGTTTATTCTTCATTAGGTAGAAAATGTGATGCGATTCCTCCAAGAACCATCTCTAGAAAATTATCGTGCAATTCCAGGAGGATTGTCCGAGTACGTGTATGATTTGGAGGTTTGTTCTTAATTTTTATTCTGTGATTGCGCCATTAATACTTAAAACCTTTGTTTATTTGTTTGTTTACAGTACCTCGACATTCCTTCACACGAAATATGCATTCAGGGTGCCGTAGGCATGATCGAATACTATGGAAAAAAATCTGGCACTGTCCCTAAAGAATGTCAAGTAATTTTTAGCAAACTGCTTAATGAGGCTGTAAATTTTGCAAGCGGTGGCACAAATGAGTTTGCCTCCGCACTTTTGGTTCACCTCGGAATTTCTATTGTATGGTTATTTTTTCCACTCTATATCTGTATGACAATAATAATTGTAATAATAATTTTTTCTCTTTTCAGTCCCATATGAATGAATACTACAGAGAAGAAGTCTATCCGGCCATGCTCGATTGTTTAGCATTGTGGCTAATAAATGTCGTGAATGAGAAGGACGTGGAAGTTCCAGACGAAATGCTTGCCTATTTCCATAATTCATTCCAAAAGTAATCAGTTTTTTATATTTCATTTTTTTATGCATGTAATTTACATGATGTAAAACAGCTCTTGTGGGAATTGATAACTAACAACTATTGCATTATGTGTAGTGTTCGTCCGGATCTTTCTGTCAACAAAAGCAAACTATCGAGTCTAATTGATTATGTATTGTGGCGGCGAGCAAAGGTGCAGTTAATATATTACTCGTTTTCAATTTAAACTAATTATATCTAAAAATATCTTACGGTCTCTATTTTATTGTTACTTTCAGAATGCTAATCGATCTCAAAAGTAGTAAAAGGAAAAATTAAAGAACATCATAATTTAAAACTCTATCTAATATTAATTGTGTTATTTGGGATTTTTGAAATTCCAGTAGAATTTTTATCACTGTCAGAAAATTATTATTATAATACACTTGTCAAATAAACGAGAGGTTTAAATGTGACTACAAATGATATAGAATTATAATATTCAGCTTCAGCTTTTATCCACTACTACTTAGAAGACGTCCAGCCGCCACGTTTTACATAATTTGGTGTTATGATAAACTCCGCACACCAATTTCATCAGTCTGATAAAAATTTAAAAGCTTGTGGTGCATGCTTAGTTTTCAAAACATCGGAGGGTCGGATATGCTCGGATATCTTTTTTGTACGCCATAGTCTCAATTTTTCATTTGCCTAAACTACTCGAGTTCCTAAAAAATCATACACTTAAAATTTCATCAACATTTTAGTTGGTCTTGGTTAATGATGAATTTGTCTCTTCGACCAAAATGGTGTACCAATGAATGAACTTTGTGAAAGTCCATCACAAGGGTACATCACATTGCCCAAGAGATTCGATATCTTCATCCTGACGAAGGAAAAGGAAACCACAAGAGAACAAGTTGAAGTTGTGAAAGAAATGCTAAATTTCCGCATTTTATACACGACGAGCCACTCGCCCAAACGCAATACTGTCTGATTTACTCCCAGTATTGGTGGTACAGTAAGGTACAAAGGATAGGACGAAACTAAAATTCAGTATGTAGGACTTTAAACTATTATTTCGGATGATTCATTAAAGATCGTACAAGAAATTAGAACATCGAAGGCTTATGTACACCATCGAGAAGTTTATGACTCACAAAGTGTGCATAGGTCCTTGTGGCTGTCGATAAGCTAAGGCAACTACTTAATATTTACGATCATTTCACGCTTCGTTTAAACATGCAAGCAAGAAATAATCCTAAAGTAAATGATGGTGACCAAGTTGAGACATTTCGTGCTCAAAAAGAGGGTTGAATTATGTGCCGGTGTTGGGTTGCACTTTGGTAAAAATCTACGTATAACATTATGTACATAGTCTCAACTTAAAAAGTGATAGTAGAGTAGACGACCATATTAGGTTAGTTTTAAGGAATTTCAAAATTATTTTTATTCCATTGAAAAGCCAGTTAAATTTCACGTAGAAAACATGTATTAAACTTGAAAATATATTCCTCCTGTGACCATGACTAATTGGTCACGAAAGAGAAAGCTCCATCAAAAATACGCATAGAATTAATGGACAAAGTGTATCATTCCCGGGTCAGAAATTTTTTTGTGACCCAGACGCAAATATGGGGCTCAGAACAGACCTTCTCCTCAATTTTAATCAATATTTGGTGGTAAAGTTGTCTGCGGTTCGAAAATGCCAGGGTCAAACCTAAAGTGCAAATGAAATCAGAAATATGGATTTTAATCCAGTTTTTCACGAGTTTCGATGTAAATGTTACTGTGGACCCCTTAACAAAGGTCGGTGGCTTTTCACCCAATATGGACTAGTTGTGGGGGTGTTCCATCTTCACCAGGACGTTTATCAAATATTTTTTTAAACTCTCTCCTCTCCTTAATCAAGGAAATTGGGCTGTTTTTGCTCAATTCCGCCGATTCCTGCCAAAACCATGAACGGAGTTTGATAATATGACATTTTGACCTCTATTTTGTCATAAGCTAACCCTTAGAATATTTGGCATAAAACGTATTAGTTTTTTTGCTGAAATATGTTTCGGTCGTAAAGAAATTATCATCGGTAAACGGGTTAGTTTTTTTGTTTTTTTACCGTACCGTTTGGGGAGGGAGGTCGATTTTTGTACCCTTGCTTTGGCCTGGGAAATTTGTAGCATGTGACGCTTTCTAATCCAAAAGACCATCATCTTAGGGTCACTTTTCAGTGCTAATCTGATCTCTAAAGTTGAAAGGTCATTTGTTTGGCCAAAGTCTCCGGCGTCGGACAGAGATTTTATGCTATTCTGGTGTTTAAAGCTTCGGACATCACTAAAGTCCTCCATGACCTTGGACAACCGGAACTTTTATGTCATAGATAGACACTGTCTCTGGGATTACTTTAATAGTTTGGGCAACCAGATCGTAGTTGTACTTGGGTTGCTACACTTCATCAAACATTGTGCATTTTTTTCTCGTGCAAAAGGTGAAAAATTATTGCCGCGCGCGTGTAGCTAAGCTTCTCATACTTTTGACCTAGTGATGTCAAGTAAAAGCGGTCAACACCAATGATAGGCACTGAATGTATGCACAAACCGCAATTGACCTTTTAATTTTATGTTGACCGGTTAAAAAACTACGCTCTACTATCACTTCTTATGGTAAGACTATGTACATACATGTTCGTAAAACACACAGATTCTCCAGATAAAGAGCGAAGTATGTAAATACGCAGTCAGTCACACTACCGACTTACACCGAGAGCAGTTAGACAATTTTGAGACTTTCTCAAATGGAGCATGGAGACAGTGAGTCTCAATTTACCTCAACTTCTCTCCAGTTCAAAACATTTCTGTTCTTCGAATCAATGCAATTTTTTAAATCGCCTTTGCTACATACAGATGCATACACACAAAATTCTGTACATAATACTTATTTGCACCCTTGCATAACAAGGATTGTCACTCGGAATATTTTTTTAACTAAATAATCTTGTATAATGCTCTCCTCAACCCTAGTTTACTTTACATTTTCTAGGAAAATGCAACTTAAGATAAAGAACAAGGATTATCAATATCATGTCATCATGTGGGATCGGCAAGCAAAGAAATACGTGGTGATGGTTGGAAACGCATGAGAAATAAAAGGGCAGCAGAGTAAAGGGGAATACATTAGATTTGGTTGATTTATTCTGGCTTTAAAATTTTTAGAAATTCCCAATGTGTGAGAAACTCGAGTAGTTGGAGCTGGTGTTTATCTTTTAATCCCACGCAGTAGTTTGTACAATTAGTTTTACGACTCGAGAACACAATTTATGATTTCTCTTCTGGTCATACTTGATTAAGTCCTTGAAGCTTCGAGAAGGGCCTAATCTAATGTTTTTAGGAATCGGAGATGGCCCCTATGGAAGCTTCAACGACGATTAGTTTATGCCTTTTCTGTGCGTGCTAAGGTTTACCAAACTTTACTGAGTTTGCTGAGTCAACATTTTAAATGTTGTGTATGCACAAAATATATGTAATACGAAGAAATTATCCCAAATCCAATCCTAACTGAACTTTTATGACATTTGTCCGGAGAACACAGTTACGCACAACCAATCTACTAAATAGAAAATTTAAAATGACCCATATTAAATTTGAGGATTGATAAAAACAATGCAAGGATTTCATCACGCTCGAAATCATAACCATCGTCCTTCCCAACAAACAACGACCATTCAGTAATCGAAATCTGGCCAATAAATCTATGCTTGCTGGAAGCTTTTTGTTCTCGTCTTCCTGTCTGTACATTCAAGTATTTTGCATAATGCAAGGTTAAAAATGGTTTAATTATTCACCGAGACAAAGACAATTGAAACATGAAATCTAGTGTAATCTAACCTAATTCGTTGGCTCCATTTTTATGATTTTTTTCAGCCCAGCCCTATTCAATTCCCATTTGTTTTAAGGTTTTAAACCCAGTTCCACTGTAAAAGCTGGCAAGTCGTTGAGAGAAAAAAATGATGCACCCACCATCACGTCTTTCACAATTTGCATCAGCATAAATAGGTTCATCATTAAGTATATATACATATATATAAACATACTTGGTTCTTACATTACACCAAATTCACACATGTGCACCCTGCTACTGGTTAAATTAATGCATTCATTCAATTAAATTCATTTGAGCCAATTGACCACTTCTGCAGACAGACCAAGTTGTTTAAATAAAGATCGCAATCTTAATATATGTATCTACGTGTTGCTCATTAGTCTCACACAACGTTTCTCAAATTCGGATGTTCAGTCCCAAAAAAAACATCGCATTACAACTTGTTGTGACATTTCAAGTTCGTAGTAAATATTAAAATACGATCTACTACTTTTGTACTCAAAAAATGGCAGACATGGCGTCGGATCTAAATCAAACTACCGGTAACCGTCCAGCGAAGTATCGTGAGCGTGAGAAGTGGGATAAAAAGATCGAATTCATTTTATCCACAATTGGATTTGCTGTGGGATTAGGAAACGTAATTTTGGATAAATTGCAAATCATACATATTTCTATGAAATCTTGCTATAAAATTGTAAAACTTTATGTTCAACAGGTGTGGCGATGTATAACAAAAATTACTTATCTATTAACATACTTTAATTTAAAAATAAAAATTAACGAATCCATATTATTATTCCATACATATTCTTAGTTCCATATCTGTGCTACAAAAATGGAGGAGGTACGTTGCCCATGCATTCGATTAAATTATTTGAAATGAAACAAATCACAAATCACAAATCACAAATTGAAATGCAGCTTATTGATCTGCAGGGGCTTTTTTAATTCCATACGTGATTTGTGTGGTTATTGGAGGAATCCCCATGTTTTTCCTTGAGGTGGCACTAGGTCAATTTACAAGTGAAGGAGGCATCTCTGTCTGGCCTAAAATTTCACCACTATTCACCGGTCTGTAAAAATATATTTATGGCGTTTGGAGTAATTTGCATACGGGTTTCACATGAAATATATTCATATGTAGGAATTGGCTACGCGACAACAATAATTTGCTTCCTTCTCAATGTGTACTACATTGTGATCTTGGCATGGGCTGTCCACTTCTTTTTTGCATCATTCACCACCGTATGTCTATTGTTGGACGCATAATAATGATGATTAATGGGCTGGTGTAATAAAGCACGAATAATTATATTTTGACTGGAGGACCTTCCGTGGGCATCGTGCAACCACGAATGGAACACTCCAGCCTGTTTTGACATGTCCAAAATCCATGAAAATGGATCTGAAAGTTTAATTGGTGGAACAGCCGGATCGATCAAAGATGCCAGCGTCGAATATTGGGAGTGAGGAAATCTCAAGAATTCAACCGTTTAAATCAAGTTTCAACCTTTTTGTCAAAATGACACTTTTTTTTAAATATTTCAGACACCGAGTCCTTGGCATCAGTTCAGGAATTGATGAAGTAGGGTCAATTCGATGGGAGCTAGCAGGATGTCTCCTCTTGGCGTGGATATTGGTTTATTTCTGCATTTGGAAAGGAGTAAAAGAATCCACGGGAAAAGTCGTTTACTTTACAGGTAAATTAGTCTTATTTGATTGCGAAAAAGCAAAATTATTTATGCATGTATTATTGTTATTATCATGCACTAGCTACGTTTCCCTATGTGATGATGACAATTTTGTAAGTAGAAATTGTAATAATGATTGATAACTTGGTGCATAAAATCATGAAGGTTATGTTTTAACTTGAGGTTTTTTCGTGGAATTACCTTACCTGGGGCTTTCACCGGAATACAGTATTATCTCACACCTGATTTTTCCGTTTTGTGGAAGGGTCAAGTCAGTATTCAAGCTTTTAAACATCATTTGTACAAAATAACTAAAGTTTATTTTTAAATTGTCAAATTATGTGGATACTTAAGTAATTATATATTATATAATTATTATTATCCACATAACTTACAATGGACGATTGAACACATAGTTTGGTTCATGAGGCTTGCGGATGTCATGGAGTTGAAACAAACGAATTTATTATTGTAAGCAACATAAGTAATTGTCACAGTTTTCCGTTTTTTTTTTAAAATTCATAACATAACGATTCACATATTTTTAGGACGTGTGCTAATTAGTCGTCGATTAATAAGTGGTTTCTGGTTCCTTCCGTGGTAGTTCAATTTCAACATTCTTAATGGTTCGCCATTTATTGTGGGGTCTCCCTCTGTTGGGCAGCCAGCGTTCTTTTAGGGCGGACTCTGGGATCTTATAGGGGAGTGTGGTCACTTCTTCTAGTGTGGCACGATGTGGAGGAAATTGATCCACGCTATCTGGCACCAACACGAACAGAGGGATTTTGTCCCTAACATACTGTTCGGCTTTTCGTCGTAGGTGTGGGGGAGGAGTTGTACACGGTCCGACTAGGTGCTGAGTGCCTTTCTTGGTGTTGCTGAACGTGCAGTAATGCTGTATCAAAGTAACATAATAAAGTTTCATCATGCCATTCATCAATCTTGTTACTCTATTTGATATGTATATACATGTTTATTACCATAATGAATCCCTCTCCCGTTTCCGCAGTACTCATATCGTCGCAAAGTATCGGCAACATTTCGAGACAGTAACTTAATGATTGATGAAGGTACCAAAAAATTTGGCTATCTTTCGAGAAGTGGGAGCATCGCATGGAGAATTCAGAGAACGAGAGCCACTTCCCTGGATAAAGTCGGAGTGTTTTTATTGTCCTTAATAGGTCTGACCACGGCAAAAGTCCTTTTTGATACGACGAAATGTCAGCCGTAGTCTGGAAAACGCCTGCTTAATAGAGAATGGGAATTCCTCCTTTAGCACGTGCAGTTTCATAAAATGAACGATGGTTAATTGACATTCGTAACTTTCTTTCCGGTTTAGACTCATTGACACGATCTGCAGCCTTCTTCTTGTCAGACTCATTATACTTGCGCATACTTCTTAGCCGGACTGATAGACGTGTTCTTCCTTGTGCATCCAGGATGTGGTACCCTAAGTCTAGGGCGAAGAATATTTCAGTCTTAAAACCCGGAGAGTGTTGTCGCATGTAGTTTTGAAGAGTAGGGTAGTCTTGCACATTTAGACCCAACCAATTCATAAACTCTTGTCGTCCACGAACTTTTGTATCGTCTTCGCAAGCTGCAGTTTGTGTACTTGACAACGGGGTGATGGGGTGGTTGTTGGGTACCGTTTTCAAGGCTAAACGATCTGGAGCGGTTGTGTTACCAGATGCAGGTCGGCACAAATTATCCTCCATGGAGGAAGTTGATCCGTCCCCCTTGCGTGCATTCATCCAACGGGATCTCCGTTCTAAGAACTCTCTCGAAAACTCCTTTGCTTCCTTCCCATCGCCAAGATACGAGCGAACATAGTCTCCCACCTCGTAGGGAGATTCAACCTCTTTGAGGAAGGACACGAATGTGGGGATGTCCACGGAACCGAAAGAAATGGCCTGAATTCTATCCGAGCACCAGCGAGTAAACTCATCAGCGGCCTGCTGTGTCATCTTTGGTCTGTTGCCTCCACCTTTCTGATTCGTAGCGGTGCCGTCTTGTTGAACAGGAAATAGCTTCATAAATGAGTCATCCGAAATTTCTTTGGTCTTTTTCCGACGGCTGGTCCACGATTGTTGTTATTGCTTGAAGAAGAAGAGGAACGGGCAGAAGAGGGGAGAGGATTATTGCTTCCTTTCAGTTTCGACGCCATCGAGGCCATAGTCATCCCATACTCCACCTAAGAACACGTGTCACACAAATATTTATGTATCCTGATGATTATTATTGTACACAATCAATTACAAAAAAAAATTACCATTCACTTTCTTGGCACCACCCCCACTGCTGCTACTACCCCCAGTACCAGCAAGAGGAGGTAATTCTTTTTGTTGAAATTCTGCTTCCTCTTGTTGGTTCCGCATTATTTCTTGTTGCTGCTTCTGGAGTAAATACTGTTCCTACAAATTAACGAAACAATTTAATACCTTATTAAAATTCTTGATCAATAAATAAGCACTCAAATCATTCATAATGTGTGTTGGTAATACCTCGCGAATTTTCCGTTGTTTCTCTTCCTCCATTCGTTGCTGGTTTTCAAGGCGTTTACGTTCATGCTCGATCCTCTGTTTATCTTCTAACTGTTTACGCTCTTCCTCCTCGAGTCTTTTGCGCTCCGTTTCGTCCTCCTCTTTTCGACGACGTAATTCTTGCTGCAATTGTGGGAATACAAATCAAACTCAACAATCCACTTAATACCAATTTTGAACAATTTAAAACAATTTTTTTTAGTTCTTACCAATTTCGCCATTTGTTCCCTATACTCCCACGGGGTCTGGGTTGGCTGAGCGGCACCCCATTGCTTTTGGACTTGAGGCGTCTGTTGGTGCTGTTGAACTGAAGAATTACCAGTATGTCCCCATGGACTTATCACATCAGGAGGCTTACTGGGTGTGGAAGACAACATAGCTTTACGCGCACGTTTTGCTTCACTACAAAAGTTGAATATTTTGCAGATATTAGTTATAAAAAAACTTGTAACGTGCAAATATGGACTTTACCTTTCAATACTCGCAAGTTTGTTCTCCAACCAATGCTCCCAACGTCTTTGAAACTGAACATTATTCTTGTTGTTCCTAAATTGAGTTTGGGCTACTGAATGCTCAGAGGAGCTACAAAACTGGGCCCACCTTAGTTCAAATTCATCATCCTTTAACCGATGATTTCGTGTCCATGCATAACTCTTTGGGTCGGACACTTTTTTAATTTTAGGTGGCATTTTGATAACTAAAACTTTCTGCTTTTATTTTCGTCCCAACTGTTGCAAAATGTAGTGTTGTGCTGGTTGCACAGCAAACCTGGACCAACGACAAGAGTTTGAACTTCGCTGTTCTTGCCAAACACAAGAGAAAGTTGTACTTGTCTCACCGTTCTCAATAACTTTTCCAGCTTCCCTCTTTTTCTTATTCAATTAAGATTTGCCAGTAACTGGTAACAAAGAAAATTGCGCAAAATATTTGTGTGAAAAATTTTTTTTTGCAAAAAAAGGTATGGATCGATGCGGGCACACAGATCTTCTTCAGTTATGCTGTGGCATTGGGTGTGTACCCCAAATTATCTTTCTTTGTTCCCATCCTTTATTTCCTGATATGCAAAAAAATTGAATTTTATAGGATGCATGACTGCTCTTGGATCGTACAACAAGTTTAATCATAATTTCATTAAGGTGGGCATCTATCTAAATACATATATATGTACATGTTTTATATTAATATCATGTTATGTACTTGAAATTATTTCAATAGGATTGCACGTTTGTAGCTTGTGTGAATTCTGGGACAAGCTTCTTTTCTGGATTCGTGGTATATTATTTGAATATTAAAAGTAGTGAAAAAATACATAATGCATTTTACACCGGTAAAAATTATATATTATAGGTGTTCTCGGTACTTGGTTTCATGGGTAAGCTTTATCCTTGAATGCATAACCCATAAGCGGCGTATGAGAAATGATGATCATGCCTTCGTGGTCATCATTTATTTATTTGCAGCCAACCAGCAAAACACGGACATTTCTAAAGTGGCCGAGAGTGGTCCAGGCTTGGTGTTTATCGCTTATCCGAAAGGTGCTAACATTAAATTTTAATTACTGTAGATTGGACAGTGCAGATTTATTTGACATTTAAAAAATGTACTTGATAGCGTTAGCGCAAATGCCTTGGGCGCCCTTGTGGTCAGTCTTATTTTTCTTCATGATTATCCTCCTCGGTCTCAACTCCCAGTTTGTCGGGGTCGAAGGATTCGTCACGGCGGTCGTTGACGTTGTTCCACACATTCTGAGAGTGGGGAAGCGAAGGGAAGTTTTCATAGCTGGGGTTTCCTCTATTTCGTTCCTTATTGGGTTGAGCATGGTCACCAACGTACTGTCACTTTAATGCTATGATTTTTAATTAAATTTCCAATAGACACAGCATTACAATTTGGTTATGAATTGCAGGGAGGAATGTATGTATTTCAAATATTCGACTACTACTCTGCTAGCGGCATGACGCTATTATGGGTGTGTTTCTGCGAGTGTATTGCTGTAGCGTGGTTCTACGACGTGGGAAGGTTTTCGACAAATATAAAATCCATGGTGGGATTCAGACCCAACATTTTCCTTGCAATTTCATGGTCATATTTGACACCGATCCTCACAATGGTACATATTTTATGAAGATCCCTCTTGGCCTGTTAATCTTTTTACTTAAAAATTGAATTTAAAAACAGGCAATCCTTCTTTACTCCATAATACAATATGAACCCTTGGCCTACAATAAGAAGTACGAATACCCGGTTTATGCACAAGTATTTGGCTGGGCTTTAGCACTCTCCTCAATGCTAATGATTCCTATTCACTTCATTTACTATCACACTAAAACTAAACTTGAGGTAAATAAAACCACAATCTGTAATGTATCATTAAATCTCAAGTCCAGGGTACTTAATACTTGTGCATCATTATTGTTCTTAGACTGCCAAGGAATCTGATCACCCACACGATCGGAAATATTCAAGAGCACCACCCAGGGACAAGGATGAGATTGATATGGAATTAGAAAATGGTCTCCCATAAAACTATTTGAAAACATGATAAGTAAATATATATAATTATTAAAAGTTTACCTGCTAATAATTTGAAATATTTATAATCATTTTATTATACGTATTAATATAAGTATCTTGCTTTTATTAAAGCTTTAAACACTAATTTATAAATGTAGATTTCTTTGGATGATTAATGAATTTTTACAGGCATCAATAGCCCTTCATGTGGATGTTTTTTGTGTTCCTTGAGTTTCTGTTCATATCTTAGTATTTCTGATTTTGGGTCGTAGAACGGCAATCTTGGGCACTATAAAAATTAGACAAATGCACATTTTTCTTCCTCAGTTTGGAGAATTGTATAAAAAGACCATAGCATAGTACACATACAGAGCACTTTTCCCGGACCCCTAGAGCTGATGGGAGCAATTCTTCCAGTTGAGCTTGTCTCTTATCATGACTTGGATGGGTGGATAACCATTCTAGTTGAAGTTCTTCCATGCCATGCCCATGAATCGTCCCAATTAGCGACATTTTCTCCCACAACATTAGACAATGACGGACATCGAAACACGCCTGCAAGAATTAAGGAGTAATTGTACATTCCACATGTATTTAATGTCTTCTGTCGACCAACAACTGATATAATTTCTGTCCGTGACTCGGTGTCGGTATATAAAAATACCTTTGCAGCGAGAATAAGTCCCACTTGGTCTGCTTCATGTTCAATAAATCGGCTGTGTGGTAGTTCCATGACCAGTGTTGTGACTGTGGAAGTTATAAAGTGGCTAAAGCCAGCAATAAAATCTGTTGGCAGGAGTGCCCACAAAGCAGCAAGAGGGATAACCATAAGCATATCCAGGAAATGAAGAAAACTCGCTTTCTCTGCCTTTATAAAAATTACAAGGTTAGACCGCTATGCATGTCTTGAATTTCTAATTAACTTAGTCTTCGCCTTACCCCATGACCCATTACGGCGTGAGCCATTTCATGACCTAGTATAATTCCAAGTTCATCGTCAGATTCGCATAATTTTAAAAGGCCAGTAAATACAAATATACTTCCGCACTGCAATTATTAAAATAAATTGAATGAACAATATTATGTACATAGATTATTTTTGTTCAAGTTTTGAATAATGAACTACAGGTAAAACAAAGGCGTTTGCTTGATGATCTTCATCCACGACCGTTATGCTCCATTCTTTGTCTCGTATCTGAGGCAGATCTTGGTTGGCTTTAAGTAATCTTTGGGCGACTTGAACTACTCTTCGATATGACGCAAGCTTCAAGGTAGCTGGCACGACCTTGTCTTTGTATAGCTGAAGCATCTGTAGAGAAAGTTAGATTTTCACTCTGTCCATTTCGATTATGCAGCAGTTGTAACAAATTTCCCTTACAAGTTCAAGCTCATATTTCGACATTTCATTAAATTGTTCGTCGTTAAAGGCGAGAAAGCGTTTCCTTTTCGTGAAGGGAGTTTCATAAACATGACTCTCGTAGTAAACGAATGACCCAAACGCTAAAGCACCAAGAATGCCTGCAATTAAAAAAAACAATTCTTGTACTCGACGCACCTATGCAATTAGTACTACGCTACATGAAAATATGAACACGTTAGAATTTATTACTGGACAATAAGTAACGATTTTTTCCAACTTTCTGAGTATATTTGGACCTCTCTTCTGGTGGGAGTTTACGCCACCAAATTCTAAAAGTACGACCCAGGAACATTGCTCCGAGTTTCCCGACTCGCGACAGTACGACCAAAATAATGGGAGGAATAGCTTCTCGGGATGCAGATGTTTTGAACCATCGTCTTCTACTATTATCATTGGTTATTATCTGGCGAAAAACTTTCACATTTTGTATTGCATTTGATTGATGGACGAATTGGTTTGGACATCTTGATGATGAAAGAGCACTAAAATTTTTAGCAAGCGTCGTTCGCTTTACTAGGTGGGCACCATTGCCTTCACTGATTAATGTCCAAATAAATTTGGTGGGGTAAGTGCAAGATGATGATAGAATTTTCGATTTGATAAAGTTGAAATTCATTTTGCTTGATTTTATAGTATTTATTTATTTGTCTTGATAGGTCAACCTCATGTGAAATATATAAAAACGGTGAACACTGATTAAATTTTTCTATTAGCATATAAGTCTGATCATGAAGGCGAGCACTAGTAATAATAATACTAGATATTATAGAGAGCCAATCAATAGTCAAATTTTAATATTTTTAGAAGAAAGTAGTCTTCAAAGTGTAAACCAACGGATAGCCAACCACGGTGGCCAGCATGTACCACAAAGTAACGTTTGTCACGGCTTGGAACCAGACGGAGAACAAGGCGAGGAACACGGTCAGGGTGAGCCCAGTCAAGGACACGGCCCCTGAAAGACGGTGACCCCGCTTGACCAACTTGGGCTGAATCGAGGGAACTTTCCTTGAAATGGCAACGGAAAAGTTTGCAAAGTTGCCTCCAAATGCTGTAAGCACGAGAAATGTGATAGTAATGATTCCGATTAGCCCATGCCACGACACGAAATGAGGTTTTCCAGAGCTTTCCTTATTTCGATAAATTGCTAAAAAACCGAATATAGCCAAAGTTAAACCGGAAGCCTGAAGTGCCCAGTGAAGTCCAATTCTTGTCCATCCAGGACGAGGTTTTCGGAAGAAAATCACCCCGACAGTCAAAAGAACCCACTATAAACCATACAGCAAAATCTATGAATGAGCTAGTCTGCATAAATGATCAACAGGTGGTCGGATTTAGTATTTAGTTAGTTATCGATACTTACAGCAAGAACCATGAAGGTTGGGTGCCAAGAGAAAGGCGAACTTCCGGGATCAGCGGAGATGATCACGTAGGTGGCGAATCCAATAAGTATGGCATATGCCATCAGTTCATTCGAAAATGACATTTTAAATTCAATGCAAAATCACCGGCCTGTCTGACTGGAAAAGGGTTGAAGAATGATCTTCAAGGTTGTGCGTTACAATGAGCAGGAGGGTGATGGTTTGTTGTATGCTTATTGTATACCATTGGTGTTATATCCAACTCTATGAAGCCTAGGATATATTCTTTCCTGGAAATACTGCTCTAGCTGGAAAGTTTGATTCGTATTAATTAGTGAGGAGAATTTAAATGAAAGAGCTTTTAACAACTCCCATTATTTTTACAATGTAATGCAAGTATATCCAAGTCTATGAAACAATCTCATGTTTTTTATTTATTTCTGGATATGTAAATCAACTAAACAAAATAAATGCACACGCAAAACGCTTATGGCTTATGCTTCGAGTCAAATCTGAAACAGCAATGTATGATGTTTTTAATTTCTCAGATCTATTTACACTGTTATATCTTGAGTAGTTTTTGCATTTATTAAATAAATTTTATTTATGTATAAGGCTTAAATATATTTCTAGACTTTGGCTTTCTTTGAAGTCTCAACTCACCTCGTCTCCCTTGATACAAATCGTACAAGCTACAATAAGTTATGTGATATTCAATTATTACATAACGCATATAATTTACTTACATGAATTAAGTAAATTACTCATTGTATTTATAGGTTGGATATGTATTTCCTTAATCTCAGTCAATTTCATGCAGATATCTAAGAAGTTTAATTTTCATACCATTGACATTATTCTCATGGAATAGTGCGACTTGTGCAAGGTACAAAAACGTAAGGCGCCGATCTGTTTGTAGTGAACGAGTTCGAGTCGAGCATAAACATTTAAACAATTCCCTTTCATGCAAACGTTTTATAGAAAATTATACTGTTTGAATTTAAAAATTTATAACACATTTTTAATCAAGTTGTTCAGGCATGGCTGGAACTGGAAACCATCAGAAAATCGGTTCGATCACTAAAGAAAAAATCTGGTACGCCCAAAGAATTTTAAAGTATATCCTTTTTATAGAGTAAAACAAGCCTATTGTATGTTGGTTGAGTTCACTGCAGATTTCGTCACATGACTGCCAGGGATGCAGTGCCGAAGCTATGAATTTACGGGCCCATACTGAAACCTGAAAATTGAATGTTTGTTTGTTTGCATAATGTGTGTCGAAATATGTCACCATGAAATATAGTTGGTTACCATTCGAATTGCTATAAATTTTGATTTTTCCCGCCAAATTTTGATTTTCCCCGTTCGGGCCCGGTAATTAACACTTACGGCACTGCATCCCTGACAGTCATGTGACGAAATCTGCAGTGAACTCAACCAACATACAATAGGCTTTTTACTCAGTAAAAAAATGGAGTCTGAGAGTTGTTTAATCTTTGGATACTTTTTAGGAAACCGATTACTTTCAATGTAATATACAAGTTCCCAAAACAGCCAGCTAAGGAGAAGCAACAGCCAGTAAAATGTGTAATAGCTGATGACACTGGACTTATCACATTGCTCGTTTCGTCGAAAGACGAAAAAAGTTATGATTTTTTAAAGGTGTGTGATTTTTATGTTTTTATAAAGTTCTTTGAATTGCAAAAGTTTACTATAAATGACACGAAATATATGCATTTTTCAGGTTAACCAATGTTATACAATTATGGCTGGAGGTTGTTTTTCAAAAGCCGTGAATTCTTTGTATAAACATCTATATGTCCACCCCAGCGGTATGGAACTTTGGGTGCGCGATCAGGACAAAATAGCTAAAGACAAAGTTCCAATGGATCCGGGTCACCTTGCATTATCCTCGCTCAATTTTAATTTCACCGATTTGAGTAAACTGGCCAAGGGAGTTTCTTTTGGTGCGCTTTAATATCCTAAAACTTTGAATATATTATACATGCTTATAAGTTTGACATTCCTATATTAGATACATTTGCCAAAGTGCAGTGGCAAGGGCCAGAGGAAAACGGACTAGATGGAATTCCACTTAAGAAGATTTTACTGGTGGACGAATCTGTTGGGGTACAATGTTCGACCTTTTTAAAATAAATATTTATACATTTTGAGCTAGTTAATTGATAAACTTTTGTAACTTAATTTGTAGAAAAAACAAGCATTGAGATGTCATTTAAAGGGAGATCATCGCAAGCTTATTCGACGTAAGGGACAAATACTTGCCATTTTCAATGCATACATAGGATCAGATGCAAATGATTTAGTCATTCACGTTAACAACACTTCTGCAGCGTTTGTGGTAAGTTAACCCTAAAAACATTATGTCAGTAAATGTGAAATTATATGCTACGCCGCAACAACAGGTTACAGCTACAGAGTGGGATTGGATTTTGAGCGACGAACAACGTCAGCATAAAGATTCTCTAATCAAAATGGGACATAGCAGAAGGAGCAGCGAGTCACGCCACGAACCAAGTACAGAAAATATTGACCTAGAGGCTGAAAATCATGCCATGAATGGAATGAACGATCAGCCAAGATTAGGTGGTGAGGGTCCTGAGTTGGATTGCAGTATTGAAGAAGAATGTCAGGTTACGCCAACAAAAATCCCGAAACTAGAAAATGGAACTGCATCTTCAAGCGTATTAAAGCCATCGACTTCCAGCCCTAGACAAAGTTCCAGACCCCCTATTACCTGCTGCAGCATTAGTGACTGTACGTGAAATAATTAATATACATTCATCCTTGGTTAGTTAGTAGTATGATGGTAATTTTAATTGTACAACATGTTTATATTTTATACCTTAACATAGTGGAATCCTTGCTCAAAGGAAAACGTAGGACTGATTTGGACATTGAAATTAATGCTGTTCATTTATCTCCTAACTTCGTTCTTCGTCGATATTTAGGATGTGTAAAATGCTCAAAGTCGGTAAGAACTGTGAAAATGATTGCTGATTACCATATACAAATTATTTCTCTTTGCTGGGGTCACAATTCATTGAGTTTTATCGACTGTGTAGTTGCTGGTCGAAAATGGAAGTTACGTCTGTTATGGAAAAAATTGTTGCAGAAAATCTCCCTCGAATGTAAAAAATTATCGAAACGATCCAGCCCAACGCAAGTCATTTTATCTATTGAAAGTAAAATTAAATAATCTAAATACGTAATAAAATTATTATAAACTCTAATCCGCTCAATTTCACCCACAGAACTTGGAAATCAAAGACAAGGATAACCACTTCGTGGACAATTTGATCGCTTATAATTCAACCGTTCAAGAATTTCTCAATAAGGATGCGGACGACTTTGAATCTGATTCTTTGGCATTGGATAGCTTCACATCCCTTATCAAAGACAGGCTGCTCAATGTTGCCATTAAAGCTACTCGTGGATGCACTGGGGTACTGAAACACAAATCAAAATCATGTGTTTACTAATTGTAAGCATTACAACATGGCTTTGAAATGAAATAGCCCGAGCTTAAAAACCGGTGGACGCTAACGGTTAACAAAATTTCGGTATTCGAAGATTCTGACGCTCCACGTGATGGATCGTCCTCGTCAGCTCCGTTAGCGTCTGGTAAACTCTTTACCAAAACTTATAAAAAGTACCCTGAGGAAAGATATGTGATTAATGTATGTTTGTATATTTTATGCATCTAGAAATTACTGATACTACTGACGAATTTGATATCCGTACGTTCCTAGCACGTCGAATCCCGTTTGAAATATCTGTTGTTCGTTGTGGAAATTCTCAATTACCTCAAAATGATGAAGTACATACATCGTTTTTTATTATTCACTTAATACTTATCATGATTTTAATCTCATCGTATTCGTTGCCCCCTAGGATCAGTATATTCAAACCAAAAAGCCTCAGGGTATTGCCCTCCACATTTATACTTCCAAAGGGCGCGATGGTTCTGACATAGACAAAAGAATGTTTGAAGAATTATTTCAACAGCTTAACTACATCGTGATCACCGTCGTAGACGTAAAGTCAGATGTACGTATGTATGACTATTAACTATTTCTTAAGTACGTGAGTATTTATGGATGTCTGGTAACTTGTAGTTTTATTTATTTTTATGTGTAGGAGCTGCAACATCAAATCAATGAATGTAGGAAAGAGCTAGTTGATAAGAAACTGGAATCATTTGTGCTCTGCATTAGTGGACACGGGCTTAGTAATAACATCCAGCTGGCAGATAATACACTTGTTAATATTTGGACTGATCTAATTTATCAGTTCGACGACACAAATTTTAAAGAATTTCGTGGCCGCCCAAAAATTGTGCTGGTCAATGCATGCCAAGGTTTTGCATCTCGGGAACACATAGTTCCTTTCTCCAACCCAATTTCAAGTCCAAATCATCCAGATTTCCTTGTATTTATTGCAACCAGTCCTGGATTCCAGACATTTAGAAATGGTGCAATCGGAACTCATTTCATGCGTTCGGTAGCATATGTTCTAATGAGAAAAGCCCATAATATGGAAATCAAGAAATTATTTTACTTGGTATGTCTTTCTAAATACTTATTTTTCTGTCTGCCAACTGTCATCTGTTGTTCATGAAATTATATTTTTCTTATAGGTAGCCAAGATTCTATATTCTCCAGATGAAAGCGCTATGCAAAAACCCCAGCTGCCGGAAATTAGAGATTTTATTTTTAGTAAACAATTTTTCTTTCGGCCCTGATTTTAAAAACCATTTTATAATATTGACTGTACAGAATAAGTTTTTTTATTAAAATATATATTATGCGTTAAAAAATTTTACAAACAATTATAAACTTGCATGTTTGATGTTTCCACTTGAACCCCCCATTAGTATAAATATGTATCTAATTAATCGAATGGACACTCTGGATGTAAAATTGCCCTGGATTGATTACAATGAAATTCATTTAAATGGTTTATTATTATTATTTAGTTTAATTTAAATACCCTTCAAAGGATCGACAGCATCGTCCAAACTCGCCTTCGTCAAGTTCCATCAATCGTTCAATCTCTTCCGTTGATAATTCAAAGTCAAATATCTTGTATTTGATATATAAAGTATTTGGAGTTATTACATAAGTTACGTTATATAAATAGCAGTAGTATTGTAGCTTGTCACCTCGATATTTTCATGCAATCTGGTAGAGTCCACTGTTTTTGGAATCACTTGAACATTTAATCCTTGAACCAAGAACCTAAGAAGAATCTGAGCTGGAGTTTTTTCATGTGAAGCAGCAATCTTTTTTACAACTGGATCTTGAAACAGTTTTGGGACTTTCCTGTATATAATTAAGTATAAATACATAAGTAAATCTAATCTTATTAGTGCTTAAATTTTTGATATAGATAATTCAAAATGCTAACAGTTTGTGGGCATTTATATAATTTGAACGCCCTTGGGATCCGAGCGGAGAGTATGCAGTGACAGAAATGTCATTTTTCTTGCAAAACATTCTCAATTCATTTTGTTGAAAGTAGAGGTGAACTTCAATCTAGTTGGTAACTCGATAAGTAATTGTCACATTAGCCCAAATAAATTGTAACAACCATTAAAAATGAAAGATAGACCTGTAAGCTGGCAGGTTTAATTCGGCAAATGTTCAAGATTCGTTGAATTTGCTGTTGTGTGCAGTTGGATAATCCGATAGCCTTTACTCTTCCTTGATCAACTTGATCCTCCATCGCTTTCCAAATTTCTACCAAGTTAGTTGTCATGTCCAGTTGAAGTTGTCCATTTTCGTCTCGTGGCATTAATTCATGTTCAGAAACATACGTCAGTCCCACAGGCCAATGAATGAGATAGAGATCGATGTAGTCAAGTTGCAAATTTTTCAAAGACAAATTTACAAATTGAGAAACACGACTGCGACTCATTCCGATAAGTGGTAGCTGTAGTACATAATTATGTAGTTAAATTTTCTTTTTATGCGTATTCACTTAATAAAACTTGTTTTATCATTTCAAATTGTATACTTTTGTAGCAATGAAAATTTCATGTCTCGTCACATTCCCAGCATCTATTTGATACTTGAGAGCTTCTCCAATGCCAATTTCATTCTTGTATGAAAATGCAGTATCAAAATGCCTGTAGCCATTCTTCACGGCGATGCCAATCGTGTTGTGGATTTCTTGAGATTCTATAATCTAAAGTTTTACATTATTATTCAAGAGTCTTGAATCAAGACCGAAACTTTTAATAAATAGACAAATATTACCTTTCCCGTTCCAAGCCCTACCACGGGCATTGTGTGACCCGAGTTTAATTCAATTAACTTTGTAACTGGCATAGTTTTTTTTAGTTTGGTTTGTTTATGAAACTGACTTGTATTTATGCAATATGAGACAAAATTAATTCTTGCAAGATGCGAGGATTATTAATAAATATGGTCAACTATTGTAAAATTGAGACACATCCAACTGATGGAAACAAGATGAAATGCGATTCCAATTCACTAATGTGACTTATGTACACAAGGTATGTAGACGAGAGAGTGACCTAGTTTTCCATTATGTTTGAATTTATATGTATATTGGATATATGTAGGTATACATGTATGTATTCACCTGCAATATAGCGCATTACGTATACCTGCATCGAATTAAATATCTATTAACCAGTAGGCAGATAAGTTACGATATGTCTCTGCCATGCAGTTCATACGAGTGAAAAGTGAAAGTCTTCCTACGTATAAACTTGTCATAGGTGATACCACAAATCTAGTATGTACATAGTTCTACTACACGGTGTAAGTGTGCATGCCGTTCATGTTGCCTTGTCTCACATTATAAAATTCGAAATAGGTACATATGTAGTCTTTTCAACTATATGTACATATTCATTACTCATTTTACATCATACTTACTTTATCATCAACAATTTTAAGTAATCATAAATATTTCCACCCATAATTATTGGAGCATTATGTATTTCAGTACAACTATCATAGTTCATCATGATTTTCAGCGCTGTTTAATTTCTCCCAAACACCTTTCACTTCACTTAAAAGATTCGTCATTTTTCTGTTGATTTCTACAGCACTGAGCGCCTTTGTGAGAGCTTTCTCGATCTGCGTGGCGTGCTGGAAGATATTTGAATACGTTACATTCTTATAATTAGATCACTTATTAATCAGTTTGTACTTACTATCTTATCTGCCTCGGGTATCAGAGTGATGACCTTTTTCTTTCTTTCGCCAAGTACTAGGCCAAATTGTCTCAAATCGGCTTCATACTTTTTAATATGGCGTTTCGCAGTAAGTTTTGCTTTTTCCAATTCCACGGACGCTAGCTCTCTGTCTCCTTTTAGTTTATCTTGGCCCAACTCGTAGTTGGCGACCTATGAAGGCGAACAAAAATATTCCGCCCAATGATTAGCATTTAATTACAGCCGTGAATTGCAGAAAAATCTGAGAAGTGTCTACATACAATTGATTGTTGCAGCTCTATAATTTTGTAGATATTCATTAGTTCTGTAAGAATTGAGACATTAAATTTCTCGGGTGGGGGAGGGTCATCGTGCAATGGATATCGGAGATTGATTTCATGCTCATCTGATAAGGCGCGTATGCTGAGATCGAAATTCTTCACCTTCTCATGGCTCACTGATAATAACTTGATTAAGTTTTCTCGTTCTTCTGTAATTTGATCTTGAATTGGCAACTGTGCAAAGTACACATCTAATAAATTGTTGTTGGAATAATGCAACAACTTTGCCATGCATATGCACGCATGCACATTCGTACGTACATACCTGCCCTAATTTAGACGAAATACTTTTAGATTCACCGTTCAATTTACTAATATCATCATCAATGGATTTCATGAACGAATAATGTTCTTGCGCGTCAATGTCAACGTCAGATCTCCCGTTTTTCAGCTTGTGCAAATAGTCTTCCAATTTTGTGATTATCGTTTCCAGTCCAGAAATATGAATAACTACTTCATCGTGGAGAACGTTAAAAGGCTCGTAGCTCAGAAGTCCTTCAACCTACGTATTTAAGTACATGCATATGTACGTAACCATTAGGTATGCATTATGTACAGAGAAAAATGCATAGTAGATATTTATTTTGATGGAATTCAAAGTTTATAAAGTGCATCAAATTCATACCCTATTCAATATTATTGTAGTATCATTGTAATATTCAATGATATTGCGCAAATACTTCGAAGTTTCCGTCTTCCCATGTTGAGATTCATCCGTCTCATCTATTTCAAATGGAATCTCTGTACGTATGATGTTTCAAATGTTTATGTTTGACACCGATTTTAACTTTCTTACGTAATTTAGCTCCTTGTTTGACTTTTGTAGAAAACGATGGAAGTGCAAATAAAAGTATAACTAGTAAATATAGCAAAATTTTCATTGTAACTTGTAAATACGAAGCTAGAGTCTGAGCACTGGATATTATTTACGAATTAAACTCTTTGATAAGTACAAGCAAATGAATAAATAAAAATCTTCAAATGGTAGCATCTATTAAGTTATAGCTTTTTGTAGATTGTTTAATAAAATGCACCTGCTGACATACGTACTTATTGTTCGTGATCAAGATGAATAACACGGTACTGGGGCCCCAGTACCGTGACATACAACATGAGCCTGGACAATTGTTGTATGCAAATGACTCTCAGAATAATATACTAATTTGTCTTACGTGTGCACAGATTCTAGCCCCATCGAATAATAATAAAGAAATACTTATTGTGTACAAATGTCTGCACATATTTGTACTCTACTTCGGATTATTTTAGTTGAACAATCTAATTATTCAATCATTCATTGTATGAGTTTTTTCTGGGCAAATATTACCCTTTATTACATAGAACTAATTAACGTTGATAATAAATAAGTACATACACAAAAGTGCAATAAGCAAGCATTAAAATTTAAAACATTGTTACAAAATATAAAATAAAAGTGAAATGCATAATTTGGCGTAAATGTGTAAATGACATTTAGAGTTTATAGAACCCATTGTGATAAGGCACAGGGTGACGAGCTCCTCCAGACTTGATTTCTCGTATCAAGACATAGACCACCCACATTGAATATAGAGTGAAAATGGTGTTGACAGCGGTTATGATAATGACATCCCAAAAATCCTCGTGTCGAAGGACCTCCGCGAAGAAGAAGATCAGTCCCACGGTCATAAGTGTGCCAGTGATGATAAACCACAATCGGAGACGTTTATGATTTAACTGAAGACAAAGTTCATAGCAGGTCAGATTATGCAGAACATGTGCATCAGTAAATATGCACACATGTAATGTGTTATTTGCTTGCAAATATTTAAATAATACCTTGTCCACACTACGAAACAGTAAAATTCCAAGACACAGTTCTCCCACAAAGTAGAAAATCGGGACAACAAATATGCTCAGTTGCTCTACGGCTATCAAGTCATGATTTTTTTTGTTTATTTAAAAAGTCAGAAACAAAAATCAATTCTATAATTTGCATACTTGAGGCTTCCAATAACTTTCTTAAATGCGGATGATCATTTTCGTCCGGGTAATTGTTGATGGCCTCCAACAACGCGTCCTTCTTGCCCGTAATCACAATGCCAATAAAACCAAAGAGAAGTATGAACAAACTGGAAATTACCTGAGATGGAAAAATCAAAAACAAACAAAATTACTCCATTCTGCTGAATAAAATAAAAACGACTACTTTTATTACATAAATAAGCAGATATTACCATTTCGATAACGGCAATCACTTTAGCTTGGGTCTGATAGCATGACATTGTGTAGAATTCCTTAGATTATGTTCAGAACAGAAAAGTTAAATCTCGACACAGATAAGCAATGCAGAAAACTTGATGTGTTCACTTATACAATTGGACATTTATTTCTGAATATAAAATTTCACAGCCTTATAAAATTGTTGGAAGAATTCTCAAGACCACTCGGCCTGGATACACTTTGCTGCGTGAGTCTCTGTGTATTTTTGTCTCATGTTATGATTCACTCCAAAAGAGATTATTTGTTCACGTATGCTTAGGACTTGCATGTATTTGAACAAGAATGATATTATTAAGTATGAGTCCAAACTTAAACGCGGCCTAATACTAGGAATAAACGTGTAATAAATGTAAATAATCTTCCTTGGTACAAAATTGTCAATATAAGTCTCGCAGCATCGAAAACTCAAACGTTTTTAATTGGGATGTAGAGAAAACCTGACAATATACACAAACACTTTTCGACTTTAGATATGTAAATCATGAAGATGCGTTTAGAATTTTTTGAGTTGTTAAACCAAATATCTAGAAAACTGTTAAAGTTAACTCATGTGGTGGAGGGCAAACTAACTGAAGAGCGTATGCCTATTGACTGGATAGGACGAGTTTAGCAGATTTTGGAATGAATCGATTAAATTGCATCCAAGAACACGGTACAATCGTGTGATTCGTTAGATCCTGTCTCTCTTCTTATGTTGTTGGATATGCTGTATTACATATTGCAGACTGCATATCAAAATCATGAATGATTTTCCTATACGCCACATCTCGTTACAAGATCTTACATGGCTTGCATGGTATATTTAATAAAGTAATGGCATATGGTTGGTGAATTCCCAAGACTTGTATGCCCATTTTTTGGTCGGCCTTTGTTTTGGCTTATATTTTTTGTTTGCTATTCATTATGATATTGCATGCAATATAATCTGTGTGCTATTTATCTTATGTACATACGTATATATACATAAGTATCGTATAAACCGTAATTACGGATTTTTATGAAATACATGCACAGCAAATTGAACTGCGTCTTCACAATCTAAATTGTCCTTACATAATTCTCATGGAAGTGTTAGTTTCACAGACAGGGTACATATAATTAAATAAGCAGTTAAGACTAAATTTGAAACCAGGAAAGTAGCTCATCTCTTTTATGTATTTATATATAAAAGAAACCTAACACCTTCTCAGCGTTTCGTTATTTTATTATCAAGTCTGGTTGGAATCTGGTTACAATCCAGATAAAAATTTATAGTTCATATGTAGAGGTGAAAAATGTGAAAATAGAATACAAAATATTACACGAATATTTGAGACATGCACAAATGAGAAAATATCTCCAGACATAGCCAACAGTAACGGTGGCAGTACTTATGCATGCAAAATTGGATTTATATATATATCATTGTATGAACTGGGTTTGTTATGAATATCATCATTTCAATCACATTTAGAAATTTTAAATTATTTTTTGCTCACCAAATGAAAACTTGTCTGAAATAAGTAAACAGCCATAATCTTAGTAGCAAATCAACATTTATTTCCAAAAGACACGAGCAAAAATTAATAAATAAAATCAATAAGCTCATGCGTACTTGCTTGTTGCAGTGCAGTCTTTCCTTTCCACAGATATCAAATAAAAAGCTTAAATATATTTATAGGCTGAAAAAGTGTTGTACAAGTTGATGTTACAGATACATAAATTAATACATAAATAAATACATAAAATAGCTTAAAAACTAAGGAGTGATTGTTAACTACAAAAAACGATGTTCATCTGTTGCATTCTATAGCATTTACATTTGTACTAAAAATCTAAATGTTTATTTGTGACCGTGCTGAAAATATAGTCGCGTTACACGTTAAATGTATGCAATTTAGGTCTTAGAGCCGTGTCATATTTTATTGAATGCGACGTGGTGATTTTTATATCCTGGACGATGACTAATGTTCTCAATCTTAAGTTCTTCCATGAAGGAGTAAATAACACACAATGATAAACCCCCAAAAATATAGCTCATCAACGTTGTAAATATGGCGTTCACGGGTTCCGAAGAATGGGTCGTCCAGAAAATTAAGATAGGGAGCCACACAATATGGCTAATGATCGTAAAGATGAACCATACGCGCACTTTCCCCAAATTACGCTGCAACATAATACTTTGTGAATTAAAAAATTTCAAAAAAATTTATAATGCAAGTTGAGTAAACCTCTTGAGCTCCACGAAGCAGCACGATGCTCAGAACCAAACTCGTGACGAGGTTCATAAATATCCATAAAGTGAGGCATATTTGTGCCACATCTAGAACGGAACGGAACGGAGTCATTTGATGCGGTTTCAACAATTATTTCTTACCGTTGTGCTAGATAAAGTTAAAAAAAAACTTACGAGGTAGTTCCAGTAGCACAATGATTTCCTGATTTTCTGTGGGCTTCTCATTTGCTACTTGACTCAGCAAATCAGGTCTGGCTTCTAGGATTGTGGCAAACACCATGCACAGTGTGATTGCAACAAAGTTAATTGCCTGGAATAAGTGCACTAGATTATTATTATAAGACTGTCTTATTATTATATTATTATGTGTGACAAAAGAGATGCAATTTGCCCTGCATGATGTTTCATTTCTTGTATTCTTGTTACCATTTTCATAAACAGGACGATTCTAAAGTACAACTCATATGGATTGTGAAGGTTGCAATTGTAACGTTCAGCCTAAATACAATTTTGCATACCACCAACGCTCAAATAACTGATTGACAAAGAGAAACTTGATGCGTGTGGATATCGACGTATGTAGGTAAACTTTTTACATGCATATCTAGAAGTACACGTTATGGTGGTTTACAGACCAAAATTGTGAATGTTATTTGCACTAAATACATAGGTATGTACAATGTAATGGAGTGTGTAATAATATTTTGAGACAGACTTACAATTTCACTGTAGGCAATGACTTTGGCCAACGTTTGTGACGAATACCCGCACGGTAATGTTATGCACATTTTTATTTAAAATACTGCATGAGATTGACAAAATTTCGAGATCAAGTACACTTCTTGGTAACACAAACCACCAAGTGCGTTAATATTATTTAATTATTTTTTGTTCATTTTGTCCACTAAAGGAATATACTTTTGCTTCCCATACAAGCAATATTTAAATGACAAAAGCGGTGGTGGTGACCACTGACCACTTTTCAGTTGGGCGAACTTTTACAGAATGCAAGTTGCACATGACACACAATGTCTCCAAGCTGGGGAAACAATATAATGTAATATGGAAATATGGCCATCATTTTTGATTAATATCGATCACTTCTCACGGTACGTTCCTTATTTGAGATCTGCGTGGACAGCTAATTTCGAAGCAATAAAACAAATGGACCGACTATCTGTATACTGATATGTATGTGATATGCATAAAAGAATGACCGAGTACAGATGTATGTACTGACTGAGCTAAGCACGGTGTACAAGTTGTTGACTCTTGATGTTCTGTATGCAACTGTTGCAGTAGTGCCTGCAACCAAAATTTACTAAAAATCAAATGCATATTACTTATGTTCCCTCTGTTTTTATATTAATATATCTTAACTCGAGAGTACAATTACCCACTGAACTAACTGACTTGGGTATACATACCTGACGCATAGTGCCTAATATAATACGTATGATACAGAAAGAGTTGCTAAAAGTTTTAGCATCCGGAGTGGAGTACAGAATTACACTGTATTGCAGAACGTTAACATTTGCCAACACTTGAACCGTCAAAACCTACCCAACTTGTAGTCTGTAAAGTGAGAATTTGCCAATAACGCCCACGTGCAAATTCTTACTTTATAGAACAGTTGCGTCTTGTGTGTGTGCGAGCCGAGTCGCATATCTTTTACCATAGTTTCAATTTAATTGCGAATTCTGAGTCACACAAGTGCATCAACATCCACATATTTATCTCGTATATGTAGGCAGCAGATGTTGCACGCAAAGTCGTCCTAGGTCCTGGCTTTGTTTGTGGGTGAACAAAGAGCAATAAAAAACCAAGTCTCAAACTCTGATCTATGTATGTGAGAAGCAATTAAAAGATAGTGACCATTTCGAAAGGGGCATGCACAGCCATAGATTATCGTGTATGACATGAAAATGCATATTATGTAGGCGTATGAACTACTCATGTACTTATTAAATCGTGTTCAATCATGTTAAAACAATTAGGTTTTGTTCTGTCAACTTCTATTTTATGTGCTTTCTGTGTGGTTAGCAATTTCTTTATGATATCACATTTTCGGCATCGATCAGTTGCCAATCTAACAAAAAGTTGGACAACCAACCCGAGAGAGGAAATACAGCGCATCCGGTTCCGGGAGTGTTTGAGATCACCGAAACCAATAATCTTATACAAATGTACATAAGATGAAATGAGAAATAGACGTGGCCATCCCTGTCTAAATGTAAATGAACTCCAATCGAACTCCTCCCCAGACACACATTCTGGCTTTTAGACCAACTATTTAGTCAAGTTTAAGGAGATGGAAGTGGGGTAAAAACATGCCAAATTGTTCAATGTCTGCTCAAAATAGTGAAATAAATACAAGGCAGTTAAAATTTCCTCCACATTTATTACATACGACTAATAATATAAATTACAATCATTCCAACAATAGCTAAAAAACCTTCTATTCTTTTCTAAGCACACACTCGAATATTTATTTATTTATTATTAGCATAATATGTTTAATTTACTGAAGCACCGTTTACGAGTATAGATATATACTAAATATGAAAATAATATTTCATTTATAACAAGGTTTGGAATGCATTAGGATCACATTACATATATAATAAGCATCATTATGTAACAGAGAGAGAGAGAGAGAGACGGTACGGACCTGCCTGTATATTGACTAATATTGGTTTCGTATGATTTTTCATATAAAAATATTATGAACACGTGGGTTCACAATAAGCTAAATGACATGGATCACGTTTATAATAAATAATTTTGAATATCTAATTGTATTTACATATACATATGCATGTTTATCTAGCTCCTCTGGAGATTGATTTGAATTTTTTTAAACGTTATTTTCGGTTTTCAAGATGTCTTCCTCGCCTGTTGTTTGTTTTGGCATCTTAGCAAAAGCTCGGGCAATCAAATATCCTACAATAGAAGATAACCCACACAGCAAGAACATCATTTGGCTCGCCTGTGGATGATCAAAGTGATGCATTCCAATGAGGCCTCCACATCTGAAAAAAAATATATTGAAACAATTTTACCAATAAATCTCGTAGATAATCACTATGCAATCACGATTATCGCGAAACTGTACTGCAAATACTTACGTGATTACGTTCATCGGGACTCGGAACCAATTCATAATATTTGCCCTTAAATTATCTGGAATAGTTTCCCCTCGTAAACGTCCAATGCAAGGAAAATAGAGTCCTAGAAAATTCGAATTTTCTATGTATTCGTGTAATACATAAATACACACTTGTGGGTAATTCGTGTATTCCACACACGAATACATTGTAGCTGACTTTACTTACCAACGGATATCTCGAGCGTGATAAAAGCCAGATAAGAGAGATACATATAGTCTGAGGGAAAGCCCGGATTGGTGCTAATTGCACAGACAAGGAACGAAGATCCCATAACAATTAAACAGTACTGAAGTATTTGTTCCGGCCTTTCACCCCGATTCAACAGTATGGAGTAAATCGAGGATCCAATCATAATGGCAAGCATGAAGCTGGAAAACGTTAAGCCCAAGGGCGGATGTCCTTCATCCAGCACCGGAGTCCACAGGAAGACAAATATATACATATTGGACTCAAACAATGATTGCACTAAACCGAGAGAGAGGATGTTTGAGTTTTTCATTATTGTACTGAGCCCTTCTGAACATGAACCAGCCCAGTTCATTGTTCGTTCTCCATAGTTTTCTTCCCAATTCTTGACTATTAAAAGGGCTCCAATGATTAGAAATGGAACAGCGATCATGAAAGGGGCGACAGGACCGAACGCCAGCCAATCTGAGCCAGCCTGAGCAACGATTCCAGCAATTATTGCAAGTAGTCCATTGAAAAACGTCGCTTTGGAGAAGGTGAGAGACATCCAGTCGATGGGATATTTCCAAGTAATTGTGTGTTGATGTACGTACCAGGACTCGAAAACGGAAAATAAAATGGATGTTGAAATGCCCCCGAGTATTCGCCCAATCAACAAAATGTTGAAACTAGATGATAGCTTGGTCAAACAACAGAATGCGTAGACGAGACAAAAAATTACACTCATTTTCTTCCGGCCAAATCTGTAAAACGAAGTGAATCAATTGAAGTAAAGTAATAAAATAAATCAAACTCGTACATCTGTTATTTGTTTTTAGACAATTTTATGAAAAACTCAATTTACTTACTTATCAGCGAGGGGTCCTGTTGCAGTACCAAAGGTTACGCTAGCTGCAAATCCAACGACGTAGAGGACTATATATGTAAGAAAAATGGTTTGATAGGCTCATGAACAAAAATTGGAATAATACTCTAAATTTAGATTTTTAAAATCACTTACTTGCAATTTCACGTTGTGGAAATCCATAATAACTATACAGTTTGTAGACATATGGTCCTTGCAACCAATCTGGAAATAAATACAAAAATAAATACTCATATCTGAAGTCAGAACTTAAGACTCACCTGAGAATAGGGCCATGAAATATGGCAGAAAGTAGACTTTTTGAAAGGTTAAAAACTCGCGATTTTGTACATTGTCCGATGCTGCTTTCTGGCCGTTCAAATACAGAACATACGCCGCAATTACCAGTGGGATGCAAGTTAACTGAATCTCCACCGGTAGAGTATATCCCATCATATTTAACTGATTTTTTTAACGTTTTCTACAAAATTGTTCAGTTAAATTTATATTCCCTCAGATAAATCACCCAGAATTAAATTAGACTAAAGAGGACTCACCAAAAATTGGTATGACGTGAATGTGACCAGTGTCACCGTTGCAGTTTATTTCAAGTTAAAGCTTTCCACCTATCTCAATTCAAGTAGCCTGGAAATAAACAATGTCACATTTAAATCAAAACAATTTACAAACAATATGGGAATGTTATGTAATTTGAATTCAATACGTCGTTAGAATTTTTAAATCAATCTAATTATTTTAATATGGGATATTATTATGCCGTGTCACCTCTACAGAATTGACAATTATTATGTTTTAGGTATAACGTAATGGAGCCTGCAGAAGTAATTTCTCTAACAGAACAAGTTAATGTACTATTCAGCCCAAACGACCAACTTATGCTAAAAATCTAAATTAAACGGCTAATAACCGTTATATTTTCCTGAACATTAAAAATCTCACTACACATCCAGCTTAAACTTTAAACCTAGTTAATTTGTATTAGCCGTTTTTCTATTTATTCAACTGGAGTACCACATGCACAAATCTGATCAATCGTCTGAGGCGTTGTTTTACAAGTACATCGCAACTAGAGCAAAGACTAACTGAGTATTATGGTAAAGCGACGTGATTTCAGCCTATTTTCCTTTAAAATAACATTGTCTACTTACCATTAACCCAAAATTGCCCACAGCACAGATAAAACTATAAAAATCAGGTTACAATTTATACACAGACAGACGTCATATTCACATCACACCGATTACACGTCATAAAAAACAATTCGATTAAATCTGTCAATGGATTGGAACATTTTGCTACACTTAAGATTTACATAGATCCATCCATGTCATCGCATAATACGACATTTACAATTTACAATACAATAGAATTGGAGTTGAAAATATCGAAATTCATTCTTCATATTTTCCGTTCCCTGATATTCATTCGTCTTACCAATATTAATTCTTATTCAATCGGTCAATTCACATATGTGATTGCAATAAAAACCATTTTAAATGTGACGTCTACGTCTAAACGTCTACCTCGCTAGCGTTCCGCTAAATACTATACCACTTAAATTAGAAAGTCTCAAATTGAAACTATTATTGATTGAATAACAAAACGAGGTTTACCTGTTTACGACAACACGGCAATTATGACCGGTTGATGATAACCATTTGATTAGGTCACTGGCCACCGCACAGCCAGCGGGCACAGGTTCCAACCAACAGCATGAGGCGACGACGAGGTCAAAATTAAAACACGACCTCATGCAAAAATCACCTGCGAGGAGAATTGCAGAATTCTGTCACGACTGCTCGCGGCTGAGAAAAGAGTCAAGTTTCCCTTCGTTCCCGGATGAAGAATGTAATGCAGTGAAGAGGATGAAATCGGATGAATCATAAAAATTGTATGAATTTACATACGTCTATGATGTACGTAACGTGCCCATGTAATTGTGTCAACGCAACGATAAGAAGTTCCCTGGGCTGGAATATTTCGATAAGATAGGCAATGAGACCGCTGCTGATATGAATCCTCCGTAATACCAAATGTAGGATTACCAACTGCTTCAATAATCATAAATGAGGATGTTTTTTACTCAATAAATTTGTTAGATTGTGACATATTATTATGCATAATATCTATATATGAAAATAGGTATTTAATCTTTCTCAGAACACATTTTCGGCACATATTTCATCTATTTCTTTCCCACTAATCGCCAATAACGGGATTATCACTGAGCGTTGGTTCAATAGTACTCTTTGAACTGATAATCTGCCGAATTTGAAACGTTATTCATCATCGTTAATATCAGGGTTGGCCAAGATAATTTAACAAGATACAAGATATCAGATACAAGATATATCTTGTATCTTGTATCTTGTGTAACGGAGTTTATCTTATCTTTTATCTTGTATCTGAACGTTTCTCAAACAGTATTTTGTATCGTGTATCTTATATCTGGAGAATTTATTTCAATCAAATTTTATTTGAAATACTAGTCAAGATACAAGATAAATTTTTAGTGAAAAACCGGGAAACTTGCATATTTAGTAGTATTAAAACTTGGAATTATGAAGATTTAAAAACCTAAGTGTACAGCTTTGCCGAGCCGGATGCAAGGTTCTGTTGTATAATAACGTCGTTATATTTATTTATCCACAGTAAATAAACCCTCGCACGTTGGCAAATTTTGTAATTTGCATTATATTCTTAATTTGTACCACCATTAGAGCAATTATTCCAAATTTCAACTGAATATACTGGTAATAATAATTTCAGCTCCATTGAATAATTTAAAAAAATCAGTATGGGTCACCAATGATGAAATCCTCATATCTGTTTATAAATTGTAAACAGAGGGTGAGGACTTGCATTATAAATGACAATGCAAGTTATGAGTCTGTTCTATCATTATTAACAAGTTACTCGGCTACAATACAAAAAAGTCAAGTGGTGCTTCGTTATTTCATGTTTTTTTGCAAGCTCCGAATAATTTATCTTGTATCTTGAAAAAATTATTTCAAATAAATATCTTTTATCTTGTATCTGGGATCACAGTAGATAAAATCTATCTTGTATCTTGTATCTTGTGTAACTCTAATTATTTGTATTTAGTATCTTGTATCTTAAGGTTTCGTTCAAATATTTTGTATCTTGTATCTTGTATCTTTGAAACAAAGTATCTTGGCCAACCCTGGTTAATATAACTTTTATTTTTAGGAAATGCATTATTACAATCCATACTTATATTTTGTCCAATTTAATTTAATCCATTTTCAATTTTTAGTCGATATCGATTGCAAAAATGAATAAACCGTCGCAAACGCGCATACGGAAGTAGCTTCAGACTACTTCACTCCAAGCACTCCCACGACATCGCGGGAACACTTGATTTTACTGTATTTCATCTATACATTCAATTTTTTCAAAAATCTCATTTTGCCCCGACCACACCCCCTAGTGACGAGGGGGTGTGGCACAACTCGGGAGCACTTTATTCTACTGTATTTTATCTATGCATTCAATTTTTTCAAAAATCTCATTTTGCCCCGACCACACCCCCTGGCGCCCGGGGGTGTGGCACAACGGGGGAACTCAAAATTTCACTCCATTTCATCCATAGATTCAATTGCACTAAAAATCTCATTTTGCCCCGACCACACCCCCTGGCGCCCGGGGGGTGTGGCACAACGGGGGAACTCAAAATTTCACTCCATTTCATCCATAGATTCAATTGCACTAAAAATCTCATTTTGCCCCGACCACACCCCCTGGCGACCGGGGGTGTGGTCCGGTTGCACCCAAAAGTTGATAGGATCCTCCCCCTGGGGTATTATGTATGATGGCGAAAACCGATTTCGATTATCTTTATCCGTTCTCCCGTTATCCTGCTGACAGACAGACGGACGGACGGACGGACGGACGGACGGACAGACAGACGGACATAACGATCTTATAAAGGGCTTTCACCCCTTAATAAAACCCTGTGATCAAGAAATAGCAAGAAATAGAAAAGTTTTCCTGTAAATTTTTTTATTGAATTCTACACTTTTTCAATGAAGTAATCGCAAATGAAATGAATGATGAAGACAGATTTAGACATTGATTTTTTATAGACTTTCGACTGAAGACTTATCCCTTGATTTTTATAATCACTGCTTTACCTACTAATTTGTATCATAAAGTATAACGTGCAATGCACCTTTATGAAGTACTTTCATCCTTCGTAGTAAAAAAAAACAAATAAAAACACCATTTTTTAATCCCTTGCATATTTTTCCAACAGTTCTTGACCAATATCCTTTGATGCGAAGGACCATGGAGTCTGTCGCAGCAGAGAGGTAATTGCACCATTATTTGAGAAGATACCTACAAATAAACTAGATAAAAGTGCTCTTGTCACCAACCAACCGAGCAGTCCATGCTCCATCGTGATTGCTAGTTTTGTATTTACTAATTCACTCCAAGTTGCAGAGAGGCTTGCGTCTGAAGCAATTAGTCTTGTATAGTTTGGCGTCACGTCCGTCATGGTGTCACATGTCAAAACTGACAAGTGACACTTTTTCGTCACTTTTCGTCACTGTGACGACGTCATTGTCACAGGTGACGATGTCACAGTGCCCATCTTCGAACTCGTCCTCTCTATTGACGTTAGGAGTTTACGTTCAAAATTTCAAGTGTCTATGTCTTTTCGTTCAAAAGTTATCGGAGCTACGGACAGACAGACAGACAGACAGACAGACAGACAGACAGACAGACAGACAGACAAAGTCTTCACATAAAGTAGCTGAAGCTACTTAATAAATAATGACGGTTTATACAAAAATGCATAAAATGGCTAAGGACCTAAGTACACTTTACTCTCCAAATTAATAGTACTGATATGTTCTTAATTCCATAGGAAGAACTTTCATTGGTGATCATGTTTTAATATTGCAGAATTTGTGTAACTGTAAATGCATGCAATGCAACACAAGCAGTAGAAAATAATTTCAAATGTGTATTTACATACTTACTCTGAAGTTAAAGCGTTCTGCATTTATTAAAAATACCTTTTTCCAAATCATTATATCCAGGATTCGTCGTAAATGTTTACAAACATGTTAATTTCACTTTCATTCTCAAACATCATGTCTACAGTTATTAATACGTATATCTGTGTATTTACATGAACTGGCTGTGTGACTTTAATGCATTTCTCTTTTCCTTTTAATTATGATGATTTTATAATTATAGCACGTCGCTGTTGTCAGTTGTAATACTCCTGAACTTTAACTTCCATCATCCCGCGCTCGTATCCTTCCCATGCTATTAGTATGGTAGGGATACGAACGCGGGAATCAAATTTTGATGGAAGTTAAAGTTCAGGTATATTAATCTACTTCATTTTTCTCCAAGATTACTTTTCTTTTGCTAATCTCCGCTTTATTCCAAGACTTATGAATTTTTCATTATGCATCATCTACACATTTGCACTTAATATAAGCGAAAATAACACAATCAAGTCATATTGATGAAAATGTAATGTTTCATGTTATTGATGCGAATAAATTGAAATCATACATTTAATTTCCTTTGTTGTTCGCTGTAAATTTATTAATTTCAATTCAAGCTTATACTTTCAACTGTTGACATTGTCTCCGGAGTAAAATCTGCATACACAACTTATCATTGGGACTTTCGAATAAAATGGGGCTGAGTTTACAGAAATATTCTCAAATGAACAAACAAATTATGGAAGTCAAAAAAGCACTTGAAATTTTCTTACTCTACATATTTCTAAATATTTGTAAATAATTAAATTATATGTAAATAATTATTTCTTTTAAAATTTAACGTAAATTGACTTTGTAATTTTTTCGGAATCCTCACCCTCGTTGTTACTATACTTCAAATCGCAGGAAGTTTATCAAGTTTTTTTCTTGGTTTGTTGTTGACACTACCATTCTAAAGGCTACAGAGGCACTATGAGTTGCATTATTAAGTAATAATTAATAATTTTTAAGGTTCAGCTTCCCTGCAAGAATCTAACTAATTTCATTCAAATGAGTTGCATCAGTTTTGTCATTACAATAATAATATTTAATTAATAATAACAATTAATTAATTTACTGACTACAAGGTAGCTAATTAATTTCAATTAATTAGAGCTACGAGTAGAATCACAAATTCAAATATGTTGTGCATTTGATTTACGATTCAGATCAAACTAGGACGAAGCTAAAAATGAAAAAAAATCTATAAATTACCTTGCATGACACATAATTTTATTAATTAATTACCCACTACATTAAGGATATTAGTGGGAGTATCGTGATGATTTTTAAACAATAATTCAATAGTTTAATACTTTTGTGTAAGTATTTAGTTGATATGACTGAGCTTTTGGGAAAGGATAATATAGTAACAATTAATAACAAAGTGGTGAATCTGAACGGTAACAAATGTACAGAAAGTTGTATAAATAAATAACTAAAAGATGTTGTGTATGTCATTTTTTAATAGATAGATACTCATTGGGCCAGGGTTGTATTGTTATACATATATATTTTTAAGTATTAATATTCCATTAAGATTAGGCTGAGGTGATCACATTTCTACCTTTTAAAATCTTCTCCGTTTTTTATTCATTTATATATTGAAACCAATACTAAATTCCTTGTGAGGATTTCTTGCCTTATTAAAGTTTAATAATTACATAATTTAATAACAAGGTTGAGCACCAGCATTCGCACCTTCGGTAAAATACAAAAGAATGTAACAAACGGAAGCTGTTATATTTATTTATCCACTTATTATTAAATATCATTATATTAAATATATTTACTTCGAGAATACTTTCGGTTTGCTTTTACTTGGGTATCAATACATGTGTAACTGTAGCTGATTCTAATACTGAATACCTTTGATAGTACAGCAAGAATAATAAATGGAGCAGTAGATAAAAGTTGGAAATGGCGTTGCTGGGATAAAATCTTGAAAAGAAATGCCTGAGTGAGATAAATCGGTGATTCGGTACTAAAAGTACATATATTTATTTAGCAGGTTCACTAATTTTCCATTTGAATCCCATAATGATGACAATGCATTGCCATACATTGACTCTCCTCCATGTGTGAAGCAATCTTTATTCTTCCTGCTATTTTTGCACCATATTTTACATAGTACACTTTAGTGTAAGACCTAGTAATACTTGTACAAATGTCGTTTTTAGATATAAGGACTGTTTTATGAATTTGATCTAAAAATTTCATCTGTAATGAAACTACTACTCTCTGATCACAGGTGAACATGACGACGACCAACCATTTCAGTGGGTGAAAGGAAAACATAAGGCGCATCAAAAAAAAGTGTACAATATTATTTTCTTTCCATGTTACAAGCTAATAGATTGACGTTTTGTGATTTTATTGACATTGACTCGACTTGATCGAATGATTGATTGATTGCCTCTACAAAATATGTGTCTGTTCCTAATTCTTAGTTTTACTACCGTGACTCAGAGGATGAGATTGGGTACGGATTTTGAGACTCTCTGTTGATATATTCATGTTACAGGTGGGTGGGGTTGATGGTTTCATTTGGATGGATTTATTATTTACAACTAAATATATGTGGTGCACGGGGATTTAACGACATGGGGGCTCAGTGCACCTACTTAACTTTTAAATGCATACAAAATTACGTTTTCTACGTCCAATTTCGCAGAGATGGACTTGATTATTCTTAGAGTTACACTATCGGTAGTTTTGCACATCACTATATCTTTTGAATATATGTAACAATATTTCATGTCTATGTAAATATCTTTTTGGGCATGTTTACCTCTTAGCGTAAAAATGTCGTACTCTATAGTTTCATACTTCTTTCGGTTATATAAATTATTAAAATTATCCTGAAACGGTCAATTCGTTCATTTCTATAAAACTATTGCTTTTAGGAAAGGCTGTATCGCATCTCAGTTTTATTTCGCTAGGTTATTCAAGGGAAATGATACAACTTGTAAGTACGCATGTACATACGTACGTGTCCATACATATGTACTCATCTACATATTTAAAAGTATTTGGTTTGTCTCATCCCCTATACTCAAGTATGTAATGGTTAATAGTCTTTATTCGTATTATTGGGATTGCACTTAATTTAAGCAATGGCATATGTATTGTTTATGACAATATAATCACGGGAGACGGGGATATAAAATTGGCCTATGAGTTCAAGTATTTTAACGGTAATGAGTACTTGCTCCTCCAGACCCACTGTCGGTCGTCTTGGGCGTAGTTCTACTGCTATTTGATGAGCTGGATGTTTGCTGAGGTGGCATATTTATGACGGTTGATTGTGATGAGGTGGTGGTAACTGGAGGGGTTGGTGAAGGTCGGCTACTCATCGCTTCTGAAAAACTACTGGTGCTACCCTTGTCTTTTCCTGAAATCTTTATACTTGAAGGTGGAGACGGCGTGGGTTTTGCAACTCCTGGCTTTGTCGCTTGGGTCATTCGACTCGGCACCGGTGCTGGAGCAGCAGCGGCGACTGGAGGAGCAGCAGTGGTAGTCGCAGATTTGGTTATAGATAAAGGCTTTGAAGATGCGGGAACAGAACTTGGTGTGGTTTGGGGTCCCTTCGCCCTCGAGACTGGGGAAGCCTGCTGCACGCTAGAGCTGGAGCCAGCAGGGGAAGGTCTTGTAACAGTTACTGAAGGGGAACTCACTGGTTTTGAAGAGATAGACGAAGTCGTCGTGGGTTGTTTAGTTGAACTTGAAGGCATAGAGGAAGTGGTCATGGACTGAGTTATGGCCGATGTGGGGCTGCCCCCTGTCGTGGTGGGGGTTGGTGGAGTAGCCGGTCCCACAAAGAAAGTCGGTTTAGGAGTCTGTTGACTAGTTGTTGAAGAAGCAGGAGGTGCAGACACGGCTGCCGAAGTGGTAATGGTAATGGGCACCACAACCAATGGCTGCCCGATAACATGAACTTGCGATGTAGTCGTCGTAGTAGTTGCTGGGCCAATTGTGCCCGTCACCTGCGAATATGAAGGTGGTTTCTCAACTCCTGCTTTACCTCCGGGGATCGGTGTTACTGGGGCCGACGCCGTTTTGACAATGACATCAGCATTAGTCGATGAGTGAGCAGCGCCCGATGGTTGACTAGTCCCCGCCATGTGGCTCATTAGTTGTGGGTGACCCATGGTAGTGAGAAGTGGGGCAGTGACCGCGGCGACGAGGAGCTTGGACGACATTGACGTGACGGCAGATGAACTGATGGGTCCGGGTGTGGTGGTGGGCACGGTATTATTTAACGTTTCGAGTGAGGCGAGAAAACAATTTTCAGATTTCGGACGAGGCTGAATTAAGTAAGAATAAGATATAAACATCAGCAATTTCCCAGTGAAGAATAATGTGCATAAATATTCCCAAACTTACCAGATTAACTTTGGCTAAAGCTTTTGTCTGTAATAAATTAATATAACATTTCAGCCCAATAATATTTCATCATCAACTTGAGGGAAAGTTGTCTTCCCTCAAGTTCCTCAAACTTTAATTTATAATATATTATTCTATTTGCTAGTACTATCAGTACAAATTCCATAACTTCTGCTGTTGCAAAAGTTGTATAAATATGTATGTCGCACATTTTTTATTCAACAAAGATCTCGGTCACAATAACGTGTCTGGATTAAGCTTTCTGATGCACGTAGTTTATTTTTAAATAAAACTTTCAACTAACCAACTCTCTCATGTCACATTTGTCCTTGTCTTTGGATTTATTGCTTGGAGGTGGGGTCGGCTGCAGATCCACTTCTTCGTCTTCGTGCGCCGCTTGTTCTGGAGTCATGAAGAATTATTAATGGTTGCATGATGAAGTGTGTACTTATTACTTATTTTGTTCGTGTGTGTTTAGGACCTTACCTGAGAGAGCAGTCACAATGGCAGACACCGATTGGTCCTGGAAATATTACATAATTGGAATTTAAAATATATGTTTTTTTTAGTTTATGCATGCAAATAATTTGATACCTCTCGTGTCGCTACTAGGTTCGGGTTCTTTCCAATTTTGTTCAGTCTGAAATTACACAATTATTGCATTATTTGTAATGTTCCTTAAAAGATAAGAAAGCTCTACTTTTACTTCTCAAGGATACGTACGTACATTTCAATATTAATAAATGAAATGGTAGGTCACCTCACACTCATTATTTTTTAACCCGAACCAGGGCTTATTGCTTGAATGAATGTGTGTAATATTTACAACAAAGCCCATTTTATATGCATCCTTTTATTCAGAACACGATTTAGTCAACGATTTATGGGAATGATCCAACGCTATCTGATAGAATGCCTGATCATCCACGCTGCTCAGAAATATCATGCTCATCTTATCTAAATATCAAAATATTGTTGAGTAAAAGTTCAGTAACCCAGAATTACAAAATCTGCAACAAAGTCACATTTGCCGTTGTTTTATTGGAGTTAATAAAAGTGTTCGTGTTGCGGTTGCCAGTGTTTTAATTGAAATCTATTTTTACCCTCGCAGTTCTAATTTGCCCGTGAATCAGTCAAAATTACAATATTTTAGGGCTTCTTTACTGAACCTTATTTAACTTACGCCTCCTAATCAGGGTTGAAGCAGACCCAAAACAAAACTTTGGCAAAGTGCTATTTCCTATCGTTTTCCTAACGTTGAGAATACCCTTTGTTGAAATGACATCCGAATTAATTAAACCACCACCGAGAAACTAATGAGAAACTACTGATGATGAGCCGACGAACGATGAGAGATATTCGAAAAAGTTAGTAAAGTATAAAGTCAAGTAGAATCATTATACGTCAGGAAAGCAGTGAGTCACGCCGACCTCAACAAAGCTCAAAGTCTGTGCTTTCTCCACCACCCGTCCCTCCTTCTTACGGAGGATACAAGACAATATCGCTGTCCATGTTGGGTGTGCTTTCGTACGTATTTGTCCACGATCCAAAGGATTCGTTTTATTTCTCCACGACAGATACAAATATCTCTACATTTGGGCTCCATTCAGTAAATCTCAAAAGGTTCGAATCTTCTGATTGAATAAACAAATGTAATCATTTGTATGCTTAAGGTATTTGTACTTGTCCTGCCATTTCACGACGACGTTCACCGTCAACCGTGCTACAAATCCGGACTAAACTGGCTTGAAATATAGGATACGAAATTTATTATTCCTGTCGTTTTTTGTCGCTGTTCCTTTCATTCTGGTTTTCTGTTCTCCATCTCTCCCTTTGTATCTCTCAAATTAATTTTGTGTACCTTCCATGCTCTCTCTCTCTCTTATTAGAGCTTGTGACTTTTATTCTTGAAGGGCAAAAATCAAATCAAACTTGAGCAAACAAGTAAGTTTGGAAGCTTATGGGAAAAGAACACGAATAGAATTGCAATAAATATATTGTTTCGTGTTATGTAGGAAAGAAGAATATTGTGATGCTTCCTTTGGATGCCTATAAAGTCCTAACAAACGAATATTCTATATAAACTTATAGTCAGAGGGAGGGTGTCCCACTTTTCATTAATCACTCTCATTCCATGAACGGTGTGGATGGAGCATGCAGCGTCAAGTAATATCCAAAGTTTTGAGATAAAAAGTCTTGTGCTTCACAAGTAAAACTTTTACGCCAAACTATACAAGACTAATTGCTTCAGACGCAAGCCTCTCTGCAACTTGGAGTGAATTAGTAAATACAAAACTAGCAATCACGATGGAGCATGGACTGCTCGGTTGGTTGGTGACAAGAGCACTTTTATCTAGTTTATTTGTAGGTATCTTCTCAAATAATGGTGCAATTACCTCTCTGCTGCGACAGACTCCATGGTCCTTCGCATCAAAGGATATTGGTCAAGAACTGTTGGAAAAAATATGCAAGGGATTAAAAAATGGTGTTTTTATTTGTTTTTTTTTACTACGAAGGATGAAAGTACTTCATAAAGGTGCATTGCACGTTATACTTTATGATACAAATTAGTAGGTAAAGCAGTGATTATAAAAATCAAGGGATAAGTCTTCAGTCGAAAGTCTATAAAAAATCAATGTCTAAATCTGTCTTCATCATTCATTTCATTTGCGATTACTTCATTGAAAAAGTGTAGAATTCAATAAAAAAATTTACAGGAAAACTTTTCTATTTCTTGCTATTTCTTGATCACAGGGTTTTATTAAGGGGTGAAAGCCCTTTATAAGATCGTTATGTCCGTCTGTCTGTCCGTCCGTCCGTCCGTCCGTCCGTCCGTCTGTCTGTCCGTAGCTCCGATAACTTTTGAACGAAAAGACATAGACACTTGAAATTTTGAACGTAAACTCCTAACGTCAATAGAGAGGACGAGTTCGAAGATGGGCACTGTGACATCGTCACCTGTGACGATGACGTCGTCACAGTGACGAAAAGTGACGAAAAAGTGTCACTTGTCAGTTTTGACATGTGACACATCATTTTTAACTATTTTTCAATGAGGAATTCGAAAATTCATGTCATTTTGCGGTTGGACGTCACCTGTGACGATGACATCGTCACAGTGACGAAAAGTGACGAAAAAGTGTCACTTGTTAGTTTTGACATGTGACACATCATTTTTAACTATTTTTCAATGAGGAATTCGAAAATTCATGTCATTTTGTGTTTGGACGTGACCTGTGACGATGACATCGTCACGGTGACGAAAAGTGACGAAAAAGTGTCACTTGTCAGTTTTGACATGTGACACGTCATTTTTAACTATTTTTCAATGTCAAATTCAATGGTGACCTCCATTTTGACCTCAGAGGTCATGTAAAGGTCATAGGACATATCTATTTCAATTTCAACTGAAATTTAACCCCGAATTCAATGGTGACCTCCATTTTGACCTCAGAGGTCATATAAAGGTCACATAAGGGTTATCAACTGTTAAATTTGACACAAATAAGACACAAAAGTCGAAAACACGTCAGAAGTGTCAATCTTAACAAATTTTCGAACAATTTGATATTCACATTGACGTATGACACTCCTTTCACCCCTTGGTTACATGCGTTGTAACGGTTTATTTTATATCTTTAAAGTCCTTTTGTTTGTCTTGATAAGAAATTCACTCCGTTTGCGTAACTTTCACCACAACTCTGTAGCCACGAGAGAGAGAAAAGGAACGAAGGGAGCGTCTCAATTTTACCTGCGTTGAAATGTTCCACACTCAGGGAGAAGAGGTTGCAGTATGTTTCCGCCCTTACGCTGGCCACTCTCCTGCAATAAAACAAACTCGTATGCACATGGATGAAACGTGGTCTCTTGATACATGTGTGCCTAAGTTGGTTGGGAAGAAGAAGTTGCATAATATCTAACAATTTCGTAACAGAGTGGATGGTATTTGCTACAATGTGGTACAGAGTCGTCATCGTAAATTACTGGAATTAAAGGACAATAAATTAACAGTATCTGGCAATGCAAACCGGCGTATTTTGAATGACGTAGCTTTCACCTCGGCTTTGTTCTGGTGAAGGAGAGGAAGGAATTGAGACGGAAGAAGAGTTGACTAGGAGAAGGAGAGACACAACTCGCGGACACTGAATTACCCGAATGGCGAAGGAAATCTTGGACTGTTAGAATGTTCAAGGAAAATGCGGTATTTCTTAATGAACCTTGTGGGAAAGAGGAGAGAGAAACAGCAAACGTGAAAAGGAACCCCCACCAGCAGAAGTAAATTAAGTTCTGTCATTTCCCAACAAGCTGTCTAATTCTAATGTAAATGCAAATGTGTTTGTCAGACAGAATATCAGTGTTGGTGATGAAAATGCTGTTGCAGTAGTATCTAAAAGTCGGAACTGTAATTATTGTTGTCTTCTAATGGGAAAGGTGGGAAGAAAGTGTGAGAGTAAATCATTTGAGATGATTGTAACGTGTATTTGGAGAAAGTTATGGTTAAAATTTCTACCTACAACGACCTTACAAGAGATCTCCAATAAGAATCGTGTTACCTTGCGTTTGTGAGGAGACATATTTCCCCAAAGTAGGACCCATCTGATAAAGATGTTGCAACTTCGCCATTGGCCATCACTGCAAATGTGTAAAGCGGTGTGTTAGATCATACTAAAAAATTGATATACATGAATTTTCTACTTCTAGGAACACCAGGTAAAATAAAAGAACAAGTACTTACCAATGTCGACAATGCCCTCTTGAATAAAATACATTTTCGTTCCTATCGTCCCCTCCTTTATTATTATATCACCTGCAAAACCAACTCGTTCTATTGGACGCGTCACAAGTAAGGAAATCATAATGGAGATGAATCTTACCGGGTTGGAAGACCTCGTATCTGCAAATTCACACATATGAATTAACACACTCAAAGTCTTTATCATATAAAATTAATAGTAATTCTATGCACTTACTGGAGTTTAGTGACCACCTGAAAAAAATATAAATTTCTGTAAATATGTTTGATGATTCATGTGTTTTGTACGCGCTCCGAAGGATTTTAATAAAACAAATCCCCAGCCTCGTGGGTGAGTTAATTTGTACATAAAACATTTTTTAAATTGCTACACGATAAGCATAGAAAGTGTGATAAAAGACTGAATCACTACCACCAGTTATAATCTTAATCTTATTATATTGAATTATTAAATAAGTCATCAAATATTTATACTCACTTCAGAGACAAAATCAGGGTCTGCATTAGCAAAAAATGGAACCGAAGCTACCAGTGAACGGCAGTTGTAGTTTATTACATCCTAAAATATGGTTAAAAATCAAACGATTAGTAAATTTTGATATATGCATGAACCAAAGATTTATTTCCTTTATTTGTATAATTTGTTTGCAATGATCACTATCATCTTTTATGACATACAAGGAAATATAACTTGCAGTAGATTACAGTCACTTTTCTTACCTCTCTCAGCTTTTCAGACAGTTCTCCAAGTATGGCGTCCTCATCAAAGAATTTTCCTGTTTATCAAATTATTTAAAAAAATTTAATAAGTATATCTCAAGAAAACATAGGGTAATTTAAGTGTCATTTTCGTCTTAAACGATATCACTAAATTTTTTTAGGAATAACTTGCTTGCCTTGATATCTGTGCTCGAAATATTCAGAAATGCGGGCTGAAAATTAAAATAAGAATTATTTGTTATCCGTAAGCGATCCCAATCGTTCCTAATGCCGCACAAGAAATACTTACCTCGCATATTCCTTGGAAGTTTCCTGTATGCCATGTACTCCTCCACTTGTTTCAACTAGACAATCAAACCATATATGTATCAGTCAAGAAATGTAAATATACATGCAGGCATGTACATATATACGTATGTATTTATATTCATCCACCGCCCATGAATATGTTGGAGAAGCTTTCACTTGATTTTGATTAAATTTGGCTAGGAATTTGTGTTTCGAGAAATATCAGCAATATGCGAACAAATACATACGTCACTACATACCAGCAAATCCGATTTGATCCATTTGTGGATCACAATCATTTCCTACTCAAGCACATAACTTTAAGCGCTTGTTTTCACATCATTTTGCTCGTAGTAAGCACATGAATGATTTTTCTCGTTCTCCATATTTCGTAAGTTTTGCATGCATGCACCGAAAAGCTCGTCCCATTTAGTAGCAAAATGGGGAACTAGAAATTATTTAGTCAAAGTCTGACGAGAGGTTTAGATGGAATTAACAACAATATTTGAAAAATACTTATGTACACCCAACTCAAACTCAAATAAAGCATTTCCTTGTATTATTCACCTTCTACGTTCAAGTTTTTGTTGTACTTTGAGATGCTTGCGGATGAAAGTCGTTGCAAATGTAACTTAACAAATGTCTACTATTCGCTCTAAAATCTCGTCTGGGTAGTCTCGGAGGAAAGAATGAAAATAATCCGGAGCACGCCTTCCTCTTGTTTTCACCACTCTTCTGGATGTGTGCCACTGCTGCTTGAATAAAGCTGAGGTTGCACAATGCGGAAATTCTGTAAAGAATAGGAAGGAATTGCCCGAAGGAAGTGTCCGACTTATGTCTAAGGTAAAATGCCCAATAAAAATAACACAAAGCACCAACCACCCAGTCGGTGAGAGTGAGACAAGTACATTATGTGAGTAAAATTGAATAAAAAGAATCGAGCTGGCTATACCCAGAAATCTGGAGAGCTTTATTTTTCGCTTAAGATGTATCCTTGCACTGCACACTGCCCCCATGTAGCTTTTATGTACGTATAAAGAATACCACCTGACTCAACATAAAATACTTTTCGATCGTTAAAAAATGCTTCTAGCAAATATATAAATGTACTTTTAAAGATTTTGCAGTTCTAGAAAATTGTGGACAGAATTTAATGCCATTGAGTGTCAAGTGTCTAGGCTATCTTATATATTATAGTCTTGAGTAAGAAAATAAGCATGTGCCGATGATGGACAGCAAATGTGCACAGATTTGGTGAGAGTGTAATTACGTACGACTTGCGTTCTTGCCTACAAATATTAGCGCCGTACACACACATAACTTTGAAGGCTTTAAAATTTCTCACCTTTTCTCGGTATTGTCTTCTTGAAGAATCCAGGCTCTGAATAAGGTTGGTGGCGTGACCAAGAAAAAGTGCGTAGCACGTGGCACCAGAAATCATGGATAACCTGAAAAATAAAAATAAAAGTAATTGCAAATGTTGAAATATATTTTTTATTGTAATTTGTTAATTAATATTGACACGTGCATTTGTTCATGCTTAATAACTTATGAACTTAGAACCATTTTGATGTAAAATTTCATACTGTCACATACAATGTATATACGTGCATTTTGATCTTAACTTGGATTACACGGAAGTTTTAGTGGAAAATGAGGAAACTTTTTATTTTGTCAATATTTCGAACGCTATCTGTTATTTATTATCAAGACGTGTTTAGAAAAAGACGAAAAATCGTTGCCATTTTTATCTTTCTTACATATGTGCATGTACATATCTAAAGTAGCAATGACTATGCTTCTGTCTGATTTATGTACATGCAATTATAAGAGTGAAATGAAATGTAATTACAACTTACATGGTTAGCCACATGTCTGTCAGACTTTGAGGGGGGAAGCGTCCGTAACCTAATTAGTTCAATAAATGCATATTAATGAGTATAGTAAAACCAGCATTAAATTTTGTAGTCCCACTTAATTCTCCGTGTATGTTTAGTATGCGTACAAAATTACCTATACACAACATATGCGACATTGCTTTGAATAACGCCCAGCTATACTGCTCCAGCCAAAAGGCGTCCTGGAAAATAAAATTAACATGTTACACAATTGAAAGACAAGCACGACTACATGGTTGAGTGGTATTTAATGGGAAATACATTGAAATTTAAAGGTAGCAACGTATCCAGGAAATGAAATCACCAACACGTGTTTTCATACAAAACTCTCGCTCTCTCTCTCTTTACCTCATTATTTCTCAAGAGGCTACATAATCTAATTTTAATATTTGCCTCCCATCCCATCGCGTCGTTGTCTCCTTCCTCCTCCTCTCACTTGACAAAGAGATGAAACAAAAGCTTGCTCACTCGGCACACTTGCTACTTTCTAACATGTTGACAATTTATGGTGAAAGCAAATCAAGGAGGATCGAGGGAGTCGAGAGCCATTTCTTTAGCCATGTAAACCTCAGCCCACGAGGATGATGAAATTCTGAAACGGCTCAACCTTGAGACTTGAGACGACATCAAACGAGACCAAAAACAAGCCGATCATTTCTCCTTTCCCTCGGTAATCTCCACGGCGGTCCCCTTATCGTAAGCTGTCACTCTGCCACTGCCATTTGTTGTGCTTCCTTCCTTCCTTCATTAGAGGGAGAGAGAAAGAGGTCAGCTTAATGCCAATCAGGTATCTGCACAGCGTTGACCTCGCCATGCTCAAGTATCTAAAAGACACTACCAGGATTTCTCATCTCCCTGCCTGACTTCCTTTCCTAAAATTCTTGACACTGTCTGCCTGCGATAAGTTTGGTTGAAAATCCTTGGGGTTTGCTATAGAAAATTATAAAATATAAAACAGAGCTCACGACCACCAAAGTGGATGTCGTCGTGCCACCGGAGAGCACGCCGTGTTTAGGAAACGATGACACTGTAGTTGGCATTGGGGTTAGTTAAAATGAATGTAGATTTGAGCTGCCGATTTGTTTGGGCGACATGTCTTTCTCCGCTTTTCCGTCTCCTGAATCGGGGCTTTGATGCTCTAATGGGCCGCTTTTCAGTTTGATTGATGGGTCCAACCAACCAAGGAACGTATATGTCTATAATTTTACATGTATGGACTATGGAGGTCTCGTCTATAAGGATTTATGTACATCAGATCTGCAGGAAACGATGTATGTAGGTGAACCAAACAAGGTTTTCATTCTTACTTGGATACCGTGCTGGGTACCACACATACGGAGGTATGTACATACAGACAGGGAATAATCAACGAATAAGTGATCGCTAACACTACTAAATGAGATATTCAAAGTAGCCAATTATTGTAAATTAGCAAAATGGTTAATTAGATCATTGTTAAATTTCAATGAGTTTAAACATAACCACGAATATTTCTTGCGAATAAACAAAAATACTTTTCTCGTCTAAAAATCTTAGGAGGGGAGGTTGTGTACTATCAACTCCCGGATCTCGATGCCCTTTGGATATGTGGTAGTGTCCCATGAATGAACAAGAACCCTGAAGTGGTTTAATGCCATGGCCACATTTGCGCCCGCCACACCCACTTAAAGGTGCCCAAAAATCGCTTTCACTCTAGCTTTCACTCATTCAAAATAACGCCAAAAATCCAATTTTACTCCGATTTTCAAATTTATTTCACCATTATACTCCCAGATAGTTGCTCTCTTATATACAGCATCAAATTCAACTTTTTGGAATTCTTAGTATTTTTAAAATTTAAAATTCTGAATGAGCATTGTTGTGGAAATCAACAAAACAAATTATTTCTGCGAGATAATCATCAAAAAAGTTGAGTTTGATGCTGTATATAAGAGATCAACTATCTGGGAGTATAATGGTGAAATAAATTTAAAAATCGGAGTAAAATTGGATTTTTGGCGTTATTTTGAATGAGTGAAAGCTAGAGTGAAAGCGATTTTTGGGCACCTTTAAGTGGGTGTGGCGGGCGCAAATGTGGCCATGGCATTAAACCACTTCAGGGTTCTTGTTCATTCATGGGACACTACCACATATCCAAAGGGCATCGAGATCGGAGAGTTGATAGTACACAACCTCCCCTCCTTAGTGGTCTTCTTCTTATACATTATAAGTTTTAAATGCGAAAAATTTATTTTTGTGAATGTCCATAAAATTGAAAAATATATTTATGTAAGGTATCTGAGATGAGTTATTGATCTGTGACTTGGTTATTATTAACTTAAACGCTCCCGATGTTATGTCCGTATATTTCATGTGTCGAACGGCAGGTTATTTAATAGCTTTTTGCACGTGGAAATTTTCCGAACTTTAAACAAAGCATTCCATTTTCTTCTAGAGATAAGCTCCTATAAACCTTGTCTCAGTCACCTAAATCACCCCTGTTCTGCTCCAATGGTAGTGCATCGTTAGTTGTTGTTGAATGCAAAGAGGCACACATACACAGTATTGAGTATGGTACGTACTATGTAGTGCATAAAGGGAGAAAGGACGGAGCAAGAGAAAATGACGCACTTGAGAGCTCGGAAAAGTTTTGAATGAAGATTTATGATACTCATAACAGCAAAAATAATAAAAATTTGTCTCCTCAAGTTCAAAGTTGAACCGAACGGGACACATTTTGCACATGATGCAATAAGTATTTTATTTCATACGTATGGACGACTCACTTTTCTTTATAACTCGAAAGTTTTACACACTGGTTTGTCTTAAGTATTACAAAATTCTCCACTTTTATACAACGAACCATTTCTTTACAAATAGAGTTTTAATTTTTATACTTACTTTTTCTTTAATTCTCATTTTCTCACTCGATAATACAAGATTGGAATGATTCAAATTCGTTAAAATGTGAATTTTCTGATAAAGTATACAATTCGTTTGAATAAACTCCCAAATTGACGCGGAATGGAGATTTATTTACTAAAATGGACCGACTCCTCCCGTTCAGGAATAAACATTCAATAATTCAACTTAATTCGGGAAAACTGGCTCACCTTTCTGACCTACTTACTTTTGCCAAAACTTCCTGGCTGTGCACATCCACCCAACTTCTACTATGTACATTGGCCCTCAAAAAGTAACATGTAGGATTCTCTTTGAATAAACAACTAGAGAAAATTAATCCACTTTCTACCAGATTTTTTCCTTAAAAAATAAACCAATTGTTTCATGGTCCTGTCAAGTGAACTTGAGGCATGAATACGACAAGTCTTCACAAACTAGCTTGTCTCATATTGCTGGGCACACTTTGCTTTTCTCAACTTTTGGCACAAGCGTATATACAAACTCAAAGTAATTTCTACATTTACCAAATTATTTCTCTGGCTGTTGCTACCTTGTTTCTCACAGACAAAAATTAGCACGTGACTCAAGGTTATAATTTTACAAAATAAATTTTCAACGGCATACCTGGAGCTCATTTATAGCGACCCACGAGTTGGAAGGGAACCCTTGGAGCATAGGCACGAGGAATTGTAGGCACCTGTGTGGACCAGAATATATCAATGGCTTTAGAATAAGATGGCGTGCATAAATATGTAATTCAATTATTCATGATTTTCAATTCTATTGCATCCCCAACGAACGTTTTAATGACAGAAGAAGCTGACTCACCCAGACCAGTGTCCAATCAGTAGCATCATACATATCAGATTAAATATGCGCATGAATACCGACGCCATATTCAGGAACTGGAGAAAATACAACACGAAACAAGTTAATTCAGTTGACAATTCCTTCGTACTAGAACAAACAACAACTCTTTGGTCTTCATGATGATGGTATTTTGATATTTACTTATACGAGTATTTAGAAAGAAATTGCGTATAAATTTTACGAATTTGTCTGGAGGGATAGAGTTATTGTAATTCAGATGTGCGTGTTGGGTTAGTATAATTTGTAACAACTGAATAGAATTGCAATTACAATTAAATAAATAATGCCAATAATTAAAAAAAAAGAGTAATACATTCCTGAATTTGCGTACAATTTAAAAATAATTTAAAATTATTACTGCAAATTATTGAATTGAACGTAAAGCTTTGCTTGAGCATTGCCACGCAAGCAACCTTCATCGAAGAGCTTTCTACATTGCCAACCTGCCCATCATGCAATATTTTGTTTAATTAACTTATGGCTTGTAATTAATACGTAGACCTTAAGAAGTGATACATATTTCCCAAAAATATTACATGTGCATCATCTCCTTTGTAAAATTTGGAACTGTAGTTATCGAGATAAATGTCCAAATATCGAGACCCCACGCGACTTCTTCTTCCGGGAAAGGAACAACTGATTATCAAAAGGCAAAGTTATCTGGGAAAATGTAGAAAATATAGGAAAAGTGTGGATGATAAGGTTGATAGTTTTAGTTTGGTTGGTCAGGTTGATGGCTAAAGAAGGTCGCCAGTACTAAAAATCCATTTCAAATCACATTCACATAAATTCAAAACAAGTCAAGTCAATTACATTTAGTTTTTAAGGATACAGTTATACAAAAATGCAAAAGTTTCACAAAAATTTCACGTTGAAGTATATAATTAATTCACATTTCCACTCAGTAACAGCCGACACGAAACTTTTTCATATTAGTGGAAATCGTATCTTTTCAACAAAATAAAAAATAGCGAACACATCGCTACGACAAGCCCACAAAAGTGTAGTAAAAATGGTATGTGGCTGGAGACCAGGAAAGCAATAAGCTGCACTACATGTGCCAATATGATACATCATAAGTCATAAGTTATGACAATTAATAAGCAATCCATGCGGCATGCGATTTCAGAGTACAGGGCACTACAACGGAGGAATAGAGAAACGTCAAACCAGTGGATCACTTGACTGCTCGAGACTACATTAGTTGGATGCAGGTAAGTAAAAAAAGACAAACTTCTCATCTTCATGTAGTGATTATTTAATGAGTCACAGCATTACTTTTAAAATGAGGTTGCATGCTGTGTGAAGTGGGTGGGTGGGTGGGTTGGTTGTTGGGTGGGTGCGGGTGTGTGAGGTGGGCAAAATTTCCAGGATTTTTTTCGGAAACTCCGAAATACACATAATAATATAAAATACCTGTAGAATAAGATTTTTTCCAGAAAAAGCCTCCTTCCCGAAAGAAGTTGAGTCTCGTCGCTCTCGAGTTCTTTTTTGGTGCAGGCTTTGACGTAGCTGTGTGAATTAATAGTCATGGTATATAGACACAGAGCGGAACAACAATGCGGACAAATAAAAAACAAATGCAATTCAACACGTTCATTTTCATATGTTCATGTATAACTCTGACAATCCATCCTTGTAGTAACTAAACCAAGTAAAATAGTTTTTGCAAAAAGTTGACGGTGATGTGGGGTAAAGTTCTTAAATTTAGAAACATTATTATTAGTGGGCTTTATATTCTTAGCTATTAGTACATATAGTTAATCTAATTTGACTTTCACGTAATTATTACGCCAGTAAATTGTGCAGTCAAGCATGGAAGCAAAAAGCGTGGCAAACACAAACGAATAAAACTGTTACACACGTAATATGTACATACATATTTACGTACATGGCGAAACTACGTTATTAGGAAATATTTATATATATTTCACTGTTACATATATAAAATATTTGGCAAACATCAACGAGAAAACTTTACTCGATCTTGAAATATTTCTTTCACTAGTTGAACAACCATCATTGTTTCCTTACGTTTGATTCAAATATTATGAATGAATCGTTTTAGATATTTTTACTCTGCCGCATGTTTCTGAGAAAACATTCAGTCCAACATTAATTTTCCTTCAGGAACGATGTTACTTGTTTCTTACATACAATGTGTTCTGGTTGGGTTTGATGTGAATGATCGTGATGATGCGATATGTCGTTTACTGCACCATCCAGAAACTCAACTTTCTCCTCTCTGGTCTCAACGAGCAGTAAGGAGAGAAAGAAAGATGATTGATGTTCTTGTCGGAAGAACAAGGAAGAACTGTGATCTCTCCAACCAAACCCGACGATTGGAACTTTACTTTGGCATCATTTTCAAAATAAAAACGCAGAACAAGAATAGTTACGTTTCAGCAAGATTTTGAGAATCATAAAGGCACAATAAAATTGCAAGAATATGGGACTAAATAATGAGTCCGCGCTTGAGTGAAATATCATCTTAATACAATTAAGAAAGTTGGTGAGAGATAATGTTAAAAAGTTTAATCCTCCATTGTTAGCGCACTAAATTCATCCATTATCCCGTTTTATGACAAAATTGATGAAGCTGTGAGACCCATTACGGAGAAAGTTATGTCACGAAAGATCTATTGGATGCAATTCTGGAGAAACGCACATAGGCGGACGAGGGGAATAAAAAGGCAGCTCGTCCATATAGTCTCCACCATAGCTGCATATGTAAAGTAGATAAATTTAAGGATGGTTCAAACGGCATTGCTCTCCACTAAATCCTCACGTAGGCAAGAAAGCAAGACGAGGAAGAAAAAAGTTCATTGGAATCTTAAATAACCAGCGACTCGTAAACACACACACACAAAGTAAAGTTGTGCTTGGTTTAGTCGTGAATTAATAATCTTCCACCTTTTGGCATGCCAGTTAAAAAGAAGCCTTTTCAGCTACCTTTAGAAAATTCGTGAAAAAAACATTCGAAAGACACTTTAGCATGTTGATGGCATTGTGCATATGACAGCAGGGGGAGTGTTGCTCCTTTCTTTGCGTCTTGAGAAGGGCTTGGGTTTTTGGATGATAAATGAGTAAAATATGTAAATTCAGCTATTTCTCGTACGAAAAATCCTTACAATTCATATATTACTTTTAAGATATATTTGGAGAGCCTCTTAATCTTATTATTGTGACTGCGTGGTACTTAAATAAACATTTTTATATAACATGCGCATATAAATATTCAGTAATCATCAACTTCAAGACGTGCAGTGGGTTCGCTTACAACGATGCTTTCTCCTTATTCTTGCTCAGCCTGCCAAAATATACTCGCGGTTTTTCCATTCCCAACCGCTTATGTATTATTACGAGGGAGGAGTGTGTTTTTCTGAAGGAGAATTTTATGCATTTGCGGGTGAAAGCGTATGCATATTTACTTGCATTGGTTGGTCTTTAGTTTGTTTGGCTTTCTCTGGTGAGTTGTACAAACCAAACCAGAGCAGCAATTTTGGTTTTTGATGTGGAGCAAATGAGGATAATTGGGCCCTTAAGGATTTTCCAGTATTCAAATTACCTCCGCCCTCATTCTGCTTTTGATCAAAGGGGCTGACGCATACATGGTACGTGTTCAAGACTACTCAGCTCTAGGAAGGAGTTAATGTGTTTAATAATCCCATCTGACTTCTTCCTTCCACCGCCCTGCATGCATATCGATAATGGTAGCCCTATGTAGACGCTCTCCACCTAACCACAAAAAGAACCCTGAAGGGGAAGTCGTCTCAAGCGACTCACATTTTTGGGTTGAAATATAATGAAAAGTCTACGTTGAAATTAGTTGGAAAGCATCAATTTTCCATCTTTTCTTCTTCTTTTCACGTACATAATCTAAAGTTCTTACATGATTTGCAAAATGTCGGAAGCTCAACTGAAGGGAACTTCATCATCACAAAATCATCGGTTCGAAAGAAACATGACCCGTAGCATCCTCTCAGAAATTTGAGACTGCTCTTACGTGCACATATATATGTAGAACTCTATAATATAGATTTGGAGCAAACAGAGCCCATAATTTTAGCACATACATAAAAACGAATGTTAGTAATATTAATATTATTATTTGATTGGGTGAAAGTTGTGGAGCATTGAGCATCAAGTGTTGTCGACAACTATGCTAAACACAAGCTCGACTTTGTAGAAAGCAAAGAATAACAGTAAGCTATGAACAGCAAGAAAGCATACTTACATAAAAAGGTTACACATTTATGTGGGTTATTTATGAATTATATGCAGAATAAAATCACATCCGTGAATTATTTAAGGGAAATGCAAACCATTTTCTCATTAAGATTGCCTTTTTCTTTGAGATTTGCACGACTAAAGTTATGGAAATGGATGAGAAACTGGGAACCACTTACATAAACTTCTTCCCATTGCGACACGTATCGAACAAGTCTCGATAGCCGAAGAAGACGAACCAAGCTGAGCAGTTTGACCATTCGCAAAATTTTGAGCGCACGACCCGCGTGTATAAATTGGAAACTGTGCACACTGTCGCTGAAATCCTAAATGTACAACATGGATACCGCATTTATTAAACCAGTATTGTCATTTTTGGCGGAATGTACATAGAAATTTGACTGCAGTTGTATACAAATTTAGTGTTCTTACGCAGTACTCCAGATAACAAACGATGAGCACGATATAGTCCACTGAAAAGAGACAATAAAAAAATTTTAGTTGTGCGAATATTTGCGTACTTCATATAAAATGAATGGAAATAACTCACATGGAATGGATGATATCAAGTCCAGAGCAAACCAAGTTTTTAAGTAATGTTTTGCTATCAACACTAGAATAAAATATATGAAATGAAATATTACGTAGATTTTTAGCTTGTGGGATCATTGCTAATTAATTTTTATAATACGTAGTACTTTTACATAAGTGGCTTTGTGTTACTTATGTAAATATTTAATAAGTTTTCTAAGTAAGTAAACTCAATGCTATTATGAATGACTAAATTACCTGGGTCTAAAATCACTTGCTCCGCATTGTCCTTCAGCATTATACCTAAAAAACAAGAAAATGTGCGTACTTAATTTAATTAAAATTAAAATTAAAACACATCTCATGCTACTTTGGCTGTATCTAGACGTATATTCATTTTCTCCTCCGTATGAAATAACTTAATTATTATATGAACATTTCTAATTAATTAAAACCCTTAATTAAAGTTTTAGATTAAAATGTGGGTAGCAGTTTCAAGTGTAAATCCCCATTGTCAGGTTTAGCGCAAGGTACAAGAGTACTCTATTGTTTAATAGCTATTGTCCCATCCTTGCTCAAGTTGACTTCGTACTAAACGCGCGTGTTCGTAACTAGAAAAGGTCACAAGTGATTTGACTTTAGGAATTAAAATTTTTTATTTAGTGGATGAGTTAATAAGAGGGACTGTTGAGCTTGTCATCCTTCAGCTCACATGACAAATAGGTGGATTAAGGAGAGCGCAAATATTGTGTAAGCTTTTCGCCATAACCGACGTATATAGAAGCGTGTTTCTTCGTATCCACGATGTAAGTCGAAAGTTAAAAGGACAAAATACCGAAAAGTGTACAACTTTATATTCTTCATTGTGGGGAATTTAATGCATAAAATTATAAATTTTGTCTATTGGAATCTTCGAAAGGCATAAGATGTCAGATATCGTATGAAATTCTTGTAAAAAGAATAACAAATAGCACTATTTTAAGGCCTCCTTCCAGGAAATAAACCTAAACAGAACACCATAATACCATAATACTTGGTAACACAGTGTATTACACTACATTACTCCATGATAAGAGCGCGTGACCCTTAATCCAGCATTTACAGAGCCATTTGATTAAGGTGGTGCAGACGTGATGTTGTTCAACTCAACAATCTTGGCTCCATTACACTCGACATGTTCACCATCAAAACATGGATTTGTGTTGCCTCTGAATTCCTGATCTAGCCACGAAACGACCCTAATTTCCATTTATGAGGTTCAATTACACTCTAATTTTTCTAAATTCATTTCTGACGAGTTGTTGAGCAAAGGACATAAAGCCATTCACATCCCGTCGAAGCCATTCTCACCAGCTATTTCTTTATCAACAGAATTGCCTTCCACACACGTACAGATATGCATTGCAAATCTTTCACAGCATGTTCTTACCTCTCATTTTTTAAAATGCATTTTCTAGTGCTAAACTAGCACTGCTAATTATGAATTATTAATTATGGACAAGTCCTTCATCGTGATGGCTGTTTGAAGGTTGCTTTCACCTCAAGAATTTGAGCAATCGTGTATCCACTACTCATTCGCATCTGACATTATTATTGCTTTCTTGTCAGCGTGTGTAAAGCTTTGAGCTTGATTCCACCTTCCCTCAACGACAAGTTTGACACAGTTTTCGTTGTGGCTGTGGCCATGCTCTTTCATCATTCACGTCAAGAGTTAAGTGAGTTTCGCTTGAAAACTGAACCTGATTCTAAATTCGTGAGTATTGTGGGGTAGCATAGTGGGTCGAACGAACGAACGTGGGTGAAACTTATGTAGGTAATTTCGAGACAGACACTTGCGAATTATGACCATTTTACGAGAACTTTCCCCAAATGTTCAAACTTGAAATGTTAATGCTAAAACTTGAGTCGCTGTGGGTAGATTGAATGCATTGTAAATTCTCTTCTATTCGTTAACTAAGATGAAAACCACATTCCTTGGCGTGCTGCGGTAGTAGGAAACAAACTTTAGGCAGCAAGGAAATTTAGAAACATTTTACATTATGCTGCAATGTACGACAAGTGCACGGTTGGGTGAATGAAATGAAAGTATTGATTTCAAAGGATTTCGGAAGGAAGTTACAGAAATCTCTGCAACTTTAGTCCACTTTCGTGCTGTGTGACTTTTCAACTTTCCGAAATGAATTAAGCTCAATCAATGTCCACGTATGTATATGTACACCATATTTGTAGCTGGAGGAAGGTACATAACCATAATTGTAACACTTACTGCACCAGAAGTGTCTGCATCACTTATGATGTTATGTAAAAGTTTATTGTCGCTTATAAAAAACAATTGCGAGTTTCAGCACAGTATTGATGGACAATGTGCAGGACCTAAAGAATTACACATGCCGGGTGCTGTGTAATTTTGTACGTCGTCCGCATGACTGACCTTAAGTCCTTAAATGTCATCTTTGACCAGGAACAGTATAGTGTCACGGGAATATAATATTCAACATCAAAGTGCATAACATAATGATTGAACGTAAGGACCGCTCGTCGGATCTCGTTTATTGGTGATAAATATCTGCATATATTGGGATTATGAAGTCTGCGAGTGGTACATGTATATGATTTCGAGAACTAAAGAATTACAACCGTCATTACACTCTCACTTATCCAATGGATAAAAATATAAAACTAACTATGTGAATAAATATGTATAAATAAATAATAAATTATATGCACATTTATATGTGGATTTATATATGTAAAAACCTTTACACAGCGAGCTAAATATATCAAACTGATCAAAGTTTATAAATAGGTGCAAGAGTTAGGTTGTGCTATTTTTCTTTAGAGAAAGGATGCGACTGACTACACGGGCATATTTGTAAAGGTCATCTTCATAATCCACAAGCAAACGACCATCATCATGAATCGCCCCCAAATGGACCACCAACAATTTATTTGTATCTATCTATTTTCCATAAAAACAGTTCATTTTATTTCTAAAACATGTTTCAATAAATATATTGTCAAACTTTTTTCTCGCTTTCGAAATTTTGCAAGTATTGATAGCATCCATCGGAGGTTGGTCAAAAGAAAGCAGATGCAGTTCGCTAGGCACTTATTTAGTTAGATTTTCAAGCCCTGGTTTGATTTTAGTTTCCCATCAACCTATAAATATTGGAGAGTTTGGGAATAAATCAGTCGCACAGCCCAGAGCCAACCGCACGAAAACCCACCCACATTCTTCTGTTCTGAGCAAGAGGGGGGGGGAGGACGAGGAAACGCATGCGGTGGTGGGAGATATTGCATGGCTGCTGGCGTGGTCATTCGAGGGAATGTAATGAGATTTATGTAGCACAAGTGGACAGCCCGTTTGTTTGGAGTAACCATCAACCAGCTATCCCTGGCCAGAATAAATGTGAGCCAAGACTCCAGTAAAGGCCAAGTATAATAATAAGTGGTGGTGGAGAAAGTGTATCGCATCACATCACAAAGTACCGTTCGTAGTCGCGACTACATGGGCGCAGGGATAAATAAATGGTAGTGTTCCATCCAATGTATGTTGTGGTTTGCAAGTCAGCGTGCGAGTAACCCAGCAAACTGGGAATAAAATGATTGCAATTTTCCCAAGTGAATGGAAATAACTCAATATCGCTGGTTGGAGGTGTGTAGCTCGAGCTAGCTTTACATGCATTCCACTCAAATGAATATCTCCATTCCATTCAACCTGGTGCAAATAGCAAACAATGTGGAGAGCACAATAACCAAGTTGGAATAATGGCTGATGATGGTGGTACCACACCCACCACAGTCAGAACACGTTGTATACACATCAGCCTCAGATTTTACACAAGAACACCAACACAGCGATGAGTGTTACATTTGCAAGTAAAATCAGCTCCAATTTTCCCATTTATTGCATAAACAAACAATATCGGAATCAGATTGAAGGATTACACGAGCAAAACTTCTAAAATTAGCTGTTGTAATTTCATTTAGACTCCGAGTGTGCATTCCTATGGCTGCACACCCGCTGCTGCTGCCGTGCTGCTCCTGTAGGAGGTAGTAATTTCACTCATTCCCTAATGGCAAATGCAGGGCAGGAGGGGATCCAAGCAAAAAAAGTATTTCACTGCAATCGAAATACTGACTCATGGATGGTCGAGTCAGGTAAAATTAGAATGTGCTTAGCCAATAATATTGGCAAAACTACATGCTGCTCGGCTGCATATGGCGTGACCTTGGCCAATTTCAATCACACTGTTTGCAAGTTTTCAACTCACCTAGCTTCTAAATACCTAGCTGTCTCTCTATTCGAGGTCATACCAGTTTATTTAACCCCGGCGAATTGAAATCGAAATGTCGCATCCATTAAATAATGACGATTAACAAATTGCATGGCGCAAAATCTCACATTCTGACTACCGCTGCGTCCCGAGTACGATAGGGTTTCTCTGTAATTTGATTCAATCCAAGTCTGCTATAAAATTGAATTACTTTCACTTGTTCCCCAGTTTTAGTGTAGATAAAAATAATTTCAAGGAATTACGTAATGCACACTATGCTTCTATTCGGGTTTCATTATTTCACACCACCAATCTACGTCATTTCAGACATGGTTTCCTACTTTGGGCCAATTTGCAAAGATGGAATTACTGGGTATCATGTGGTAGCAAGGTATAGGTACTTCTCATATGCATACAAAAGTCCAGGTAAAAAACCTAAAACATTTTACTCTAAAAAGAGGATCTCCGAACTGAAACAAACATTTGAGCAATAGAAAAGGCATGCAGAATATAGATAAAATCGCAAACTAATAGAAGCTCACCAATTGTTGACATTTGTACACATTGAGAATACGCTTATCAATTTATGTATAATAATTAAGTTTCAGATTAAAGGATTCAATTATGTTACGTAAACTCTTCTCATGTAACCTAACTAAACGTTAGGGAGAAGCATGCATAAGTGCTTTGGGAATTTCAGTAAGCCCTTCAGAATACTCATCCACCACCACCTACACACATAGGTAAGCAGTTTTTGGGACTTTATTCAAATTTTAAGCCAAATGATGCCAACGAGGTCTACTGTCGAAATCAGAGCTCAACTTAACCTTCTACACACTTCAGCTCGACGAAGGCTCTTTCTCTCCCTGGTCTCGCACCACCTACATTATTCTTCCCATAATGAAGAGAACCTTCGTCCAACCAGCTCAGCGAACCACGACAATCCCGACATTTCTCTCCGAATGATTTATGATGATGCGGCTTTTTCTACGTCAGCCCCACCACGCCATCCATGCCTTGGCTGCAGTTTGAATCCCGAATTCCACCACGTCACGAGTGGCTCATCCATCCCGCTTTCTCTTTCAACTCTGATGAATTGTGCAAGGGCCACGCACGCTACACCCCAAAATTTGGCAGAGTGATAGAACTCATTAGCTTCCTCAGCCACGCATTTTTCTTTCTCGTCTTCATGCCCAAGAATCAAAATTTGAGAATAAGTTTCTGAAGGCGAGTACAGGTGATTACATACATAAAAACATCATAAAAGGTTGTCGTTTACCAAGTTTATGTGCTGTCCACTGCGACTCCTATTACTTTCTACTTCCGTTAAGCACACTTAACGTCTTGGCTACATAGAGCAGAGTCTAATGAACTTTCACAATTTAGAAAGTCCAACAACTTCTCCTTTTCTTGGAGAAAAGAGCAGTGAATTTGGCTCTTAGAATATTTCTTTGTTACTGTCAGTTAGGCAGCTCTGGTATGCAATATGTCATGCATTTAGTACATATAACAACATATCGTTAAGTTATTTATAAATATGTACGTTCGAAAATTTGTATAGGTTTCGGCCTTCGACTTGGATTCGAATCACCATTCAAATCTGCACACTCCAACGTGAACTAAAAGGTCGTTAAGAGAAAGCCAAAAAGTTAAACCTTTCACCAAAGCGACAGTAACAAAGTGGAATCCATGTAGGTGGCACCGCTCAAAGTGGAAATGTGGGTGTGAATCCTTTCATCTAAATTTCACTTGTTTCCTACCTACTCCAACCAGTGCGAGGAGCTAATCCGGAGCAGCAGTCTGACTGAGGAGAGTCAGTGAAACACGAGGATTTCGCTGAGCTAAAGTTCACCCTGAGCTAAAGTTCAGTAAATGATATCATCAACCAACCCTCCACTTTACACCCAGCTCTGCCCAAAGAAGGCAGCATTCTGGAGGCAGAGATAAAGCAAGACGTTGGCCAAGGTGGACAGAGGCACTCAATTTACACACCTGCCAGGAACACGGCAGAGTTTATCCTCAATAATAACACCCATGGACCACTGTACACATCCCGAGTCTCTGGCTAAAATCAAGCAGGAAGGATCTTTCCAGCAGCAATAGTCGATGTCTTTATGTTGTGTGTGAATGAAAGCGCGTCTCTTTTTGGACGATGACAATGGATGATGATGATTCCCTTGTCATTTAATTTTATTACCGGCTATAAAATGTTCCTTTTCATCGATTCTACGATTCCTGAATATCAAGTGAATTCCTCATTACTTTCTATTCTCCAATTCAATTTATTTTTTATATGACGAATCAAGTGGTCATACAACATATTCAAACTATTCAAGGGAAATCTGAACGAATTCCAAGAATGAAGGTGCACACCTCGTTTCCTAACCAAAATAAAATAAAATAAGAGAGAAAGGAGAGAGATCTGGTTCAATCAACGGTGACTCGACGTCTCAATTCATTTTTGTCAAGGTGCATATAAGTACATACACAGTTCAAATAAACCCATATAAATCTCCAATATCAGTCTGTATGTATGTAGAAACTCGCATTTATTAAGTTTCGATTGCCATAAGAAGGAATATTGGCAAGTATTAATTTAAAACGCACCTGTTTTGCGCAAGGGGACTTTTCAATTGTTCCAACCTCAATTTGTCTTTTTTTCTGTGCACACGGAGAGTGGATGTTAAATGTATGGGTGCTCATAATGGGATGCGAAATAGGAAAGTCATACTTCAACCAGAAAAGTGCACTTTGGGGAATTTACTTTGGAGAAAGTTGTGCCCTGTGGGATTCGAATGCTTTATTGCTCATCCTCCTTCACGTACACCACTTGTAAACGGCACGTCAACCAGCCTTATCCCCGGCTTCCTCTCTCCGTTTACATATCGTGTGGTCTAGACTTATCTATTTTATTGCGTTTCCCAAGCCGACTGACGACATGGTCATGTGCTGGATGAATTACAATTTATTACTTGCTTTGTCCTTGCATGTTGCAGCAGTTCAATGGATGCATATGTGTCTACATATGAATGCATATTTTACTATGCACTGGAATGCCCTGATTCCAGATGGCCTATTTATTGACAGTTATCATGGTAAACTAGAAACATACGTGTCGTATAAATGTGATATCATATTTAGGCTAATTTAATTCGCAATCAATTGTGTCACGAATACTGAAAGGACTTTGTGCAATTAAATAAATGCTCCTGAGCGAGATCAAAAAGGAGCATTATGGAGCGGTACATCAATCACTTTAGTATATTTTTATAGACAATTAGGAAAAAATTGCAATATGCATATTTCCTTTGACTTGTTACTAATTTGCTTTAATGTTAGAGCCATATTTACTCGCGCAACGCTACTGAAGTATTTATTCACTCAGGCTTGTACTTCAAAAACTTCAAAAATCTATGATATCCTTTGACCAAATGCCACTCTTCTCTATGAACAGGACGAACCTGCAGCAAACTATGGAACTTGTCAGTTGATATACAATTCTACGTAGAATTGGTAGGATGTAGGTTTTATTGTTAGTTCCAGTTAACTGTTTACATTTGCACTTACCAGTTCGAAAATTAACAGCAATGTCAATAAGGAAGATAGTGTCAGAAAGGCAATTAAAAGCAATCCAGCGGATACTGAGATCATCTCTGAAGAAGGAAATGGCCACGGGAAGAATTATCTGGAATGAGAATTACACACCTTAATTTTCCATAATTGAGACAGGTTTATGTACAAAACAAAAATGTTCATTCCCGAATATTTGTTGTATTCGGATAAAAAAGTGCACATGTGAGATTTGCTTGAGATGTGTTACATACGAAAAAAAATACTTCTCACCAAGTTGGCCACCAGCAGCAGCAACATGCACAAATCCCAATAGAACCTGAAATTAAACAAATTTATTATGCGTATGTCCACGTTTATTTACAAATGATCAATGAGAAACATGTACTCATCATCTACAGTTATATTTATACTTCGCAAGCATATCAATCAAGCGAGCAAATTCCGATAAACATTTCGCAATCGTGACTTTAGGTAAGATACGAAGAAGTGGTTCTGCCCTCGAGCTCTTTCATGGGAGGAGGTGATCCGCCCAGGTGTCAGATTAACAGCAGGAAGGAAGACAAATATTGGGCTGAGATAAGCCAACTCTGTGTGCTGGCATGAGGAGAAAGCATACAACACTTGACATTTCAACACTCTATGTACACATTGAATAAGACAATAATTCACGTTGTGGACACGTATATGTATTTGCATTTTTCCCCTGTTTTAAAAACAGCAGTGCCATTGTATAGCCAAACTCACCTTACGAAATAGTGGTACCAATTTGATAAGAAGTTGGAAATAACCAAGGTTGAAGTCCTTGAATTATTACCGTTCTGTTCCAACCTGTATTAAGTCGCATCCTTCTTGGTCGGGTAAGCTATTGGCGCATTGTGGGAGGCAACGACTAAGTCAACACCTCGTTTATCAACGATTTAAAGCACCCCATCATCATCATTTCTCACACGCTCGTTTATTACTACTTCAACTCAAGATGATTTAATGAAGTCAGCCCGACAACTAACAAGTGTGTTTCTAAACGAGCAAGCATCGTCATGAATTTGTATGTTGTTCACTACCTCGACTTCATTACTGAAGCTCAAAGGGTCAAATTATTCGCAGCTGCGCAGCACAATTATCTAGAGCGATTTCGTAATCTTACATATTCCAGCAATTTATTTTAAGACATTAACAAATATTCCTCGCAGTCTAATGCTGTACAAACAAGGGAGCAGTGAGAGAAATATATAAGCAGCAGTATGTTCATTTACTATGTATGTAAATATGCCAAGCTCATTTAATTTAAAATTTGAAAGCTAGAGACAAGTTGTGAATATTTAGGTCCTGCACCTGGAGGACTTGAGTGGGCGTCGAATCAAAGGGAAAATTTTAAGTTCCTCATTTGCATTTCGAGAAAGAAAATTCTAGAGCAATCAATCCAACTGCTTCATAGAAGCCATCGCGGAATAAAAAATGAGCACAAAAGGATCAAGTCAGTACGTGTAAGTGGATACGATGCAATCGATGGAAATGTCAAACTCAATTCCTCCTCAAATTTTTAAAAATTATGACGAGCAACTTATTTCATAAATGCGTTCAACTCCATTCAACATGCAAGTCATTCTACTGCTGGTCGTCCTACTTTCACCCGATCATCATTATCGTCATCATCATGAAGCTCTTGAGCTCTCTCACAGAACTCAGCCATAAATGCTATTCATTTCATCTCCTACGTCTTCCATTCAGCAACTCCAAGCAGAATGCTCTTCAATTTTAAACTAAAACCCTACAGTTCAACTTGATATAGCCCGAGTCAGTTATTTTTTCTCTCTTATTCTCATTTCTCAGCCAATCATGTCCATCTACATACGTAAGACCTTGTCGAAATACGCATTTTAAGACTAAATTAATAAAAATCGGTTCAGTAGTTCGACCGCTAGCGTGCCACAGACGGTCATGATGATTACATAAGCTCAGAAAAAAATTAATGGAACTCCGAAGATTTACTGGTTGGAATATACACAAAAGTACTGTCATTATTTTTCATCAATCATATAAAATTTTAATTAAATACAAAGGACTTTCAAAAAAGGAGAACCTCTGAGTCTATATTTGCCCGACGATATCGTTGAGATTCAAAATTATATGTACATATATTCTGATTTCACAAACTTGAAAGAATATATGCACACGCCATCCAGAAGGATAATGAGATCGATCCTGTAAATATCCACACATTTAAAGGAACGCCGCGCATCATTATCTTTATAAACTTTTCCACAAATTGATCCCCAGGGTCTCTCTCTCAGTCATTCTTCGTGAATTTGGGATGAAGAAACAGCATTGCATAACAGATGCAATATATTAGTAAAGCCCTCCTGGTCCATTCTATGAAAACCTCTCCTTTTTTGTGTAATACATTAATGGTCCATTGTTATCGCAATGTTATCTGCTTATTGCCCTAAATGTGGTGGAGGAAATAACTTGAGCATCAAAATATTGAGGAGGGTGTAGGAACTCCTTGTATAAATGAATGTAAGACTCTCCCACGTTATTTTTTGTGGCTACGTACATGATAACATGCATGCCAAAATGTAATGAATTACTCAAGCAACTTCCAAGGAGAAATATCTTCTGACAAATTGTAGGTATAAAATATTGCTTCCTCTTGTGTCTACTCCACTCGCCTCCCTTCGTGTATGTCCATTTACGTTACTTTCACTCAAGGATACAACCTGAGGTATTGTAAGAGCGAAAAATGTGTACATACACTGGAAAGGTTGTAATTTTTTCACAAGGTAGCTGAATTAAATGGAAAAAGGGAAGGAAAAAAACAGTAATAACCATTCAATTAACCTTTGACCTTGCCAAATCCCAATTTTGAAACGAGCAGCATCTGCTAAATATTTATGTGCAGTTGGTACGACTTTATATACGTAATAATCGACAGGTTGACCACTTTTCTTGATTACATAACCCAGCTATTTATTTCTGAGAAAGTAAACGTGGTTGCAATGCAACTTTGGACGTTAAAGACGTTAAAGTTTTGAACCTGTTTAAATAAATTTTACCTGTAATAATCCATCGAGGAGATACAACGCATTGACATTGGACTAACTTCCACCCATTAGAGGAAGCTCGAGGACAGTACGATAATCGTACTACGATTATATTTCTGTCTCAAATAGTACACCTCGCCAACGACCGTTTGTATGTTCTCGCAAAATAAATAAACGCCGAGTTTGCTAATCGAATAATAATTGGATTTACAACTCAATTTCCTAAGGATTCAACGAGGTAACCAGTGCAGCTTGGTGCTTCCTCCCCAGACTCCAAAATATCACCTCCGCTTGATGTCATCGATTTGGACGAAAATTCAATTCTATAGAACTTAATTTGTTCGTTTCGCTTGGGGTGTTCGTATTTCATCAAATAACATTTTATTTTTCCAACTTCAGTAATGTGTCTGTTATTAAGGGACGTTGAAGTGACAAATTATTTGAACGAAGTGATATGGACCAAACCTACACAGATGTCTTAAAAATATAATGCTACCCTTGTAAAGTAAATACGAAACCGATCACGTGGTTTATGTATGGCCCCAAAATGGTTTAATCATATTGATTATGATGAAGGGTTTAAGGCTTAAACTTTAAGCCAAGAAAAGTGTACTTGAATTGCTGTCAAATATCAAGCAGTGTTTAATGTAATACGGAATACATTACGAGTATTAAAATGACACTAGTCATATTACAAATTAATTAAATTTGAGGAGAAAATAAAGAATACGGAGCTGAGAATTAGTGATTATCTTGTATTATCAGGCACTCAAATAAATGCATTTCTTGCAATCTGGTTTCCGTCATATCGAACACTGCTATTCTGTACATTCGTTCCAGTAATTCGATCAAAATTGCTAATGGAAATTAAACAATTCGGATCCCACCGTGGGAGTTTATCACCAGACTTGGCTTTGAATCTTCATCTCACTTTACTTGCAGATTTAACGTCCGTATTGGTGGACAAGTTTTAGTTAAACATCAACTAAGCCTTCCCATCCCGTATGTACTTACTTTGTGTACATCTCTCCTTCTCTCGCTTCAACACTCAATTATTCCTTGACAAACTAGTTCGAAACTTGAAATAGCAACCCAATCTCTTCGTCGTAACGTAATCTGTATTTTAATCAAAAGGAGTTACCCCATCCTCATTCTGTGAAATCGTAATCTCTTTAGGGAATTATTGCCCAATTTCATCCAGCGTCCGTCTAAATACTAATAAGAAAGGAAATTGTGTTGGTGACGATCATGAATTCAACTTGTACAAACAATTTCGGAAGCACTGCGCAAGAAACTAACGACATTTATCCGATCTATATATTCCGTCTAATTTAGGTTAGAATCAAAACTTACACTGTGAACGTTAACTAAATATGTACGTAGTCCGAGACGCAGCGTATGGCAATTTATCGATCAAATCGTTACAGACCACCGGAGTAATACCATTTGATGAGAAATAGAAAATGTTGTTAATTAATTATCCGTTACAATATTTTACTCGACGCTTTGAGCAAGCTTCATGGCTCATGGTCAAGCTTCGTGGTCCTTAAATAAGTCACATTCAATCAAGTTTTCTATAATTTAGAAACCCTTTGTAGTTTAAAATTTTATCATGTACTAGATTAGTACAATTTTTGAGAATGTAGTCTACTGATTCATTTGTTAATTTCATAAGCAAATATTTCGCTCATCTGTAGCTGCATAATATCTTCAGTTTTGGCTAATATCACGAAAACGATTGGATGAGATACATGACAGAAGCCCTATGTTAGAATATTTAAAATGCGATCCAAACCTTTGGACCAAATAATAAAAAGCTGAAGCGAATATAAATATACTCATGCGATATTTGCTCGTGCTTCATGTACTCATATGTATCATTCCAAGGTTGAAAACTTTGAAGTAAGCTCTCAACCTGTTAATAAAACACACACTATTAATAGAAACAACTACTTACAGGAACAAGTGTTTTTCACTTTAAGAGAAATCGCTTCCTGGATCAGGATGATTTCAATTACACTGCATGCAAGACGTACATTGTACAGAAGTGGTTTTTCAACCAGGTGGATTTATGTATGTATGTATTTCCACTTCCTCCCTAGATTCATCCCGAACCCCGAAGGAGTTTGACTAGCTTGAGGCAAAAAAACTTTTGAAAAACATTACTCGAAACAACGGTTCCATCATCGCTGGCACACACTTATCTAAGAATCTCGTTCTTCACATCACTTCAAATAGAAGGATTGAGTATTTGTATTTCAAGCTAAAGTCGAATTTAACTGCAAATGGAACAGATTTGAAAACCTGGGGCCGACCAAACTTTCAAAAACTCAACAATTTAATCTCGTCGGCCTATTTTTCCATCTGCTGCTGAGAAATTGATTCGCATCGTTTGAGGTATATATTCATGACAAGATTTGCAGTGGGGGAAGGAGCGCCCATAAGAAACAAAGTTAGGAGAGAAACTACTACATAAGTGGAGTTGTTGGGTGGAAAGAATAGTTGGAAAGTTGCAGACACAAGAGGAGTGGGGGCAATATTTTAGGGGCAAAAAAACACACAAAGTTTCTCTTCCGACGGAATCACTTTGGATTATTGGAGGACCTTTGTGCAATGTAACCTTATTCCTCGTCGTCTATTGTTGATATAGACGTTATCCTGAAGATGAAAACCACCCAAATTACTCTCCCATCCATCCACCCACCCACAACAAGGCTGACTAAGTGCCCTTTTGTTCGTCCTGCTTCATTTCCTTTGCATACAGAATTAAACTTAGTCCAATCTTAGAGGACCATAAATGAAGGTTGTGTGTGTACATTCGTGTATCTGGTGAAAGTCTTTTGCTACGTATTTTGAATGCGGCAGATCGTCGATAACTCATGCAAATCGATGATCCAAATGAGTACAGATATGTAACTCCACTCCTTTCGATGATGATTCGGCATTCATAACTATGTGACATTTAAAATGTGAATTTGACGTCCTTTCCAACAATATGCATAACAAAATATATGCACGTATGCATATGTAGGTGTTGTGCTTCACCATCAATATAATTTCACAAGAAGAGAAAGCTCTTTGTTGCAGCACGAAAGCTAGACACATATTAAATGCAAGCGTGGAGAGTTCATAAATTGAATTTACATACCTAAAGTTAGAGCAAGGGTGAATAATCCAATGTCCCGCATTCTTTTGTCTAATTCTCTCTTTCATCAGGGCTTTTTTCGAACCAAACAACTTCATGGCTGAAAAGACACAGTAGCACATAGTGACATATTCTTATCAGGAAATGGGTTTAAAATCACAGCACGAGTTCACCGAGCAGATGGGATAGCACAGTGGCCCAAAATAATGCTAATAAGTAAATAGCTGCACACTTGCCTAACTTGTTGTCTGAAAAGAAATAAGAAAGTATTCATGTAGACTTTGGAGTACAGAGAAGAAAAGTTGTCGAATGCAAATACTTGAACGTACCCGTGGGTTGGAAAAGGGCTTGAAGCTGGTTGCGGATGAAGGAGGGCTTGGAGTCCCCACCCACTCCCGCAGAAGAGCCAGAGTGGCCTCCGCTCTTGTCCAGATTTGTCATGCTGGGAGTCAATGGCTGCAATACACAAGGCACATTTTCAAGAGAAAGTTGGTTCAGAGACAACAGTGTTACTTGGTCAAGTCGAACTGGTTCTCATACTTTCAAGTTGCATGTTAAAATTAATTTGCGTAACGAGGCATATTGAAATATCAAGAGCTTCGATTAGTATCCCGAGTTTTATAGTCTGTTTTGTCAATGCAAAAGACGGGGCAAACTGAGGATACTGACCTTGACTTTCATGTGTGTCTCGCTATGACCAAATTAGAGTGTTCGAAACGAAGTACAGAATTTGAGTAATGCAGAATGAAAAGCTCTTTGCAAATGTTGGTTTAATTATTAGCTCAATAAGAATTATGTGGTATACGGAAATAATGTAATTTATTGTAATGGTAAATAAGTAGGCGGTATGATTAGTCCTACAAATTACGTCAAGGCTTCTAATAATGCCTAGATAACTTACCATATTGTTGTAATGAGGATATTGGCGAATTACAAAATACGTCAAGTAGTACATGCTTAAAACTAATAATTACCTCGTCCTTGGGCGTGCCATACAGGCTCACATCGTCCCCAGAGAAATGCACTTTCGAGCCACTCATCCCTCCGGGTCCACCAGATCTAATAGAAAAACAAAGCACACATGTCTTTCAAACACTGTTCGGAGATGTTTCATGTCGGGTAATCCAAACAAATGAGGAACATAACATGTGACACGTCGAAGAATTTGATAGTCGTAGAGACTGCTCATCCAACAACATTCCAGCCAACTGCCGCTGAGGCCTTTCCCCGCTAAATAAAAGTTTGGTTTCTAATCTAATGCCTTGTTTTACCGCATTTTTATCGCTTTTATCAATAATTTAACCATTTTGTGTGGATTATATGAGCGACTCTTTCTTGTTGTCTACACATTTTATTTGGGAGACATTCGGAGGAATCCATTTCAGACAGAGACATTCCTTGTTTCCCAACGAAATAAAAGGCTCCTACACCTACGACGACGATGCACAGGAGATGTGGGCAGACAGAAGACGTGTCAGCAGAGCCGGAGAGTAATGTGCATACATACGTAGAAAGGAATGAAGAAGGGGGATCAATAAATTCGAAAAAGTAGAGCAAGCCGGGTCCCATTAAATGTCCCACTAACCATATGAAATGTCCCAAATTGGATATTTAGTCGGTCATCATACAAAAGAGCAGTATAAGTATTTAAGTACTTACTTATATATAAATCATTCTGTTCGTTAGCATTGCTGACCTTGTGTTTTTTTCCCTTTTCGACGTTTTCAAATTTTGGAAGAAAGTTCAAGCAAAACAGTTCAGGCAATCCGTACCACACATATTTTTGAGATATTCTTTGCAATTCCTGCTAATTATAATTTGGCTACTGTTCTAAATTTACATCTGAATAGAATCTCACTTTAAATATTGGTTAATCTCAATCAAACTCAACATAACAATATAGCTGTACGTACATTAGATTAAACTACTACTTAGCAAAAGGGTTGATGATAATGAAATAAATATTTGATACAATCTGTTACAGGTTGATTGGCTAATTACGTTTGGTGTGAATCTCCTGGCATTTCTGTTTTTTGTTCCTGTTTTTGTATGAAGCAACGTGATTGGTGCAAGGTGTTTCTGGTGGTGCATAAAAGTCTATAAAAACATTTTCTGCCTTTTTTACAAAAATATTCTGCAAGAGTGGTTTTGCGACTTTGAATTCTAACTCCTTCACCGAAGAAAGTAAAGATGGATGGAGGACAGTATCTTTTTAATTGAAAGCTGGCTCCCATCATCCTGGATGGAATGAAACTTGATTCAGTTAATATAAGATTGGTCGAAGAGTGAAAAGTGCAAAAGTCACCATCTTTTTCCACGCTCAGGATGAAAAAGAATAAATGAAGAGTAAAAAGATAGAGGAGAAAGCATTGTCTAATAAATCTTTCGTCAAAGTCATCCTACTTTTTGTTCTTCTTATGCCCCGCTGCCACTAACGAGTCAACTAAAAGAACTAAAGTAATCTTTCCAAAAGAAAGTTGTCTAAAAGTTTCCCATAGACAGAGATTTCGTTCAGAGATTTATGTATTTGCTTAGCATCACACCAACTGACGTCTTGCAGAGACGCGAATAAAAGATTCCGTATTTGGGAATTTTACATTTAATCCTTTCGTGACATGATATTTTACCTATATTTAGAAATCCTGCATCACCACAAAAACAATTCCCATTGCTGAAATTAGACTTACCATTAAAATTGAAGCAACTTGCACTATTTATAGTTGGCCTGAACATATTGTAATCCTTGACATAAACAAACTGAGAAAATCCTTGAATTTTAAATTTAAATCCGGTTCTATCAAAGACTTTTTCGTGACAGAGATGTACTTGCCAATAACGGAGAAGTCTACTTGTCTTTTTTATCCCTAAAAATTTGCATAAGCGGGATTTGCACGAGTCTCTCTTGCATAGCTTCAGAATTTCACAAGCGGATATGCATATATGTACCTGAGCAATGGTTTATGCACGAAGTGGAGGAAGGAGAGAGAGTCGGCAAATGATATCACACGGTACACTTAATCCCTACTCATTTGATTTATCAACTCAACTGTACAAATCAAATCCCATTTGTCTTAACTGAATTTTGTCTGGGTGAACGGACAACTGTGCTGCCCGACATCCGTCCTGTTAACCTTTTAACGGTGTCGTTTTTTGGGAGTGGATTTTGGAAGCCACTTACCCGGAGGGTGGTTCTCTTGGGTAGTTCATTTCAGGGGTAATGTAGTCGTCGACGAGTAGATCGTCGTCGTCCACAGTTAGCAGTGAGTCGGAAGGGTGGTAGCTGACACGGTCGCCAATGACGACTGTGGTGGAACCGTGATGATGACTCGGTCGATGGTGACCCAGTCCGAAACCGTGTAGACCCACATGACGGTCAGACACGATGGTGGGAGAGGTCGGGTGGGAGTAAGAGTAGGGTCCGGTCACGCACCCCGGCACCGACGAGTAAGGACCACCGCGCAATCTCCCGTTCGCTAGGCGGAGGGATGGTGCCCTAAGGTGAAGATTAGGTCATCTCGATTAATTTACATATCCACAGCTCTTACATGTACTTCCGCCGCTTCTTATTTTAACAAAGGAAGGACGGAAAATTAAGTAAGCATGGTTTTACCTTTGCCATCTCCGGCCGTCGCCACCTCGCTCGCGTTCCTCTCTAAAAATTAGAAATGGTTTACAAATTATTTCAAAGATTTTCATGAATTTCATTTATAATCTGTACTCAGAAGAATGCTGTTTGGCTACCACAACATGTACACCTACGATTTTACATAATTAACCTCGTAATCAAGTCTGGAATTGGAAGGGACAGTCGGCACTTGAGTGTAGTGGGGTTGACGGCGAGCAGTGCACATCGGCAACCACACCCGCTGCCGCTACGATACCTGCCAGAACCATTGGGATTGGTGGAAGGCATTTCGTAGTCAACTAATGTAGGATATCGCCAATCCCGAAAACGGACACATTCCTCTCTTCATATACTTTCTCCGCCAGCGGCAGAACAGAACTAAAGCCTCTTATTTTATTCACCACTCAATATATTCTATTTCAACCAAAAGTAACGATCGGCGACTCCATTATCTATGCCCAGTCCTTCCTTCTCGTGGTGCGTAGAATAGTGGACTAGCAAGTGGACGACTAACCAGAATACCGATATTGGGAGGAAGGAAGAAGTTTGAGAATTATTCAAGCTAACTGCATGACATAACTGCTGAGGAGGAACTAACGTCATAAGCCCGACAGAAATAGATAGGAGAAAGCATGCCACATGACAAACCTATAGCAAAATTGGACAAAGCAACACAAACTTGGAAGGATAGGGAATCAGCACGTTCATTCTCAATGAAACTCCACCGGCTGTACTTCCAAAGGTACATACATTATACGACTCGGCCAATTTATGCTTCTCCTTATGAATTAAATACTCACACCACAGCGTGACAAAACCAAACAGGGCGAAATCAACGTAGATAATTTGCTCAGTGCTAATCTCCATACTTACGTACGTACATATGCATACATGTACTACCAATTTTTTTTAAACCGCATGGAGGCCATGGAGAATTATTCTGCCTATCTGAACTTTCACCAGACATTTGCACCGTCCACTCAAGTGCCTAATAACACATTCTTCAAGCCGGTGATATCCTTACTCGGTTCGATCCCAACTTGCACAAAAACTGAGGAGTTTACTCTTTCCCAACTTTGTCGCAACTTTGTACTTTCTTCGGCTTCTTTGACATTCAAGCACAATTTCCAGTTTTAGAATTTAGTCATCATGCTAATATTTTTCCACTTTGCGGAATTAAAATATTATATGAAAAAGTTCTTATGTAATGCAAACCAGAGGAGAACTAGACCTTGTTTTAAATTATGAAAAATCTCTGGTAAATACTCACATGCAGGACATATCCATATCTGTCCGAAGGAAAGCAATATTGCTGATTCACAAAGAAAATGAAAAAAAGTGATATTGGTGAAGGTAATAAATTTGCAAATTGTTATCTTAAATCTGGTTTCTTCTGCTAAACTAACTTCTAATGGAAAAGTTGGTTGGCAGTTATGACTCACAGAACTGCAAGTTGGGAAGCGTGGGAAGTACGTGTTCATCGTTGTGGACGTACATATGTATGTACCACTGTATATCGACACACGTGTATATAAACAGCGTGTGTATGAACATGTCAAGTTATTTGAGAGAAAGTCGTGAAACTTTATCAACGAAGTCAAAGCTGGAAAAATCTGGCTTTGGTTTCCGATTTCTTAAATAAGTGACTGAGAGCGTGAGTGAAGATAGCTTGCTTACAAATGCATATGTATGCAATCAGTCTTGAGTTTCGCTATAGCATTCCGCTTGAATTGTAATTTAAAATACCAAGAATAGGAAGGAGTCAACACTTTAGCGTTCAGTAAAAGATGTGCAAGTCACATGTTCCTATCTATAAACGTGTTCATTTCTTGGAAGAAGTCAGTCTCCCAACCACCCCCACAAACCACGAGGCTTTCGTGTAAATATGTAAAGCATGTCATAATGTTGAATGACAGAAGTATTGCTATTCCAGAGGTCTGGTAGACCTAATGGTATCCGCTCGTCTCCTTGCTTTACACATAAACCCGCTGCTGACGTGCACGTATGTATATCTATAACCTTTTATAATGACAATAAAATATATAAAATGAGATATTTCTGGTAAAGGAAATGTTCCCTGGGACGAAATAATATCTTATAGACTCAGACAAGCAGTGGGGATGGGGCCCATTTAGACACCTCCTGCAACCGCTGGAGATGAGATGAACGCGGATGGAATATTATATAAGAATGGATTCACTTTTATTACACGCTAGTCAATGCCATGGCACAGGATGTTTGTGCCACTTTAATTCCGTGGATCGAGTTTCTCCCCCAACTTATTACCCACCACCATTAAGGACAACATCCACCTTAAGAAATTGCAAGGATATGCTGCATTCTTACATACATATGTATAACTCTGTCTGTTTGCCCATGTATACAAATTCCACCCAATCCATCAACATTGAGTCCCGATTATATAACTTCTGCTCTACTTGAATGCATCTTACAGGCTCGGATTAATAAGATAATTTACCAAGAAATCGTCCAAACAAACGGTGTAAAATATGGCACTGATTTCGTATCGCTGTTAAGAACACAAGAATTAGGCACGTATGCACATACGTATGTAAATTAAACCATGAAGGAAATTTCGCCTGCAACTTATTTTCTCGTCTCACAATGAATTCACAATGTACATGTATGCACAAAACGTGGTCATAAACTCGAGACAAGAATCCGGATTAACGTAATTTCGCTCACAATGCTGAGTTTACAAGGAAAACTGGATCGACGTTCTCAAGTTGGTCAGAACGAGTGGTGCTATTATTATTGTGATCACTATTAGCGTTCTTTATGACTAACTGCTCCCACACACCATGCAGACTTTCTCCCCAGTGCTTTCCCTCGTCTTCGTGGTGGGATGAAACGCCTTTGCCTGGCCACGCTCTCAGCTCCACTAACTCGGCTGACTCCACTCGCTGCCTCAGAGAGTCCAACTTTTGGTGGTGGTGGTGGTGGGCGAGGAGGAGAGAGCGGAGTCAAGTCAAGTCACACTTCTTTCCTCGTCTGCTGCTCCATGCAAAAAGGCTGCCAGTAGACTCGGTCCGGTTTCGATCCGACACCACCAGCGACCGAGAAAACCTTGGAATGTGGACCAAAGTGAAAACTCAATACTCACCCAGAGCCAACCACCAGGAACACTTTCTCCTCTTCTTCTTATCTCCCTGTCTCTCTCTCTCTCGCTCCTCTCCATTTGCGATGGAATGCTCACTCGCGAGATTCACAAAATTTACACACTTCACCCCAACATCAGGAATTGCCACTTGCAAACAAAACTTCAGCCTGCTACACACATTAGGAACTATAATTTGCGAGACTGACACCCGCAAACCAGGAAAGAAAAGAAGAAGACGAAGGACGGCGGCGTACGTATAAAAAATTTCCGAGTATTGACATAATCCCATTATTTATTTAGACGTTCCACCACCTGTCCCATTCTCATGAATGATATGACAATGACAAAGAACAATGTTTCGTGAAATTCTTCTGGGAACAAGAGCGAATCGTCACCTTTCTCCACCACTTCATTTCATCCTTCAAACTGCTGCTGAGTGCAAGACAATGACACGAATTTGACAGACGGACAGCGAAGAATAATGCGAAACAAGAATCACTATGGTGTGACAATAGTGAAATGGCACTCATATTATTATACCCACTGCTCCGTATTCCTCAAAGTGAAGGAAAATGGGGAAAATTAAGGTTTGTGGAATAATGGGAATAACGGATGATTGCGAGGAGAATACACACAAATAATATAAAGCATAAATCAATTTGGTATCCCAGATTCGCCGACAAAACCCACGGTGTACGTACGTCCGTACATATGCACGAATGGTGTAACAATGGCTAGCTGAGGGAAAGCAGCGGCCGAAATGAGAAAGTACTGTCTCTGGTTTCATGTCATGGAATGGAATCAGCAGCCGCCTAACGCTGATCCCTTTATTCTGAGGAATTGAATTGTAAAATTTCTCTCCGGTTTTCCCATCGATTCCATATCATCATCTATTTTGAGATTCAATTTCATCGGCACAGTGTGCTGGCCGGTTGTAGAAAGTTATTTTAATATCTACTTTTTCTCAGCGTTTCAGCAGATATTTCTTTGTTTTATTTATTTGCATGCTCATTTACACCCAATTAAAAGTAGCTTTACAAATGGGGCGTAATTACAATCTACAAGACACTAGAAGAAATATTTAATGCCAGCAACCACCCATATGCTTTAGGTTCATTTACACTGAAACTAATTTTCTCGGGTTGCAAGTCTTGCCTCTTTCTGTTTCTTTTTGGCACGCATAGTGTTACAGAACATGGTTAGATTTTTAATGCTCCCAGGATGCCCATCCCCTTAGACTTCAAGTGCCGAATCGAATATCAAAATATGGCAGACGGAGTGATGTGAATTTTTCTAAAGTTTCATATAAACCATCCTCATCCACTTTGCTCCTCATAATAATCCAACCTTCTCTATCTTATCAAGGCAGGCAGACGAGAGGACGGTGAAAACTCGATATTACAGACTCTCCACGTAGAGTGAGCGAGTTTTAGAGTGAGGAGCTCCTGAAGGGGAACCTATACGTGTGTATGTATGTATGTGCTTACGAAGTATCTATAACCAGGCCAAACTTGCCTCAGTATTTCTTTCCTCATTTTTCCAACTTCACATTTTCATTCAAGGAGGGAAAGTTGGGTCGGCGTCTCGTTTCTCCTTCTTGCATGAGCTTGAAATATGTGTGCCGACTTTTACTTAGTTCATTCCTATTTCTCATTGTATATCACTTTGTGATCAAATGTGGCTGTTGTTGGCTGTGCACACCAAATTTATACGAGACAGACCCAGGTGGGATTTCATTAAAATTGAGACAAGACAGCGCCTGGCCTCTTCCTCGATCTATGGATAAAGTGATGTACGAACGGAGAATAGAGCCCAGGATCGAATTTTGAGCCATGTCTGTTGTCATTAAGGAGTCTCTTCTTCTCATTTCTGAAAGGTGTATATACTTTCCAGTTTTGTAATTCAA